CTGAGCCCCACTTAAAATATTGGGGGCTCAATGGTATCTTAGCCCATAAGGACTCAATGATATCTAAGCCCCACCAAAAGATTGGGGGGCTCAATTAATGATATCTATAAGCCCCGCCAAAAATATTGGGGGGGGGGGGCTCAATGATATCAATGTCTTAGGTTCTGAAACAAAAAATCCTGGAATGATAGTTAGGGCTAGTTCTGATCGGAAAACGACCCAAATATCGGAGTTTGGCTAGTTGCCCCAGGGCCTTGTCCTATATACGGATCAGAGAAAAAATACTTTAAACATTTCGGGGGTTACTTTTATGACTTTCGGGGGCTCTTTTTGGCATTTCGGGGGCTAATTCACCCCGAGCCCCCGTATATTTTTCCTCCTGATACTGATAAGTGAGTGCCCTGATGGGTCTCCTTCTAACTTATTTTTTTAGCCCTTCTTTCTTTACTTTTTCCTTTCCTTTTTTTTCTTCTTTCCTTTCCTTTCTTATTTTTTCAAAGAGGGGGGGGGGCGGGTCCATCGCCCCCGTATATCCGCGCCTGAGTGACATCCACACAAACTAACCTTATTTATTACCGAACAAAAAAATGAAGAAAGAGCCCCTCGACACCATAGGTGTAAGTATTCAGCCAGTTCCTACCCCCCCCCCCCCCGCCAATATGAACTTTAAAAGTGATTTTTTTTTTTTTCTAATTTGATACTAGTGATATACAGATGTTGCTGAAATGCCTAATTTTCCGGGATTTTTCCTCGCTTTTTAGTAAATTATGCTTTTTATGCGTTTGTTGGAGAATGACATATATCACAATTTACAGTTCGGCAAGAAATGTGCTTATTTACTATTTAGAGGCCGACATGTCAGGTCCCGCGGAAAGGCGGGCTTGGGGCTCAAGCCCCCCCCCCCCCCCTCCCACCCCACACTTTTGAAAAAGTATTTTAAAGAGAATTAAATAGAAAGAAATAGAAAAGAAAGTATGCTCATGTAACCATAATTAATTGCCCATACCCCTGAGCTAATTCCGGGGGCTCTGCCCCCTGGACCCCATCTTGGGCCCTAAAGCTGGCCCCTGGATGCTAATCTGACCTTAATTGTAATGCCCAAAACCCCTGCGCTTCCGGGGGCTCCGCCCCTTGGACCATACGCCAATTAGTGACCTGCCAGTGTCATGAATATGGTATTAAAATATGCTCATCTGACCGTAAGTACGAAGCCACGTACAATCGATGACAACAGTTATTGTGGGGCCGATATCACGAGTATGCCTTCATAGAATAAAGGTTTTAAAGAAAATATTCACTTCTACTTTCAAAAGGACTGGCCCATTTGCTTTAAAAAAATTGTAGAGAGTTATTATTATGTAATTTCTAGAAAAAAATGCCAACCACATGATTTACAATGAGTCTAAATACATTGATTTGCCGAGTTTCTTCCTTTTATCAAATATAAACGTAAAACAATGGGGGGACAGACTGCGCGGATAGCAATCCGCACGGATCGTCCCTCGGACGATCCGTGCGAGCAGAAAACCCGCATATTATGTCCGACGGACAAACGAAACTGGTAGGACAAACGGCGCGGTCACACCGGCTCGATCATTTAACTTGTTTTTTGCTCGTTAAAAAAACAATATTAAAAATGAGTCTGAGCACCATTAACCAAAACCAAGTTATATTTGGGCATTTTAGATTTTTTGTCTATCTAATCAGCTCAACTTGTCAGTGGAGTGGACTTGTCCTTTAACACTTTTTACATTGTTATGGATGTGAAATTCTTTTTGTATGGTCAAAATTGTATACCTTTGCCTTTACACGTATTCATTTATTCACAATTTTAAAGAATTCTTTTTTAGACTATTTATCTTTGTCATGACATTTCATTGAGCTTGCCAGATAGCCTTGCTATAGTCCAGTAGACGGTACCATATACCATATACATGACCTGGAAAAGTTGATAAGTACAAGGTTTTTTTGTTGGGTATTGAAGTACATTCAGCTAGGTTGCCAGCTTGGCAACCTTGGGCAACTTTTTTAATAGCCATATTAGCATAATCATCTAATTAGCATATGTGCAATATGTAATAATGTTGCTAATCTCAATCCAGGAAGCCTGAAAACATGGATAATACGATTTTTCAAAGGTTTTCTATGACAAGGAATTCGTTTATGGCACCAATTTTTATTTTTAAGTAATACAATTGTCTTAAATAGCATAATTAGCATAATATGTATATATGGACTTCATTGTCATTGTTTATCTATAAAGCCTTTAAATGGTTCAACGCAACATTGTAAATCCCTTTTGAAAGATTAATCATAAATTCATGAGCAGTTATAGCTCATTATGCTCATTGTGCTATTTTAGACAATTGCATTACTTGGAATTAAACAAAATAGTGTCATAAATGAATTCCTCATCATAGAAAACCCTTGGAAAGTCATATGTTTTCAGGCTTCCTGGATTAAGATTAACAACATTATTACATATTGCACATATATGCTTATTAGATTATTATGCTAATTAGGCTAATTATACTACATCTACATGGAATATCTTCTCATGAATTAATGATTAGTCTTTCAAAAGTGATTTACAATGTTGCATTGCACCATTTTTAGGCTTTATAGATAAACGATGACAATGAAGTCCATATATTGTACGCATGCTTATTAGCTCTTTATGCTCATATGATTGTGTTATTTAAGACAATTGCATTATTTTGAATAAAAAACTGGTGTCATAAATGAATTCCTTATCATAGAAAACCCTTGAAAAGTCATATTATCCATGTTTTCAGTTTCCCTGGATTGAGATTAGCAACATTAATACATATTGCACATATGCTAATTAGATGATTATGCTAATATGGCTATTAAAAAAGTTGCCCAAAGCTGGCAACCAAGCTGAATTTACTTCAATACCCATTTAGAACACAAATCAAAAAAAAAAATTGTACTTATCAACTTGTCCAGGTCTGAAAAACTACTACTGGTTATATGTAACACTTATAGTCATCTTAAAGCTGTTTAATAATGGTTCTCATTTATCTGCCAGTTTTACCAGTATTTTATTAGCAAAAAATGTAAAAATGCTTGTTTTATTTTAATATCTTTCATCCAGATTACTTTGGCAGTGATTATTCAAAAATGCATAAAGTTTGACGTCTTCATGTGCAAAAGATCTGTGGATATTTGGTTTGTACGAATGAGATGCTTTCTCCGAAGTGTCTTATACTCCGCACCTTCAAAAAATCCCAAACCGACGATTATATATTTTTTTTTACAAAGTAGGTCACTGTGCTAATGTGCTAATGTGTTTCTTGGGGTCTGTTTTCAATTACTGTACTAGCAAACCCCTCTAGGCACATAGGGACACTCTGGAACGTGACTTGCGAACCTTTGACATTACATTGCATTTTATCACACTATGCTAATCCTCACACCGATAATGCATTTCGTTTTTATAAAGACGGTCATTGTGCAATTTTTTTAAATTTTTTTTTCGGGGGGGGGGGGGGTTCTATTTTCAAATGCAAGCAAACCCCCTAGGCACACATTGCACTTTATTGCACTAAGCTTTTATCCTGACATATTGTGAAGGATACAGGCATGATTGTGCGTTGCATGCAATGAACAAAACCCCACAACATCATTCACGCAGACCTCTTGACTAATGTATTTCAATGTATGCATGTTTCGCTTCAGAACCACTGTCTACTACTTACCTCACCCGTTGTGTACATCGGCATATCGATATAGTTATGCAATCCACTTTGCATACATACCTCGTCCCGAAATCTAGATCTCCCTAAACCGAATTCAAATAATTGCAAAAGAACATTCTTTTATAGGGGCGACACAATATAACAAACTACCAGAATACATCCGAAATGTAACTACATTATAAAGTGCGTATGATATTATTTTTGAATTTTGTTACTTTAGTATTTAAACAAAAACTTGTATTAATGTTTTGTTTCTATTCTGCTTTATGTCGCTTTTATGTACCCCAAGGGATGCTGAATTGGGCTTTCCACCGATTTTTTTGTCTATGTACATGTATAAATATTTCATTTTGTATATTTTACTATGTATAATATTTATATCTGATTTCGGAAATAAAAACAACAACAACAATTATACATCAACATTTGCTATGGCAAGCTCTGACCATTACAGCTTCCTGCTCTGACATTCTTTAGATTTGTCAAGAGAAACATCTGTGCAAGTCAGAGATATGCATACGATTAGTAAAGGATTATCCAAGGGTTATCGGGGAGGTGTGATCCATTGATGAGGGTTCCTGACACGCACGCGACAGGTCATCCTTTAACAAATAAAGCATGGACCTATACGTCTAATGCCACAAAGCAGTAATTATCCACTCGTTGTTTTTGTTTACAAGCCATGTGGATGAGATCTTTTGGGTGGTTTTCAATGCGACAGAAATCGTATAGAAACATTCAAGTCATTAAAGCTTGGCAGCTTTGAAGGAAGTGAAGCAAAATAAATTACCGTGGAACAACGGATTAAGTGTCGCATTTTATGTATTATTTTGGCCAATTATTGGAGATGTGGTGGTTGGAGCTCTCATTACTCTGGTTCGAAACGAGGGCAAAGATTCGTTACACATTGCGGATGATAGACCTATATCTCTATTAAATGTAGTCTACAACACTTTGATAACATGCTGCTGCATTTCATGTATCTTATTATGACGTTTCTCAATCTAATTCCACATTTTCTTATAAAGCAGAGATGGCCGCAAATGTACTTTCCCTAATATGGTTATTACAACTCCCAGGTTTCTACACCTGGGCAGTTATCTTTTCACTCCAGGCCATAGAATTTCGTAAAGACGAATCGGTTATTCTTGACATTCTAACCCTGTGTAGTAAACTAAAATACAAGGGCGCCCAGGTCAATTTCGAATGGATTCCCAGTCACAGTGGTCTACAACACAATGGCCCGAATTCACAAAGGAGGTTTGTCAAGAAAACTAGGTTTATGTGCCTCATACCACGCGTTCCAATACGTTTCAGACCAACACTAAAACGCGTCATAATAATATTATGACGCACAGAAACATGGGGGTTGACAAGTTTTTTTTTGTTTTTTTTTAAATCTAATAATTATTTTTTCTTTTTTTATTCATTTTTTAATAAAAAGTGTAATTTTTTTCAAATCTTTGAAAATTTGATAACATTTTCCGAAATTTGTATTTCTTCTTTTTTTAATTTTTTTTTTATAAGATACATTTTTAATGCAGGATATAAAACAAATATACCAAGCCTTCTTTTCTAGGTACTGGTTAAAACTATGGGCCTCGGTGACTCCAAAAGTACCATTTGCTTCGGGGCTGCGCCCCTCAGCAAATAGTACTATTAAAGTCATAGTGTGGTACGGTATGTCACTGAAACAGCTCCTGTAGAACTTTAATTTTGTGCCAAAAATTGAGTTTTTTTTTTTTTTTTTTTTTTTTCTTTTTGTGTGTGGATTCATTGGGGTCCAACCTATCAGAAATTGATGGGGTTCAAATTTTCCCGAAGACACCAAATTTCCCTATTGCGCTCTTTATAAGCCATTTTGGCGCCCAATATGGACCCCCCAGGAAGTGAAGGAGGGGTCTGAAAATTTGAACCCCATCATTTTTGGCCAATTGGGACTCTTTTGAAGCCAAAACAGCAACAACAAAAAAACAAAAAAACAAAAACAAAAACAATTTTAGTGAAAAAATCCTACGGGATTACATACCATACCGCACTATCACCTCTTGCGCATAGTTTTAACCTAAATATCTCAATCTCAAGACAGTGTATATTTGTATACTAGTCTGGCAAGCTTTTGAGTTGTCAAGAGAAACAATTGTTGAGAGAACAAGAGATCAAGATATTTTTTGATTTAAAAAAAACAAACTTATGATCATTTCGGAATGTCGGTATTCATCTCGAATGTCCTATTCAGAATATGAGATCACACCTACACTGGTAGTCTTGAACATTCAATGTTAAATTACTTTCATTAGGAGTGATATATATATATATATAAGCAAGTTTGGTAAAACTACAATTTCTGACAGTGCTCAACTATAGGAGCAAATGTAGATATAGGAGTTGGTAAGGTTAAACTGTATTGGTACCAATTAAGTTTAATCTTACCAACTCCTATTATATATAATCATATTGTCTCTCTCTCTCTCTCTCTCTCTTTCTTACTCTTTCGTCTCTCTCTTTTTTCTTACTCTCTCCCTCTCTCTCTTTCATCTCTCTTTCTCACTCTCTCCCCCTCTCTCTCTCTCTCTCTCTCTCTCTCTCTTCATCTCCTCTCTCTCTCTTTTCCTTTCTCCCTCTTTCGTCTTTCTCTCTCTCCCTCCTTTTCCCTCTTTCATCTCTCCCTCTACCCCCCCCCTCTCTCTCTTCCCTCTCCTTGAATACAGGTGCATTCCTGGTACCTTACTGCACACTGCTCCTCTTCGTGTGTATACCCCTCATCGTTCTGGAGTTTGCCCTTGGTCAGTACAGCTCTAGCAACTTTAACAAGGTGTGGCGAGCATTACCAATCATGAGAGGTAAGTCTTTTAGGATTTTTGTTTTCGGAATCAAAATAATTGTGTGGCTGTGACAACAATAAATATACGTTAATCCATATCATACCAATGCCTCAATGTTTACGAGGGGGGGGGGGGGTGGAAGGATGTTTGTCCGAGAAAAAAAATGCCTTAACTTTTGCCTTTCGAATAAACATAAAGTATCCATCAAATATCACTAATCTCATAAATATTTGTCCTTCATAAAATTGTCTAACATGTTTTAAAACATTTATTAAATATTGCATGTAAACATCTCCGAATTGCCAAATAAATTGCTTTATTAAATCAACTGTCTGGATAAACGCTTTGTCCGAACATTAAGGCCCGAATTCACAAAGGAGGTTTGTCGACAAACCTAGCTGTATGTGCGTCATATGACACGTTTCTCGTTTGTGAATTCGGGCCACAACGTCTGGGTACTAGGGGCGGATCCGGGATTGTTAAGGGGGTGAAATGCCAAACATTATTAAGGATCAATATAATATATTCTTGTTGTACGCCAAGTGGGTAAGAGGAAAGGCCAGCAACCCTCCCCTCCCCCTCCCCCCTCCCCACACACACACACGCACACACACACACACACACTCACACACGCACACACACAAACACACTCTCGAATTTGCCACTTAACTGTAAAACCATAATTACAACATGTGATGGTTATTGCATTAACCAAGCTTTGGTTGTTGTAAATCGAGAAAATGAACTCTTTAACGTTCGATTCCACGACTAAGTTAGGGGCAGGAGGAAGGGGGCGGAGGATGATACTTTAGTCCATAGACCTACATTTATGGGACGCCAAATTTCAAAGTCTCAATCCCGTACAAATTGCTTTGAGAAGAAACGAAGATCGTTCTGTCACAAAATTGATATTTCCTTTTAAAGCTGAAGGGCGTATGCCGAAGGCCGGAGGCCCACTTGACCGAAACTGGACTTAACCGTCTATCCCGAGGACATTCGGTATCGTCGCGCGCAATATTATAGAAGGACTACGAGACCGACACCTTTGGGCCGTTGGTCTCGCGAACCTTTATCAATTTTGATGTTGATGGATATTTTACATTCATTCTTTTCTTCATCAGGGATTTCGTACTGTCAGATGCTGTCATACTTGTTGGTAGGGGCTACTACAATGTCATAATAACCTACTCCATCTATTACTGCTTCGCCTCCTTGACATCTCAACTACCCTGGGTTGGATGTGGTCACGAATGGAACACGCTCTACTGCAGCAACCTCTACGACGACTGCCTCAATCAAGACGGGATTATAATTTCCAATGGGAGCTGTGCCAATGTGACTGTGCTGTCCGATGAAGAACTTGCTGGGTACAATATCACGGTCTTTAACGACACTGTTTTGGATTTAAGCAACTATACGGATCCTATAAAGAAGATGCGTGTACTTCCGAGTGAGGAATACTGGACGTAAGTGTACAATGCCATCTATAAACATGGGGGTGTTACACAAAGATCCCAAGTTATCTCTAAGTTGGACTTAACAATTACGGAAATCCGGAAGAATATATTTTATTTTTAGGCTACGAATGGCTCTCCATAATTTTTAAGTTCGACTTAAGATCTTTGTGAAACACCCCCTGGTTATATATAGAGTATATAGTGCCTTTTGCATCTAAGGCACCATGCCTGACCTAGCTCTGCGTCTGCGCCTGGTGCAGCTTTTGACGTCTCGTGTACAACGGCTATCATGTTAAAAGTGTTATTTTAAGTACTTTACCGTCATCTGAAAGTGAAGGTGCAGCGTTTTTTTTTTTTTAGCAATTCTTTCCGTTTAGTCGGATCAGTTAATGTTGTGTTAAAATAATTTGGTTCATATTACACGCCATTAGTTTACTTCAACTGCTCTATATCAAATTGAACAATGCCCCCCCCCCTGGTATGTATTTTGTGACATTAAGGATGAGTATCAAACCTTTTAGAACTTTTCAAAAAACTAAAACCGATCATTTTGTTGTCCAACCCAGGAACAAGCTGTTACGGGAATCATCGAGCATCGAGAAACCAGGCGGTGTTGTATGGCAGCTCGCTCTCTGTAACCTCTTCGTCTGGATCGTCGTCTTCCTCATCATCGCCAAAGGTATCAAGACTTCTGGCAAGGTAATAATACCAGGGGGTGTTTCAAAAAGTCTAAGATCGACTTTAAATTGGACTTAACTATGGCAGGCCGTTCATGCTACTATTTTCTCTCATCACTTACTGATATTGGTATCTCAAGGGACGTACCAATCTTGGTCACAAATCTACAGACTTGGCATTCTGTGATAGTTCATTATCGTGTGAACAAATATTTTCTTAAGATTGTAATTGAGAGACTAAAGGTGAGAGCAACCAGTGGCATGAATGGCCTGCCATAGTTAACTCCAACTTAAAGTCAATCTTAGTCTTTGTGAAACACCCCCCTGCACTTATTGTGTTCTCGAGGCACTTTTAAAAAATTAATGCATTCGTTTCGTAAATCTTCGATCTTGTGGACCTCTCTTTTTTTTTTTAAACCATCAGTGAGGGGGGGGGGGGGGAGGTAGTGAGCGAAATATCTATTTGTTTTTGCCCCCGGAAATTTGAAATACGTGCAGACCGTTATTTTCGTTCAGTGGAGGGGGGGGGGTATTGTTAGCACTAACTAAAACATATTTACAGGGTATATGATTTTGTTTTCTTCTATTTTTTATTATTATTTATTTTTTTAAAAGCCCGGGGAGCCCGGGCCCGTCGCCCCCCCCCCCCCCCCACCCCCCTCCGTGGATTCGCTTTAGTCTTTTTGCCACTCTGTCCCAGTTCACATGGGAAGTTCCTTAGGTTAAACAGGGATCAGGAGCTTAGGCACGTAGTATTTGTCATAGTTTTTGTTTTCCACCAACGACTATCCATAATGGGTGAAGTGTGGTCTAAATTACTAATTGTGTTACTTTACTCCCTATCGTTATTAGAAATATATACTAAAAAACTGGGAATTCATCGAAAAAGAGATTACATCAACAACCTTCTTTTTTAGGTGGTGTACTTCACAGCACTGTTCCCGTATGTCATGATGACAGCTCTGCTTATACGTGCTGTAACACTGGACGGATACCTGGATGGAGTTCGCTACTTTGTGAAACCTACATGGAGTAAGATTGTACACCCACTGGTAATGCTCACTTTATTATCATATCTTTATTTACAGTTTACCATATTATTTCACAATTATTATTACAACAGTGATAAATTCTACCTACTAGCGTTTTCCGAGTCACGCTTTTAAGTATGAATTTGTTTATTTGGCATGTTGATTTATTGTACCTGAATAATGAATTGAGTTTGTTTATCATTCTAAAGAAAAATCCTACTTGTTCATTTGTATGCATATTTAGAATATGTAGAATAGAACAAACGGCAATCGTTGATTAAACGCCAGATACTATTTATTTATATTACTCAGAAAAATAGTTAAGCAAACCTAAGAACACCTGTCTTTTTGTCATGTTCTCAGCCTTGGAAGGACGCAGCGCAGCAAGTGTTCTACTCATCCGGGTCGGGAGGGGGCGCCCTTCTTACCATGGCCTCGTTCAACAGGTTCCACAATACGTTTGTCAGGTAGGTGACACATTTCAAATTAACCCTTTGCATACGGGAACCGGGTTGTTCCTTCACTAAGCCAGTTGGGAATGACAGCATTAAAATAATAGTCAAAGGGTTAAGCAGAACTATTGTGTCCAATACGTTACAGACCGCATCAGGGCCCTGTTTCATTAAAAAAAAAAAATGTTTTCGATAAGAAATGCTAGATTTCCATGACAAATTTGCTCTCAACAAATCGAATGCCACGATTCTGGAAGTTTACAATAGTTATTGTAACTAGATAACATGTTTTATGAAACAGGGCCCCGAGATTGATTATAAGTATATCTGATGACTGTATCAAACTGATAGCTTCAATCGGACAATAAATTGAATAAAAATGACATTTATGTGTCAAATAACGTTCAATTAGGTGAGGCGCTAATACTCATTACAAAGTCATTTAGAGTGGACTCCCCCCCCCCCCCCACTGCACTACTTATAGCTATTTGCGCCCTCTATATAGCAAACAATGCCCAAGCGGAACCTTGGTCCCCCATGATCCCCCTATTCTTGTATTATTTAGAGCTGATTTGATGAGATAACCACCTGTTAATGACCATACAGGGAGGTCTAATCTCTCCTGGCCAAACTAGTGCAGACAGTCTTAAGGCCGACGGCTTTTTCACTCAAAAGTAATTATGCTAATTTATTTTGAAAAACTTCCAATTCGTTTTACCAATAATTGGCCGACACAACTACATCTTCAAACGCTAACTGTATTGTTTCCCTTTATAGTGATGCGTTGATCATGGCCATTGGAAACAGTTTGACTAGCCTGTACTGCGGGTTTGCTATCTTCGCTATCTTAGGGTACATGGCAAAGCAGATTGGAGTTCCAGTACAAGAGGTCGTCAAAGGAGGTAGGTCTTACTATGGCGATGTATTTTCTGTCATGCATTATAATCTGATTGGAAATTATGCCATCTCTCCTTCTCTATCTCTCCCGTTTCCCTTTGGACCCTTACCAACTCTCCCTATATTTCTCTCTTTATCAGTCCTTCGAGCTTGAGCTCTCTTTTCCTTTCTCTTTCTGCTCGTATTTCGATTGTGATGCTGCTCCTATTCTACTTTCATATTCACATTTATATTCATGATGTGATTCAGAATTGTATTTAGAATTCTTGCTATGTAACTATAAGTCATATAACTGTATTGTCATGCTTTGTCCTGAAAGCCGGAGGACCGTACCTGCTCATAGACTTTTTCTTATAGAGTCTTGACGCCCTTCTGGCTTTCATCACACGACACCATGCTTTTGTCTTATGTTTTATGTATTACATGTTTAATACACCAATGGAAAACAAATTTCTGTATTATATTATGGATAATAAAATCTTGAATCTTTAAAAACCTAAGATTAATCGCATACGGAAGCTTTGTCAAGTTGATCGGCTGTCATATTCCAATTGTCATTTTAGTCAGATTTATGCGTTTGCACATATTTTCTGTATTTCATTATCCTATTATATCTTATTCGGCGTGAGAATTTTTTTATTTTTATCGATGAGTGTGGAAAAAAGAGCGTTTATCCATATTTTTAGATTAATGTTTCAAAGTTAATGATGGTCTTTCTTTATTCATGCCAATTACAACACCATCTAATGATGAAAACGAAAGCAAGACACAGTGAGTCAAACAAACCTTTTGAGATGACATTTGTGCAAGGTCAAAAGGCGACCAAGAATATAAGTGTACAACATATTTTAGATACATATTTCTAACATGTTTGATGAGTTTTCAATGACTTGAATCTGGACTCTTAAATCATTTCCACAACTGATTGCAATTATTCTATGATGATTCACGGACATTCCTGTCTGTTTCCTCCCAGGGTTTGGTCTTGTATTCGTGGTTTGTCCTGCAGCCTTAGCTAAGTTTCCTGGTGCACCCATTTGGTCAGCTTTATTTTTCTTCATGATTTTCTTAATAGCATTAGACAGTCAGGTGACTATACTTTATCTTCTATTTCGGTTTATCAATTCATTACGTCTCATGTTTTACAGAGAAATAATAATAACAATAGTAATATGTATATTTTTATAGCACCGGTATCTGCCTGGCTCTAACGCTCATGGCGCTGTACATATTACAATCACCAACATCACTTTCGTACCTAAAGTAAAGGTTAACTATACAATACAAATGATTACTCCACAATTATGAATGACATAATTAGATAGCACTGTTTGGAAGGAGTAAGGGTCTTCTTTTACCGTTTGATCTTCTCGTCTTTTTAGTCATTTTCATATCGATTTTTAGTTTAAAAGCTTGGTTGCTGAATATGAAGAGCGACGCAGAATAGATGATTAAAGAATCACATTTTCAGTAAATTCAATGGATAATCTGTGAAAATATTAAAATAGGAATTGAAGTAATACCTGTCATTTTCACACAACCTAGGCTTTTGATACATCTTTTTTTTGTATTGGAAGTTGCGTATATATTTGTGAAAGAAAATGATTCTGCTTACAAGCTCATTATTTTGTATCATGCCCTTGTGTTTTGTTTTGTTGTTGTTATTATTATTATCATTATTATTATTATTTCATCGTTATTTGTATAATTATTATCATTATCGTTATGAATAGTAATATCACTATTTTGTATTATCATTGTTATCAGTATTATTATTATTATTATTATTATTAACTCATAGCTTGTCATGAGGCTGCATGCACGCTACAGTTATAGTGCTCTGTACATGCGAGCGAGCCATTGCTTTGCTGCCTTGTGCATGCTTGCACGTATTCGTAATAACTTTCCTTTACTTGTCGATAGTTTATGTGCTGTGAGTCGATGGTAACTGTTATCATGGATGCCATGCCGCGGTTAAGAAGATGGCGGCTCTTTGTATGTGCATTCGTCTGCTTTGGAACATATCTCACAAGCTTCGCTGCCTTGTGCATGCTTGCATGTATTCGTAATAACATTCCTTAACTGCAAACTTTCCTTTACTATTCGATAGTTTATGTGCTGTGAATCGATGGTGACTGTCATCATGGATGCCATGCCGCGGTTAAGAAGATGGCGGCTCTTTGTATGTGCATTCGTCTGTTTTGGAACATATCTCACAAGCTACGCTGCCTTGTGCATGCTTGCATGTATTCGTAATAACATTCCTTAACTGCAAACTTTCCTTTACTTGTCAATAGTTTATGTGCTGTGAGTCAATGGTGACTGTCATCATGGATGCCATCCCGAGGTTAAGAAGATGGCGTGTCTTTGTATGTGCATTCGTCTGCTTTGGTATAACATTCTTTAACTCTTTCCTTTACTATTCGATAGTTTATGTGCTGTGAATCAATGGTGACTGTGATCATGGATGCCATCCCGCGGTTAAGAAGATGGCGTGTCTTTGTTTGTGCATTCGTCTGCTTTGCTGCCTTGTGCATGCTTGCACGTATTCGTAATAACATTCCTTAACTGCAAACTTTCCTTTACTATTCGATAGTTTATGTGCTGTGAGTCAATGGTGACTGTGATCATGGATGCCATCCCGAGGTTAAGAAGATGGCGTGTCTTTGTATGTGCATTCGTCTGCTTTGCTGCCTTGTGCATGCTTGCACGTATTCGTAATAACATTCCTTAACTGCAAACTTTCCTTTACTTTTCTATAGTTTATGTGCTGTGAGTCGATGGTTACTGTCATCATGGATGCCATCCCGTGGTTAAGAAGATGGCGTGTCTTTGTTTGTGCATTCGTCTGCTTTGGTATATACATCACAAGCTTCGCCTACGTCACGAATGTAAGTTAAGAGTCCACGAGGGTGTTTCACAAAGATCCTAAGTCGAACTTGGACTTAACAATTATGGAGAGCCATTTGTAGCCTTAAAATAAAATATGTTCAAAAGTGAAAAATCAAGTATTTTTGACTTTTTATAAATTCCGCATCAAGAACATGAAATCTCCTTGATAATAGAAAATATGAATGATTTGAATCAACATTCTATTCCTTTTAAAATAACTTTTACAAAATATTTTCATAGATGCTAACAGCTTTCCATAATTGTTAAGTCCAACTAAGAGATAAGTTTCAATTATAATCTTTGTGAAACACCCTCTAGTTCCAAGTTGGATTTATTTAAATATAAAGTTGAGTTCTGGTCGTGCGATTGCATTGTGAAAGAAACGTTGTGGAATCGATCAGAAAAGGTTGATTATCTAGCATAAAAGTTTTGGTGTGTACTGCAAGGTTCTCTGGAATCATCAATGATGATAATTATTATAATAAATTAAAAGCAAGACATTTCCTTTACGACATGTGCACATGAGGAACTTACCAACAAGCTAGGACTCTAAATAATGTTAAGCCCCTCTTGTGAAGGAAATAAAACGTACAATTATTGATGAATTAACACGATCGAAAAGATCCCTGATCATATGACAAGCGTGATAAAGGTAATTTGTGCGCGCGTGTGTGTTTGTGTGCGAGTGTGGGGTGCGCACGTGTGTGGCAGGTGGAGGTGCTTTACGTAGTCACTGAGAAGATCTCAGATCTCACAAAATAGGATTATTAGGTTTCACATCACAAATATCGTTATGCTTTTGAGATTAAAGGCTGAGATTAAGTTTGTATCTTTATTATTTTTCTTTACGATAAAGGCTGGGCCGTACTGGGTTTCCCTCATTGACAGCTACGCATCAGGTTGGATCTCCCTGATTACAGGCATTGCCATACCGATCTGCTTCACCTGGGTGTATGGCTTTGACCGGCTCAAGAATGACTTCAGGGCCATGCTGGGAAACAAGACGGTTGACCACTGGACATTCTATTACTGGAAAGTATCCTGGATGGTCGTGTCACCTGGTATACTCGTGGTAAGTGTCTGTAAACATCTGACAAGGTGTCCAGGGAGTGTTTCACAAAGATGAATTTATCTTTGGGAAGCCGTAAGCATCTATACAATTATTTTGTAAAGGTTTTTTGAAAGGCATAACATTTTGATTCAATTCATTCATATTTTCTATTGTCAAGGAGATTCATGTTTTTGATGTGGAATTTATGAAAAGTCTAAAATACTTGATTTTTTGTTTTTGAATATACTTTATGTTACGGCTACAAGTGGCTCTCCATAACGTTTAAGTCCAACTTAGAGTTATGTTTGACTTAGGGTCTTTGTGAAACACCCCCATCAAGGAGCTCCATCTTGTATCAAATGATAGCCCTGCTATGGCTTTCCAAGCCTGATCTGACACTCTAGCTGCAAAACATCACAGCTAGAAGAATCATCTGGAATGGAGAGGAAAATGGTTCAGGCAGTTGCGTTATCACGTTTTTTTTCTTCATTATTGTAATAGGTGATTTAATTCTGTTGTGCAACACATTACGTCTTTTTTCCACAAAATATTTCATAAGACAGTGAAGAGTCTCTTGATACGACCACTAAAAAGTGTGCTCTGTCGCCCTCATGATTATGTTAGACTAACTTCTTTTATTTTATGTCTAAGGTCATCCTGATATATAACATTAGTAATTGGTCGCTACCAGAGTACAATGGCCCATTCCCTGCTTGGTGTCACGTGATTGGTTGGTTGTTCATAGCAGGTACGCTAGTCTTCATCCCAGGTGTTTGGATTTTCGACATGCTGCATTCTTCCGGATCATTTCGCGAGGTTTGTTTAATTTCAATGATTATAAAAAAATATATATTAATGGCACAATAATAAAAACCTTATTTTCATGCCTCAACAATAACTCACCACCTTGCAAATTTTTACTCTTCATTTTATGTTAAGTTGTTCCAGTATTTCGTGGGTACATGTATGTACCGCAGGACATCTTATAGTCGTTCATTCACTTGACTTTCAATTGATGACCGGGTCCCAAGTTCGAGTTTTAACTCTTTATATGCCAATTTTTTTCACTGTGCTAAATTGTATTTATCATGGAATATAGACCATAGGCTTTAAGATTAATTATTGAACCGTTTCAAGTGCAAGATGAATCTATGCCGGGTTAAAAGCGTTTTCATCGTAAGATCAGCCCGGAAATAGAGCTAGGCTAAGCAGAAAATGGTTAATTTCGAAAAGCCATGTTGCACAAAGCAATCCTTCCGTTAATTTGTAATTGTGGAATAGTATATGTGGGAAATAGTAGGTAATTAGACACCTTGCGTCAAAGGGACAATTATGGGAAACATTTGCAGACATTGAATGTGTGCAGATTTGAAAGAAAGAAAAAAGAGTAAAGGTAACAACTTTCGAGAAAAGGTGTTCTATTTCCACGATGTTCTCAAACATGTGAATGCGTATAGTGTTTGTGAAAATAGGGTACTTTTATTAATGTGAACGAGATAGGGTTATATTTAGAACCCATGTTGTACCTGTTTTTTGCAACCGGGGTCCTATTTTGTGGACAGTGCTCTTTAAAGTATGCAAAATAGGGGAATACTTTGGATACTGCTAACGATCACCTATCAATATGAAGTAATCCGATCGGGTATTGATATAAACTAATGAGAGCTATTTGTTGGACTCAACAGCGTTTTGGACGGCTTTGTCAAATCGATCCCAGCTGGGGCCCCTCCAAACCCGAGGACCGCCTGCTCGCCTACCGCATCCACGAGGAGTATGGGACCACAATGGGCGGAGTACTCGATGTCGATGATCAGGGGATGAAAGAGAAAAATGACAATATCGACTTCGAGTTAGAACCTTTCAAGACTGATGCGAGCAGAAACCGCAATCATGTCAATGGAAGCCACGAAGATGTGCAGTATGGTCGGTTAGATCAATAGTTGGTGTGCTCTTGACAAAGGCATTGCCAGATATCTCTCTTCTCCCCATTTCCCCCCCCCCCCCTTCCCCCTCTTTCTCTCTTTCTCGCTCTCTCTCTCTCTCTCATTCGTCTTTTTACTCCCTGTCTCTCTGTCTCTCTCTCTTATTCTTTCCCCCTTTCCCCCTCTCCATTTGATTTTGGAGTCGCGATTAAAACGTGACTTTTAATTTCCTACACCATTTTTAGGATTACCTAAGCATTTTTATACATATATTTTCTATTTGTATTACAGAGCACTTGAAACTTTTTTTTATTCACAAGGGTTCTATAAAATACAAGCCATGCTTTTTAATAGACTCCTCTATGTTTTCACCACTATACCAATCTTAGATTATTTTTGTGAACAATTGTATAATTATTTAACGCATCTTTTGTTTAATATTATGTTCTTGAATTTGTATATTTGAGTACCGAAGCTATGACGTCATAAAAAAATTTCTTCTTTTTCCGAAAGAGCATCAAAAATAATGTCCAAATGTGGAAAACCAATTGAATATGTAAAGTATTGGCTGAGATATGACCATCTGAATAAATATATGTCCTATGGAAACTCAGTGTTATATGCTCTGGCTCCAGACCATTTCGGAAAAAAAGAAAAAATTATGCAATTTTAAAAATAGATTTTTTGATGACGTCACACTTTACCACTCTATAGTGCATATTCAGTATTATATTACGTGGGGAAAAGAAGGAACCTTAAACCTCGAAACCTTGAGCTTGGGCTGAACAAATCACGTAGTAGATTGTGGGGAGTGGAGTCCGCCGCAATTACGCTTTTTGAACTCCTTATGAATAGATCTTTAGATGTTTTCATTTTGTCAAATAATTGGTGACAAGTAAATTAACAGGGAAATCGGGTATATATTTTGGTAATGTTAATTATATAATTATTACATGTTTAAAATCGATTATCGAACAGTTTTAAACAATTTGACAATTGCTTTTGATATTGTTGTATAGTGATATGAACTACATTATCTCCTATACAACATACTTCTGAAATAAATTGTATCATGATGGAAAGTTTCATAATTATTGTCCACGATGGGAATTCGTCGTATTACATGTTATATGGGTACACATATATTTAACTAATACACTCTTGGACAAGTTCAACAAAATAATGTTTGAGTTGACAGAGAACGAGAACAAAATAATGAACAATCGGTGTGTACAATTATCACTAATGTCTCAATTATCATTATTATTATCATTATCATCTATGTCACTAATATCATCGTCATCATTATTTTAATATTATTATTATTATCATTAGTAATATTACTATTAATGTTAAGCCAGGTATAATTATTGTTGTCATTATTATCATCCACATTCAAAGTGATTCTTTGGTTATAAAAACATTTATTATTGTATGTTTTGGGGTTGTTAAAATTGATTTCTAATAATTTATAATAAGAATTGAGTTGGAATAATTATTTTGAAAAAGAAGAAAAGACAGCCTTGGTGTATTTGTATGGTGTTTAACATTGGTGAGTGTACGGTGCTTGTGTTAGGGGTGGGGTGGTTGCGAGTCTGGCGAAAGGTTTCCATTAGGTTTTAGTGTGGTAAAAAAAAGAAGAAAAAAGTTATAAGCACGCAAAAAACTTATTTGGTATGAACAAAATTAAAATGGCAATGGCCATCCCGCTTTGTGTCCGAAATTGCAAATCTAAGACTATGGCAAATACGTAATCATATTTGGAATGATCATTTGTAAAATCCACGGGAACGTGGGGACATCGCCCTAAATAAAATGGAAGTGTGAAAAATAATATCAGAGGCAGCCCCCCCCCCTAAATGTCGGTCTTTGTAAACTTGCATCTTCATTAAATGCACACCAATGTGTCGAAAATTATTTGTAAAGTAAGCATTTTACAGCTATGGTTATGATAGCCTCATTTAATCATGCGATTACTAGGAGAAAAAAAGAGAAACCCAAAATGTGTTTCATCTATAAGTGTGACTTGAGTTTCTTGGTACACTCTGTATAACCGAACCTTATTTCAATGAGATGTTTGAGTTTATTTATTTTGAGTTTATTTATTTCACATTTCACATGCAGAAATAATACAGATAACAAAATATACATAAAATACAAATCGTTTCATAATTAAAAAAAAATGATTATATTTATTGACAAGGTAATCATCACATTTGTTTGACAACTAATATCATTTAAAGGAAACCCAGGCAAAAGTACAAACTGTGAAATGTGCAGGAACCTATAGAAAAGCAGAGCTTGTAAAGAATAGGTTCCTGGGAGACTTGAAAAATAACAGGGAGAGAAAATGTTTACTGTAGCGAGAGGTACACAATTAAAATTAAGACGGCAGTAATTTGACAAATAATTGTTTGCGAGTTCAATACAATACAATACAGAAAAAAGAAAGAAAAAGAAATACATTAAAACGAAGAGGAGTAACGAGCCAATAAATAGCAGAGTATGCACCTTTCTCTACCACGCCTGTTTGCACCACCTGAACGTTTACAATAACCGAACAATAGAAATCATGAATTATTCATTCCTTTCCTGAAAAAATCTAACTTATGTCACACAGGCAAAAGAACGCCTAAAATTGCAAATGAATTGTAAAATGAATTGGAAAATGGTACACGTTATAAGAAAAAAGAACATTATACATAAAATGTCTAGTCATCATTATTATTGTATGCATTCAACAAATGTAACTTGAGTTTATATTTAAATTGATGAATAGAAGAAGAGTGAAGTAAATCAGGATGAAGATTGTTCCAAAAAGACGGACCGTGTCAGCTTCATGACGAACGTCATCTGTAGTTATGTAAGAGGAGGATGCCTGTGAATTATCAGGTGGTAAAAGTTTTTGATCATTACCAACATTAGATAATAGAGGTTCAGTCATTGATAAAACATGAAGTAACAGGTGAGTAACGGAGAATCCAGTAGATGAACTGGAATGACATGTATAGGAAAGAGGAACGTTCAGGTGGTGTAAATACACAAAAGGCGTGGTTTATAATATGACATTTGTTGTATAATAGAATTAGAGATGGCTCGCAATAGAATGTAAAACCCGATTTACAGAAAAGGAAGTTAACTGAATCAATTGTACATACGTATACATTCATTGGAAATAAGATCAAGACAAAACACAGATAAGAAATAAAAACAAGAATATTCATTACTTAGCACTTGTACTATAACACGTGCAAGAAACTCATGGGCTCCTTTCAGCCACCGCACGTAGAAGAAATTAAGAAAATTCAGGCAAAAGCAAGAGAGAAAAAGAGGAAGAGAGAGAGAGAGAGAGAGAAAAAAAAGAGGGGGGGGGATACCTTTCTTACGGTATCGGGTTACATGTATGTTTACATGTTAATCAAAACTTAATTCAGAATTTAAAATGCGTTTAAGTTGAAACGGTAAAATAGATGTACATGTACAGTGTATCACACAGTACACAGAGCACATTCCAGAGAAGGTAAAGAATAATTATCATAACTTTTGTTCAATGCTGAGGTGATTTACCTTACTCCTGTTGGTTATTCCACTTGGGGGTGTTTTTTTCCTTCCATTTGAGTTCAACTGAAGCTCCGACAACGAATATCTTAGTGGAGACTCCCTTTTGCTTCCGGAGGTCGTAAGCGATCTTGGCAAGCATTCCCCTCCTGGCTTTGAGGGCTGGGGGGAGGTCTGTGCGCACTGTGATTCTCACTGACGCCGTGGCGCGATCTTGGGGGATCCTTTGGCGCTGACCGTTTTCGAAAGCGGCGAGCCCGCCCCCCCCCCCACCCACTCAGTGTTATTTAGGGTACGCATATGCTCGTTCCCTCTTTCTGAAAGCACCCCCTATCTGAGGACTGCCAACATTTCCGAACCCCCCTTTCGCGGGCTTTTTGCGGGCTTTTCATGCCTTGGAGACCCCCCTAAATTCGGGAAAATGCTCAATGTAACCCCCTTAATTCGGAATAATTTCTCAAGAGTCCAAAGAGATGAGAGAAAAAAAGAAAAAACACCCCCTTTTTAAAGAAATCTCCGGTTGAAAAGTCAAATACACCCCTTTTTTCACAATTCTCGGGCCGGACTTTGTCGCACGAAAAGTACCCCTTTACCGGACATTTTGGCAACACGCATGCGGTCATTCCGACCCCGGAGTGGGGGGGGGGGGGGGCCGTGGCGGCGAGTAGGCGGTTACGATCCTCCATGTAATCGAACTTCGCGATGATTGCATTCGGGGCTTGTGGGCGGGTGGATGAGGCGGTAGCTCCGTTGTTGCGTCTTGGTAGGCGGTGTGCGTTCGCGATCGCGATGTCGTTAGCTTTCCTTTCATTGATTCCGACTCCGGAGTGGGGGGACCGGGGCGGCGAGTAGGCGGTACGATCCTCCATGTAAACGAACTTCGCGATGATTGCATTCGGGGCTTGTGGGCGGGTGGATGAGGCGCCCGGCCCCCCCCCCCCCCCCCCCCACTCAGTGTTATTTAGGGTACGCATATGCGTGTTCCAACCGACCCCCCCCCCCCCCTTTTCAGCAAAAGTCCGGTGTGTAAAGTCAATACGGCTCGACCTTTTTCTTTGTATACGAGCCTTTTTCCGCACCCCCCCCCCCCCCCCCCTTTTCAGCAAAAGTCCGGTGTGTAAAGTCAATACGGCTCGACCTTTTTCTTTTGTTACGAAAAGGACATTTTGGCAACACGCATGCGGTCATTTTGAAACCTGAGTGGGGGGGCCGGTGAGGCGGTAGCTCCGTTGTTGCGTCTTGGAAGGCGGTGTGCGTTCGCGATGTCGTTAGCTTCCCTTTCATTGATGCCGAGGTGTATGAAGACCTTTTGCAAGACGTCGCGTACTTTTTCGTCGGGTGTTTCATTAACGCCGTAAAAAAGAAGATTTGCGCGCCGATTGTAGATTTCCATTATGACAATCTTCTCTTCGAGGTCGGCGATGTTTTTTCCCCCATTTTCTTTTCAATTGCGGGGAGCTTTACATGCTGAAGGTTGACAACCAAATCGGAATTCATGCTAACAGAATCCTCGAGTTCGGTTTGCCTGCGCTTGATGGAGGCCACCTCTGCTGTGAGTAGGTCCAGTTTCACGCATACTGTAGCTGAGCTAGCGGTTATCGAACGCTGGATGTGTCGGCGAGCGTCAATTCGGGTTCCGCTTGCGGGCGAAGTAGCGGCTCACTCGGGCCTAGCTTGCTGGCACCTCTCGTAGTATTTGCACCTTGCGGGTCTGGAGATTGGGCGGGTCCGTTTGTGCTTACAGATGAACGTAAAGCCCTGGAATTAGCCATTTCCTTAAAAGTTCGCGGTACTTTACTCTGCTTCTAGTGTGGAATGAGATTCTAAGATATAAATGTCCTCTATAGTCCAGTAAAATCCTTGAAGCAGAAATGCTTAAGCTCGAGTAAGGGTTCGTTGGGTGAATAAAAGGGCGGTGGCTGGAGAGAGTAAAAATTACACGTCCGTTCCCATTGAAGTAAGTGTAAGTCTGCTGATTTTGATTTATCATTATTGATTTACCAAAAGAAGCCATTGGACTATAAAAATGCTTAAAATTAACCTTAGAGATCTCCTCAGTAAATCTATCTGTCTCAAGCGTGAGTGGAAGCAGAATATTGCGCAGAAGAGACAACAGTATATAAGATCAAGAGGTAAAAGAGGGGGGTGAAAGAGAAAGAGAGAGGGAATATTAAAGAGTGAATGGAAGGAAGAAAAGGCCAGAAGGAGAGAGGAGATAAAATAAAGGATATAAATGTAATTATACTACCTCATGTACTGTTCATACATGTCTTTCCTCTTCAAATGCAATTTTACTCTGAATACTCCTAAATTAAGAATTTTGATGCAGATGACATTTTACACCCCCCCCCCTCCAAAAAGTATATATATATATATATATATATATATATATATATATAATTCTTTTCATCAATCTACAAAAGGCGTAATAACGTATTGTTGGATGTTAGTTATTAATACATGTACATGTAGTTTCAAATGCAAGCATAAATATCATATATTTTACCTTGACTCATAGGTAATCATCATGTATTTATCATGTCATGGCATTAACTGAGAAAGTTTAAAATTATACAATTAATAATAACAACGGTTTTACACGTTGCTTTTGAAATGCCTAATTTAAAGGTCGATTTTCTCTTTGTCTTCTTCAGATTCAATTGTCTTTTCCATCACGTATATGACTTCAAGTAATGAAATAAAGAGGTCTTCTTGAGTGGAGGATTCAATCTGAGGAAAAAAATGTTAAGAACAGATTAATTGCTTCTAACTTTCAGGCTCATGAATTTTCATACAACAGTAATGATATTAGTATCACGCACACAACTTCAAAATATAGTAGTGGTGGTTTTTACCTGACTGCTAAGAAAGCATATTAAAATACTTGTTAGTAAACAACCAGAGAACCGACGGTTTTAGGTCCTCTCCGAGGGACCTGGTAATGAGGATTAATGCCTTACCAAAGGGCACTAGCGCATCGACTTGGTTTCGAACCCGGGTCACCGGAATAACGAGACCACTCCTCTATCATGGACTTCGTAGTAGATTGTTTTACTTGTTTGTTTGTTTTTCTTATTTAATATCCGGCTTCAGCTTTGTCGACTTACGGCGCACAGACTACATCTTTCTGTAGTATATTTCGAATGTACTTGTTGTTAGGTGGTTAAAATTGGTGTGATTATTTGTATAGATCATCTTGCCATAACAATCATTTAAATACCATCACACCAAAACACTTCAATGCAGTCCGTCAATTATTTTGCTTAAAGAGATTGGGTATCTTTACCTCAGATTCTAAACAAAATCCTTGATTAGCTCATGCTGCAATCATAAGTATAAACCTTAAGGCCAGTCAGGAATCCCATGACTTTTACAAGCCGATCACCTGTCTGATTATCAAGATATTTATGATTGGAATTCGAAATGTCAAAAACCGTTTTCGCAACGGTTTTCATACGACTACAGTCTAATAGGGAAAATGAGTATGGTAAAACTGGTCCTTCAAAGATTTTTACTTTTTTGAGGCGCAATTTGTTTAGGGCTTCAATATTTACACCACATCACAGACACTGATAACACGTAGGACCATACATCTCAGATTTTCAAAACTTGAAACACTGTTAAACAATGCCTTTAATCATGGTTCAAACTTTCGTCATCTATAGAAATAAATCGATCATTGCCGTTGAAGGATGAAGTATATGCAAGTCAATACATGTTTCATGTTCGTCTTGTGACAGCAGCAGTTTTAATGAATAAATTAGACCTTAATAGGATTTGTACATACTAACATATAACCAATCCAAAACTTGTGTAAACAAAAATCCAGGTAATTATAATACTAATGTGTTTACAGTAAAGATACTGTGTCTATACTAACAGACTTTGTTAGGGCTTGTGAACTTTGATTTGTTCCTAATTATCAACAACTGGTCAAAAGGTTAACATTTAATCTTTTGGGAAATTTGTTCAAACACGTAGCAAGATTTAACAAAAATAAATTTTGTACACGAAGACGGCATTAATTCTCAATGAATTTGTAAATAGTAAAGAGGTGTTACTATTAACGAAAGTGGCGGTTGTTGCGAAGTGGTGTTGAAAACATCCGTCATCCTGTTATGATTGGTATTTAATTTAATATATATAAATATATGTATATTCAGTTCTCCCCCTTTTTTGTGGGGGGTGGGGGTAAAGCAAATAATTATCGCTAGCAGTCTGCTGAAATTCGTTTGGTTAAAGGAATAACACTCAGTAACGACACAAATCCTATGTAATGTTGATAAACTTGCCTGACTGGTCTAACGCTTGCATAGTGATCTGATATTGGCCCCACAGTGGCTGTTTATGTCGGTTGGTTATTTTAGGTTAGGTTTAGGAGTTAGGATTAAGTGAATAACAGGACGGCAGTGCAATGAACCGGTTTACTAACATATTCAAATATATGGATGTTTCTTTCCTTGTGACGATTTATTCTATTGACCCGTTAACAATGAATGAACTATAATTGGAATTCAGTCTGCATACATTACGTATTGATATGTCGGACAAACCTATGGCAAGCTTTCGGGTTGTCCATATAATAACAACCTGTTTTTAAACAGTATGCATACACTTTGAGAATGTTAGCAAACCGGTATATTAACCGTCGTACTCACGTTTTGATGTTACGTTTTAAGGCAATTTCGCTACATACATATACCAAGTGTACAATGGTATAAAATTAAACATGTTTGTGAGTGCATTAGTGAATATGCACTGCACGCAGGTTAAGTTACAGTAGGATAATGAACGAGACTTATCGAGTTCATTGTCCGTCTCATTGTGACTTAACTAAGTGCAGTGCATATCACTAATGCACGAGCTGAAAACATGTATTATTTGTAGATGGGTCTACAATATGAGTATAAAGTCGAAAGATTAACGGTTATGCACGCACACGTGATACATTTCAACGCTTTTCATTGGCTACATTCTCTTATAATATTTGATATTGCAAAACGCTATCAATGGCCTCATAATATTATCTTCATCAGTCATTTAGGCATAAGTAAACTTTGATCGGCGATCTGTGCCTCATAATTGTAAACGGAGTGTTATCAAGATAAAAACTAGTTATCATTACGAAATTATCCCAGCGGTTTATATAATTAAGGGCCAGCTAGTCTGTCGTAAAAAGTCTCGTTTTAACGTTAAGCGAAAACTATTTTTAATTAGGAAGAAATTAACTGTTTTGTTTATATCCAATTTGTGAAGAGTTGTCAAAGTAAATAAAAACTATCCATTTCTACTCGACAACTTGAACACAGCTAATCAAAGATGGTCAAATGCCCAAACCCAACTGAATTTTAAGTGTAGTGTTAGTCTTGAAAAAAAACCAAATGCTTGATGAAGTCCTAAGGTCTGATTGGACTCAACTTGCTTTCTAGTGAAGGCTTGTAGAATCTCAAAATCATCGAAGCCAGTGAAAGTTTCTGTAACTTTTAAATCTACTGGTACCGAAATGAAAGACTTCTATAGGAGTCTAAGAGCACGAAATCACGGACCCCTCATATCACAACATCGACAAAGTAATACAATTCAATCTTTACACCTATTAATTTATCAACGAACTTCATATCATCATTGCATTACTCAACAGATTTAACCCACTTATAGGTGTGTACAATATGCGATCTTCGACCTCATAGAGATTTGTAACTTTATCTATCTCAAAAATTGTTTTGCATAATTATCGCAAGTACCAAGCTGAGCCGTCTAACTCCTAGTACGGAGCTGTACCTTGTCACATCAATGATGACCTTGATAAAATATTGTTTGGGCAACAGGAGTGTTGTAGCTGGCATTGGTTATTAGGAATCCATCACGGCAGCCGGTTTCCTTCTTCTTCTGGAAGAAAGATAAACTTTAGACATGATTGGGGCTTTGGATGACTTTTCATATCTTTTATAACTTTCATCAACTTTCGCGAGTTTAAGTCTTTACTCATTGGGATTGATAAAACATTTTGTATGAACATTTTATTGCGGAAAAGTCACTTCTGTGAGAAAAGGACCCTACTGAACGGGAAGGATTTCAGGCGCGAGTTCAACGTCCCCGTCCTGGAAGGTTCTGGAGGAAATACCTTGTGGAAGTTACTGGAAATATGCCTCTAGAAGAGTTGTATCCATATTAAACTTTATCATGGGTACCCCTTGCACAGTAAACTCCAAACGTGGTCTTAGATCCAGCGGTACCGTCATGTGGTCGATTTTCTTGATCTTTCATCTCAACCTGCTGGCTCACGTGACCAAGGCTGATGACAGTGTACCTGACTTCGACTGTGATTTTGATATGGATTTATGCGGGTGGAATGCAGACCTAACGGGTGCTATCAGCTGGACCAGACTATCAGGACCTACACCGACCCCCGATACCGGGCCGTCTTCAGACCATACATCAGGGTCAGGTAATACGTTAGGATGATAATGATCGTTAGAATAATGATGACGATAAGAGTGTGAGAGAGAGAGATAGCGCGATGACAAAATGAGGTAGAGAAAGAAAGTTTCAACGAGATCCACATTTAATACATTATAACGAAAGAAAGTAATTTACATGAAGACATGGATTGAAGGGCATATTCAAACTATCAATCTAAATTGGAAGCATACACATATTCAACTCTATTAAAATGAAAGGAGGGCGAACAGTGGGGAATAAATAGAGTACAAAATATGTTCAGCAAAACATAACAGTAAACATAATATTACATATTTACATTCTATAGTTGGCGGTTTGAGTGTGGAAAGAAAGGAAAAAGAAGAGAGTGAGGGGAGATGGAGTAAGGGGGAAATAGAGAGAGAAAGAGAGAGAGAGAGGGAGAGAGAGAGAGATTGACAATCAGAGAGACAGGAGAAAGCGATAAAAGAGAGAGGGAGAGGGAGAGAGAGAGAGAGAGAGAAGGAGACTGACAATCAGAGAGACAGGAGAAAGCGATAAAAGAGAGAGAGAGAGGGAGAGGGAGAGGGAGAGAGAGAGAGAGAGAGAGTGAGAGAGAGAGAGAGAGAGAGAGAGAAAATGAGAGGGAGCGAAATGGGCAGTTTTAACATTAGGCAATGTCTAAATACAATTCATAATAACGTCAAAAACGTCACATTGATATCGATTCTACATTGAAAAAAAGAGTCACATATTCAATTTATTTTGAGATTATAGATCACAATTATAGATTTTCGATATAAAAATTGTGAGCTTGGGTTGAAACATAGATGAACCAAACAAATTATTGTAAACAATAGGTTCCACATTTTGGAAAAAGTATTGCACAAATGATCGATCATTGAGTAGCCGTATCAGGTGAGGCATTGGGCTATTTCTGTGGCGCTCTGTTTTGCATTTTATTCTGTGTGCTTGCGTTTATTTCGCACATTAAGACCATGAGCTTACATTCTAGTGGGTGGTAACCAGTCATGAAATCGTGAGTAGGGTACAGTTTAACCTTGGCAAATTTCAGATACAATGTTAGATGGCGGTCTTTGAGGGATTGCAAGCAACAATACTGGCAAGCATGATCATAACTACAGTAATCGGAGCCAATCATGAGGCGGCATGCTCTTTTTTGGATGACTTCATTCTGAGCATGTTGACGTTTATGACGTCAATGATGATGATATAAGTGGAGATAACAGAGAGGATGAAAGTTGGAGGACGAGAGGGCAGTCTGCTTAGGCCCAATGAAATTAATAACAAATAAAAGAGTATAGCAGTAGTGAATGCTGGGTAAATATGCCACTGCCCCCAATTTAATAAACTTAATCGTCCTCATCATATTTAAAATGAGCAAATATAAAAATCTACTCTACGCCTAGTCGCGATTTCAGAAGATAAAAAATAGGGTAGACGGGGGGGGGGGGGGTTCTCGCCCCCAAGTCCCCCTCCCTTCCCCTTCCCTCCCCTCCCACCTAGAACTGTACATAACTCCGCCTAGATAAACGATCTAATATAATCCCAAGGAACTGCGTTTTGGAAGCTGTTTGCTTAGAGCAAACACGTCCTTTGACACTTGGACTATTAAAATAGCGACAGTTAAAACAAAACTATTTTTGATAAGGAAATAACAATGTAACACTTGAAAATACGGCCTCATGCGGTGATAGTGGTGGGTGTGGTGGTGGTGATGATATAAGGTATCATCACCAATTCCATCACAGGTTCCGCCCACTTTATTTCGTTTTACTTTTCTTTCTCCGCCCCGTTGCATAAGCCTTACCATTGGTGGTAAGTTACGTGTACCATTGATGGTAACGTTGCCATTAGTTATATGCAATGGGACCCTGTTCCTCAATCCGCAATACAAATAATGTTTACTAATGCGACATAGGCGTACAAATTGAAGAGGCAATTACTTTTAAAACCCCACTGCAATACTTATGGCTACTTGCGCCCTCTATATAGCAAACAATGCCCAAGTGGTGACTGTTGGTCCCCCATGGTCCCTTTTTTAATTGAGAGCTGATTTGATGAGATAACCACCTGTCAGTGACCATGCAGGGAGGTCTAATCCCTGCAGGCCAAGCTAGTGCAGATAGGCTTTAACACGGTATTTTTCTTCCTGCTCTTTCTTTCAACCTCCAATAGGATTCTATCTCTACACCGAGGCTGGGGATCAAGACTACGGTGCAATGGCGACCTTGATATCACCTTCCATCCCAGCCCTGGGCACGGATGGTGCTTGCGTAACCTTCTGGTATCACATGTTGGGTAGTACCATGGGAAAACTCTTCGTCTACAACCCAGAGAACAATGAGAGATGGACGAAGAGTGGTAACCAAGGCAACGTCTGGCTGCAGGCGAACGCCTGGCTAGAACCATCGTCTGATGCAACACAGGTAAATTAGTCAGGGGTTACTCACAGGGGCAGCAAAGTTATAAACGGTGTTATGAAATTTATAAAATATCAAGAGAAACCGAAACTTAAACCTTTTTGCCCGAATTCATAAAGGAGGTTTGTCGACAAACCTTGGTTTTCGTGCGTCATATGACGCGTTTTGACGCGTTTTTACAAACCAGGTTTGTAAAAAAAACGCGTAAAAACCAAAGTTCGTCGACAAACCTCCTTTGTGAATTCGGGCCTATAAGTTACAAAGGATACTGAAACGTTTTGGCTTCCAAATAATGTATATCCATTAATGTCGTTAACTAATTAAAAAAAGCGTTGTTTGGGTCTCTGTATATTAAGTCAGTGATTTCATTGACAACACACCCAAAATGCCCAGCTTTTAAAGCCCACTGTACTACTTGAAGCTACTTGCGCCCTCTATATAACAAACAATGCATAATCGGTGACCATTGGTCCCCCATGGTCCTCTTTTTCTTATGTTAACTGAGAGCTGAGTTGATGAGATAACCATCTGTCCAGTGACCTTGCAGGCCAGTCTAATCCCTCCTGTAAACTATGGCAGATACGCTTTAAGTAGATACACTCTTTTTATGTCTGTATTCAATGATTTACAGAACATTCTTTCATGTCGTTAAATATTATGAATCAGGATTATTTACTTCCATACTACTAACAGAAATGAAAATGTTTTGCAAGAAGTATTAAGCTTTGTAAATTTGCATGGAATATGAGTAAAAGCAACCAAAACAATCGATCAAACAAATTCGGTAATCTGACTTTTGCCCGGGTTGTATTTCGTCAAAAGTACGTACTTAGTCGGTCTAGGAAATCATCGCAATGCAACTGATGAAGGAGAGTGTAGTAGTAGTATGTATTGACCGTTCCATTAAAAAAATGCAAAGTAGTAAAAAGTAATATACAATATATACAAACACAGAGGAAGGGACTGGATTGTCAAAATGTAACTGTGCCAAGCATGACACGGCTGGTTTTCCAAATATATATACAAACAAAACAAAATGAAAACAAAAACAAACAAAGATACGTGGATTTCATGATAATATCGATAATTAAAATTCACCAATTGGATTACAAGACCATCAAAGCTAAGGTTGTCATGGGTTTTACAACACTAGCTTATGCGACAAAATACTCCGTGGTAATTTCCCACACTAACCGAATGCATAACTTCACCCCTAGATTCAACCCAATTCTACACCTAAACCTATCCCTAAAACCTGACGTAATACCAATTTGCAATCCTAACCCAAGCCTACATTTTAAACGAAATAAAGCCCGTATCAAATGGCGCCGGAACAAATGACGAAACACTTTGTCATGGCATTCAGAAAATTCCTAGGGAAATTCTAAACTTTCATTTTCAGAGCTCATTTAAAGGGATTTGATATCTTTGCCTCAGATTCTAAACAGAACCATTTTGCTAATGCTGCAATCATAAATATAAAACTTTAGGTCAGTTAGGAAACCAATGAATTTTATAAGCCGATCGCCTGCATGTCTGATTTCCAAGATATTTATGATTGGAAGTAGAAATGTCAAAAACTGTTTGCCTCACAGTTTTGAACAGTTTTTTATAACAGTAAAGTCTAGTGGGGAAAATGAGTATTGTAAAACCGGTCACCCAAAGATTTTAAGCCAATTTTGTTAGGGCTTCAATATTACACTCCATACCACAGACACTGATAACACGTAGGGCCATGCATCACTCAGATTTGTAAAATTGGAAACATTGTTAAACAATGCCTTTAAACGCATGGAAGAATTAACGAAGAGACACACATCGTGTCTCCCTAACTATGGCTATCTATTGGCGTGCCATCAACAACAAACTACTACTCCTTGTACATTTCTCTTAGTCGGAGGATTCAACAACCATGCACTAAAGTTAGTCCCCTTTTCGAGAATACCACCCGATGAAGTTCTTATTTTATCTTAACATCGTTCACTATACAAACTAAAACAATATTTGACTGTTTTCATCAATATTTTTATGTTCCGCTCCATCAGGTCTTTATCACAGGCATGATTGGCGGGAAACACTACTCTGATATCGCTATTGATGACGTCATGATCCATAATGGATATGTGTGTGAGGAATCATGTAAGTATACTTATTTTGTCTGTTTGGAGTCAAAAGGGCCTTAGCTCCATGTAATATTATTTGAGTTAACGCCTAGTTATATTAATAATGATAGTAATAATAATAATAATAATAAAAATAACTAGTATTCAGTACGCTCTCCATTGTACACTATATCACAGCGTTTACACAAAATCATACATACAAAACATACAACTAAATTTCATCAGAAAAGGCACATACACAATGTTAGAAAGGGATAGGGAAAAGAAAAGGGCTTAAGTTAACTATTCATGGAAGAGGTATGTTTCTTTAAGAGTTAAGAAATTCTAGCTATCAACAGATTCACCCAACAGGTCGTGTGTCTGAACAGGATGGCTATACGGAAAGATGATTTCAAACAGTAACCTAAAGGAGTTAACGAGCAATATTTCATTAATCTTATATGACTTATGTTGGATAGTATATGACAAATATTTACCATTGTTAAAGGTACATGTATTTGATGCATTTTTTCTTTTTAATCCAAAGGCAAAAGTTGCAGCTTTGTTTTTACGGGTGTCCGAACACACAGCCACCATCATACCAAAACCATTGCGTTGCTCAAGGGGCGGTGCCACTTTTGTTTTTGTTTGGAGGAGGGGGGGGGGGGGGGAGGGGTAATTGAAATTGCTCCTGAGTTGATTTTTCTGAAAGTACTTGCGATTTTCTTGAAACATTTATTGATATCCGGTTGCGATCAATTTAATTCATTCGCAGCTGTTTATAAAAACTGGCACAATTGTGTGGCTCTCATCGGTCTGAAGGAATATGAATTTTTGTCTCTTTGTTTGAATTTCAGCACCCGGTCCCCATGATTGCGACTTTGAGGCTGACCTGTGTGCATGGAACCAAGACATTGACAACGACATTGACTGGACCAGGGCATCAGGACCCACTGGCACGGCTGGGACAGGACCAGCAGCTGATCATACCAAGGGAGATGAAACCGGTGAGACAGAGGGAGAGGGGGGGGGAACAAAGATTGACAGAGAGAGAGGAGGAGATGGGGAAAGGGATAGAGAGAGAGGGAGAGAGAGAGAGAGAGAGAGAGAGGGTGCAGGGAGATGGAATGGGAGGCACGGAGAGAAAAAGGGAGCCACCGACACGGCTGGAACAGGACCCGGAGCTGATCGTATCAAGGGAGATGAAATATGAGTAGAATGGAGAGGCAGAGAGATAATAGTGAGTGAGTTGGGGGGGGGGGGGGTGAGCGAGCGATAAATGGGGTAGAGAGAGAGAGACACTGCGACACTTCGGACAATTACCCCCTCTACAATCACCCTCGGCCAATTACAAGCTGGACAATTACTCCCCAAGGACAATCACCCCCAGAGAATTACTCCCGGAAAAAACCCTAGGGCATTTAACCCCCGGAGACAATAACCCCTAGTAGACGACACCCCAGGGAAATTACCCTCCAGAAATTACACTCTAGGACATTCACCCCCCCCCCCCCCCCGCGAGTGTGTGTGTTTTTTTTTTTTTTTTTGTTTTTGTTTTTTTTTTTTTTTTGTTTTTTTTTTTTGGGGGGGGGGCGGGGGGACCCGCACGTGATATATTTAGTCAATCGTCTTCTAAGGGGGTAATTGTCCTCGGGGTGGGTCGATTGTTTAGGGGGCAATTGTCCTGATACGCGACACTTCCGATACAGGAACAATAGGGATAAACTGAATAGGATACAGGTGATAGACAAGCAAATAGAAGGGAGAAGAAGAAGAAGAACAGAGAGAGAGATAAAGGAGGGAGGAACATGAGGGATACTAGAGAGTGTAGATTTTATTACTTTATTTTATGACTTGTCATCGAGGATCCACAGGAGATTAGTAATTCCAACCTTATTCATGCGCAAGTTGTCCAGTTACGTAATCAAACTGTGTCTTCTTGAAAACCAGAACAATGATCTGCGATGGAAAGAAATTGACTCATAACCGGCCGTAACTTCGTAAAAATGTGACATTGTGTTTAGGTGACGGATTGAGTACCAATCTTTGGTGAGGTGAAAGATATGAATGAAGGAATGATGTCTACATATTGGTAAAACAGACATTTGAACATTTTGGGAAAAACGTTATCCGTCACTTCGTAAAAAGAGGACGCAATGCCTTTTTTGTTTGTATCTTCTTTTTTCATTCCATTCTGGAAACATTTGAACTTCTTTATTTTCCATGCAAAGGTTACTACATATATGTGGAGCCTATTGATGAGGGCTCCTATAACACAGCCAGACTGGTATCCGACACCATTCTCAACTCTGATGACAACGGAACGTGTATGGAGTTTTGGTATTACATGTCCGGTACCTTCTATGAAACGATAACAGTCTATAAATGGATCGTTGGTCCCAGCGATCAGGAGGATGTCATGTGGCAGGAAGATCAGTCACGTGGCCCTCAATGGAATCAAGTCCTTATACACTTCACAGACACAGACTATTACCAGGTACGTGCTAATGGTTTATTACCTAGTGCCTAGTGGATAAGTCGTCGGACTGAGGATCACAGGGTCCGCGGTTCGAGTCCCGACGCGGCACTAATATCATTTGGCAAGAAATTAATCTACACTTGCCACTCTCCACCCAGGTGTTAAACGGGTACCAGTAGGAAGGAATTCCTTGAATGCTGTGAGCGCCGAAATCGGCAGCCTATCATAGCCGGGTAATGTTGGAGCGCCTTGAGCACCTTGCAAAGTGGGTACTAGACCGAAAGCTTCAGTCTCTATATCGTCGGTTGTTCCACTGAGACTACGTCTGGCTCCACTAGACCTCCGGATATTAGTGGAGCCAGACGTAGTCTCAGTAGAACAACCGACGATATAGAGACTGAAGCTTTTGGTCTAAGTGGGTACGTGCGCTATGTAAGAATCCAATATTATTATCAGTATTATACTCAGTGATGATTGTTATTATTTATGATTAAATGATTATTAGACGATATAGATAGTAGACCAAATGGACATTAGACAACCTGGGAATTAGACCGACTGAAAATTAGACTAAACGAGCAATAGACCAAATGGGTAGTAGATTCATTGAAGATTAGACCAAATGGAAATGAAACAAAATGACTATTAGCCTAAATGATTATTAGACCATGTGGGTAGTAGAATGACTGGGTGTAGACTATCTGAGAATAGATTAATTGGGTAGTAGACGGGCTGGGTGTAGACCATCTGAGAATAGCTTAATTGGATAGTAGACGGACTGGGTGTAGACCATCTGAGAATAGATTAATTGGGTAGTAGACGGACTGGGTGTAGACCATCTGAGAATAGATTAATTGGGTAGTAGACGGGCTGGGTGTAGACCATCTGAGAATAGCTTAATTGGATAGTAGACGGACTGGGTGTAGACCATCTGAGAATAGATTAATTGGGTAGTAGACGGACTGGGTGTAGACCATCTGAGAATAGATTAATTGGGTAGCAGACGGACTGGGTGCAGACCAAACGGTAATTCACCCATGCATACCATTTCGTGTCATAATAATGGATTTTTACACTATGTGTTTTGAGTTCCATTCTAAAAGAAAAACAAGACAATATTATGTAAGTACTTTCATTCGTGTGTCATGTTATACAGGTTACCTTTGAAGTAGAAACCTCGTATTCTAGCACGGCGGAAGTTGCACTAGATGACATTGTATTCCATGACGGCAAATGCAAAACGCCAGGTAAGTATATGAAACATATGGTTTTATAAGGTATTAGATTAAACTCATTAACAAGTAGTATTTGTGTGTAAGGGGTGGGCGGGTGTATTCTCAATGCGAACATAATTCTTTCTGGCATTAATGCAACAAACACACACAAAAACAAACTGATAATTAAGCCTACAATGCCTTCAATTTACAAGCCTTTCGCTTCTATACGTCGGCCCAGGCGCGTACGCAGGATTTTTTTCAAGGGGGGGGGGGGGGGGGGGGGGGGGGGGGGGGTAAGAGGTCACTTTTTTTCTTTTTTTTTTTGGTCCGAAAATTTCGCAACGACTCAGTCAGCCGCTGAATAAGCGGCTAATAATGTCGGCTGTGGGCATAATTTTTTTTTTATAAAAAAAAAAAAAAAAAGAAAAAGAAAGGGGGGGGGGGGTTTTAGGTTTTTTAGGGGGGTTTACATACATAAAATTACCAAAGGGGGGGGGGGTTAACCCCCTAAACCCCTCCCCCCCCCCTGCGTACGCGCCTGCGTCGGCCTCTAAATTTACAAACATTTGTTTCCTTCTTAATTTTCTTTTCTTGTTTTCGAAAATCGAATTATTATGCAACTTCTCCTAAATTATGGAAAAGCTTAGGAAGACGTTTGTTCTTTATTATCCAAGTCACGTTGCACATTTATCTATTGTAAATTTGTTTAGACCGATTATCATCCATGCTTTGCACATTTATACATGTTATTCTGTTTCATTTCATGTGTGGAAAAGAAATATATGTACATTGAATTAAATACCTTAACCGCAAGGGCTTGTGGTTTCGGGAAATTAAGCTCCAACTAATCAACATATCTTCAACCTTCATTATTCATGTCTATTGTTTTAAAGCCCCTCTGCACTAGTTTGACCAGAATGGAATAGAGGGATTAGCGTGGTCACTGACAGAGGGGTTCTCAATTAACATAAGAAAAAGAGGATCATTGGGGACCAACGGGCACCGCTTATGCATTGTTTTCTATATAGAGGGAGCAAGTAGCTACAAGTAGTACAGTGGGGCTTTAATGAATAACACTTCATATATAATTATGAGGTTATAATGATATACTTTGACGAGCATTTCTATTGTTGAATACTTATCTCTTGAGTGTCGATGAATAGCGTCTTTGCATGTTTACATGATAACTTTGCTTGAACTTAATTCAATTCTCTCCATTTAATTCACAAACTAAGGTTAATCATGTGAATTGTATGTTGTCTACACTTCACGTTTCCTATGTATTTTTCCTGATATTCCGTGTATTTTAATAATACTCGATCTCTAGATCAATGTACCTTTGAGAACGATGATTGCAGCTACATCCCTGGCTCTGGGAGCGACTTCGACTGGACCCTGGTAGAGGCAAACTCTGGCGGGTCGATACCGCCAACTGACGTCACCTACAACAGTGCTGAAGGTAGGATAATGCCACAAGAAGATCAGGGGCTGCAGGGGCCGGAGGGGAGTGGGGGGGGGGGGGGGTGGGCATAAGGGGCTAATTCGCCCCTTTTCGGGCTATATACGCCACACATGCCAGACTTCTGGACACACCGGTGTCAAATTGTCTGCTTTTAAGAGCCAAGAAACATGTAACTACAGATATTTGCCCCTGTTAAAGTTTCTTTTATTATTATTATTGTTATGTTGTTGTGTGAGTAGGTGGGAGGGGGGGGGGGCGTAGTATGTCATTTTTAAGTTCGCACCACACCATTTTCAAACAGCCATTGACCATTCATAGATCCATTTACCACTAACGGACTTTGTAATAATAATAATAATAATAATTTGCCTTTCAAATAGAGTAATTTCCCTGTAGCCTGATAGACTTGAAACCCGACCCTGGGCTTAAGCTTTTGTTCCAAAATCAGGTTTAAAAGTGGATGTTATTAGTCTGAAGTCTAACTGTTCCTTTGCTACACGGTACCCTATACCCGAGTTTAGATTAAAAAATAAAGTTGAGTGTTGGTCATGCGATTGTACTGTAAGAGAAATAGTGTGGAATCGATCAGAAAAAGTTGCTCATATAGCATATAAGTATTGGTGTGTACTGCATGGTTGTTGAATCATCAAAATGATAAGAAATTTGGCCCAGTATTGGTGTATATGGGACTACACAAACATGTACACAAACGGGCCTCATTTTTAAGCTGTTACTAATTTGTCATACCTAAAATATAAAGGCATTTAAAGAGCCATGCTTTTCAGGGACATTTTTTTTATCTGATGTTCTTCCAAACTTGCATAATAAGAATGGTGACGCTCACAAACTATTTTCCCCTCTCCCCAGAACTCAACTTTATCTTTAAATAAATAAGTAGGATATGGACCAATGTGTGCGCATTTTAAACTCCCTGGCGTTTCAACCAGGCGCCATTCGTTTGTTCAACGCACACACTAGGGACTTTTAGATTCTGCACGACGAGAACGTGGACTGCCCTTTTAAGGCAATGTGACGTCCTTTTAAGGCACTGGCAGTGACGTCACATTGCCTTAAATGGGCAATTCGCGTTCTCGTCGTGCAGAATCTAAAAGTCCCTATTGCTGACGAAGCACCACACGTGTTCGCATCATACCTTGTGCTCACGTTGCACCTCGTGCTTTTCTCTCTCTCTCTCTTTATTTGCATTCAGGCCACATGCTCTTCGCTGATCTGTCATCTCTGACATCCAATAGCCTGACAGGAATAGTAGAAACCGGTTATCTAGATTCTACAGACGCTGATGGGAGATGCTTTCAATTCTGGTACTACATGGGTACATCCGGGGTCTCTGTGTTAATGGTGAGCGACTAATAAAGGCGGGAAACGTGAAAGGGTCCCCAATACACCCTTTCGCGGTCACAAGAGTGCGCATGCGCCAACACGGGCGCCATTTTAACTTGCGAGTAAATATGGATATTGTGAGGAATGTAAACAAATTTGCAAGGATATAATTATACGCGCTGGGGGATGCGCATGCGTCATGTGCATATTTTTCACATTGCGCATCGCTCGAATCTGTGACGAATGTTTACTCGCAAATCAAATGCGGCCTTAGCCGTGTAGGGGTGTATTTAGGGTCAGAAGATCTGCAGAACAATAGGCTTTCACTCACTGATCTAAGTAAGATGTGAACATGGCAGTCACAAGGGTAGAGGTGTTGTGGTCTAGTGGATAAGTCACTCGACTGCAGATCACAAGGTACGGGGTTCGACTCCCGACGTGGCACTAATGTCCTTTGGCAAGACGTAAATCTACATTTGCCACTCTCCACCGCAGGTATTAAAGATTGTATGTCCCTTTTGCAGCCAACATCAAAATCTGTAGAACTTTGCAGGAATTATGAATATGCCATGTATGTCCTATCTGTAAAATGTAAACATTAGTAGTGTCCTAGTATTCAAATTATGCAAGGAAAACCGTTTACCTTCTAGACTTTATTGTCAAACACTATTGAGTGACTGACTGACACCTTTTTTACCATGGTATTAAAGCTAAAGACCAGTTATGGTCATGCGATTGCATTGTGAAAGAAACATTGTGGAATCTATCAGAAAAGGTCCGTTGATCATCTAGCATAGGTGTACTGCAACGTTCTGGAATCCTCAAAATGATAAGAAATTTGGCCAAGTCTTCATAAAGTTAGAATCACTGTACACAGAAAGATGTATATGGGACTACACACACGTGCGCGACACGTGCATTTGTATCTCTCAACAGGCAAGAGATACACTAATTTACCAAATATATCAATTAGTAGGCGGTTTCCCGTCAACATTTTTATCATCATGTATTATTAAAAACATATTCTTTCACATGATTGGTAATAAGAGTTTCCATTTATTTTTTTGAAATTTGGGCGTTTCCAATACTGGTCTTTACCTTTAACATACATAAAATGAGCTGTACGAGGTACATGAGCATTTATCTACATAACCCACTTCTTGTAATGACCAAAAATAAACTGATTGAACATTTGTGCAGCATACACCGTACGACCATTCGGTAAAAGGGTCTGAAAATCAGACTATTACTTAGATGATTGCAATCACTTAAGTCGATTCGACAACTAATGGTCGTTTTTCCCACTAAAAAGCCATTTTCAAGCCCTTTTGTTTTGAGGGAAGCTCTAAATTGGTATTGTCTTTCAAATACCGTTAGAATTTAACCTTTTCACTTGTTTGGCCTGCTGGTGGGACATAGCACCTTTAAATGGGTACCCAGTAGGATGCTAAAGTTAATAAGAAAGTGTGCGCTGGTAAAATGGCGGCTGACCAGAATGCCCCCAGGGTCTAGAGAATGTGCATACATTGTATGCGGGTAAGCCTCATTCCGATGACCGGGGTAATAATATATCTGTAAAGCGCTAAGGCACGTCGTTAATGTATTAGGCGCTATATAAAAACGGAATACTTTGAATACAGTCAAACATTTGCTTTTTTCTAATATATTTACCTTTTCCCATGATCTCTTTTTCTTATATATAAGCACTGAATAACTTTATAAAAGATAGTTGTAAAATTGTAAAATGCACAAAGTTGGACGTCTCCATGTGAAAAAGATCTGTGGATATTTGGGGGCCCGCCCCCCGCCCCCCAACTCCGGGGTCAGAGGGACCGCATTCGTGTTCCCGAAATCTCCGGTAAAGAGCTATTTTCGCGCGACAAAGTCTGGCCAGCCCGGCCCCCCCACTCAGTGTTATTTAGGGTACGCATATGCGTGTTCCAACCGACCCCCCCTTTTCAGCAAAAGTCCGGTGTGTAAAGTCAATACGGCTCGACCTTTTTCTTTTGTATACGAGCCTTTTTCCGCACCCCCCCTTTTCAGCAAAAGTCCGGTGTGTAAAGTCAATACGGCTCGACCTTTTTCTTTTGTTACGAAAAGGACATTTTGGCAACACGCATGCGGTCATTTTGAAACCTGAGTGGGGGGGCCGGGCTGGCCAGAGAATTGTAAAAAAGGGGGTGTATTTGACTTTTCACCCAGAGATTTCTTTAAAAAGGGGGCGTTTTTGTTTCTTTCTCTCTCTCTCTCTCTCTTTGAAAAGTGAGGGGAAATATGTACTCCGTTGGTATCACGGTGATACCAACGAATACCTGCGAATTAAAATACACAGACTATACAGATTTATTTAACAAAAGTTAGTGTGAGTTCGGTGAATGCATATGGTTCAACAGATTTGAATAGGCCATTTTCGTTATATGGTAAATTTAATGCATACATCTCTGCCATTTTACAAATTATTTCATTCACCTGTTACAAATAATTATATTCCAATAGTCGGAATGCGAATTGCATACCTGAATTGTTCTAGGTAGAACAAATATGCTCTGTCTTTCCTAACAACACGGAATGTAGGCTAATGATGCAATTCGCATTCTGACTATTGTAATATAATTATTCTTAACAGGTGGCTAAAATACTTGACGGTAACGAGGTACTATAAGATTTATGCATCAAATTTTTAATGTTAAAACGAAAATGGCCTATTTAATTGATAAATCAAACTCTAAAAAGGTGTTATGAATTCAACTCTTACAGGTGTATATGGAGACAGAGGTAGGTCAACGCACTATGCTGTGGGAGATGGATGGAGGTACTCATGCGGACGAATGGCATGTACAGGAAACAAACCTGATCAACCCTAGTAGCAGAATGAAGGTTGGTAGATATTTTTAAATTCTTACTGCACAATATCAATATGCCTCATAGTGCGGTATGGTATGTAATCCCGTAGGATTTTTTTACCATAATTAATTTTTTTTTTTGGTGTTGTTGTTGTTACTGTTTTGGCTTCAAACGGGTCCGAATTGGCCCAAAATGATGGAGTTCAAATTTTCAGACCCCTCCTTCATTTCCTGGGGGGGGGGGGGGGGGGTCCATATTGGTCGCCAAAATAACGCGCAATACGGAAATTTGGTGTCTTCGGGAAAATTTGAACCCCATCAATTTTTGATAGCTTGAACCCAAATGAATGCAAAAATGCAAAAATGCTTTGGCTTCAACTTTGGCACAAAAATCCTACGGGAGCTGTTTCAATGACATACCGTACCACACTATCATTGTATTCCCCCGAGGGATATTTTTTTTTGGAAATAATGTTTTTTTTAGACCCACTATTTAGGTTCAGGTATATAAGCTATAAAGAAAAGAAGAATGGTCACATCAGCCGTATAAATGATAATCGCTGGAGTGCAGCAATCAAACACTGGAAATCTAATGATTTAATGAAACGTAAAAGCTTCCGTGCTTCACGCGGGAGGGGGAAGGGGAAAACTGAATTCAGTCGAGGATTAAGAGTCGAGAACGGTACAACGAATCGTCTTCTTTCTCTAATGATTTGATGAAACGTAAAAGCTTAGGGGGGAAACTGTATTCAGACGAGGATTATTTGCGATAACGAATCGTCTTGTTTCTCTAATAATTAAATTAAATGTCAATGCTTCCGCGCTTCGCGCAGGTGGGGTAACTGAATTTAGACAAGGATTAAGAGTCGAGAACGGTACAACGAATCGTCTTCTTTCTCTAATGACTTAATGAAACGTAAAAGCTTCCGCGCTTCGCACGCGCGGATGGGGGGGGGGGGGGGGGGGGACTGAATTCAGACGAGGATTAAGAGTCGAGAACGGTGCAACGAATCGTCTTCGGTTTAACCCCCCCCCCCGAATCGGTTTAACCCCCCCCCCTTTTCGGTTTTTTTATGTGTGTATTTTGGAGCACCCCCCCCCCTTTTTGTGATGTTTTTTTTTAATTTAAAAAACAAACAAAAAAAGTGACCTCTTACCCCCCCTGCCCCCGCTTTTAGCGGCTGGCTGTGTCGTTGCGATTTTTTTTTGAGACCAAAAAAAAAAAAGGGGCCCCCCCCCCTAAGAAATCCTGGATCCGCGCCTGGGAGGGGGGGGGGGGGGGGAGATATTAATGAAATCTCCAGACAAGAGTGATTCAACCTGAATCAGGAATTATGTAAGATCTGTGAGGGGGGGGGGGGGGGGGGGGAGCGGCAGAGGAACCCGACTCGATCGGCTTATAACTCCCTTTTGAAACGGAACTATATAGCAACGACCCAAATTAAAGCTTATATATTTGTATGCATTTTCTTTTTTTAATTATACCCCGCCAAACTACAAAATAATGTAAATCCGCCCTTGAAGTGTATTTGACAAGATATTGGAAAACGGGGCTAAATCGGGCTAAATCCATTATATATAGCGTCAGGCCAGGCGCGCACTGTACTAAGCATGCACACATCGCTCTCCTCATGTCGCTCTCCGCTCTATCTCCTCCGCTCTCCTCTCAACAGGTGTCGTTCGAAGCGAGCACCACTGATTTCAATCAAGGCGGGGGAATCGCCGTAGACGAGATCTGGTTTGAAGATTCACCGTGTTCTCCGTTCGGCAGCTGCGACTTTGAGAACTCCTACTGCACCTGGAAAAATGACAGACAAGACGATGAGCTCAACTGGCAGCGTATTCGTGGACCCACACCTGGCGAAGACACAGGGGCTGATGTCGATCATACCTATGGTACCGCTGCTGGTGAGTTTGGTTTAGTTCTTCTCCTTCTTCTTCCTGAAAAGTGCAGGCTTCATGAAAAGAAGATCAACGCACTGTACATTATTCTGGTATTAATACTGGCAGTAATCAAACAGGGCTAGTGTATATTGGACTTACTCCAGCCCAGGAAGGCGTCGGCGTTGGAGCAGACGGAGATTCCTGCCCGGAGTTAGTATTGGAGCGGACTGATTTTATTAAAAGGTATTACAAAGTTTTGGTATGTGTAGTGATAGCTACATGTAGTTTAACAGAGTCTGCAAATACAGACTAGTATGTATAACTAAATATAGAATGACCTGCAACCCATGACTCATGCCAGGTCATGTTATGAAACAATGAGTACTTGTACAAGAGATGCCTACAAAGATGTCTGACTGACACAGAGCCTCAATAAAGCTATACAACTTATTAGTTCAATCAAAGCTCTCCAACTGGTCTTTTATAAGAACATAATATGGTGTCAGAACTAGGCAGCCAGTGTTTGTGCTGAGCGACCCAGCCTACAGTGTATATATATGGAGGAATCATTGAAATCAGGCCAGTTCAATCCAATTCTTTGTGATGTGAGAGATGATGAGAGCTAGAGGGCTTAGAGTCTAAGTGTATGTCCAGTGAATGTAGTTATGTCCATAATAGTTAGCGCTGTCGTTGTATGGATTGGAGTGCATAGTTCTGTGCCGGGCCAGTTCCAGTATAACGGGCAGTAAGCGTGACATATATGGGACATGAACATACAGAATAACTCAGTGAAAGTTAATAGTTGAGCTTAAAGTAATTGTTGCAAAGATACAAAAATAAAAAGCTAATTGTTATGCTGTTCATGTGAGTGACTACACTAGGCTAAGAAACAAAATGGCAAATCTCAGTCAACCTCCTCCACTCGACTTAAAGGGAAATATTTCCGAGAACTGGAGAAGATTTAAACAGAAATTCACTCTATACAATGTTGCCTCAGGAATGTCTGAAAAAGATGAAAAGTTACAAACATCAATGCTTCTACACGTGATTGGCGATGCTGCCTTGGAATTGTATAATACGTTTGTATTTGCTGAGGGTGAGAGCATGAAGCTTGAGAAAGTGTTGAACAAATATGAGGAATATTGCATGCCGAAACGTAATCTAACGTATGAGAGACATAGATTTTTCACAAGATCTCAGTTAGTGCATGAGAGTGTTGATCAGTACGCAACAGAATTGCGGAGTCGTGCTCAGTCATGTGAGTTTTCCATGTTGAAAGAGAGTCTTATCCAGGACAGAATTATCTGTGGTATTTTAGACGATGGTCTAAGAGAACGTTTGTTGAGGCAAGATGATCTTACATTGGTTAAAACGTTGCAAGTATGTCGTGCGGCTGAACAAACTCGAACGCAGGCACAAGCGTTGAGTTCCGCAGGGGGAAACGCCTCAATTCCGGTAGATTCTTTCAGCAAGACTAAGAAGAAATTTCCTGGTTCAAAGTCAAAACGGTCAGAACCTCAAGGTCGTACTAAAAGTAATGCATGTAGCAGGTGCGGAAACCGACATAGCAAAGACAAATGTCCCGCACAAGGTCAAACATGCAAGAAGTGCGGTAAGCAGAATCATTTTGCTAAATGTTGTAAAACCCCAGTAGCCAAGGTCAATGAACTGCAGCACTTGGAAGTAGATTCAGAAGGTTTCATGATTTGCTCTGTTGAATTAAAAGAATCCAATGATGAATGGATAGTTAATCTACTAGTCAATAACCAGCCGGTTGACTTCAAGGTTGATACTGGTGCTCAGGCGAATCTTCTTCCTGAGACAGTATTTCACAAATTGAAACCAAAACCAAAGCTACAAAAAGCCAAAGTGATGTTGACAGGTTATTATGAGACAGATATCCCGGTCAAAGGTCGTTGTTGTGTACAAGTTGAGTACAAAGGGATCAAACGCAATGTGCCGTGTCTAGTCATTCCTGGAAATCGTCAGCCTTTGTTAGGATTACGGACGAGTGAAGACTTGTATCTGGTGAAACGGGTGTATCATGTTGAGAAACAAACTGAACACGTAACGGGTAAAAGTGTAGTTCAAGACTATCAAGATGTGTTTGTAGGTCTAGGTTGTCTTCCTGGTAAACACCACATCACATTGAGAGAGGACGCACATCCTGTTCAACATGCATGTCGCAAAGTTCCATTTCCACTTCAAGATAAACTCAAAGACGAGTTAGATAAGATGGAACGAATGGACGTAATCACACGAGTTGATGAGCCAACTGATTGGGTGTCTTCTCTCGTGGTGGTGATGAAAAAGAACGGTCAGCTCAGGATCTGTCTAGATCCAAGAGACCTGAACCGAGCAATCAAAAGAGAACACTATCAATTGCCATCAAGAGCTGAAATAACTGCACATTTTGCAGGAGCCAAATACTTCAGCAAGTTAGATGCATCTAGTGGTTTTTGGCAGATCCAACTAGATGACGAAAGCTCCAAACTTTGTACGTTTATCACGCCATACGGAAGGTACAAGTTCTTGAGACTACCTTTTGGTATTTGTAGTGCTCCGGAAGTCTATCACAAGATAGTGCACCAACTGTTTGCACATATTCCGGGAGTTAACACAATGATGGATGATGTGATTGTATGGGGAACTACCCAACAGGAGCATGATGACAGGTTGAGAGAGGTTCTCAGCATTGTGAGAAAAATGAATCTCAAGTTGAACAAAGACAAATGCGAGTTCAATGTCAAGAAGCTCACATTCATTGGTGACTTGATCAGTGATCAAGGAGTTCAACCTGATCCAAAGAAAGTGTCTGCTATCTTGAACATTGAGAGACCGAAATGTCGGAAAGATGTCCAACGGTTCTTGGGTATGATCAATTACCAAGGGAAGTTCATTCCAGATCTGTCGACCAAGTCAGCAGCACTGAGACATCTACTAGACAAAAAGAATGTATGGACATGGGATCATGCACAAGAGGATGCATGGAATCAGCTGAAACAAGCTCTGATACAAGAGCCAGTCCTACATTTCTATGACTGCAAGAAACCAACCAAGCTGTCAGCAGACGCATCAAAGGATGGTATTGGTGCCGTGCTACTACAGCAATATGATCAAGATTGGGTTCCGATCGCATATGCATCTCGATCAATGACTGATGCAGAGACTAGATATGCACAGATCGAGAAAGAATTGCTGGCAATCACATACGCATGTGAAAGATTCCATCAATACATCTATGGACAACAAGTAGAAGTGGAGACTGATCACAAGCCACTTATTCCACTGTTTGTAAAGTCACTGGGTGACTGTCCCCTACGCATTCAAAGGTTACTCATCAGGGTACAGAGATATGATCTCAAGGTCTTGTACACGCCTGGAAAGTACATGTATACTGCTGATACATTGTCCAGAGCAGTAGATCCGAAGGCTGAGTTGAATGCTGAAACTGAGGAAGATATTAGAGTCTACGTAGATGCTATTGTCAAGAGCATGCCAGTTACATCGAACAAACGAAATCAGATTGTCGAAGAGACAAAGAAAGATGATCAACTGCAAGAGCTGCTAGGCATCATCAGAGATGGTTGGCCGGAAACGAAGCAGCAATGTCCAGTTAGAGTCAGGGAATACTGGAACATCAGGAGTGAACTCTCTGAAGCAGATGGCATCATCTTCAAAGGCAGCAAAATAGTGGTTCCCACTACGATGAGAAGGTTCATGCTAAACAAAATCCATGAAGGACACTTAGGCATCGAGAAGTGTAAGAAACGTGCTAGAGAAGTCATCTATTGGCCCAGAATTAACACAGACATCACTGAAATGGTCCAAAGTTGTACTTCATGCCTAATGTACAGACCAAAACAGCAAGCTGAAAGTCTACATCCTCATGACGTGCCGAACCGCCCGTGGGAAAAAGTTGCTGTTGATTTGTTCACGCTGAACAATAGAGAGTACATGGTCATCGTCGACTACTATTCACAGTTCATTGAAGTATGTACTATGACTTCTACTAGTAGCAAGGCCGTGATCAACCACATGAAAGCAGTATTTGCTCGCCATGGAACGCCGTGTGAACTCATGTCGGATAATGGTCCTCAATTTGCAAGCCAAGAGTTCCAGAGCTTTGCAAAAGAATGGGATTTTCGCCATACTACATCGAGTCCATATTATCCGCAATCCAATGGCCTCGCAGAGAATGCTGTGAAGATTGTCAAAAAACTCATATTGAAGTCACAGCACAGTGGACAGGATATCCACAGAGCTCTACAAGTCTATCGCAGTTCACCACTAGCATGCGGAAAGTCTCCGGCAGAACTCCTCTACAATCGTCGACTTCGATCAAATCTCCCCATGCTTGACAGTTTACTCGACAACCAACAGGTCAATACTCGATCAGTGAGGGGAAGAAAGGAGGATCATAAGGTGAAGCAAAAAGAGCGATTCGACAAACATGCTCGAGACTTGTCAAAGCTAAAGCCTGGAGATCATGTCATACTCCAAGACATGAAAACCAACACCTGGTCGAAACGTGGTATTGTCAGGTCTGTCCAGGATCGAAACAGATCATACCAGATCGAGACAGAAACAGGAGAGATACGTCGCAGAAACAGACGTCACCTCAGGCCAGTCCCACGTCAACAACAAGCCGAGTCTATTCCACTACCAACACAGGATGACTTCGAGCTAGATGACACTGCAGAAGCTACAGAGCAACCAGCATCTGAAGAAAGCTCAACTACGTCATCAACCAGAACCAGAAGCGGACGAGTTATTAAACCGCCAGATCGCTTGAACTTGTAAATAAATGAAAGCGAACTACAGAGAAAGACTTTCGCGTTTTGTAAATAGTTTATAGTTACAGAGTTCAACTTGGACTTTAAAACATAACTGCAGGATTGCATGAGCATGATATATATATTTGCATGTTATAGTTTAAAAATATAACCGGATTCAATTAGTCACTTGATTACAAAAATCAACAGATATCACTCAACCTCAACGGAGAATTCCAGTTTCGCGAATCGCAACCTTGAAAGATATGGACTGTCGCGTAATAAGTTATATATTTGAAAGCGACAGTACTCCAGCTTTAAGGGACAGAATAATGCCCTAGTACAGTCGCGAGTGTACAGGTAGTCCACCCTGTCACTCTGTACAGTTTAAGAAGTTTTATATATGTATATGTAAACCTCTTTTAAAGAAGGGAGGTGTAGTGATAGCTACATGTAGTTTAACAGAGTCTGCAAATACAGACTAGTATGTATAACTAAATATAGAATGACCTGCAACCCATGACTCATGCCAGGTCATGTTATGAAACAATGAGTACTTGTACAAGAGATGCCTACAAAGATGTCTGACTGACACAGAGCCTCAATAAAGCTATACAACTTATTAGTTCAATCAAAGCTCTCCAACTGGTCTTTTATAAGAACATAATAGTATGGGGTCATGAATTTGGTTCAAATTAACATATTGGAAGCATATACGTTCCTACAATACACATTGATCGTTGTCGCAGTTGAAATCGAGTCTAAAGTTATGAAATTATAAATAATAAGCTCTTTATGTTGTATGGCTCCCTCTCAAGGTCAAGATATTAATTTAGCTATGAAACAATGTTTCTTGACTGAAATCGACCAATTAGCTATTCCCGTTAGGAAATTATATATCCCAACTACATATTCTGAGATTTTCATGGTCGCAGCTACGATTGTACGGCCATAGGCGCTATTTGAAATTTATCAAAATTTACCTGGAGCACCGGTAAATTTGTATATTAAATTTTTCTCGAAAACAGAAGTGTTTTAGCTAGGGGCTAATTTTTTTATTCCTTATAATACATCCACAGGGGCATCCAAATATATCAAAATTGTAAAGATTCACTATCCACCCAATTTTCAAAATTTCCCAAAACTTTGTATTACCTTTAACAGAAATCTTTTATTTTTTCGGGGGCAACCATGGCAGGTATAGGGAAGCCTACACTCCTGCCCTGAGGATTTCTCTCATAGCTCATATATGGTGACATTAGTGGTCATGCTAATGCTGGGATTTCTCAGTAATTTTTGGTTTTGTAGTAGTAGTATTAATCAGTGGGAGTAGTAGTAGTGGAGGTTGCAGTAATCAGCTTGCTGCTAGCTAGTGTGCGGCCAGCCGGGTGTGACAGGAATAATTGACCGGCCAGGGATAATTGGCAGTGACGTCAGTTGGACAGATATTCCTAGAAAAATCCAGGGATAATCGGCAGCGCTCAGGGATTTTTGTCCACATCATTTTTCCTTTGTGACGTCATATGACGTCAGTGTATACATTGTCATTTTTTGTTTACAGTGATGGAAGTGCATGAACTGCTCAGTTTAATTTGTTTTGTGTGTTCATGCTAGCTGTCATACAGGGGCGGTGCCAGGGTATTTTCTTAGGGGGGGATATAGACGCTGAGTGAGTGGGGGAAGGGTGTGGGAGGTATGTTGTAGCTTGTTCAGCATTGCTAGCATCTGTACATTGGTTCTTGACTGAAATGATCCCCAGGGAGTGGAGATTGTGCATATACATTGTGTGCGGCTAGCCTGAATCCCGTGATTGAGGCAATAATATCTGTAAAGTGCTTAGAGACATCAGCCTAGATGTATTGGGTACTACTGGGGAAAAATGCATTGGGGCTCAGGCAAATTCGCCCTCAAAATGCCAAAAAGAGCCCCCGAAAATCATAAAAGAGACCCCCAAAATGTGCATAGAGTTCAATGCAAAACAAATTAAAAAGTGTTATTTTCATGCAAGCAAACTTAAAAAGTAGCCCCCCCAATTTTTTTTTTTTTTTCCTGGGGTACTATATGTAAGTCCAGGGGTGTGTTTCTCAAAGATCCCAAGTCAAACTTAACAATTATGGAAAGCAGGTAGTATGTTTTAAAATATTTTGTGAAAGTTATTTTAAAAGGCATAAAATGATGATTCAAATCATGTATTTTTTATTATCAAGGAGATTTTATGTTCTTGATGGGGAATTTATGAAAAGTCTAAAATACTAGATTTTTTGCTTTTAAATATGTTTTATTTTAAGTCTACAAATGGCTCTCCATAATGTTGAGGATCTTTGTGAAACACCCCCCCCCCCCCCCCAGTTCCAGAATATTATTTATTATTTTATTTCAGGCACAAATTGGCCTTTGTGCTCTGTGATGGACGACATAGTTGTAGGAGTATTATTACATATTTTTGTTGTATTATTATTATTTTGGTATTTTTATGATTATTGATATGATTGTTATTATTATTGAATTTTGATATCATTATTAACAATATTCATTGTGTTTTTGTCCTAATTCCAAAGGTTTATACATCTATCTACCTGCGTCTTCAAGTTCTTCAATGACCTACGCCATTTTAAAATCCACCGTCTTCACTGGCGATACAACGCGTTGTTTTGGTTTCTATTACTTTATGTATGGTGACAATCTTGGGGATATTGAGGTGCAGTTAATAACTGATGATTCTACAGAACCATGGAGTCTGAAAACAGTGTCAGGGAACAAGGGCTATGGATGGAAGCAAGCTTTGGTGAGTGAAGTATAACTCCAGGGGTGTGTTTCACAAAGATCCATTGCCAACGGGAACCTGGGCATCATTTTATGAAACCGATACCCCCGCGCTACCCCCTGCTACCCCAGTGCTACCCCGCGCTACTCCGGATACCCTGGTGCGGCTCTGCGCTACCCGTGCTATACCCCCCTGCTACCCCATGCTACCCCGTGTATTCCCCAGCGTTACCCCCGCGTTCCCCCCGCACTACCCCAGTGCTACTTCACTACTACCCCTGTGATACCTCCGCGTTCCCCCGCGCTACCCCGCGTTCCCTCGTGCTACCCCCATGTTACGTCCGTGCAACCCCCGTGCTTCCCTCGTGCTACCCCAGCCCCAGATGCAGGATAATTTATTGGACTTGCTTTCTCCAATGACCATACCGTACTTCATCTTCTACCAAAATGTAATTTGGATGGTAGATATACTGTATTTGTAATCCCCCTTTCCTCTTTTTTTATGCCTCCGTTACGAAGTAGCCGGAGGCATTATGTTTTCGGGTTGTCCGTCCGTACGTCTGTACGTACGTCCCGTTCTTGTGATTGCGTTATCTGAAGAACCGATTAATGGATTCCTGCCAAACTTAGGTCATGTATGTTACTTGCAGAGCTGATGAACTGAGTAGATTTTGGGGTCATTAGGTCAAGGTCAAAGGTCATGTGGCTCATTATGTATGCAAAAATAGCTTGTGATCGCATTATCATTAGAACAGATTGATGGATTCCTGCCAAACTTAGATCATTTATGTATGATCTGAGTAGACTATTGGTTCATAAGGTCAAATGTCATAGGTTCATTATGTATGCAAAAATAGCTTGTTAACGCATTCTCATTAGAACTGACAGATGGATTACTATTTAACTCAGGACATCTTGCAGAGCCAGTAGATTTTAGGGTCATGAGGTCAATGATCAAAGGGTCATATATGTATATAAGAAATTGCTTGTAATCACGATATTCTGAGAACCTGTTAATGGATTACAATTGAACTTGAATTTGAAAAATTTCTTCTGTTTTGGTTTGTAAAATTGCTCTATGACGGAGGCATCATTTTTGATTGCGCGCAGTCGAAGTTCCATCTAGTTTTCTTGAAAATTCATTTCTGGCTAGTTTTCTTCAATGACCATACCAAATACATATATATATACACACCTTATATGTTGTGTTTAACTTGTTAGGGGCCTAATTTACTAGCACAAGTTGCTTCTTAGGGGTCCTAGCCTATTATCTGTATTTATGTTGTACTTGATTTTTTTATGATGCGAAATTAATTGAACTGAATTGAAATATAATTGATTTTATCATTATAGGTTCCAATCCCGACTCTCAGTGACTCGTTTTCCTACCAGATCTTTCTTAAAGGGGATCTTCAGTATACCTATTATGGGGATATATGTATTGATGATATAACTCTTGAAGACAGAGACTGTTCAGACGAATTGGGTAAGTCTCTTTTATGGATTAGTGTCCTCCCTATTGACTATTGACTTGGTAGCATTGTTCAGATGAGAGAAAATGGTGCTAAGGTAGTGACCTAAATGTACTATGTACAAACAAGTTTAAAACAGACCATTATTAATGATAAAAAATGGGAAAAGCTGATCTAATCGATTCCTGAATTCTCCCAACTATTACAATTTGATTACATATTAGGTGAATGTTAATCGTCACAAAGCAATGAACTGGCTCTATATACCATTCCAGACATTTAAGTGTTGAAAGATTTTTAAAAGCCTGTCTTATGTCTTATTTCCATGGAAAAACGGCTGGGAAAATTAAGAAATAGTTGGGAGAACTTACTGTTAGATGGTGTCGCACAGTGATGCCTTCAAAGAAAACCATAAATATCTTTGTGGTTGAGAATTTGTTCAGGATTTGTTGCGTGTTGGAGGTTTAGTACAGTGTAAGGAATATAATAAGTAACATTTCATACAAAAATTACGCAGTTTTTTTCACAAACCTTCAACAATGTTTCCAAGTCATTTTAAGGCTTTATGTGAACATTGCCCCTCCCCACGCATATGCTAAGTGGGTATACCCGGTAGTAGTACTGCAAATGAGTCCATCGCGCTCATGGGAAAGTCAGACTGCAATGATTGGCATTATTTGCATGACAATAAGAGACGGGACAGCATTGGATTAAAATTGTACAGTGTATGGAAATGATTATTCAATGAAGTAGCATTGGAATTTTATATTATTTTTCGACTGATGACGCATATTTTTAACGTGTCCAAGATCATTTGACGTTTAGATCTGTGTGTGCCAATTAAAAAAAAAAATTGTCCTGTTGAAGCCCTCGTCATGCATGAATGAACCCGATATCTGCTTCATAATTAGGTTTATAATGACCGCGAAGGAATGTGATACAAAAAAGTGGTACCTTTTTGCAGAAAATTTTCCTACAGGAACCGAGTGCTCTCTGTATTAAGCCTATATTTATATAGGAATCAGAGAATTCAGTAGTCAATGGTTTAACCCATTGTCTACAGGAACTGAGTGCTCCCTGTATTAAGCCTATAGGAATCAGAGAATTCAGGAGTCAACAGATTAATGCATGTGGGTCAAGGACAAATGTGGGCAGAACATCTTGAAGTACAAAGATATAAATGTAATTAGCGCAGAGTAAGAATGGAACCTGGGATCTCTTGTTTGAGTCAAGAGTCTTACCCATTATACATGTACCACAGTGCTCCTCACCAATGTTGTTCAGTGTATGAACCTACATTGTATTAAAACAAGATCTTTTTATCTCTGCAGCTCCAGAAAATCAGGGCTGTGATTTTGAGAACGGCTTCTGTTCTTGGGTCCTGGGCTCTATATATCCGTGGAAACGAGCCTCGTCAGAGACCCACTACGATGAAGAAGGTCCAGGAGCTGATCATACCATCGGAGATGAGAGAGGTAAGAAGAGAGAGGGAGGGAGGGGGAGGGAGAGAGAGAGAGAGAATGGAAAGGATATTAGTGGGATATATTAGGAGAAATAGAGCATGCAAGGACCATAGAAAGTAATGGGAGAAAATAGTAGGGAAATGAAGAGGATGTATAGGAACTATATACTAACAAGAAATTAAGTATTGACTCCTTAAATATCTGCATGAATTCTTCTACATTCAATCCCTCATACTGGATGAAGTGATGTGTATGATTACCGCGGTAATGTTATGTCCTGGATTATCTTGTCCCAAGAAAACTAATTGTAAAATCTTCCTCTAGCTACCTAGTAAGTTTCTCACGTAATGAAGCCCCAAAACAGAACACTGATGAATCAGTCAGGCCTGCAATACACTACAAACAATACAGTAAACCAATTTGTGATTCCACAGCTTTATTTGCTACCAGTGCAAGATAAGCTATTGTCACAAATCAGAGCGGCGATCGACCAATTAGTAGCCTGCTCGGTCACCGCTGGAATTTAGACATCGCCCAACAATTTTTGGAGATCTCGAGCAGGCTGTAGAGCCCCAGCGAGGCATGGGCAGTGCCCTGTCGATTCCTGAGCGGTCTCCCACCGGCCACTGGCTGGTTTTAAAGAAAGTGCCCGACAGGCCAGTGATCGGCGGGGCACCAAAATACACTCAGTGCCTGGGCGTTCGCCGCCAGGGCGTCAACCTAATCAAACCGCTAGGTCAAAGGCTGCCTACTGTTTTTGGACTCGTTTTTGGACTGATCTCTCAGCGGCGACCGAGCGGTGACAGGGTGGCGTCTGTTTGGCAGCCTTTGACCTACAGACTTCAATTTTTTACCTAGATCGCTCGACAAACGCTCGATTAGGTCGGTGCACGGGCGGATGAGTGAAAGTGAGTAGGCGCTGCCCAAATTTTAACTCCGCGCTAAAACTTCAGCAGCGACCGAGCGATGCCCTAAAAACAAGCGGTGTCCGGGCGAAATTGGCTCAAACCTCGCCGCCCTGCCGCCAAGCGGGCTACTTTTAGGTGTTGTGACCATAGCATAAATGGGTAAATATCTTATTTATCTAGGATTCTACATGTACTTGGATGTCCCCTACGAGAATGACTGGGCTCGCTTGAACTCCCCACGTATGATGAACCCCACCGCAGAGAGCACTTGCATGGAGTTCTGGTATCAGCAGTATGGGTCTCCTACAGGAAGTAGGCTGAGTGTCTACGTGCAGAATATGGATGGTGAGATGTCGGTGTGGAATGAGACGGAACCAACAGGACCACAATGGGGTCCAGGACAGGTTCAACTAAGTGGCACTGATCAGTTCATGGTAATTATGAACAATATATACATTTCACTTGACATTGTACCATAAATAATTGCAATCAAAATATTCTAATCTAGTTAGAACCATTTTGGATTGAATTGCAATGATTTGAAAGTGTTTGAAATTTAATTTAATTAAATTGAACTTAATCGAAGTGAATTAAATTGAATGTAGTTGAATCAAATTGATATTGAATTGAATTGAATTGAATTGAATTGAAATGAACCGAACTGCACTGAACTGAACCGAACTGAACTGAACTGAACTCAGTTTAATTGAATTGAACTGGATTAAAATGAATTGAACCAAACGGAACTAAACTCAGTTGAATTTAGTTGAATTAAATTGAAATTGAATTAAAATGGATTAAAAATAATTGAAATGAATTGAACCAAACTGAACTGAACTCAGTTGAATTTAGTTGAATCGAATTGAATTGAATTGAACTGAACTCAGTTGAATTTAATTGAACTGAACTTGATTGAATTGAATTGAATTGGATTGCTTTCTGCCATGCAGGTGATATTTGAAGGTGTCAGAGGGAGTGGTTATGACGGAGTCCTTGTTTTGGATGACATCAGTTTCACGACTGGGGCGTGCGGAACACCGAGTGAGTACAACAAGACAATAAACCTTTTGCTCTTTATTGTAGTCAACGGGTTAAAGAAGGAGAACAAAAATAGAGAAAAAGTGAACATTCTGAATATGATGTTTCACTGCTTGAACTACCACTTATATTAGGAATGGGCCTTTTACAGGAAATTTCAAGAAAGATAGTGAACACTGAATTATTGTGATTTTATATATTTTATATTCAGTCAACTTGCATTATAATTATGAGTGTTCAGTCTGCTTGGCGTTAGCTACCACAGTAATTAAATAGCAACTCTGACCAGGGACGTGATAGAGAAGGACTTGAATCAAGCCGTTCTCCTTTGACCCCATGCTCCAAGCCGCCGGAAAGTTATGCGCTAATCTGCAGCTGTTGACCAGGTGGTGAGATAAAAGAGCGCATGCAATTTTAGGATTTAGAATTCCTACATCAGAAAATGGTATCACAGCAACTGTTCGCTGTCCCTTCCAATGATTTCTCATCCATTGTTGAATGTGTAAAGAGTGGAACAAGCGAACACAAACTTGTGTAATTTCATTCTTTTTTAAACTTGAAAAATACAAAAAACACGCGAAAACACGCATTAGCAAACTTAATGTTATTGAAGATTGTAAATCATGGATCAAATAACGGGACATTAAAGCATGCACCAATTCGCGCATCATCCTAAAATATTGAGTTTTTGACGGGATGTAATTTTTCTTTTACCAACTCTGGCACACAATTTAAAGGCAGGACGGAGTTCTAAATTTGAAAATTTGTTTGATGCACTATTCCCAATAAATTTCCCATATAAAGTTTTCAATTTACACTGTAATTTTGCCGGTAATTTAATATTTTGTAATAAATGTAAAACTGGTGCCTGGCTTCCGAAATTCCCCGCAGTGGAAGCGCGGTTCGGAGCATGGAACTTCAAAGCCAAGTGGAATGTTACACATCCCATTGTTACGCTTTAGAACTCAAGAATGCGTTTGAATAAATTACAATAGTTTCGCCTCCTGTTCTTTCACCTCCCTGCTCTGACCTATACATAACCTTGTAAAGTTAACATTAAGATGTATCTATCTGTCTCTCTCTCTATATATACATGTATAAATATATATCTCTCTGTCTGTCTGCCTCTCTTTGTCTCTCTGTCTCTCTTTCTCTCTCTCCTTCTCTCTTTCTCTCTCTCTCTCTTTTTCTCTCTGTCTTTCTCTCTGTCTTTCTCTCTGTCTTTCTCTCTCTCTTTCTCTCTCACTCTCTCTTTCTCTCTCACTCTGTCTGTCTCTCTCACCCTGTCTGTCTCTCACACTCTGTCTCTCCCTTTCTCTTGTTAACTCACTAAGGTTACTGTGGATTTGAGAATGGCCAGTGCGGTTTCACACAATCCCCAACTGATACATTGCCATGGCAAGTGTCGACACCCTCTTCCTTCTCATCGGATGTTCTCCCACCGTATGATGCAACATACCAATTATCAAAAGGTATGCAAATGTTAACCATAAAAAATCAATGCTTGTCTGCTTAGTTTTTAATCTGAATGCGATTAACTTACTATACCATTAATCTTTGCTTTTATAAATGTTACATTTATTTAGTGAGTATGTAATAGTGAGGTCAATCTGATATGGGCTTAAATACTGGTCTGCTTAAGCAACAATATACTAAAGACTTTAACCCTTCATTATTTGAAAAAACTCTTTAGTGTCCAGCCAAGAGGACAATTTTTGTCATTTATATTTTTTGTCTGAAATACTATATTCCTATTTGCAAGTTTCAAAGTAAATATCCCTCCTATGTTGGTTTTAAACAAACTCCCTTTTATACAGTAGGCTTGCGGGTGCACCATGTGAGAGAGAGAGAGGGAGGATTGAGGAGTCCTGAAAAGGACTCTCTGTAATCTTTCGTGAGGGTGTGTAGTCCTAAATGATTACCGAGAGTCCTTTTCAGAACTCCTCAATCCTCCCTCTCTCTCACATGGTGCACCCACAAAACTACTGTTTATCTACATCACCATGCAAGTTGATACTTACAAGCAGCATCAAACTCCCTTTTTCCCCCATTCAGGTCATTTCATGTTTCTTGACCTGAGTAACGTCCAGAATTTGAACTATTATGGGGTGCTGGAGTCTGGTGTATTCTCCCAAGGAACGGTTTCTGATCGATGTCTCAAAGTATGGTTCTACATGAATAATCCTACCAGTGTTAGTCTTACGGTAAGTGATGAGGAGGAGTAGGATGATAATGTTATTTTTGATGACGATGGTGATGATGATGATAATGAGGATGATAGGGATGATTCAGATTAGGATGATGATGATGAGGAGGATGATGATTATGAGGATGATAACAATGTTTGTGATGATAAATGTGATGATGGTGATGATTAAGATTAGGATTAGGATTATTATGATGAGGATGAAGATGATGTTGATGATGAGCGTGATGATAATGATAATAATAGTGATTATGTTGAGAATTAGGATGATAATGAGGATGATGATGATGGTGAGGATGAGGATGATGTTGATGATGAGCGTGATGATAATGATAATGATAATAGTGATTATGTTGAGAATTAGGATGATAATGAGGATGATGATGATGGTGAGGATGAGGATGATGTTGATGATGATCGTGATGATAATGATGATGATGATAGTGATTATGATGAGAATTAGGATGATAATGAGGATGATGATGATGGTGATGATAGTGAGGATGATAATGATGTTGATGATGATCGTGATGGTAATGATGATGATGATGATAATAGTGATTATGATGAGAATTAAGATGATAATGATGAGATGGTGATGAAAGTGAGTATGATGGTGATGATTAGGATGATGACAATGGTGATAATGATATTATTACAGCACATTTTTAGTATAATACTCATATTTGTCATCTATTGTCTCCTTAGGTGAATCAAGTAGGTGTACCATCAGGGCAGACCAAGGTTATTCTGTCCTACTCAGGGATGACTCTATCAACTGAATGGCTGGCTTTCCAGATTCCAGTCTCAGTCACTGAAGATTTCAAGGTGAGTATCAATGCAAGCTGATGGTAAATGCATCACCCTGTGCAGGCCTGATATTTACCCAATTTTTTCTTCTTCTTTTTTCCTGATTTTTTTTTTCTTCCTGAATTTTTTTTCTTTCTTCTTCTTTTTCCCCGATTTTACCCCTTTTCCCCCTATTTTCCCCTATTTTTTTTCCAAATGTTCTTACTCGAAAGGTGGGGGGAATGTTGTTAGATGCCATTTTATTTCCTGAATCCTTTTTTTTTTTACTCAAGGGTGGGTGTTTTTAGCTGCTCACTATCACCCCTGTCCTGTGTTTATGTACAGAGGAAATAATAGAAAATACTACCACTTTTAGTAGGGAAGAATGAATCTACATGTAGGTCCTGTGGCAAGACATTGATCTTCATTTGCCGTACTCCAACCAGGTGATGTAAATGTGTACATGGCAGGAATTAATTCTTTGAAATGCTAGAGCACCGAAATGGCAGCACAGCTAAAGCTGGGGTAATAATCTCCAAGTTTGGAAGCGCTTATAGACTTAATTGTAATTCGCGCTATATGAAAGCTGAGTATTATAAGTAAAGGACCAAAGAAGTAATGATTGCATCGGGAGAAGAATTGAAGAAATGGAAATGATGGAGTGTATGGAAAGCTCAATGTGACAATGAATGAACAACTAAATGAATGTCTCACAGGAGGTTCAGGGTTAGGGTTAGGTCTACATTTTCATGTTGGGTCTAGGGTTTGATTGTAAAGACTTGGGTCAATGTAGGAAGTAGTCATGGAGCAATTGTCGTTGGTACAATTGTCGAACAACCGATATGATGGCAGTGTTGTATGAAACGATAAGTTCTCAGAGACGACTTCAAGCTGGCGGTCCTTTTGTTGCTTACTTACAAGCATACACATACTTTCATAGCTGTCAAGTAAAATAAACCTTCAAACCAAACAATTATCCCTTTGAAATGCATATGATTTAACACATGTTTTGATAGGATGTCCATGGAATTGTACATATGATGGTTACGTGAAACCATGCCCATGTCTACTTTTGACTGTATCTTTCGTCACTATAGATTACGTTCCTTGGGAGGAGTGTGGATATAACCAAGGATGGATCCATCAGTATTGATGATATCAAGTTTAACGATGGCCCTTGCGAGTCACTTGGTACATGCACCTTTGAGAATGACTACTGCCTTTGGAAGAATGTACGGGATGAGGATGACTTTGACTGGACTCGTTCCCGGGGTGAGGCCGGTCCTCCTGCGGATCCTTGGGGACCCTCTGCAGATCATACCAAACAGACCCTAGCTGGTAAGAAAAATGGCTTTCTCATTTTCTTTATTTGGTGGAATGCTGTAAAGGTCACAAATTTATCTATTTCTTTGTAAGATCCAAATGTCTGAAGCATGATATCATGCTTGGCAAAATGCAGGGTAAAATGAGAAGAAGAAGGCAAAGGATTAGATGGATAGCAGGTATGACCAAAGAAACAGACATAGAGAGGTGTGTATACCTGCACAGGTACAGAGCAGCCTTGAGAGGGTTTGTCCATGGGATCATCGTGAGTGGGGCGACGACTCGAAGGTGCCTAACAATAATTTACATATGTTAAATTTGGCGGACATCAATGAAATCTCCTTTTTCATAAAATTATGAATGTTGGATTTAAAACATTGTTTTTTAATATTTTGTGCAATCCTGAACAAGTTGTTGGCAACTTGTTACCACGGTAATCCATGTAAGTAGAGTCCCAAATCGGCCAATTAAATTAGATCACTGCAGCTCAGATGATGTTATATATTTCTAATCTACAATAGTAATAAAACTTTGCAAACACAAGAAACCTAGGAAATTTATTGAGGACACAATACTACTCCAGGCCAACTGCTGCTGCTTCTACTACTTCTACTACTACTGTACTACTACTACTACTCCTCCTCCTCTCCCTCCTCCTCCTACTACTACTACTACTACTACTACTATTACTACTACAATTACTCCTAATAGTACTACTACTACTACTATTACTACTATCATGACTACTACTACTACTACCACTGCTTCTATTAATATTAACAACATTAATGATCATGATAATGTTTTGTTATTTGTTGTTCTTTATCGATACCCTATGGTCTATTTAGGTGTCTATGCTGTAATGGACCCATCAGGTAGCTCCGTCGGGGATAACGCTATTCTAAAGTCACCAGAATTCCTCACCGATTCCATCCAATGTCTAGAGTTCTATTACTTTCTACATTATGAGATGACGGGTAATCTAGATGTGCAGGTCTTGCCCAACACAGACCCAGTCCCTACAACTCTCGTATCGTACAGTGGAAATCAAGGAGCTTCTTGGAAACAATCACTGGTGAGTAATACCTTTAGGCTGTATTCATTTTTGTAGGTCATCTTTAAAAAAAAAATTATTTATCTATTATTTTATTTTCTCTTTTGATCCTCATTAATGTTATTGGGATTGTTCATAATATTATTAATATTACTATGATGATGATGATCATTATCATTAGTAATGTCGTCATAATCATTATTATAACTATCGTAAATGTGTTATTATTGAAATAATTGTTATTATTAATATGTTATTATTATATTACCATCATCATTTATCTGAAGCATATCTGTTTTTATGTTATTTATCATCATTATTTCATCACTCATTATGTTTTTATGACTACCACCGTTTAGTTATGCAATCTTTTATCAATATTTGTCTTCAAACACATTTTTTGGGGAAATCTTTGCAGAAGTGTGTCTTAATTGATGCCCCTTTTCACATTATAATACTATTTTTGTTTGTCCTTCTAGGTCACCCTAAATATATCTGATGCAGAGTCCTACACGGTACTACTGAATGCTAGTGTAAGAGGTCTGACATATGAAGCCAATATCAACATTGATGACATCACGTTCTATTCTGGGGACTGCACAGGTCACTCCGGTAAGTCATCATTCAAGAAAGTTGTTTTTTTCATTTCATTTATTTAGGTTTCATATGTTCAGTTAAATCTTTTGTCAGTCTTGTAAACTGAATGGACTCCTTGCAAATTTAAGGTGTACCAATCACAAAATCACGTTTTGATTGTAATGTAAGAGTTCCATTTATGTGGCTATCAAATTTGAGCTTCAAATATTACTTCCACAAAGAGAATTGAATACATTCTCAGTGAACATTAAAACATCTGTTCGCCTTTGCACTTACAAAGAATAGGGCGCCCAGAACTCAGTCACTTGGTTTCCGGTTGAGCACTATACTACAGTTTTGTTATGTTATGTTTTATTTTCTTCTTACTCCTTAACTGTTTCCCTATACATTTGGAATGCCAGATCGACTATTTTGAGGTGGAATTCATGAATTCTAGCTGTACACAAAATAATTTTTCAGGTGATTGCATGGTACACTTTGACTATTTCTACCTCAAAAAACTTTTCAAACATATATCACAAAATTTAATACAGATGGATGGAGAGGAACATCTTTGTTTTCCTTTCTCTGCTAATTTGTGTACATTATATGCTAGGCTTATATGTTCCCGGCAGCCATGGCAATCACGTTTCAGGCCACTGTGGACGTGAGACAATGCCAGGGGAGGTATGGGCAAACGTGACCGGTCGTTAATGCCGTGGACGCCGGACCAGATTTTTAAGCTGTCAAAAAATAGAAGGCCGTAGTAAAAGGGGGTGAACGCACCAAAACGTGAATTAAAAGTATAATAACAAAAACTTGGGGAGACTTAACAAAAATTGGCCGCCGGGAACATTATGTAAACGTAGCATTATCATGGTTCTTTGCAGATATAAGTCATTTGACCTTTAACCTCTGCTATGGTTCTTTGTCATTTCATCTTTGACCTTTTGCAGATATTTGTCATTTCACCTTTGACCTCTGTGACTGGGTACAAGAAGATGTGTATGATGAAATTGATTGGTTTTGGGGATCTGGGAGTGACAGTCGCTATGGCAGCAGCGGCAATAAGGCTCTTCCGGACCACTCCACTGGCACTGTTATTGGTAAGGATGTAAAATGAATGAGAGCAGTGATTTAGTTTTGTTCTAATGCACTGTACTTTGATTTTATGCTTTCCTTCTCGTATTTTCATTTTTTTCATATTTACTACATGTTTTATTTTGTAATCAAGTTCAGTATATTCTTCCTGTTGTAATCGCTAAATGATTTTCATCTATCTTTCTTCCAGAGCATGATTCAATAGTCTATAATCGGCTTTAAATTCACAACCTTTTAATACTGTATATATCTCTGCAACATTCAACATTAGCGTTTCATTAGTCAATACTTTATCCTATTTTTTATTATGTTATCTTTGTATAACCTTAACTTGTATAGCTTATTGCTGTTAAGATTACGATATTAAACGCTATTGAGTACATGTATATTATATGTAAGGGGCTATCTCTGCATCACCATACTTGATTTATAGGTGGCTATGCCTACATTGACATGCGAGATAGTACAAACCAACGTGGTGATCGAGGACGTCTACTGGGCTTTGAGCGCAACCCTCCAATCGACGGCCAGGCCGAGTGTCTAGGCTTCTGGTATCATTTAGATGAGGCAGACGTTGGCTCCCTCAATATCTACATGCAATGGATGGATAATGGAACCAGGTTTATTACGGACGATCCACTGTGGTCAACTAGCGGGAACCGAGGCGACTATTGGTGGTTTGCGGGGGCAACTTTCATCAACACGCTTCCATATCAGGTGATAATGGATCTTGAATTATCTGGCCAGGGAAGGGAGGGGGAGCTAGGGGAAGGGGAAGGGGTTGCAATTTTTTCTCACAAGCAGGCAAGAAAAATCTAAAAAAAGAAATGGTAAAGAGTCAAAACAAAAATAAATAATTATAACAATTCAAATATGGCTTGGAATGGGGGGGGGGGGGGCAGCACTTTTTGATTTGTGTTCGTGACTGTATTTGTATGATACAGTCAATGCTTGGTCGAAAAAGGGCCTCCACTTTTTTTAAACATGTAACTAAATGGCAACTGTGTGCAACAAAGAACTTGCACATATTCACTGAGCTCTGTGTTATTAGATACAGAAAATTTGAAGCGTATACTTCATTATAATAAATAAAATGTTGCAGTTTTGCCGTGGCATGTCCGAACGAGCCTATATATAACGTGGGTGACCATAGGTGCAGGTACATGTAGATTGTGAATTAAAAATTAAAAATTCTACAAGTTTTTTTATTTTCTACAAATAATCACAACATTCAGGACTTGATTTCAATAGTTCCAAACGTCATTATGAACTAGGATCAATTAGGATCTTTAGTGGAGGAACTTTATACAAAGTTGGAACAAATTCCAGATTTTGAGAATAGTGATGTCTTTTTAAGGAAGATATTTGTTATCAATTTGAAGAAGAAGATTATTTTATGCCTTTGAGTGTTTACCCTATAACCTATCCTCACTTTATATTTCTCTGTATCTCCATCGAAATATGACTGATCTCTTATTTATCTGTATTTCTATCTCTTAGGCTGTAATAGAAGGCCTTATAGGAGGCGCCAGCGAGGGAGGCATTACAATAGACGATGTCGGATTCATGCCCGGACCATGTGATCCAAAAGGTCAATAAACTTTTAGTTCAAGATATCATCAAATTTGCAATTCCAGTGTTGTGTGTGTGTGTGTAATTGGGTTTTTACAGATGTGTATCAATCATATATGGTTATTTACGTCTGGGGACCGACCTTTAACGTCACTGTCCGAAAGACGTGACTCAGTTTCGAACCTGCGTCCTCGGCTGAATCAGTTTGTAACTTCCACTGTAAGCTGGATTACAGGCGCACGCCAGAACGCCTAGTTGTTACATGCTTATGTATGTTTTCTTTGTTTCTGTGTATTGCCATCAGTGGTGTATCTACAGGAGGGGCATGTACCCACCCCAGCTGACTGGTTAAAACATTTTGAAATAAAAGAATGGGAGAGAAGAGAGAAAGGGAAAAGGAGAAGGAGAAAAGGATAATAAAGTAGAAGTTCAAGTTGAGCTTCACCCCATCAGTATGTTTCACTATAATTAATTATATGCCTGCAGTTTTGACCAATCAGAGGCCTCAAATCTTGATATGTAACAATTTTGTAGTATTTTAAGTATGGACAAATTGATTTGTCCCAATTAATGTTCCTTGAAAATGTAACATACTAAAGCTTATATCTAAAAAATAATCAACAAAGGTCCTAACTCACGCAATCCACCTTTTATTCTCATATTACAAAAAAAATCAGTTACAAGGTGTATGACTAATTTAGTTGTTATTTGTATATTATGTCTAACCTGATTTAGTGACCACCTATCTACAGAGACCACCTGCCTATAAAAACCACTTGTCTGGTTTCCCTTGAGTGGTCTTTATAGACAGGTTTCACTGTATTTCATCTTGCAGGTCACTGTAGTTTTGATCGTGATATGTGTTCTTGGAGGATGGGTGCTGATGATGGTATAGAGGATGAAGATCCCTGGATAAGGGAATCAGGAAGCACAGTGTCTGAAGACACAGGACCGTCCAACGATCACACTACAGGCACATCAGAAGGTACACCACATGTCAACTGCTATTCCATTGAAAAAAGATCTCATATCATACCATACCATTTTGTACTTATGTTAAATTTTGTGTTGCATTTATTCCTGATTTTGTATAATTTGATAGCACATATATGTTAATTGATGTTATATAAATTAAAGAAAAAGCCAGAATTTTTTGTTTATACCATGTAACTGTGCATGATCAAATTGAACTTGAACTTGAATTTGAATTTTAGTCTTAAATGCCTTGAAGACCAATTTGAGGGTGTGAGTCTTCTACCCTAGTCATGGTTATATGATATGAAACTTGCTCCTACCACTATTACTCCTTGTAATATTACCAAATTTTTAAGTCAACTCTTGGCCCCACAATGCCTAAAACTTAACAGTAATGGTATTTTCTGTGGAAACCTTGATTTTATTTGCATATAATTGATGTTGCCATGGTTATTAATAATGATGGCAAAGTTATCATTAGTGGTAAGTTTTATGCAACAGGGTCCCGGGACTCACACAATACCTAATTTGAATGCTAACCTATAACTTATTGCAAGTAGAGCTAAAACAAACCCAATGTCATAACACAACTCAAAACATAACAAGTACTGAAAAATTTGCTTGTATTTTTCTTCAGGTTATTACCTCTACTCGAAGGGGAACCATATGGTACCGTGGGAAACAGCTACTCTATATAGTGAGATATTTGACGCAACGACCTCTGGAGGCGATTGTTTCTCGTTCTGGTACCATGCCATAGCTCCATACAGTCCAGGTAAGAAATGATGGGCGTAGCTACACATGGTGGGTGGAGGTGGGGGGGGGGGGGGTCCATGAGGCAGATGGCTGCTTTGTACCCATTTAAATTCGACCAACAAATTGCATTTGCCTTTTTCTTATTGTCTTAATGAGTAATCGTTTTACTCTTGATTTTCTAAACACTTCTTCATTTTTTATCTTTTCTGTCCATGAAAATCTAGGTGTATGAAATATGTACCAGGCAATGCCACAGTAATACCAATCACAGGGTATTTAGGAAGATACTGATATGGCCTATTTCGGGGGATTACAAATCGATATAATTTTATCATATTATGTATATTAGGTTATCATAATGGTGCAAATTATGGAAGGAAATAAGATAAGAATGGGAAAGGGAGAGGAACAAGGGATGAGGGGGAACAAATATCTTTGTTCTAAAAATATTGAATGATACCTTCATGATATCTGAACAAACCTTTCAGAGGTTACAAAGTTGTAAACCATCTAGAGACTCCTAATATATTGTGATACTGGTTATATCATTACAACATTTTTATATTCAGTTTTCTTTACGGATAACTGATTTTTCTTATAAAACTGTAGATATGGCGTGTATATTCAATAATGAATGAACGGCATTAGACTAGTACCAACAACAAATACAACCTTTCAGAGTTCTTCTGTTCTTTGAATACCAATCTGAGGGACACATCAGTATGGATACAGAAACAAAAAGATGTTATACTGAGTCTTCTTTAATTTCTTTTATTCCAGTGGTGTCCCTCACAGTTTCATTGCGGCAGTTTAACCCACCAGGCATCTATGAGCCTGTGGTCATGTTTTCATTGACCGAGGGAACGATTGACCGCTGGTTCATGGGTCAGTTTGACATTCAGTCAGAGACAGAATTCCAGATCTTGTTCCTAGTCAGTGGAGAATCTGGGGGCTCGGCTGATACTGCCATAGATGATACCAGTATTACCACATCACTTTGTCAAGGTGAGAGATACAATAAGCTTCACCCATTGCCTGCTGGAACCGGGTGGCTAGTATATTAAGCCAATGGGAATGAATGAATGAAGCAGTCAGTGGGTTAACCTATACAAATAAAACAATTATGAATTTGAGACGCACATTGGCAACACTGTGAGGTATCTTGCATGGTCCTCTCCAATTTGCTCTGTACAGTAATTGTATAGACTTTCATTTTCTTAGTTATTGATGACAGCACAGAAAAAATGGAAATCAGTAACATAATACAAATAACCACCTACTCCACCACACATACACTCTTTCCTCCCACATGCACACACTACCCCCTACACACTCTCTTCCCCCACACACACTCCCCATACACACAATTCCTCACATACACACTGTCCCCCAAATAACGTGACTCTCTTCCACACACACTCTCCCCTATTCATACTCCCCCACACCTACTCTCTCTCTCCTTATACACCCTACCACCACCTTCTACACACACTCCCCCCTCCCCACACTCACTCTCCCCCACACACACTCACTCTCCCCCCACACCCACTCACTCTTCCCCACACACACTCCGCCACACACACACTGTCCCCCAAAACACTCTCTTCGACACACACTCCCCACCCACACTCTCTCTCCCCTTATACATATACCGCCGCTGCCGCCTCCACACACACCGACTCCCCTCCCCCCACACACTCTCCCTTCACACACTCTCTTCCCCCCCCAAAAAAAACCACTCTTCCCCACACCCACACTCACACGCACACACACACCCACACACCCCGCCCCGCACACACTCTCTCTATCTCCCTCATGTGTTAACCCTGCCAAATTGAGGGAAGGATTGCTTCGTGCAACACAATGACTGCGAAATTATCTGTTTATGGTTTGATTACCGTAGCTTCATGACAACCCTTTTTACACTGGTATAGATTAATCATACACTGGAAACAATTGAGTAATATTAAAGCCTTTGGTATATCATCCAATGATGAATACAATGTGGCACAGAATATGGCTGTCATGTAAAGAGTTAATTCCAATCAGGCTAGTAGTAGCTGTCTGTGGCGAAGCGACAATGACCACCTTCACTTTCACCTAACACCTGTCCTCAATAGAGTGTAAGTGAAGTGTGACGTCATAAAAAATCTATTCTTAGAATTTCTCAATTTTTTCTTCATTTTCTGAAAGAGCATCAAAAATAATGTCCGAATGTCGAAAAGATGGTCATATCTTAGACAATACTTAACATATTCAATTGGTTTTCGACATTCGGAAGTTATTTTTGATGCTCTTTCGGAAAATGAAGAAAAAATTGAGAAATTCTAAAAAAATAGATTTTTATGACGTCACAGCTTTAAAGCTCCCTGGCCTAAAGCAATTGTCCAAGTCTTGATTTTGACTTGCCTCTGCTTAAGGTTCCGCTTGACCATGCCCTTGAACCGAAGCCGTGGTTGACCAATCCCTCTTCCGTTGCTTTGGTAACCTCTCAGAGTAGGTTCTTCCTGATGAGCAGGTCCTCCATAGGCTGCCCTTGATAAATAAAACCAAATCATATATTTGTTTCTATCTTTGTTCACAGAGCCTAGCCCATGGGCATGTACATTTGAGGATGGTCTATGTGGTTATACACAGGCTACTGATGCTGAGAAAGAGTGGAGACGCTATACTGGAAGTACATCATCTCAACTAACAGGTCCTTCGTTTGATCACACTACAGGAACGTGTAAGTCATCTTGCTGTTGCATCCTCTTTATCATCATCAATCAAAAGAGAGCCCGGCCGGCCTGAATCATAGAACCATAATAAAGAAATTAGAATTTCAAATTTTTCATTGCTTTAATAGGGTTTTCACTATTTCAGAAAGTTAAAACTCACTGGTTAATCAATTGATGCAGGATTCTTCAATCCTGAACTGTTATATTTTCCTGTTTTTGTTGCTTCTTTAAAATAACCTTTTCACAACTGAATTCTGTAATTCCTAAAGCCTTTATACAGGAACCATGCGATTCCTGTAGGCAATGGGGTAATCGTGAGATCATGATGTTACACGTACCATGATATAAATTTTCTGGTTTATTTGAACTACAACTGGACGTGAAGCCCTATAATGGGATGTTATGTTTCATTGTGATCTAAAGCTAAATAGACCGAGAGGTTGACATAATTTCACTCCAGCATGATTAGTAATTGTTTTAAAATGTGCAAGCTAAACCACTTGAGAGGGTATCATGAGATATTCTACAGTTTCCTTTTTATTGGAGGTGTCGTGGTATAGTGGTTCATACACTCGACTCTCACAGAGCTACCAAGTGTCACGCATTAGGCGTGACATCACGCATTTCGAGGGTCTGAAAACGCTCTCACGCACAACGCGCGCTAGATTTAAAAAAAAACGCTATACCTTATACATGTGCTAAACCCTCGCACATGCGCTCGCGCGCCGAATAATGAAAATGTCACACATTGCAGATCTTTGAACTTGGCGTCTCTGCATGCTCTCCATCCAAGGGTTAATTGAGGGTCTGTATCCCAGCCCGGCACCAATGTCCTCTGGCTAGACATTAATCCACATTTGCCACTCTCCATCCCGGTTGAAATGGGTATCTGGTAATTGCTGGGGTAATTAAACACATACTTAAATTGTTATTATTTTTCCCATATCCAGCCGAAGGCTTTTATATGTACTTGGAAACATCATCGGAACTCACCGGAGACAAAGCCCGGCTCCTAAGCCCCTTCGCTCCTCCAGGCAAATACTGCGTTGGTTTCTGGTTCCATATGTTTGGTCAGACCATCGCGACCCTGAATGTATACCTACAGAGGAACGAGACTGCTCTAGACCTCCCTGTCTGGACCAGGACCGGGTCTAGCGGCAATCAGTGGATCGAAGGATATGTTGATGTGGTTGACATTTATGAGTTTAGGGTAAGAGCTTTTTACATGAGTTCAGGTAGTTGATCAAAATGTAATGGAACAAAAAGATACATCTGGAACGCAAAACGCCCAACGGTGAAGAAAAAGTTGTAATTTGACATCTGATTGACGATTTGGGGTAATATTAAGTCTATGATCAAGGTGATCCCGCCCGTGTTCTATAAAGTTTTTTAAGTGCCACAATATTTTGCTAAACTATCTTGTATTTATTAGATTTACTGTGTCACCATGTGGGTAGTCCCGAAAGAGACTGTCACGTTTGAAGGGGATAGAAAATAGAGAGATGGAGAAGTATTCTGTTGGTGGAGCCTATCATAATAGACAAGCTCCATCCACACCTTTGGCCTTCCGTCTGTGACTCAAATAATCTTGTGTACATACAATGTATCTTTGAAACTGTCCTCTAACTGAAAAGGCAATCATTGATATTACTGTAGAGACAAGTAACGCCTAGCTGGAACACTCCCCAGGGAGTGGAGATTGTGCACAGAGTGTGTGCGGGCAAGTATTGAATCCAATGACCAGGAAAATAGATCTGTTCAGTGCTTAGAGACATCGTAGCTGTATAAGCGCTATATAAAAGCAGAATATTGTTATTATCATTAGTTTTTTCAGTATATTATTGTTATTATATTTCAGGTTGTTTATGAAGCGGTCCAAGGAACTTCATTTACAGGAGACATGGCCATCGACGATGTTGATATGATGGAAGGAGAATGCACCGGTATGACGTCACTTTTTAATTAGATTAACTTTCGTTCAAATACATTTGTTGTCCCATAATTAGAGCCCCGTTGCACAGAAATTACCATTGATGGTTCCTTTGACATCAATGGTCACTACCATCGAAACCTTGTTTCGATTGGCTGTTGAGCCCTGTTACCATGGTAGTTGCCATTGATGGCAAAGTTATCATCAATAGAACTGAACTAATATAGTTATAGGTACTTGATGTAATATGCCCAGATTATCTGACTCTGACAGCATCATTGCAAAGTAATTGCCAAGAAAGATAGGCAATAGTCTTTTTCAAGACTACCAACAGTCATTTTCAGGACTACACACACTCAAGAAAGAAAAATTACAGAGTCCTTCCAGGTCTCCCCAATCCTCCCCCCCCCCCTCTCACATGGTGCAACCACAAGCCTAGCTACTGTATAATAAAACTGTTGTTTTATGTAGAGCCCTTCTCATTGGAAGTAACTGATTAAAGTGCTTGCTTTGTTTACTATATTATCTTTTTGGAAATACTTTATACTATTCCCTATAATGTTTACTTTAAAGTGATCTTTACTATATCAAACATTACTTTACTAGTCACTATGGTATGTACAATTATATTTTGTAATCAGGGGCGCATACATGTGACTTTCAACATGATAACATATGTTTCGAAAAGCTCTCGTTAAAACTATACCCCACCACTCTAACACAGGAACCCATGTAAATCAGGTAGGGTATCCCTACCCCAATTTCTTTTCTCTCGTTAAAACTTTGACAGAGCTGCAGTGCAGCTCTGCGTGAGAGATGGCAGCTGTACTCTTCATCATCTTACGTAATAGTGTAAACAAACTCTTACAAGGGGCTCTGTCTGAAAGGAAATGAGAAGTAGGAAATATATATATTACTTGTTTTAAGATATGTTCATGTCCAAAAGTCACTTATAATTAATAGATGAAGACCATAATGAAAGTTCAAACAAAGCAAAATGACCCAGAATTGGCGATATAACAACAATTTTAATTGTGAAAATTAGCACTCTTTCTCCCTTTCTCTCTCCCTCTATCATGCTTATCTCTCTCTCTATCACCTCGCCAAGGTCTCGGCAGGGGGATTACGTTTTCTAGAGCTAGTGTTTACTTTAGGCTTAGTAGGAGAAGTGAAAGTCAAATGGGGGTTTCAATTTTATACAACGAGTTTTCGTGTATTATATTTTGTAATTAGGGACGCATTCATGTGACTTTCAACACGATGACATATGTAGTTATGCACAAGAAGCATCAAGGGATGATTTTGATTGGCTACAAGGATCAGGAAGTACTCTGTCTGCAGGGACAGGACCAACATCAGATCACACATATGGGACTACATACGGTGAGTAACCAGAAAATAGACCAAAATCTTTTTCCAAGGGTTCTAGGTACTCAATCCCCCACTAATATCCGGTTTTATGTTCTTTTATTTATTTTGAATTTCAACCTTTTTTAAATAAATGTACTTGTAAACGTACCAATTTTGCTGTTCTTTTTATCAATGCGTTTTATCAATGTTTATTCTCGAAATATAGCTCTATTTATTTATCACTGTTTTGTTAATGTTTGAGTGGAAAAAATATATTTGTTACCAAACAGCTTTGTGCTGTTTTAATAATAATAATAATACTATATGAGATTTGTAACTCACCGAATCCACTTAAAATCATATGCTCATGCTTAAAATCATATACTTGTAAGAAAATAAAAAGTCATTTAAAAGAATATGCATTTTAAACAAAGGATCAGGGGTAAGATACGAAAATGAAAAAAAAACTGTGTTACAGCCAAACCTAGTTTAGCGACCACCTGTCTACAAAGAGCACTTTTTTTTTGTTTCCCTTGAAAAAGGTTTCTCATTGAAACATGAACTAAAGGAACCCAAACATAAAGACCACCTGTCTGTAAAGACTACTTTTAATATCTTCTCTCCCTTGGGTGGCGTTCTATAGACAGGTTTCACTGTATATGACAAATTAAACAGATTTAATTTAAAGGCTGTCTGCACTAGTTTGGCCGGGGAGATTAGACCTCCCTGCAAGGATCACTGACAGGTGGTTATCTCATCAAATAAGCTCTCAATTAATATAAGAAAAAGAGGATCATGGGGGACAAACACTGATTAGGCACTGATTAGGCATTTTTTGCTATATAGAGGGCGCAAGTAGCTATAAGTAGTGCAGTGGGGCTTTAAGATTATTTATTCTTGTTTTCCCCTCACAGGCAAGTACATGTACATAGATTCATCTGAGCAGTCGCCAGGAGATAAAGCCCAGTTGTATACCAAAATACTTTCTGAAGATCCAAGTGGTATCGTCTGCTGGAAATTTTACTACCACATGTATGGAGCTGGAGTAGATACATTAAGAATTCTGGTAAGTTTTTTAAAATTGTTATTTCTTTAATTATATTTAGATACAGGGATGCCAATTTTCAGGCCTTGGTGATTTATTTTCAGCCCATAGTTATGGCTTTTTTGTGTACAAATCAGCTCATTCTAGGTGATTTTCAGGCCCTCTGATCAATTCTAACTGGCATCCCTGTAGATACTTTATTCAAACTTTCACTAAAAATATACAAATGGAAAACAACCATATCAAAGTTGGAATAATAATACATGTTTCATTATATAACATGAGAATAACACAAGCGGAGAAGTCATGAAGAACAAGGGGGATTAGGAGGGGGCGGGGGGGGGGGGGGTGAGTTGTGGTAAGTTTGATCTTCTTGATCCAGAACAGGAACATTGATCTTTTCAACATAATTAGTTTAATGGGAGTGGGTGTTCCCCAAATATATCATTAGCATTGTATGCAAAATGAGGGAGCATCGAACCTGCATACATCATCCCTTGATTCTACTCACATATAGCTCATTGAAGGGGGAGTAGGGGTGCAATGCACCGGTGTGAATAGTAGCAAATCACCCCCTGCAAATCTTCATCTACTTCTTTTCTCCCCCCTCCCCACGTACCCCTCCCATGTGCATGGTATACATCCACTGTAGTCATTTAAACAAACATACTACTATAGTTTAACAATTTATATTGATCTTTAAACACAGTCGGATGTTGATGGTGTACAAAATGAAGTATCAAGCATCTCAGGTAACCGTGGTGACAAATGGTTCGCAGCGCAAGCAGAGGTCACAACGTCCCAAAGACATCGCCTTGTCTTTGAAGCATCGGTCGGGGATAGAACAGACACGGGGGACATTGGGATTGATGATGTAGACTACAGGAGTGGTCCTTGTGGACATGACTGTGAGTATTAGCAAATGAAGAGTTAATTCTAGAAGGAGCTAAATCCACTTTTGATGAAAATTGAGTTATTGATATCAGAAAATTGTTTATTTCAGAGCCCGTCTTTTAACAAAAGAATTTACCTAAATTTTGCGAACAATAATGAAAAAAAACGCACCTTCTAATATGACTTTTCCATAGACGCCTGTACAAAATCGGGTAAACAAATTCTATTTTTTCTGAAGTTACAAAAACGGATTTAGCTCCTTTTGGAATTAAACTCTTCAAATGTTATTCATAGTCATCTATCTAAGTATCTTCTCCCGGTTCGGAGGTTGATTACAACATCTCTCCATTTCACTCTATCTCCTGCCATTCCAGTGCACTCTTGAAGTTTTAGTCCACTTAAGTTCTTGACATTCTCTTTCAAGTTGATTCTGGGTCTCCCTCTTGCTCTTGTTCCTTCCACTCTTCCCTCCAACACATCCTTTAACCAATACTGTACTGGGGTTGGGGCCTGGGAGGCCCCCCTCGACATTTTCGGAGATTGCGCCGCAACCACTTGGAATTTTGAATTGTCGTTTCATGACTTTTTTCCCTCAAGTTTTACACACATTTTGATACCATTTTCGTCAAAATTGGATATACCTGTAAGGTGTTACATAACAATTAGTATACGCATGTCATCAAAAATATAATAACAATAATAATAGTGGGTTCTTGTATATCAGTTAACAACCTTCTTGCTCCAAACAGATCATCTTTCACTGGTGTTTCTTTTCAACTGTAGTGTTCTGGGACTCGTTTCACAAAGCCTTTTTCAATTACAATTGATACAAATTAATGTGAGATCTGCCGATAACCAATCGGAAGCAAGGTTTCACTAGCTTATAACAAAAACTGTAATTTGTCACTGATGAGAGGTTTGTGAAATGGGGTTGTGTACCTCATATTGCCTAGCTGGAGATTTGTGTATTACAATTGATTCCCCCTTCATGAGTAGTATTTGAATATATATATATGAAACCCTGAAGCTATCAAGGTTCCCCATCAATGCCTTACCATGTTAAGATCTTGATAACGGTGCTTCAGAATGAAAGGGATAGCTGAATCACTTAACAAATAATTTCTGTTTTTCTTCTGACTGCATCTAGTGTCCTGTAACTTTGAGAGCAATCTGTGTCTTTGGGAGAATGCTGAGTACGGAGACGCAGCTGACTGGATCAGACTCACAGGAACCTCCGAAACCACAGAAACAGGACCTAACATAGATCATACCATCGGCACAGCACTAGGTGGGTAGAGTACTAGACCACAACACCTCTACACCTCTAGAAATAGAGATGTAGAGGTGTTGTGCTGGAGGTGTAAAGGTGTTGTGGTCTAGTGGATAGATCTCAAGACAGAAACAGGACCTGATGTAGATTATACCATCGGAACAGCATTAGGTAGGTAGAGCAAGAGGTGTAGAGTTGTTATGGGCTAGTTGATAGCTAGGTCTCCAGACAGGAACAAGACCTTATGTAGATCACACCATCGGCACAGCACTAGGTGGGTAGAGTACTAGACCACAACACCTCTACACCTCTAGTAATAGAGATGTAGAGGTGTTGTGGTCTAGTTAATAGGTCTCAAGACAGGAACAGGACCTAACATAGATCATACCATCGGCACAGCACTAGTTAGGTAGAGGACTAGACCACAACACCTCTACACCTCTAGCACTAGAGATAGAGGTGTTGTGGTCTAGTTAATAGGTCTCAAGATAGGAACATGACCTAATGACTTTGGACAATAACTTCAGAGTTCAGACTAATAGTAAAATTGTCAACGATTTGAAACTGATTTAGTTTTTATACTGACTAGATGAGTTCAATGCACTAAAATTCCAGTTGTTAGGGTCTTTATCATTAATTAAAAGCTAAATCAAGAAGATAACGTTTCCTTTTTTTCCCTTAGCTTTCCTACTGAATACAATCACCATTTCTTCAACAATTGGATCACAAACAATTGTGTGGTGTGCGGTGGTCTTTAGTCGTGTATTTATCAGTATGAAACTCAATGTGCTTTTATCTTTCTCAGGTTACTATATATACTTGGAGAGCAACACGCTTGCCCCAGGTTACACATCCTGGCTCATCTCATAGTATGAAACTCAATGTGCTTTTTATCTTCCTCAGGATACTATATATACTTGGAGAGCAACACACTTGCTCCAGGTTACACATCCTGACTCATCTCATAGTATGAAACTCAATGTGCTTTTTTATCTTCCTCAGGATACTATATATACTTGGAGAGCAACACACTTGCCCCAGGTTACACATCCTGGCTCATCTCATAGTATGAAACTCAATGTGCTTTTTATCTTCCATCTTCCTCAGGATACTATATATACTTGGAGAGCAACACACTTGCCCCAGGTTACACATCCTGGCTCATCTCATAGTATGAAACTCAATGTGCTTTTTATCTTCCTCAGGATACTATATATACTTGGAGAGCAACACACTTGCCCCAGGTTACACATCCTGGCTCATCTCATAGTATGAAACTCAATGTGCTTTTTTATCTTCCTCAGGATACTATATATACTTGGAGAGCAACACGCTTGCCCCAGGTTACACATCCTGGCTCATCTCATAGTATGAAACTCAATGTGCTTTTTTTATCTTCCTCAGGATACTATATATACTTGGAGAGCAACACACTTGCCCCAGGTTACACATCCTGGCTCATCTCATAGTATGAAACTCAATGTGCTTTTTTATCTTCCTCAGGATACTATATATACTTGGAGAGCAACACACTTGCCCCAGGTTACACATCCTGGCTCATCTCATAGTATGAAACTCAATGTGCTTTTTTATCTTTCTCAGGTTACTATATATACTTGGAGAGCAACACGCTTGTCCCAGGTTACACATCCTGGCTCATCTCATAGTATGAAACTCAATGTGCTTTTATCTTTCTCAAGTTACTATATATACTTGGAGAGTAACACGCTTGCCCCAGGTTACACATCCTGGCTCATCTCATAGTATGAAACTCAATGTGCTTTTTTATCTTTCTCAGGTTACTATATATACTTGGAGAGCAACACGCTTGCCCCAGGTTACACATCCTGGCTCATCTCATAGTATGAAACTCAATGTGCTTTTATCTTTCTCAGGTTACTATATATACTTGGAGAGCAACACACTTGCCCCAGGTTACACATCCTGGCTCATCTCTCCGTCCCTCAGACTAGAGGACCTCTCCGTCGCATGTTTCACATTTTGGTATCACATGTATGGATCCACGATCGGTGAACTTAACCTCTTCCTCGTCGATGAGACCACGCTGGACGAAACCTACCAATGGCGACTCAACGGTCAGCAGAACCCTGACCAGGATACATGGCTTCAGGGCAAGTTTGGAATCTTCAATCCGGGCATGGTCAGTAATTCATAATATTGATAATAATAGTAATAATAATAACTTAATGATAATAATGAATCATTTGAATATACAGTCAAATCTGATTTAGTGACCACCCGTCTACAAAGACAACATTTTTTGTTTCCCTTGAAACATGTACTATAGGCACCTGTACATAAAGACCACCTGCCTATAAAGACCACTTTTCTTGTCTCCCTCGGATGGTCTTTATAGACAGGTTTCACTGAACTTACTTGATATTAGCATATATTCAGCATGCATTAGCATACATTAGCATACATTAACTTGATTTTAGCATACATTTATTGACAAGCTCTGATTGTGTTTAACTTTTCTTTCGTTTCCCAGACCACCCCAACCCCTCAATTGGGACAAACATATGTGGTATGTATCTTTAAATTCTTAAATTGAACTATAATCAACTGATTTTATTGGAAAAAAAAAGAAATATTTTATATTCTGATAAGTTTATTTCTCAAATTAAAAAAATAATTAGTATTTGTAATGTGTCTGCTGTCAACGTAACGTAGTTTGTACGCTAGAACTAGAACAATGTCTAGCTAGTAGTATATAAAGACCTGTTTAACAAAAGATGTTGAATTACAAATCTTTTACCACAGATCAAAATTGAAGCTGTTCTTGGATATTTTAATTATGGGGATATAGCTTTAGACGATTTGGACGTGGAGTCGGAAGCTTGCTCAGGTAATGATATACTTTGAATGTTATTCCACTTTTGCTAATTAAATCTAGTTAAAAAGAAGGTTGATTTCTGGGATTGTATGGACAGGTAAAGAGGAAAGATGAAGAGAGAGAGAGAGCAGAAGGAAATGGAGATACAGGAAGAGGTGGATATAGCTTGTATTAATGAAGAGAGTATGAGAATTGATTTGGAGCTTGCTACAGACAGGATAAGAGGGAGAGCATTTACAATAAGAATGATGATTATGATGATATTGATGATGATGATGATAATGATAATTATAGCAACATTTATATACAAGCACTTAATGTAATGTTTTCATTAAGCAGTATACTATTACCCGGCTTCCATTAATCCGATGTGTTTCTACACGATAAGGAAATAATCGGTTTTCTGACCCTCTTATTCCAGTGTATCCTGCGTCCGCTGAGCCATCTCTACAGGAGTCTGCAAGCTGTGATTTTGAAGTCAATCGATGCGGATGGTTTGATATGGATGATGATAGATTGGACTGGATGAGATACAGAGGACAGGCGCCTACCGGAGGCACCGGACCGTACAAAGATCATACTACTGGCAATGGTAAGACATTAACCCATTTATTAAAGCCCCTCTGCACTAGTTTGGCCAGGAGGGAATAGACCTCCCTTCAAGATCACTGGCAGGTCGTTATCTCATCAAATTAGCTCTCAGTTAACATAAGAATAAGAGAATCATGGGGGACCAACGGGCACCTTTTAGGCATTTTTTTTCTATATAGAGGGCCGCAAGTAGCTACAAGTAGGACAGTGGGGCTTTAAAATACTGAATTCTCTCTTTGAAGTGTGTAGAGCTGTTGTGTAAAAGCACAACAATATCAGCTCATTTTGCTCATTCCAGGCTGCAAAATCCTTAAAAAAAACATGGTATCATCTTAAAGGGATAGTTGAGTTCTGTAGCAGAGGGCACTACACAAAATCCTTTACAAAAACATGGTATCATCTTAAAGGGATAGTTGAGTTCTGTTGCAGAGGGCGCTACACAAAATCATTTAAAACTAGATGGAACTTCGACTGCGCGCAGTCGAATGTGATGCTCCGTCATAGAGCAATTTTAGAAACCAAAATGGAAGAAATTTTTCGACTTCAAGTTCGGTTGAAATCCATTAACAGGTTCTCAGAATATTGTGATTACAAGCTCTTTCTCATATACATGTATGACCCTTTAATCTTTGACCTCATGACCCCAAATGCAAGATACATACATGTCTTGAGTTTGATGGTAATCCATCCATCGGTTCTAATGACAATGCAATCACAAGCTATTTTTGCATACGTAATGAGCCCCATGACCTTTGAACTTGACCTCATGACCCCAAAATCTAATCAGTTCATTGCCTCAGCAAGATACATACATGTCCTGAGTTTCATGGTAATCTGTCCATCTGGTCTAATGATAATGTGATTACAAGCTATTTTTGCATACATAATGAGCCCTTTGACCTATGACTTCATGACCCCAAAATCTAATCACTTCATTGGCTCTGCAAGATACATGCATGACTTGGCAGGAATTCATCAATCGGTTCTTGAGAAAACGCGATCACAAGCTATTTTTGCATACATAATGAGCCCTGTGACCTTTGACCTTTGACCTCGTGACCCCAAAATCTAATCAATTCATGGTTCTGCAAGTTACCTACATGACCAAAGTTTGGTAGGAATCCATCAGTCGGTTCTTGAGATAACGTGATCATGAGAACGGGACGCACGTATATACAGACGGACAACCCGAAAACATAATGCCTCCGGCTACTTCGTAGTGGCATAAAAACATGGTATCATCTTAAAGGGATAGTTGAGTTCTGTTGCGGAGGGCGCTACACAAAATAATTGTTTGGGAGATAATGAAAAACTGAGTGTCAAATTTGAAAGAACATACCATTTAAACAACAAAATCATCTTTGTTTGATCAAAGTCGGCTGAAATATCCATAAATATAACGATTTCTACTTGTGTACCACCACAAATATTAGATAATTTGAAGAAAAAAAAGTTGAAAAAACGAAATAGCACCTTTTACGTCATATTTCAGCCAATGCCGATGTTGGCTTTTTTGTTGGCATTTTCGTGTGGGTTATATTACGCACAACCAGCTGGCCCATGTATTGTTATTTTTAATTAAATAATTAATTAACGGTCACCGTTGTTTTTTTTTAAGTGAAGCTGAATTGGTACGATCGTATTGGCTAAATTTCACACATTTTGGGGTCTTAAATTACCTTCATAGCAATTTTAGGTTCTAAAAGGGCACTAGAAATGTCATAGATAAGAATAAGAGCAATAATCATGCACTATGAAGGCATTTGCGGGCTGAAGACAGATCTCAACTATCCCTTTAAAGAGGAATAAATATAATGATACTATACAAAGGGATTATTATCCCACGACAAGAAATACATAACTAATCAAAATTGTGATTCAAAACTTTTTTAACTGGGGTTTATGATATATCCAAACGGTGTACAAATTATCTTTCACAGGTTTCTATCTGTACCTTGAGTCTTCACAAGGATCGCAGGGTTACAGTGCTAAGGTGATATCACCGGTCATCCTTGGAACGCCCATCAGAGCCTGCTTTAGCTTCTGGGTCTACATGTTCGGCCAAACTATGGGCCAACTTGAGGTATGTAGTCCAGGTCTACCTTTGATTGCTAGAAAGAGTAGTAGGAGAAGCAGAAATAGTAGTAGAATTGTCATTGTTATTGTCATCCAAGTTCTGCTTTAGGTTCCGGGTCTACGTGTTCAGCCCAACCATAGGACATCTGGAGATAGATAGTCCAGGTCTAGCTTTGATTAGTAGTAGGAGTAATAGGAGTAATTGTAGTTTTAGAAGTAGTGATATTAGTACTGTAGTACATAGTAGTAGCAGTAAAAGTGTAATAATAGTAGAAGTACACCTGTAGTAGTAGTAGTAGTAGTAGTAGTAGTAGTAGTAGTAGAATAAGTAGTGTTATATTATGCATCAAAAATTGATTTGCTTTTGATTACTTTAGAGCTCGTCACATGACCAGAAATATTTCAACTATTTTAAGGTTGCTCTGAAAAAGTACTAGATGAGAGTACTATTTGGGAGTTGAAGAATAAAAATGTTATTTTTTTTTGGAATAGATTTTTTTTTTTTTTTTTTCAAATATTAATTCAATGAACACAAAATATTTTAAATCTTTTTTGATACACATTGAAGAAAAAAAATTATTCTAAATTTTTTTTTTCTTCCCGAAAATGGTGATTTTTTAAATTTTAAACAAATTTTTGATGCAGGATATAAAACATATATATAATGCCTTCTATTCCACTGCTCTACCACTGAGCAATCGCACCTCACACAGGAAGTGCAGTTCAGACCCAATAATGCACTGCAGATTTGACAAGAATCTCTTTCTATTTGTCGATATTTCCCTCAGCTTTCTGTTGGTAGTATTGACGGTGAGCAGCAGGACTCATTGTGGAGGCAGGATGGTACGCTACAGAACCAATGGGTCTACAGACAAGTAGAAATCACCACCGATTATGATTTTCAGGTAAATCTGCTTTTTGAAATATTGTACTGTTTTTTGTTGGATGATATGTTACTCTTAAATTGTAAATTCAATTGTTTCAGCCTTATGGCTGCTATTTTGATTTTTTTAATCAAAACAAATTTTATCAAATCAAATCAAATCAAATTATTTAATTGATGGCTAAGATCCACAATATTCTCACTCTGTAAACGGGGGTGCCTTTTGTTTTTGAGAAAACGTATTTTGATATAAAATGATATATTTGTAAAAGGTGCTTTCATTTCATTTGTATATTCATTTTAATTCATTAAAGCCAAACCTGATTAAGCGACCACCTGAATAGAAAGACCAGCTGTCTACAGAGACCACATTTTGTGTTTCCCTTAAAAATGGTTTCTCATTGAAACATGTACTATAGGAACCTGTACATAACACCACCTGCCTATAAAGACCACTTGTCTTGTCTCCGCTGGGTGGTCTTTATGGACAGGTTTCACTGTACTTTGTTTACTCTTCAAATTCTGTTATTATTCTTAGCGGATGATGAAATTGAGGGTTCAGTGACACAAAGATGTAAAACCATGTTTTGCCAAAATGAGTATTTGATATCAAAATGTTCAGAAAATTGTGGGCTTTCCAGGAACCAAAAAGACTTAACTCCACCCAAAACCACATTGAAGTCAATGGCTAGTTAAACATAGACCTAGTGCTCATGACACATGAACCACTTTTTCTCAAAATGGCCAAAATAGAGTTACGTCTTTCAGCGTGTTTCCACAGAAAACATTGACACGGTATTTTCCGTGTCATACCGTGTCATACCGTGTCATACCATGTCAGTTTTCCTGTGGAAACACAAGCGTGTCGGGTCGAGTCGACCGAGATGCGGATTATCAGATCCACCTCTGGGAGGTGGATCTTGACGTGTCGACCCCAAAGAACTCCCTGTAAAATCTCTGTGGAAACACACAGCGACAAACCGTGTCTGGCGGAGCATCAGAGCGCGCGAAGCCCCAATCACCACTGCAGCGTGATTGGTTGAAAAATACTCTGAAATACGCGTATACAATAATATGTTTATGTACGCGCTGTACGTAACAATGAAAAATGTACGTCACAATAGAATAGCGTGGAATCCTGTGTAGATCTGAATCCACGATCGAGGTCAAAGGTTGAATCTTTACTTCCGATTAACGCGGCATTTTCCTTACTTGGAACACGGAATCGGGGCGAATCGGAATGCTGCGCTCTGTGGAAACAGATTGGTTTAATACCGTGTCGCCACGACACGGTATTTCAATCCGGAAAAGATAATCCGGGTTCCACTTTTTTTCTGTGGAAACACGCTGTAAGCGTCACTGACCCCTCAAAGTTTACTTGGGTGGCTCATATCACGTGTACTCATGACATTTCAATCTTGGATACAGTTAATCTTCACTGCCACACGAGGGAGCAGTTACTACAGTGATATAGCTATTGATGATCTTTCTTACGACCCATCATCTGCTTGCCCTCATCTTGGTAAGTTCTTTTGAAAACATTTTTATAAAAGACATTTTGTTACTGTTATTCCTCAACCGTATGAAGGTTACTGATGCTGATTAATGGTGATAACGGTGGTGGTGGTGGTGGTGATGGTGGTGATGGTGATGATGATGATGATGGTGTTGACGATGATGATGGTGATGATGATGATGGTGATGATGGTGGTGGTGGTGGTGGTGGTGATGGTGGTGATGGTGATGGTGATGATGATGGTGGTGGTGATGGTGATGGTGATGATGATGGTGATGGTGGTGATGGTGATGATGATGGTGATGGTGGTGATGGGGATGATGGTGGTGATGGTGGTGATGATGAAAGTGATGATGATGATGATGGTTGTGGTGATGAAGTTGGTGACGATGATGATGATGGTGATGATGAAGATGATAGTGGTAATGATGATGGTGATAATGGTTATGATGATTATGGGGATGATGGTGGTGATGATGGTGATGGTGGTGATGATGATGATGGTGATGATGATGATGATGATGGTGGTGATGGTGATGGTGATGATGGTGTTGGTGATGGTGATGATGATGGTGATGGTGGTCATGGTGGTGGTGATGAAAGTGATGATTATGGGGATGATGGTGGTTATGATGATGGTGTACTTTGTTCATCAAATTCTATACATTTCTAAACTTTTTGCAGAGGAGTGCTCCTTTGAAACAGACTATTGTGGATGGTCTCAGGAAACAGTTCAGGATGACTTTGATTGGAAGAGAACCAGAGGAAAAGAACATAATGCCATTCCATCTGATAAAACTACCGGTGTTAATACAGGTAAACAAAGATAATTTAAGCAATCGACGGTTGATTGATTTTTTTTACCTGACTGCTAAGAGAGCATGTTTATGCTTGTAAGTAAGAAACCAGGAGAATGAACGCTATGCGGATTAATGCCTTACCAAAGGCCACAAGCGCACCCTTGCTCTGCCACTGAGCCAATAGTTTATGAAAGCGGTGAATAACATTTTTTTAATTTGACATGTTTTGATAACACTTTTTGTGATATTATTTCTTATCAGGGTTAACAGATTAATTCTACATCTGTGTTCTATGACATAGTTCTACCTGAATGGCATGAAAACACGATTTTATTTTGAGTTCCAGATGCATCATTTTGTGCTTCTTCATTTTATTTATTCAAGCTACCTAAATTAAATTACAAAATTGAATTTTGTCTTGGGTTTGATGTAGGGTATTACGCCTGGGTAGACACCACAACAAACCCTGTAGACGGACAGAACGCTATCCTCTACAGCCCGACCTACACACTGACATCCATCCCACACTGTCTTCGCTTCTACTACTACCATGACGGGATAGGCGCCCTCACCGTTCACTCCCGTCAATCAGGAATGTATTCAGATCCGGTCTGGGTGGCGCCTCCGACGGGTGTGACGGATTGGAGGTTTGGAAGCAGCACGGTGACGGATGTACACAGTTTTCAGGTACTGTAGCACTAATTCATGCTGATGGTATACCTAAGTGATGATGCAAACTAGGGATTTTTCTATCAAGGAAAAGTGGTTTAAGCAAAAAATTAAGCTGATACCCAAAAAACAATGAATATATGATCAAAACGTAACATTCCTGGGCCTTTAACTATTTCGGATTGAAGAAATGGACAGAGCACTCATCCTTACCAGTTCATGGAATTACCAAATTTGTTAACCATCATCCATGTTCGCGCGGGAGGGGGTGGAGCATTTTGGGGGTTCACAGGGAATCATGTCCTAGACCGATTTCAGTTCCAAACATAATGAATATTCTTAATTAATCATAGACTAGATAGTAAATCAATATGATTACGTCGCAAATATTACATATATGTCTCCTTGTAATTTACCAGTGATAATAATAATAAAGAAATATAATTGCAGGTTGTGTTTATTTAATTTATTTCATTTACCATTTACTTTACCCATCTCATGAAACAAATAGATTGAGTGCTGGTATCTTTAATACCAGTTTATGGAATAACCAAAATTGTTTACCATTTTCTGTTTTCTAGGTGGGGAGGGGGGTCGGGCTCTTTTGCAGTTTACAGGGAAATAGTTACTTACCCAATTTCAATAATATATTAGGAATCATTGAGACTTAAAAAATATTTCATTGTGTTATTTTTTTGCCCTTTCCAATCTACAGGCTGCCTTTAAGGGTACTGTAGGCTCTACTCCTGGTTCTCTCATGGCCATTGATGAAGTCAGAATCGATTTGGGGGTTTGCCCACCATTAGGTAGGTTTCAAGATTCATGAGTTATTTTATTTGATACTCGTAGGAGGGGGATGAAGGCTCTCACCCCCTTGAACAAGTTGATATTATCATTCCATACATAGGTATCTTGAAGATTCAAGATTTATTTTATTCAATACTTGTAGGAGGGGGATGGTTGCTCTCACCCCCCCCCCCCCCATGAGCAAGTTGATACTACCATTTTAGTCTTCACCATATAATTGAGCAGCAAGAATCGTCTATAATTTTGGTGATTCAGTTTTGCTTTACCATTCCAGACATAGGTGACACCAAATACTCTGATGGTAACCAAAATATGATACGTTACTCTCCCTTCCTACGTATCATATTTCAAACGATATTGCTTTCGATTTGAGTATATATAAATATTTTGGGGCAGAATCTCATATTTGTCATATCCTTGTGGCTAGTGAACCTTATTTGACTTCCCCCCAGCACATGCTCTCAAAAGAATTGCAATCTTTCACCCAATACCTCCACATTACCTTTCTTTTCCTGGTGATGATACAGCACGTCTGAAATAGCAACTCCTATGTTGGTATTGTATGGTCTATTGTAAACAGGTGGTCAGTTCTGCTGAAGCTACATACCTGTGTCTCTTGTTAGCTCACTAATGATTGACAGATGATGTCGCAAGATGAATTAGATCTGGAAATTTTCTTAGGGTGGAGCTTAGCAGGTCTGAGAAAATTATTTTTTTAAAATTTAAAAATCTATGAAATATATTATTGCGATGTTTGAATAACAAATTATGAGTTGTATGCAGCCCTGCACATTAACAGAATCAATATTTATATGTATTCCCCCCACCCCCCTTTTATATCATATTCAAAATCTTATTAAATTTTTCTTCAAAATTCATTTCTTGAAGGATATTGTACTTTTGAGGAGCCTACTTGTGATTGGTATAACATACAGACTGATGACTTTGACTGGCTGGTATACAGCGGGAGTACACCGAGTGGAGGGACTGGACCTACAAGTGATCACACACTGGGGACTAACAATGGTAAATAAAGAAACACCCCTATTCACCATAATGGAATCTCCCGAGCAACACATTTGGGTTATTCCATTAAAACTGATTTATCAAGATGTATTCAATTGTTAAAGGTAATACAAAGTTTTGGTATGGGGTCATGAATTTGGTTCAAATGAACGTATTGTAAGCATATGCGATCCTACAATATTCAGTGGTCTTTGTCGTGGTCTAAAATCGACCGATTGGCTATTCCCGTTTGGAAACTATATATCACAACTATAAACGCTGAGATTGTCATGGTTGCAGCTACTATTGTTTTGCTGTAGGCGCTATTTGAAATTTATTGAAATTTACTGGGAGCAACAGCAAATTTGATATTCAATTTTTCTTGAAAGCAAACATGTTAAATTGTCTAGTGCTTAAAATACATCCACAGGGGAATCCAAATATATCAAAATTGTAAAGAATCACTATCCAGCTATTTTTCAAAATTTCCCAAAACTTTGTATTACCTTTAATAAAAATTCCTTCATTTTTCTTCTAAATTTGTTTAACGAATTGATTAATCGTATTTCAGTCGGGAGATTATTTTACACAACTAGAGCATGATGTCAAAACGGACCATAAATGATAGTTAAATGATCACACATTTGGTTGAACAAAAGTTAAATCACAAAACCCCCACAATATAATGGAACGTAGGTAACTGATAACTCTTCATAGTTACAATTGAAGATATGGTTTCACATTACGTCCATAGAGGGAGTAGAGGACTACACCTAACTGATGCTGATAGGGGGGGGGGGGCATTGACTACACCCTGTAAAAAATAAAATACTATAATATAAAGTGTATATATGTACCATCATGGCATACTATAAATTGTTGCTTTCATGATTTATTCTACCTGAATGTTTGTTACAGTTGCTCAATTACAAATACAATAAATTGTATCTTGCTAGGTCATTACATCTACATAGAATCCTCAAGCTCTCATAGCTCGTATCAGGCCATCCTTTGGTCGGTTGACTTTCCAGCTCGGATAGAAGGTTGCTTCTCATTCTGGTACCACATGTATGGAACAGGTAAGTTATCTACCCCCCTCATAGCTCGTATCAGGCCATTCTTTGGTCGGTTGACTTCCCAGCTCGGATAGAAGGTTGCTTCTCATTCTGGTTCCACATGTATGGAACAGGTAAGTTATCTACCCCCCTCATAGCTCGTATCAGGCCATTCTTTGGTCGGTTGACTTCCCAGCTCGGATAGAAGGTTGCTTCTCATTCTGATACCACATGTATGGAACAGGTAAGTTATCTACCCCCCTCATAGCTCGTATCAGGCCATTCTTTGGTCGGTTGACTTCCCAGCTCGGATAGAAGGTTGCTTCTCTTTCTGGTTCCACATGTATGGAGCAGGTAAGTTATCTACCCCCCTCATAGCTTGTATCAGGCCATTCTTTGGTCGGTTGACTTCCCAGCTCGGATAGAAGGTTGCTTCTCTTTCTGGTTCCACATGTATGGAGCAGGTAAGTTATTTACCCCCCTCATAGCTCGTATCAGGCCATTCTTTGGTCGGTTGACTTACCAGCTCGGATAGAAGGTTGCCTCTCATTCTGGTACCACATGTATGGAACAGGTAAAGTTTGAGTGGGTCGGTAGGAATTGTGTGCACAAGGTAACTTTGGGTATGGTTTAAACACACAAGGCGTAGTCGAGTGTGTTTTTTAGACTCGCCCAATGTTACTGTGTGCAAACAATTTCACCGACCCACAAAATATATCTGGGTGTCATCTGTTTTATAAAAACAAAAAAACAATTTTACAGGACACTTGAATTTTTTGTTGTTGAATTTCCAAAAAATCAAGAAATTAAAAAAATATTAAAAATTAAAGAAGTATTTAAAAGAAGAAGAAAAAAAATGATATTAAATTTTTGTTGTTGAAAGAATTAAAAAAGATTTTTTGTGTGATTTGCTATTAATTAAATATTTTCAGTTATGTATTATTGATATCATGTGTTTTCTGCCAAATAAAAAAAAAATTAAAAAAAAGATATTCGTCCATAACTCAATTAGTCATTCCCTGGTGTATTCTTTGCAGAACTTGGATTTCTCAATGTGTATACCCAAGAGATGGCTACCGGCTTACGGGAGAATATCTGGACTAAGAACAATAACCAAGGCAACGCCTGGATACTTGCCGAGATTGATACATCTATCGGTGTTTATCATCAGATATTTTTCCAAGCTATTGACCATGTTAATAGTGGCAGCTATACAGGGGATATAGCCTTGGATGATATACAATACACGGAGCATAGCTGCAAATATGTTCGTAAGTGTCTGTACTTTTACCTTTTATGTGCCTCAAGTGTCCCTATGCACAGTCTATTGTTTGCTGTAAGTGCAGATTAGCATGGAGCAATATGTACAAATTGACAGAAGGATTGGTTTGTGCAACACGATGACTTGCAAAATTGCCCATTTTTCGTCTTGATGGGGTACATGACAACCCATTTAACTCCTGTATTGTTGCTCTGGAAAACAGATAAACAATCTTGAAGCTTTTGGTATTAACGTAATAACTACAATGTGGCACATTGGCATTATTAGTAGAACATATAAATAGTTAAGGAAAGTATTATAAAGTTTGGCATGGTTTAGACAATTGTTCTGCTGTGAAGCTTGCTTTCTTGTTCTTGCCATTCCGATGTGCCCTTTCTTAATAACTGCTTCTCATAAATACACTTTGCATGAATGCATACTGCTAAAGTTGAGTTTTGGCAAAGGAACTGCATTTTGAGAGAAACTGCCTATATACAAATCCTGCAGTGCATGGAAATGGAAAATAATCTCATAGACCCAATATATATGTCCCCTCACTTTTACCCTTCTGTGTTACTATTGTACCCCCTGCAGCACCCCCTACCACCGCTCCTACCAGACCACCTGTTACTATTACACCCCTCCCTTTTACCCTTCTGTGTTACCATTGTACCCCCTGCAGCACCCCCTACCACCGCTCCTACCAGACCACCTGTTACTATTACACCCCTCCAATGGGATTGTACCTTTGAGGACAGTACACTCTGCACATGGACTCAAGGTACCAACAACGATATGGATTGGATCATTCAGACAGGTAGCACTCCAACAGTCGGGACTGGACCCCCTGCGGATCACACCACTCAGACACAAGAAGGTAAGAGCTTGTTCAAGATAAATTGTTGAAGATTCTAACCGTTATGTCTGGGAGGAAATTTCGTTTGACTTTCTGGGTAGGGTTGTCTGTTGGTCTACCGAAAACAACAGCCAGGTTGAGGATTCAAATACAGATTTTGAATGCAAGTATTTCCAATAAAGCTCCACGTAGACATAGATGTGAGACAGAGATCAAGAGAAGGATAGCTCTCGCTAAATCTGCATTTTCAAAGTTAGGCAAAATTCTGACAAATCGAACAATGAGTATGAGGACCAGAATAAGAGTATTGAATTGTAACATCTACCCAATACTTATGTATGCTCGTGAAACATGGACTTAGCCTCTGATACTAAAAAGCTTTGTGGAAGTTGCGAAATGTGGTTTTTAAGAAGAATGATGAAAATGCCCTGGACTAACGAAGTAAATGAGGAAGTTCTTACACGAGCTGGAGTGCAAAGGAAATTGATACGTGAGATGTTGATTAGGCAGTTGAAGTTCATGGGTCATATTACATGTAAAGAAGGCCTAGTGAATCTTGCTTTGACAGGGAAAATTGTGGGAAGAAGGAGTAGGGGAAGAAGGAGGATACTTTGGATGGACAGTCTGCAGAATGTGTTGGAAGAGAGAGGAGTGAACGAACTGGGAGTGGTACTAATACAGAAGGCTAGGAGCCGAGGGTTGTGGAACAACATGATCACCAAAGTCAAACGATATGGCACTTAGAGAGAGAGAGAGAGACTTAGTTATGGTTAAGAGTAGAGGGGTGCACTTTGTTTTCTTCTCAGGCGTAGGACATGTAGGAATGGTGCAATCCTCCCTCTAGAGAGTAGGTATCGGCAACCTTCAGTTAGATTTTCAAACATTTTCATTATTTCACCGGCTTTTTACCATATCATCCTTGGTAGTCTTTTCATTTCCATTTCAATTATAGTTCCTATACCCTGTGGAGTGCATGCCATTATTTTGATGATATCATTTTAACCATTATCTTAAGGTCACTACATTGTGATCGATGCTAGCTCTACCAATGCTGATGAGGTAGCTCGTATCTATAGTGAGCCCATCCCCACTGGATCTCAGATGTGCATCACTTACTGGTATCATATGTACGGAGCACATGTAGGAACACTCAACGTTGGCTATGGGAACACAGACGGGAATGAAGGTATGTCTCACGTTGGCTGAACACACTATGAACATGGCAGACAAAGAAAGAGGGCAAAATATACATTTCCTCATTCTACCCTCAACAATTGCTGTGGTAGACAAAGGAACATCCCTTCCCTGCTATTATGTAAAAATGTGTAGAACAGGTGAATATGCATGTGACACCTGTTCTACACATGTTTACATAATAGCAGGGAAGGGATGTTCCTTTGTCTACCACAGCAATTGTTGAGATTAGAATGAGGAACTGTATATTTTGTCCTCTTTCTTTGTCGGCCATGTTCATAGTGACACAAGGCACTTTTCCATTGCTATAATAAAGTTTGGGTCAGTGATCATTTATGATGATATGAAATAACTTGAAATCAGTTACTGATTTGTATGATTGTTTAAATGGGTGTTAGTAAAACGACATCTTTGTTTAAAAAACTCTAAGAAGGTATGTCAAAAAACATTTTAGAGTTTAAAGTCAACCACTTGAATGGTCTCAAATTCCCCATGAGAGCCCACTTCTATGTGTCTTTAAGAATTAAAAAAACCAAACTATTTGACCCATTGTTTCTATTTCTTTGTCTCTCCCTCTCTCTACATCACTCCCTTATTTCAGAGGGCCCAGTGATTTGGACCAAGTCAGGTGCACAGAGTTACAACTGGGAGGTGGGGCGTGTAGCCATCATCACCACGGCAACCAACCCGAAGGTGTATCTGGAAGGCACAGCTGGAGATGGTTACCAAGGAGATATAGCCATTGATGACGTCATCCTGGTGTATGGAGACTGTCCTGCTCTGTGTGAGTTTGTCAATTTCGTACCGGTTCAATCTGGATAGGTGTTACTTTAATCTTGAAAAGGTGTAACTTCTTTCTCTTGCAATTAAAAGGCAACCAGGGATAAATCTGATTAGTTGGGATATGGGCTTGGGAGTTTTCAGGTTGACCTCATTAATCTACATTTGCCACACTCAACCCAGATGATGTTTAATGGGTACCTGGTGGGAATTAATTCCTTGAAATGCTAGAGCGCCGTAATGGCAGCCGTGCTAAAGCCAGGGTAATAATTGGGAGCGCCAGGAGTGTCACGTCTGACAGACATGAGCGCTATACAAGAACCCATTATCATTATTATTATTATTTAGTTTAGGAGTTTTCGGTGATAAAAAACAAAAGGACCTTCAATGATTTACATGATTACATGTGCGCACATATTACACCCCTATTGAAGGACATCAAAATGGTAGATGCTGAACTAGTTTGACTTATTTTTAGTGGTCTTATTGAACACACTTCATTACAATCAAAAGTACCAAGTATGCATCATCAATATCATCATTGCCATTTAACCCACACTGTGATGTTGGATGTTTTATTACCTGATAGCATTTCTCCCAGCCTTCCTCTCTTCATCATCTGTCTGAATGAGGCCAGTTGCTCTTATGTTTTCTTCAAGTGTCTCCTTCCAAGTTTTGTGAGGTCCGCCACAGGGTTTTTCGCCAGGAGACATGGGTTCATAAAATATAACATAAAACTTACAAGATTAAACACTTACATGTATGTGACAACACATCGGTGATGATGATGATGATTCACAGCATTTGTATTGTGCCATATAACTGTTTAAACAAACATTCAAAGGCGCCAGCTCCTCCAGTAAAGTTAGCATTTAAATGTCTGAAGGAAGATGTGAGTTTTGAGTGAAGCTTTGATGTGGTCCAAGTGGTCAATTTTGCAAATAGATGATGGGAGGGAATTCCACAGGCGAGGAGCAATAGAGGGAAATGCCTGCACTTGTCAATTCATTTAAATTCAAAAATGGTTTTTATTAGAGCAGAAACATGATTCATATACAAATACAATTTTACATGAAGGACAGCCTTGGCTGGAATATTCATGTTTACATGTTCGGTACAATAGATAACACTTTTAAATATATACATGTAAACAAACTAGCAATATCAAAAATAAGACTTCGATTCTGTAACTAAAATCCATAAACACATTGCACAAGTTTCCAGAAATACAGCTGTAATTGTTTACAAATGTCCTATAAAAGTCAATACAAGCATGGTAAAAAGATTAAAATGGGTACATTTTAAACAGCCTGTTGAGGGGAGGAGACAAGCACTTAGTATACCTGCAATAACGATAAAAGTACAAAATAAAACAATTTTTTTATTTCTTCAACTTTTATTGAGTATGTCAACTAGAAATGACAGTTGGCTATTTTTAAATCTTTTTGTTTTGAATTGAAATTGTTGATAAATGGGAATACGGCGAAGAGTGATATTAGTGTTTTTTTTCTTAGGTAACCAGGTCTGACAAATAGAGTGATTTGAAAGAGATTTTGCGAATTTTCTACAAAGTGCTAGTCTCCTCTCCTTAAGAGTTGGTAAATTGCATACTTGACATGCATTAGAATAGGTAATGTAACTAGGCCCTAAAATAATCTTACATACTCTACGTTGTATTTTTTCAAGATTATTACTTTGTTTGTGGCTAGTAGCTGAAACTAGTAAATCCCCTCACATTAACAATGCCTGCTGTCTGTTCATAATTAACCTGTCCCCTCTCCTTGGAAGCATTCGATGCTTTGTGATAATCATTCATCTATTTTCTCTTTCTGTATAGTGTTCTGTGACTTCCAGTCTGATGATGCATGTGGGTTTGTTAATAGTGATAATGATCAAATGGACTGGAGCAGGGATCGAGGCCTTTCTTCTGTCTCTACCGGACCGCAGATGGACCATACCTATGGAACAACGGATGGTAAGTACAGTCAAACCTGTCTATAGCGTCCGCCCAAGGGATACCACAAAAAGTGGTCTTTATAGACATGTTCTTTTAGTACATGTTTCAAAGAGAAACCATTTTCTAGGGAAACAAAAAATGTGGTATTTGTATGTAGGTGGTCACTAAAGCAGGTTTGACTCTATATACATTCTTATTTATGGGCAAGAACAATGTGTTTGGTACACTAACCTTGAAAGATTGAAACCTGCTTTTCCACCTTTTTAGAAAGACCGCCTGTCTTTCAAGACCATATTCCTCACTAAAACGTATACAAAATGAACCTTCTCCTAAAAAATGACATTCTTGTCTCCAATGAGCGGTCTTTATATACAGGTCTTACTGTATATCTGATTCTTGTATTACGGAGTAAGCCATCCTAGAGCTTCCATCTGATCAAACATGAATGAAAATTTTACTTTTGATATCAATTTACTCCAATACTTGGTAAGGAATGGGACACCAAATGACCAAATATGTTGGACTTCCCTGTATGTGTTATTAGTATCGCACTATTACAATGTTACAAATGTATATTGGTGCACGTCTTTTAGATACTCTCTGCATAGTCTTTAACAAGTATTGAATTGTCAAAAAAGAATATAGTTTTCTCACCACAGTGTGCTTTTTAATATTTTCTGTATTGTCTTTTCATGTCAAATGTATTTACCACCTCAAAAGTGGCACAAAGTCACCTTCATTGAATGTTGCTTATGTTGTACTTGTTATTAACAGGTTATTATATGCGTATCAAAACGGGACAACTACCCCAGCTTACTGATTATGCACCTTCATTGAATGTTGCTTATTCCACATGTTGTACTTGTTATTAACAGGTTATTATATGCGTATCAAGACGGGACAGCGCCCTCAGGTGTCTGATTATGGACGGCTGCTGTCTCCTGTGTACCCTACACCCCTCAGTGGCTTCAGGTGTGTCGAATTCTGGTACATGATGAGTGGTAGGTACTTACAGGAAATTGAGTGTGTGGGACTAAAAAACAAATAACTTGTGACAATACACCCTTTCATGATTACAAAAGTGCGCATGCGCTGACATTGGCATCATTTTGAATTACAAGTAAACAAAGTTGTTTAACTCATAATTTAAGATGGAGCCCATGGCAGAGCGCACAGCGCAGGCAGTGATGCAACAGTACACACGCATCTGATGTGATGGTTATTTTACCTGACTGCTAAGAAAGCATAACATGCTTGTAAGTAAGCAACCAGACAGCTGACAAAGGGCACTAGCGCATCGTCTTGGTTTTGAACGGATTACGAGACCACTGCTCTACCGACTGAGCAATCGCACCTCCTTAAATCTGAAAACATTAATGATGCAATGTTTACTCAAAAAGTAAAATGGCGGCCTTAACCATGAAAGGGTGTATTGTAAGTAAGTAAAATGTATACTTCATGACATGAGCGGATAATTTACAGGAAACTAGTAACAAGTCCTAAGGTCCTTTGCCAATATTTGATTTAAATGTATCACTACATTGACTTACATTCTCCACACTAGTCCCCAAGGCAGTGAGAAGAAATTTCTTGACAAGCTTGAGAGCCTGATAAGCATAGTCGCTGGCTCATGTGAGAATTGTCATTTGTAGCCTAAAACAGTGCAATCATGAGGGGGTGATATCACAATCATTATTATCTTTTAATGCTCTTTTACAGAGGTATTTGCTGAATTTGTGCTCCATGCCACGTATCTGGACGAAAATGATTACATTTATCCTATTGGAATACAAGAGACTTACTCGGTAAGATAGTCAGAAGAAATTAAATTTAATCTTTTGGTTCATATTAACCAAGGCTATGAAGTGATATATCAGTCAAACATAAAAATGGCTGGTTTTGGGAAATTGCTTAATTGTTTTGTAAACTCACACTTGCAATGTATGTCAACCTACCTGTCTTAAGAATTATTAAAAAATATTTTCTGTTGTTTATTACTGATACCCAAGAAAGGGATGGTTAAATATCATGAGAATTTTTTTTCTCCATCCTGATCATCTATCAATTTTTACTAAATAATATTAGTTTTCTGGTTCCTTCACCCCAAATGTTAATTAATTTTTTTCACCAAATTCGAAAGCATTATCTCTGTATGCTTTATTTTACTGTTTGATGATGTGAGAACGTATGCTATGTAAAAGATTCAAAGATTGTGGTGATTTCTTTATGTCAGGTAAGTGAATTTTAAACTCAAAAACACAAGACTGAAATCTTTGCCTCTGTCTGTTGGTTTGTTTTAACATGTCTGCTTAATAGTAAGTATGTGTATGCTTATAAGTAAGCAACCAGGGGACTGATGGCTTTAAGTTCTCACTGAGGGACTTGGTAATGAGGATTAATGCCTTACCAAATAGCACTAGTGCTTCGACTTGAGTTTGAACCCAGGACCTCAAGATTATGAGACCACTGCTCTGCCACTGAGCCATCACCTCCTGTTCATGTGTCTTTGTTTATATTCTAGGATCCAACTTCTGGTTTCTGGCGTAGGGCATCCCTGGAGGTTCCCTCCAGCAACCGGAACATGTTCGTGTTTGACCTGACCGTCAAAGACCCCATCTCTGGAGCCTTTGTTGCCATTGATGATGTCTATATGAGGAATGGCCAATGTAGCAGTCAACTTGGTAAGCCATACATTTCATAGAGTAATAACGGTTAATGTCGTTAAAACAAATGTTACGTTTTTTGTTTCTCTTCACATTTGTAACGCTATGATACTCAATATGATATAACCTGTACATCGCAGCCGGAAGCTAAAATGTCCTTGGTGCCTCAAACTGAGATTTATTATGCAGGGTACCTGCCAATAATTATGGAATAAATAAATCATAAATTTTCTTCAGGTTCCTGTGACTTCGAAGTAGACACTTGCGACTGGACAAACACGCAGAATGCGGATGAGATCGACTGGCTAAGGCATAGCGGTTCTACAGGCACCCAAGGCACTGGTCCAACGTTTGACCACACCACTGGCACCCCATCAGGCTGGTATATGTACATTGACTCTGCCCTAGGCTCCTTCGGGACCAGGGCCAGACTGGAGTCTTCTAGCATCTATCCTCCAGAGGACTTTGCTTGCTTCAGTCTTTGGTACCATATGACGTGCAGTGATGACAGCAAAAATACACTTACAGTGAGTGACCGAGAACCCAATCATTTAACCCTTTGCTTACGGTAACCTGGCTGTCCCTGTATTAAGCCTTTGGGACCTATAAAATTCAGTAGTTAACATGTTAAATTGCAGATAGAAACTTGTATAGTGGTAAAACATTGAATGACACCGGTAGATTTTTTTCTGTGATCCCAAGGCAGTATAAGGCAAGAAAAACTTTGTGAACAATCACTTGTCTGAGAAAGTCCAGAGGAGTCGATGAAAGCTTGCCAGCGTTGCTGTTTAACTGTTATCATGTCACAGGGCTAATCCCCATTTTGCCAAGCCCCAAATCCCCCCGTGCCAGGTTGTTTTGGAGATAATCTGATTAGCGAGAGAAAAATACACAGCACAGTCCAATGAGCATAAACAATAACTGCTATTATGAATGCTGCATTGCACGCACATGGCACTCAAGCGATGGCTCCCTCGCAAGTACAAAGCACTATAACGATAGCGTGCATGCAGCCTTATGGCAGGCTAAGAGTTATCAATTTGGGGGCTCTTTTAGACTTTTGGGCATTTTGGGGGCTAATTTGCCCCGAGCCCCCGTGTATTTTTTGCCTGCAGAGGAGTCAATGATAGCTTGCCAACATTGCTATGTAACCAACAGGATACATCAGCAAGGGGGAGCATGTACAGTATGTCTGTCAAGATGCTCTTGTGCAGTAGTGCCTACTAATTGTTAGGAGACACAGATTATGATTACCCCAACTCACTAATCAAAGTTTTCTGTAATGTGGGTCTCTCAATGTTTCTGTCACTAAAATTCAGGTTGCTTGGGAAACACTTGATGTGACCACAGTGATCTGGTCTTTCACCGAAGTGGAAGAGAACGAATGGAGCTACATGCAACACAGCTTCATTGTCACGGACGAATATAGGGTGAGTAGCATGAACGCGATTTTAGAAGATCGTCACTGAGAGAATCCTCTTTTACATTTTTTAAATTCTAAACTACATGATCATGGTCCTGGAATTTTATCCCTCGTGTGGTGTATTGATGTGCAGTAAATCCTGGGGAAAAAAAGCGATATAGACACATTTATGTGTTTTTAAACAAAAGTGCCCTGTTGGAGCTCTAACCTACAACTTTTGCATCTTCAATCAACTGTGACACCACTACAATACAAATGATTGGTCTGTTTAATAGTGTTTTTGGCGTAGTGTGCTAAAATAGTGTTTGTTTCTTCTCTGAATTTTTTTTTTGGTCAATTTTGTTGTTCTTACTTTTTTGTAATTTTGTTTTGGTCGAAAAAGAAAAATGGGAAAACAATTTCGATCCTCCCCAATAAATGATCAGAACCAAAATTCTTCGGAACTGAAGGGAGTAGTATTTTCCCTCGTGACCATATTTTCCCACAACGCTGCGCGCATGGGAAAATATAACCACTTGGGAAAATAAAATTCCCTTCAGCAGTCCAAAGAATGTTATATTACACCCCCTGCCAGTTAATATCTGTATATTATACAATGTATGTAGATGATGATAGAGGGGATATTGGCTGACACAGCTTCCTGTGATATTGCTATTGATGACCTGTACCTCTTTGACGGAGCTTGCAGCGCTGACACCACCCCTGCGCCACCGTTCAGCTGTCTGGATGGCAGTGGTATAGTAGATGCTAGTAAGGTGTGTGACATGCGCTCTGACTGTGATGATGGCTCCGATGAAATGAATTGTGGTGAGTCTGCTGACCTTGTTTGTTCTTTCCTTCCGTGTATAGCAAAGCTGAGTTTCACATGTACCTGTCAAGGGATTAACATTATGTATTTTCATCCAGTTACCCACACTTCTACTTAAATTCATTGGCTTGAGGCAATATTTAACAAACCTTTGGTCAGAGCACTGTGGGGTCACTAGCATCATGTCTGGGGGGGGGGCAGGAAAGGGGGTACCCTTCTAGGAGGTGGATGAAATACAAATTTACAAGACACAATGGACTAGGTTGTATGTGTGTAAGAGCAATTATTTCATATTCCTCTTCTGTTCTCCTTGGTTTTTTTCTTCCACCCCCCCCCCCCCACCGCCCCCCCCCCCTTGGCCAAACAATTGGGAGCACTTGCCCCCCCCCCCTTCCATAGCTTCCGCTTTAGTATTTTGCCTTTTCTTTCTAATTCATTAAAACACCTGTATATAACTACCACCTGTTTATAAAGACCACATTCTTTTTCCCTTGAAAGTGGTTTCTCATTGAAACATATACTAACAGAACCTGTGCATAGAGACTTACTGCCTTTAAAGACCACTTTTCTTGTCTTCCTTGAGCGGTCTTTATATACAGGTTACACTGTAATACCCAGTTACACTTTGCAAACAACATGAGATATTTCAATTAATCGTTCTTGGTCTTGAAATGTGAAACCAAAAGTTCAGGTAGGTTCATATCTACTATAGATAAGTTTTCTTTCAAGGGGAAATCCCCCGATTTCCAAACATTTCATTTTTGTAGCTTTTATCTATGTTTTATTAAATATGTAGGCCTCCAGCATATATAATGTATAAGGCATTCGTACAGTCTGATTAAAGCCAGTTTTCAATCATAGGGTATTAAAATGAACCTACTGCATACAGGAACCAGGTGGCCCTTTTATCAAGTCCTAGGGAAACAGAGAATTCAGTAGCCAATGAGTTGATCAAAAGAGCTTCAGTAAATTAATTAACTTCAATTTCCTGCAGTACCCCATCTTTTTTCAGTAAGTCATATAATGTGCCATCAGCGTGGTGCATGCCAATTATACCGAGGTTAGAAGAGGTTAGATTTCATTATGAAACATAATCTACTTAGTGTTACAAGATTTCTCTTCAAACAGCTTGAGTAATGTACATGTATGGATATTATACTGGTCTTTCTTATTATACCCAGTTACACTTTGCAAACAACATGAGATATTTCAATTTATCATTTTTGGTCTTGAAATGTGAAACCAAAAGTTGAGGTATCTATATATCTACTATAGATATATCTTCCTTCAATAGGGAAATCCCCTGATTTCCAATCATTTTATTTGTGTAGCTTTTAGCTATGCATCTAAACTGTGAGTGATTCTTGCAAGTGTAATGTATTATGCATTTGTTAAAGATGATTCTCTGAACATGTAGAGTAATGTACATGTAATGTACATGTATGAACATATCTGCTGACCCAAAGGACAGTGATGATGTTAGATCTGCCCTTGTCTCACTCTCTTTGTGTGTCAGTGACCTTCAGCAATGGATGCAGCGCAATATGCTTAAGTTGAACTGCGAAAAGACTGAATTTCTTGTTGCTGTGAGTCCTCACTTCAGTCATCTGGTGTCTGACATTACCCTCACAATTGGTGATGCAGACATCGAGCCCTCAACAACTGTCAGGAGCCTTGGTGTGGTGTTAGATTCTTCACTGAGAATGAATCACCATGTGTCATCACTTTCTAGTACGCTCCACTTCCATCTATCTAATATTGCTCGGATCAGACCCTACCTAGACAAGTCCGCGTGTGAGCATGCTGTACGTGCTCTCGTCACATCTAGGACTGATTTTTCCAATTCTCTTCTATGTAATATTTCTATGTCAAATATCAATCGCCTGCAACGAGCTCAGAACCGAGCAGCAAAGTTGGTGTTCCGTGCTAAGAAGCATGACCATGCCTCTCCTTTCCTTCGTCAGCTCCATTGGCTTCCAATAGAAAAGCGAATCACATACAAAATTCTCACAATGACCTACAAGTGCATCCATAAAATGGCTCCCTCCTATCTCCAAAACCTTCTCTCATTACATCAACCAGGAAGGCATGGTCTGAGATCTGGCAACGACCCAACCTTGCTCTCGGTTCCCAGGAGTCGTACACGCTTTGGGGATCGATCTTTTTCTGTTTCCGCACCACGTCTCTGGAACAATCTCCCTCAGGCTGTACGATCTTCTCCTTCTCTCGCTATCTTTCAACGTTCCTTGAAAACCTTTCTCTTTAATAGTTGACTTTATATATTTTTGTGTACGTAATTTTATTGTTTGCTATCAATGTCAATTAAGTAATGTAATGTTGTAAAGCGCTGTGATACACATGTATGTCTGTAAGAGCGCTATATAAATGCCAATATTATTATTATTATTATGCTGCTCAGATTATTATAAAAAAGAAAAAGCTGGCTTAGTGAGTAATTTGGCAATGTCCATGATAATACCATACAGGAATCTGCTCCTTTGAAGATGATGAATGTGGTTATATCAGCGATCCAGCGGGTATGTTTCCATGGGTACGGCAAGGAGGCGGTGTCTCAACCACCCCACCTCCCAACCTCCTTCTTCCACCATCAGACTACCAAGGCGCAGATGGGACATACATGATTGTAAACAACACAGCGACGCCCACGGTGGGCGGGGACTATGCCAGGCTTGTAGGTCCATGGATACAGGAGGCGGGGTCTAGTTGCATCATGCAGTTCTGGTACTATCTTTCAACAGCAGGTAAATAGTAAAGTAATCAGATAATTATAATAATGATAAAGGATGAGGATTCTAATAATGACAGTGATAGTAATGATAATAAGGATAATGATATTAATAATGATAGCGATAATGATAATGATAAAGATCATAATATGTTTAATGGAGGTGCCGTGTAGAGGAGAATGTGTATGTGTATTTATTGGGTTTTTACAGTCGTGTATCGATCATATATGATTATTACGTCGGGGGAACGACCTTTAAAAAGTCACAATCCGAAAGACGTGACTCAGTTTCAAACCTGCTCGTTAAGAACCACCTTTGGACATTAACAACCCACTGCACTATTCGTATAAGAGTAGGGGAAAACCCCATTGTAGTGGTCCACCTGCACACCCCAGTATACCAGTATACCCAGATGGACCTTGTGGAAGATTAGCCATGTGCCAAGCAAGCTATCCAATAAAGTCTACTACTACTACTAATTGAATTAAAATACTACAAATCATTATAATAATTAATAATGGTAGCAATAATAACAATAATGGTAGCAATAATAACAATAATGATGGTTAAGGTAATAATGAAGATGAAAATAATGTGTAGTAATAATAATAGTAATTATAGCTGAAACAACCAATTACTTTGTAAGCAACGTATAGTAAGGAATATGGTTTTAGTTTGGGTTTAATGTAAGGGTTAGTTATATGATTTGGTTCAGGGTTGCAATCACACCTGCAGGAATCTAGTTACTACAAGATATTGATGTTGGATTAATTGTCCCTTATCTCATATAACCATACATTTATGTTGATTTACTTAATTTCTTTGTAATGTTTTTTTGGGGTAATGATAATAACAATAACAAAAATAATAGTGACAATAATAATATGATATTGATGATGATAATGGTATATACTTAAACAGAATTAAGGGGTAGGTATAGAATTGAAATTGGATTTAGTTTAGCTTGAGGGCTTGTGATAGTTCACATATTTTTAAAGATAACTTTTCTTTCCAATGATTAGTATTTTTTTTCTTAATTTCCAGTAAAAAGGTAAGAAAGGCATGTCAGGTAGCCAGCTAAGAAGATTAATCGTAGTCCAAAGTTATGGTAATGTAGTGCGATTCTATTATAAATTGATGCCTATTATTTGTGCTGAACAGCACAGGTGTCAAGTGAAGGTTAACTAACTTTGTAATGTTTGTGTTATAGATGATATCTTCGTCTCATACAAGACGACACCCATTGAAGAAACCATCATGTATCGAACAGCTAACACAAATGGATATTGGCAACAAGGAATATTCTCTGTGGGTAGAATCAGGAACCCTTTCCAGGTAGGCGTTATTTCAATTTCTGCTGTTCTAAAAGTAAATTCAAACATGAGCGCAAGGATTTTAAGAAATCCAACTCAAAGACAAATATACTATCCAATTGTCTACCTGTTTAAATCATGCTCAGATTACACCATAGGTCGTTGTTCCGGACAGTCAAAAGGTATTGAATTTGACTTGGATTAAAACTAAAAGACGAACAACAATAACGGTTGATTTCTGTTGAAGCCTTTGCATTCATGTTTTTATTATTTTGACGGTTTTTATTAAGAAAATTCACAGACAATTAACTGAATTGACATGGATCACAGTCATGAACATGTTAAAAAGAAATGTGCTCAAACTGACCAAAATGAGATACTAACTTTAACAATTCTTTAACAAAAATATCGTCGGTGGGGTGACAAAACCTTGTATCTCATTTTTTTAGATTTTGATTTTTTTGCATAATTTTGTACCTAATGGCCTACGACACCACCTGATAAATCCATGGAACGCCTCCTTCTCAGTTTTTTAACAAATTCCACACAAACACCCTTAAACTAAACCTCATAACTTTAACCCCCTTTGAAGCTGCACTGACAAAACATTGTAACATAAGATATGTAATTCCTTTTCCTCGTAACTCACACACGGCCTATCAGTACTGAAGTTAGTGTATTCAAATCCTCGTAACTTATTCAACCAAATCCTCGTAACTCATTCAGAGTTGAAAGTAAGAACTCGTATCTCAATTTGAATACAAACTAAAAACTTGATCTTAATGTAGATAAACGCAAAAACCTTGTAACTCACTTTCAAATATGAAAACAATTATTTTACTGTATTTCAACAATGACATTAAAAATTGTATAAATATTCCAGTTTTAAAAAGAAAGGATGGTGTCACAGCTCTAAATTTGTTGAGACAGGAATTTTTTTTCGCTCTCCTGAAAATTCATGATTTTTGAGATACAAGGTTTTGTCACCCCACCGATGATATGCTTTTTTTTAATACAACTATGATTCATTGAACAAAGTATATCATCTAATCACCTGTATCTCACCCAACCTCTTTTTGTTTCTTCAACTAGTAGACCATTTTTGTTATGCAATCAAATTTAACGCACAAATTTTTGATAAGTGCCTCGGTACAAATTATTTCATTCATCTGTTACAAATGATCGTATTTCAATAGTCAGAATGCAAATTGCATATATTACTTGTTAGGTACAACAAACCATGTTTTTACTACCTCACAGCAATTAATGTATGGTATTTGCATCCTGACTATTGAAATACAATTATTCATAACAGGTGAGTGAAATAATTTGTAACAACGCACTTACAGACTTGTGCATTAAATTTGATTACATTATGACAATGTTCTATTCCTCCCTCTATTCCATCCATTCCGCGTTTAGATCAACTTCCTAGGGCATCCTGGAGTAAGTTCATCGGGAAGCATCATAGCGGTCAGCGATGTCCTTCTATCAAACTGTGGGTTCCGTGAGACGGAAGGCTCGTGTGGGGTCGGAGAGTTCACCTGTTCCAACAGGGCTTGCGTTGATATGGACCAAGTCTGCAACTATGCGGATGATTGTGGCGATTACTCTGATGAAATAACATGTGGTGAGTGCAATATGTGACCGTATACATTGACTCCATGCTCCATAGAGCAGTATTCATTGCCAGCGCCCCCCCCCCCATGAAAAAGTAAAATGTATGCAAATTTAGGTTATTCTAACTGCTTTCATGATCTTTAGAGATAAATGTTCATGTGAGGTATGTCTATTTTAAAAGGATTTTCAATTTCCATCTGAAACTGATGGCAGCTAATGAACATATCATATAAATCAAAATTTGTTCATTGAGTTAACTTAAGATTGTATGTGTTTGAATAAAGAACATTTCTTTTATGTCATGATCATTGACTCATTGCAAATTCTATTTCACCTCATTTGTATTTCTCCTTTCAAAGACCCTGACAGATACACCGGTAGATGCGACTTTGAATCCAACCTGTGCTCCTACACGCACCTGCCTGGTGATTACCTATGGATCCGTACATCAGGAGCCCTCACCCCTGATACCCAGTTCGCCCCCACCCGTGATCATACATCCAACTCTGCAGGAGGCCATTACCTGCTTGCCGATGGCCTAATAACATCACCAGGGGATATTGCTCGGATGGCATCACCGACATTCCGCGCCACAGGTCTTACATCCAACTGCGAGGTGGGTATAAACTGCCCATCCGAACCCCAGTCCGTCTATCTTTATTTCACAGATCGAGTGTGCATCATCTGTTTAAGGTGCTTTGCCAGTGTACATGTATAATGTGTAAATTATCTGCCCAATATCACAATATTTTCCTGTATATTTTCATTAACTATTAACCACAATTCAATGGACCGGTTTACTAACATATTCAAATTTATGGTTGTTTTTTTCCGTGGGACATAGTGACGAGTTATTCCATTAACTGTTTATAAATGTATGGACTACAGTACTTGTTATCCAGTCTGCATACATTATGTGTTGCTATGTTGGGCAAGCCTCATACCAGCCGTCTCGTTTTAAAAGTATGCATAAAATATTTGAATACGTTATTAAACCAATCTATTAATGTTTAGCAATTTTGATGTGCCATAGCAATATTGCTATTTTCAGGCATAAATGGTCACTCTTAGCCTGAAATGCACAGGATTTCTCTGGCAAGTATTCCATATACAGTAGATGAAAAATGCTCTGTGCAACTGTGCATATTTATTTTATTCACTTCAATTTTAATATTTGTGTTATCTTCTGCAGATTCGACTGTACTTCTTCGGACATGGTACCGATACTGGAGTAATAAATATTTACACTCGAACATCCGTAGGCGGCCCCCTCGAACTTGAAACGAAGCTCTCTAATTTTGCCACTGATAGTTTTTCCTATTATGATGAGGATTTAACCGTTCTGGACAATTTCCAGGTAAGCAAATTTGTATCATATTGCATGTACTCGAACATCTTCAGTTTCATGTTGTTAATGTTATAATGTCGAGCAATGAAGTTAAGACAATAGGACTTCAGTTTGTTGTATAACTTGTAGGGTTGCATCCACGTCCGCTGTCTGCAAATTTGCCAGTATCTGCTAAGTAACAGCATCATATTTTTAAAAAATATTTTAACATTAGTTTGCACATGCATACACTACATATAGCTTAAACAGTATACATGTGTACCACATTATGATAAAACATGTGGAATCATGGAGATTGTATACAATTTGGGCAAAAAAGCAGTCTTCAAATATTGTAGGCATAAAAATGATTACCACAAAAGTCAAATATATCAAAATCATAGTTTAAAATTAGTCATAAAATACAGATTAATAGAGCTTCAACAAATCAAGGTGATGTATGTAACGAGACATTTGCAATCGATGGCATTAAATTCTACATCAAATCAACCTTGTTGACTTAAAGTTGCTCATGCGTGGGTATATATAGGGCAACACACGGGCGTACGCACAGGAGCGTAATACCTGTTGGTTCAGTGTTATGTAGTGATCGCCAAGTTGCCTAATTCACGAACGACTATATACCCATGCTTGAACATCTTTAATACTGATATTCCTAATCAATCCCAAAGGTCGTCATAGAAGCAGTTGCGGGTAGTGGACCGAATGGTGCAATCGCCATCGATGACATCAGCTTCATGAACTGTGACCTTTCGAATGATCCACTTCCTGTTGGCAGTACGCTCGTCCCTCCGACCACTCAGATCCCCTGTCCCATCGCCTCTGACTACCAATGCGGTGATGGACAGTGCATACCCAGGGATCAAGTCTGTGACTTCATCACACAGTGTGACAATGAAAGAGACGAGTTGTATTGTGGTAAGACATCCATATATAAGGACTCTTTGCATCACATTTTTCATTTGGAACATAATTACAGTCAAATCTGCTTCAGTGACCACCTGACTACAAAGACCACCTGTCTAGAATGACCACATTTTTTTTTATTTCCCTTGAAAATGGTTTCTCATTGAAACATGTACTAAAGAAACCTGTCTACATAGAACACTTTTTGTGTTTCCCTTGAGTGGTCGCCATAGACGAGTTTGACTTTATAATGATGAAATAAAACTCCCCAAAATTGGAATACCAGTGCACTTGTGATAGCGTTGTTATAGGCCTAAAAAATGTTGATTTGCTCGTTCGTTGGTTGGTTGATTGCTCTTTAGCTGTGTTGTTGTTTTTATGCATAATTATCGTGTAATATTTGCAAGGAAGTAGCTACTAGTGAATTTGTTTGCCATCCATTTCGAAGCCCATTCTTACCATAAACCCTCACCTTAAACACTGTGCCCACTTCACTTCACTTCAACTAATTTTCATTTCTACCTTAGGTGCATGTGAGTTTGACGATTCAGAGACATGTGGCTCGGAGAACTTTGGTTGGCAAATGAGAGAGGCTGGCTCTGATTCTGATTATCTTCCCACCGATCACTTCAACAATGCGTCAGGTAAGACCGCACAACTTCATAATAAAGGTTTAACCTTTCAGGACAGGAATGATCTTTTAGGGCTAAATGTCCCTGAAAACAATATACATGGGCGAGAATGTTATTGAAAAGTTTTTTAGAATGGCCAGTTTTGATTAAAAAACAATAATTATTAATCTCTCAATGTGTTGCCAATTCGAGGACTTTAAAACTCATTTTCCTTTTTTAAATTCCCAGCATCAAATACAATATAGTCATTCAAACAAAAATAGTGTATGCAGAACATTTCACCCTTCCTACTAAATTCTACTAAGTTATTGAACCAAACCACAAAATGTGGAATAAATGTTGCAAACTGGTTGAAAAGCTCGTATCCATCCCGGCAGAAGCTCAAGGCACCTATAAAGTACTGTTATTACCATGGCTTTAGCCCAGCAGCATAAGTCGATAAAAGCATTATCGGATTAAATTTCTACCACTTGCCCTATCATGTATCGTTGGCTTTTTGCATTTAGTCGCTGCTTATCCTGAAGCCTGTAGTCTATATGGGCGTTAAAAAGGTTCGGTTGTTGGAAATTGGTAACTATGCAAAGCCATCGTGTTGCACAATACAAACCTTACGCCAGTTGGTGCCTACTGCTTTGTGCCGATAAGCACATGTAGCAAGCAAGCATCCATGCAGAAAGGCGACAAAAGTAAGCAAAGTGTTTAAGTCACTATGCTCACAGTTATTATTTGTTCCTTCCTTTCACTGCAGCACCTGGCTTCTATCTAGAGAGCATTTATGGCTACAACACCCTGACAACCCCTCTGGTTGGACCCACTGGACCAGCCTGTCAAGTCGAGTTCTACTACTACATGAGTATGTCATCAACTCAGTTAGAACTGCGTGTGCGAATAGAGGATGGTCAGCAGCTCTTTGTGGTCAGGGGGAGCCAGAACCCTGGAACATGGGAATATGGAGTGGCCTATATCGGGGTCTTTGATGAGCAGATAAAGGTACTGAAAGAAAGAGGGTTTTTATTCCCTCTATCTCTCTCTCTCTCTCATGAAATGTATCTGAAAGAAACTGAAAGAAAGAGGGTTTTTATCCCCTCTATCTCTCTCTCTCTCATGAAATGTATCTGAAAGAAACTGAAAGAAAGAGGGTTTTTATCCCCTCTATCTCTCTCTCTCTCTCATGAAATGTATATCACCGCTGCCACCAAATAAGTTTCACAAAGCTTTTTTTCAATGACAAATGACAAAATTCAGTGACAAATCTGCTGATAACCAATCAGGTGCAAGGATTTCAGTAGCTTATAACAAAAACTCATTTTTCACTGATGACAAGTTTTGTGAAACACCCCCCAGATTGCTTGTTTGATGTTTAAACTAATTTTGAATTAATGTCACCATTTTGAATTACCTGACAAGATTCATAAACGTTTGTGTCTAATTACCACAGACCTTTATCCAAATTCCCGAAAAACATGTAAGATGTTTTGTACTGACCACTAGTTCATGAAATAACATCGTGCACTGTTTTTGTGTAGGGCATGTAAAAACAAAAGACTAGATTTGTCCATAAGTTCAAAGGTACGTAATTTGCTCACTAATCACAACTTACTGTATTAACATCTAACCAAGCATTCCATTCTTGTAAAGTGCACGATCACATTATGGTATCACGTCCCTATGCACTCCCATTGAGTTTTTGAAACTATTACCCCGGTTTTAGCTTTAAGTAATTTGAAATTTGTTTTCTATCTCTGTCAAATTCAATTTTATACCACCCTATCACCTCCAGTTTTATAATTTGGCAAGTATTGATACATGTCAGCATGCCCCAACCCTTAAGTTTCTTAATCAAAAAAATGATGTGCTGTGTCTAGGGGAATGGTTAGACGTTAAATTGTGGCCCTGTGTAGAGAAGAGTCAACACCTTAACACATTAAGAACCCACTGCACTATTCTTATAAAAGTAGGGGGAAGCCCTGATGTAGTAGTCCATCGGTTTTGCACACCCCATTCAGTTATACCGGGAGGAGAGACTGAAGTGTTCCAGTGGTTTATTTCACTTTTCCTCTCCCAGGCACAAGTGATGAAAAATACCTAACGACAATAATAATAATAATACTCAATCGAATGATTATAATTGTTACTCAATGACCATCTCTTCCATTATATCTCAACAGCTGAGCTTTGATCACATTTACCTGTTCCCAATTGATGGTCCTTCTGCTTTTACAATGGCGCTGGATGGCATCAGTTATCTTCAGTGCCTTGGCAATTCCTCCGTATCTCCAGGTATATCTTCTTCAATATTTGATGTTCATTATTATGAATCATATGCACTGATGTGGAGATACCTGGAAGTAGTAGGGTTAATGATTGGGTTTCGGCCTCTGCTAAGTTTCTGAAATCTGGGTGTTTCTTCATGAAATCGACACAAGTATGATTTTAGGACATTGCATTAAACTTGTGTTGAATTGCCTGAACATTATGATGTGCATTGTGCAATGGTGAATGCTTATATAATGCACATGTTCATAATGTTGTGATGCTCCAGGCACTACAACATATTATCTTGGTTATAACAGGCGCCCAAAAATGTGACCTGGGATATCAGGTACCCATTTTCACCTGATTTAATGAGTTGTCAAAGGACGTTAGTTATAAGCTGGGATTGGAACCCTCAATCCTTGGACTGAGAGTCAAGTGATTGATCCACTATACCACTGTACCTCCATAATTGACATGACCAGGGGGTGTTTCACAAAGATCCCAAGTTGAACTTAACTCTAAGTTGGACTGAAATATTATGGAGAGCCATTTGTAGCCTTGAAATAAAATATATTAAAAAGCAAAAATTCAAGTATATTAGACTTTTTATAAATTCCATATCGAGAACATGAACTCTCCTTGATAATAGGAAATATAAATGATTTGAATCAACATTCTGTGCCTTTTAAAATAAATTTTACAAAATATTTTCATAGATGCTAACGGCTTTCCATAATTTTTTAAGTCCAACTTAGAGATAAGTTCAACTAAGGATCTTTGTGAAACACTCCCTGGGCTGTGATCAGAGGTTGAATGCTATGTGTGAAATTGTATCATAATCATTCTCCTCATATGTTATGATATTTGTAGATATAAGCTGTACATTTGAAGATGGTCTCTGCGGATACATCCAGGGCTTGACTCCAGATGAAGACGATTTTGATTGGTCGAGAGCAAGAGGAGAAACAGATTCCGAGTCTACCGGTCCTCGGTTTGATCACACCACTGGTTCAGGTATGTAACCCTAACTGGCCCAAGCGGTTTACCCCGTTTCCAAATTTTATCAAAATATGAACAACACCTACCGTTCAAATGCCTGCACTTCTTTAATCATATCTTGCATTACAAAAATGCTTTGCACAGTAGTTGTAGGACATTCTTAACGCTTTAAAATGATACCACACATTCCCACTTAATGAGATGAGAATTATCGTGAAATAAAAATTAGTTTCCTGTCAGTCCTTTATGTTCCTGTTCTGCGTGTGTTGAAAAACGAATATGTTACATTACATTCTTCAAGATATTGTGATTATCACAAACATCATGAATCGTGAAGTGTATTTGGGAAAATAAAATTTGACAACATGAAGACATTCAAAGTGGAAATAAATGAGGACAGCACACAGTGGTAAGTTAATTAGTGTAAAATATGGATACCATGGATGTCTTTAAGAAAGATGATTTGATTTCACTAGACTCTTCCCTTTTCCTATTTTTATGACTCCAGGGTACTACATGTACATCGAGGCCGACGGACCAGCTGACGGCAAGAAAGCCATTCTCAAATCCCACCCTCAGCGAGCAACCAGCGATGATGGCGTCTGTCTCACCTGGTATTACCACATGTACGGACCAGACGTTGACAAGTTTAACGTCTACATCCAGCAGGGTAGTCAAGCCACGCCCATCTTCAAGCGCCAAGGCACGCAGGGTAACCAGTGGAAGTATGCTCAGTGGACCGTGACGTCAAGTATTTCATGGGGGGTCAGTATACACGCTTTGATTGCCATTTCATACTGAGTTACAGCCTCATTTTCAATACAGTCATTAAAATAATGTCCTTCCATGTAGTTACATCAGTGTAGGTTTTAGGTTAGGAATTTGTAAAAGTTGGATTTGTTTTAGGGTTAGTTTTACTACTGTTTGGTTCAAGTTAGGATGTTACTTAGTATAGAAATTTGACTCTCAAATTGACCATGAGCATGTCGTCTATTCTGAGCCAGAAGGGCATGAATTCTGTGTTAAAACATATGAGTTAATGCCCTTCTGGTTCCAAACAGACGATGTGTAGTACATGTAACCAACTTCTGATTGTTTTTTCTCCAAACTTAACTGAACCACGAACCTGCATTTGATGTCTCTTTCCACCCTTTTGAATTGGTTTCAATCACAGTGTATTCTTTGTCTGATTTTAAGGTTGCTTTTGAAGCCTACAAGGGACTAGGAACTGCAGGAGACATTGCTATTGATGATGTCATTGTACTTGATGGCGCATGCTCTGCACAAAGTAAGTCATCAAAGTTATGAATACATTCTCTAACAGCATAAAGCCTACTAAATATTGACTACTCCTATGAATTGCATGGCTGACAGTTTATCCATAAATAAGATTACAGTACCATTACTTGTCACCTTTGATAGGTTGCTTAGAATTATGTTTTCTTTTTCCAGGGGGGCGTTTCACAAAACTTGTCATCAGTGATAAATGACAGTTTTTGTTATAAGCTACTGAAATCCTAGCCTCTGATTGGTTATCAGAAGAGTTGTCTTTGCCTTTTGTCATTTGTCATTGAAAAAAAGCTTTGTGAAACGCCCTCCAGGAACAGTGTAAAACGTTATATGATGGCAGCAGTGGGATAGTGAAACTGTTTTCTCAGACCTTGTTTACCACTATTTATAGGATTCCTAATAATAATAATAATAATAAACAATATTTATAAGGCGTTTAATACTGGTGTCTCTAAGCGCACCATATTCTGACTTAACAATTATTTACCAAAACTTATAATAAACACACAACTTATACATCTGTTCTTTATTCAATAAATCATGCATATATAATAATAAAAAATAAGATAAGAGTGAGATCAAACATACATACAAGAGGTCAAACATAGGATCAAACATAGGATCGAACAAACAAAAAATAAGACGGTGTGCACCTCCTTTGACCGACTCACAACTGCGGAATATTATTTATGAATTAAAAAGGTGCGTTTTCAGCAAGAACTTGAATTTCCTGTCATACTTTTCGTGCTGTCCTGAAAATGTTGATAATATGGCTTGGATGTTCATTTCTGTCATTGTTTGGAATAATTCTTGATTGTGTTTCTGTAGAAGAGCACTGTTGGGAGTTTTATTTTCATCATAGCGTAGTAGAGCATATGTACTATTTAATTCTTTACTTAGAGCCACAAATATGTGTGGGTTCCTGTAAGTGGGACACTGAAATTGTCACAAAGTGGGTCCCTAATTTATGGAATTACCCATATATATAGTTCTTCTACATGTATATAAATTGATCTAATTATTATTATTACTTATCAATTGATGATTATCACAATTTTTGAAATTCAAATTCTTACAGGAACGTGTGATTTTGAGGCTGGTTTTTGTTCCTGGACTCAAGACTCTTCCGATGACTTTGATTGGTCGATCGGTAACAACGGAGACCCCTCAGAGGGAACGGGACCTCCTACAGACCACACAATGGGAACAGATCTAGGTGTGTTCAATCATTATGTTCAAATATTTATCCATCTTAATGGTTGTGAAATGTGTAATATGCAGTGACTTATCACTAGGGCCCTATTTTACAAAACTTGCCGTCAGTGACAAATGACTGTTTTTGTTATAAGCTAGTGAAATCTTTGCTTCTGATTGGTTATCAGCAGATTAAATACTGTCAATGAAAAAAGGCTTTGTGAAACGGGTCCCTGTTCTACTTCTTTGTACCATGGAAATTGTAGGTCGATGTGTTTGTTTAGTATATCATAATCAAATGCAAGTTTTGTCTTTTGATATTACTATATCAAAAAAGCTATTCAATTAATACACAGGCCTTCATAACTGACAACATTGCCCTACACATTTTTTTGTGATTACGCATGTATACCTTTATAACTCAAGAAAAGACTTACTGCCTTTGAATTGTTAAGAACCATTTGATAATGATGATATGGATAGCTCCACTGGTAAGATTTAATGAATATCTGCACTCTTTAAGAATTTGTTGGGCTGGTGAATAGAAAGAATCAAAGGAAAACGATAGCTTAGTTCATGTTTCATTTCATTTTGATTAGGAATGTTTGCCTACGTGCACACGGCCCAGCCTCCTAGAGCTGACGGGGAGATAGCCAAGCTCTTCAGCCCAGTCTACCCTGCCTCTACCAGTGAATGTCTGACCTTCTGGTATCATGTCTATGGGACCACCGTTGGAAAGCTGGAGATCCTCATCTACGACACTGTCTCTGAACAATCTACATCCATCTGGCAACAGACAGGTTTGAATTTAGAATTATAAAGTAAAGCTATGGTGTTCACATTCTTAAAACAATATAATGATAATAATAATAAATACTTATAAGCGCACTTATCTAATAACTTACTCAAGGCGCTATACAAATCAAAATACACAAATCTCTCTTTCAGAATTTTAACAGCATAATATCGTTAGTAAATATAACCTTTTTAACATGTTTCTGAAAGGTTTCTAGGCATCAAATAGCACTTGGCAGCTTGTTAGGTGCATACTGTTTTGTGCAAAAATGCATGGGTGGTAAACCATTGACCATGCAGAGAGCAAAGAAAGCAACATAAGTTTTAACAAGCATCAGTAGTTACCCTGAATTTTAATGTTTTGATATCATCTTAGAAGCAACTCTGGTAATTTCAACACCTTCACTCTCTCTCATTCTCCTCTACATGTTACAGGACACGAGATGCAATGGTATTATGGTCGTGCCTCTCTCACCCCCTCCCATCCTTACCAGATTGATATCAGTGCGACTCTCGGGGATGGTTTCAATGGTGATATTGCTATCGACGATCTAGCAATCCTTGATGAATCTTGCTCCAGACCAGGTATCCATGAAAATATAATTTAATCAGATTCTCTAACAGCACCATCTTGATTTTTGTTGTTGAAGCAAGAGCTGTGATAACTTTGGGATAGTATCAACCGCATTATTGCTATTGATGATCAATCACTGCTAGATAAATCATGCTTCATACCAATGACCTGTCTTATAAAGAGTTGTGATTGATTCATATCAATCCCAAGTCCCAAATCCCTAATCAATCGCAAGTGTGCAGTCCCCTATCTCCTATGTATCGGTCAAAATAAGGTGTAAGGCAGGGCCTAAGTATAAACAATTTGTTGTTGGTGATTGTTTCTGTTATTGTTGGTGTTGCTCATCATATATATATTTCCTTTGGATGGTGAATGGCTTTTAGTTATAAAGATTCAAATCTTTATAAATATTGTCTTTTTGGGGCATATATTTGTTAGCACTCCACATCAATGTTTTAATCCACACCCCACACCTGCTCCTATTTCCCCTTTACTGTGCATTCACAATTTAGCTTATTGAAGAGTTGTTGGTATATCTGTCTATCTCGTCATTCCGTCAAACTTCTGGAAAGACACACACTCTCATAACATTCTTTCCCTATCAGCGATCCAGCGGGTATGTTTCCATTGATACGACAAGGGGGCGGAGTCTTCACAACCCCACCCCCTGTCCTCCTTTTTCCATTGGCAGACTATCAAGGTGCCAGTGGGACATACATGATTGTAGACAATACAGCAACTCCCATAATGGAAAGAATCAACTTCAAAACTGGGGAAGATATATGTAAAGGAAACTTTTAAAGCCCTGCTGCACTACTTATAGCTACTTGTGCCCTCTATATAACAAACAATCTCCAATCGGTGCCTGTTGGTTCCCCATGATCTTCTTCTTATGTTAATTGAGAGCTGATTTGATGGGATAACCACCTGTAAGTGACCTTGCAGGGAGGTCTAATCCCCCCCCCTGGTTAAACTAGTGTGGACGGGCTGTAAGTTTCTGTTCACTCGATTTACTGGTAACATCAAATTACTTTTGTTCTTCAGGTTACTGTGATTTTGAGCAGGACAAGTGTGGATGGAGCGATGAGCAAGAAACAGACACCAGGGATTGGTTGCGTAATAACGGCGCAACTCCCTCCCCTTACACCGGTCCATCCTTTGACCATACAACGGGAACACAACTGGGTAAGACCAATAATGTCTTGATTAGAAGTGTGAAAATAGATATAGCTCAGTTTTTTAACTCAGTAGTTCAAGTGCGCTGTTACTTTTCCTCGTGAATCTGTACATTTGTAGCAATCTTCACATGATTTTCTATTTCTTTAAACATTATATTTGTCTGTGAACAACAATGTTTGCAGTTATGTACTGAAATATACAAGTTAAAGATGTTTGTATTGAGATATAGATATCTTTTATTTGTATGTTATTTTATTATATTTATTACCTTTACTTTCTCAATTGAACTAGCTCCCCATCAGGTCCCAGATTAATTACAAAATGATTCTTCTCACATTCAAAGACATCCATAGTCTGGCTCCTCCCAATACTGTCCTGTCTGAACTCATAACTATCAGGCAACCATGCCCATACTCCCTTCGGTCCTCTCAAGGCATCACGCTGAACCACCCATCTCCCAAGATGCTACCCACACTTGGTGACAGATCCTTCAGAACTGCTGCTCCCAAACTGGAATAACCTACCCAGATTACTTCGGAACCAGCAATCTCTCAATACAGTCAAACCTGTCTATATCGACCACCAGAAGGAAATTAACACAAAAATGGCCTTTGTAGACAGGTTCCTTACATGTTTCAATGAGAAACCGTTTTCAAGGGACACAAAAAATGTGGTCTTTATAGACAGGTGGTCTTTGTAGACAGGTGGTCACTAAGGCACGTTTGACTGTACCTTCAACAAATATATTTGTTTTGTATTTTCAGGGATGTACGTGTACTATGAGGCTGAAGACAATCCTTATAATAGTTGGGCGGATCTTGTGAGTGAATACCTCCCTCTAACATCAGCATCATGCATAACTTTCTGGTACCATATGTTTGGCAATGGTAAGTGAATCATAATAAAATACAAAATATATAAATAAATAAATAAAAAAACAGTGCTTAAAAAGCACTTATCACCGAGTCTCTAAGCCCTATAACAAACAAGATTTAATGATAAACAATTACATATTAAACGAAACATAAAGAAAATGCAAATAAATCTACAAATTACAATACCTATGAATTTCACATCAATGTGAACAGAGTAAGTTAATCATCAAAAGCAATTTTGAATAAATGTGTCTTAAGACATATTAATGACACCATTCAACCCATTTGCAATTCCGAATTCGATATCACAATAATAATAATATTCTAGGTTGATATAGCGCTTAATACATCAGTAATCTCCTCAGCAACAGTCCAAATTCAAGAAAACCCCCTTAAGGCCTACAAAAAAGATTTTGTATTGCCCTTTAGGTGCCAAAACATGGGTCGGAAATCTTCTTTTTTTTTTCTTCTCCGTCTTTGGGCTGACTTTGCTCAGTTTTTAATGCGTTAATATTTTTTTTCTCTCAAAAACAGTTACAAAAGCTTTTTTAAAAAGCCGACCGTAGATTTAAAAAAAATTGGGGTTGGTCGCAAAGGGCAATACAACATCCTTTTAGGCCTAATGTGGTGTTTTTTATCAGCACAAATATGACAGAAGTCCTTGTGAACAACCCGGGATATGCTGAGATTCAATGCATTCAAACAGAAATTTATAGAGGTATCATACCTTCCAGATGTGCTTAGAGACCCGGAAGTGCTTAGATTTATAAGTAAATTGTGGAGTATTCTCCTCGCGATCTTTTTCACAAATATTTGCAACCATGTTTTTTTTCTATTATAAAGCTATTGGTAGTTTGGAAGTGTACACGATGGGAATGGATGATACACAGATTGGGCCTCAATGGAGCATGACTGGTTCACAAGGCGATGCATGGGTCTTGGGCGCCGCCGACATTGCCTTCAATGGAGAATTCAGGGTAGGTGGACCTTAGTACACAGGGCTAGGGTTTACACAGAGAGAGAGGGAGAGAGAAACAGTGTGAATAGAGAAAGATGTGTAAAAAGAGTGAGAGAGAGTATGAGAGAGAGAGAGAGAGGAGATGGTGGTAGAATATTGGGTCTGGAAAATGTTAATCCAATTTACAAATTTTCCAATGAAAGAGAGTGGGTTAACCATTTGGCTATTGAATCTCATAATTCCTATAGGTTTAACACAGGTACCACATGGTTTGAATAAGTAATGGGTTATTAATGTATGCATCAATCCCTTGTTTTGTTTTTAATGACAGGTTGTTTTCAAGGCTTCAGGGAATGAGGGCGCTCAGGGCGACATAGCTTTGGATGACATTGATATTCAGTCTGGATCCTGCAGTGATGGTGGAGCACCAACAGCTATACCTGTCGTCTGTAAGGATTCTTTTGTGTTACAATCCTTTAGTCAAACAGTGACTACCACAACCATTATAGAAATTATTTAATTTCATTTATTAACTTCACACTCTCCTGTGAAAACATGTGAAGTACAAAATCATACAATACAAAAAGAAATAAACAGACAACAATCAAATAATTGATAAAAGGGAGAAATAATGAGTAAACTACATGTATTATATGGATTGGAAAACAAAATGAAATGTTGCCTGTCAGGGTTATTCCCAAGAATAATTGTATCATCACATTGTAAACAAAGGGAGGGGTGGTCATTGGAATAATACAATTACTGGCTAAGAAATAAAATGATGGTGGTCACAGCATTTTGAATAACTTACTCAATATCATCATATATGAAAAAAATATAAACACAATTGGTCTATTATTCAAGATTACCTATGATTGCAGTGTACAGCTTTGAACCTTCAAACTGGTTCATTCAGATCATTGGTTTGATAGAGAGTTTATGTGTCAATGATTTTCTAGCTGTCAGCAGATATCAATTTATTTTCTTTCTCTCCTTATCAGCGATGGCTTGTACATTCGAAAGCAACATGTGTGCTTACATCCAACTGACCAGCGACCAGTTTGAGTGGAAAAGAACCTATTGGTACTCCAACACTAGAAGCACCGGCCCATCCTTTGACCACACTAGGGGGGATAGTAACGGCTATTACGTCTATATAGATGCCAGTGATCAGAGCCCTGGAGACAAAGCCCAGCTTGCAGCTCCAACTCAGAACCCGACCGGCGCTGGGTCAACCAAGTGTTTAGTGTTTTGGTATCATATGTATGGAGTGCAAGTGAACAGACTGAATGTGTACCTGAGACGTTACAGGTCACAGGTCACCGAGGATAGCATCATCTTCACACAGTATGGCTCACAAGGGAACCAGTGGATCAAGGGAGAGAAAGAGATCACTACCGAGGATACCTGGGCGGTGAGTCCTAGCTTGCCTATCCTTTCTAATGGTTCTAGGACGATTACCTCCTGGACGATTACCCCATGGACAATCACCCTCCGGCCAATTACCAGAAGGACGATTACCCCCTGGAAAACTACCATTTTTAGGGGTGGGGGTAATTGTCCCGGGGGGGGGGGGGGATATCTATGGGGGGTTATTTCCCGGGAGGTAACTGTCCTCGGAGGGTGGTTGTCCTTGGTGGGGGGGGGGGTATAATCCGTGGGGGGGTAGTTGTCCTGATACGCTTTCTATTCTCTCAATTTTGTGAAAATATATATTTTTATATCTCACTGGATTCCACTCTTATTTGCCTTTGTTCGCTCACACTTTACACTTACTCTTTATTATTTGTTCATTCTCAGTGTTGATTGACATTGTTTTGATGTGATATTTTCTCTCATACGACAATGTTAACCTCTTTAATCAGTGACTTATACTGTTTAGAAATGATAGTGTTTCATAGCACATGTACTCTATTTCACAGAATTGAAATGTATACATATACATGTACATGCAATTCATGAATTTTGACAGTTAATAATTATAGGCCCTGACATTTTTATTTGTTTCATGGAATGTGACCACAGACCTGGGGGGGGGGGGGGTATTTCACAAAAAATAAGATTGACTCTAAGTTGGACTTAACTATGACAGGCCGTTCATGCCACTATTTGCTCTCACCATTTACTGGCATCGGTCTCTCAAGGGACTTACAAGTCATGGTCACAAATCTACAGAATTTACATTTTTTGACAATTCATTATTGAAGGAAGAATATTATCTAAAGATCTTAATGTTGACAGTAATCAGTGGCATAAACGGCCTGCCATAGTTAAGTCCAACTTAAAGTTGATCTCAGTCTTTGAGAAACAACACCTAGTATGTTAATATATTTATATAATCCATTTAAAGTTTGATCAAACTTCTGAACTGCTTGTATCTTTTGTTTTTTATGCAGATTATTTATGAAGGTGTAGTGGGAGATGGTCAGTATGGTGATATAGCACTGGATGACCTCAACCTCTATGATGGTGTCTGCCCACAACAAGGTACGCTCTATCTCTCTATCTCTTTTGCTCTCTCTGTGTATCTCTTTCTTTCTCTATCTGTCTCGCTCTTTCTTTCTCTCCCTGTATCTCTTTCTCCTTCTATTTCTACGTATCTCTCTTTATCTCTCCCTCATTCCCTCTCTTACACTCTTACAAACACACACTCTCTTCCCCCCCCCCCCTCTCTCTCTCTCTCCTCCCTTTCTCTCTCTCTCTCCCTATCTCTCACTCCCACTCTCTCACCTTTCCACTCTTTCATATTGTATTTCCCAATTGTATTTTCCTTTATTATTTTGTTAATACTCAAATCTAATTGTTTTGGGAGTCCCAATTTCATCTTTTATGTTAATTTGCTTCACCATACGCTATTCCTCTGTATCTATGTTCAATTCATGTAAACACACCAAATTCCTGTTGATTACCGTATTTGCCGGCGTAAAGGCCGCAGTATTTTTGGAAGAGAAAATATCAAAATGAGTGTGATTTTGAACTTGACTTCTCTCTCCCTCCCTTTCCCTCTCTCACACATACAAACACACTCTCTCTCTCTCCCTCTCTCTCTTTATCTCCCTATCTGTCTTGCTCTTTCTCTCACGCTGTATCTCTTCATATTCTATGAAATGCCTTTAACTTTTTTCTCAATTTCTTCCTAGTTGAGTGTGATTTTGAGCTTGACTTTTCTCTCTCTCTCTCTTTCCCTCTCTCCCACACTCTCTCTCACTAATGCACAAACACACACACTCTCTCTCTTTATCTTCCTCTCCTCTCCCCTCCCTCTTTCTTCCTACCTCTCACTCTCTCTCCCTCTCTGTATCTCTTTCTCTCTATGTCTGTCTCGCTCTTTCTCTCATGCTGTATCTCTTTCTATTCTATGAAATGCCTTTTTTCTCAATTTCTTCCTAGTTGAGTGTGATTTTGAGCTTGACTTCTGTTTCTGGACTCAAGACCAATCTAACTCCTGGCAGTGGTTGAGGAATGCTGGACCAACACCCACGGCAGATACAGGACCATCATACGATCACTCTACTGGAACAACATTTGGTAAGGAGTAGAGGGCAAAAATGAAATTGCTACAATCATTATAGGCCTAAAAAAAAAGATGCTGTACATATGTCGGTAGGTCAGAAATCTTTTTTTGTTTTACTCCCTCTTTGGGCTGATATTTCTCAATTGTGAATGCTTCAAATACATTTTGTCCCAAAAAACGGTAGAAAAAAAACTTTAAAAAAAAAACGACCATAAATTTCTAGATTTTTGGGCAATACAACGCCTTTTTTTGGCCTGATAGTAGTCAAGATAGCATTGCTTTTGAGTGCATGTGGCGATTGCACTAAAAGTTGTTTCCTTGATGACTAGACTGCAAAAACGAAATTGCTACAACCATTATAATAGTCAAAATACACATGTAGCTTTACCTCTAAGTGCATGTGTTTGTTTTTCATTGTACTTATGTCGGTAACAAATGGATACCAAAAAACAAAATGCTACAGCTAGAATGAAAATAGCTTAGGGTTTAAATTCTTCCACGAGTTCATTTAATAGTGATGGAATAATTTATATTTCAGTGGACGTACAGTTAACTTTGGATAACTCATAGACGCACAAGGAATAACATATTTTTAGGCCAAATTATATGCTAAACCTGTGTTAGAGGAGGAGGCGTTGGAATATTTTTAGATGAAAAGTTGTGTTATCGATTACGGGATGACTTGAATCCCACGTGTTCTTCATGTGAAACTGTATTTGTTGAAATTAATATACCTCGATTAAAAAGTATTGGTGTAATCTACAGACCCCCGAAGTCCAGTTTATATCAATATATGACATATTTTGATAAACTTTTGCAAGAACTTTCCAAGGAAAATAAACAAATATATCTCCTTGGAGACTATAATATTGATTTATTGAAAATTACTTCAAATAGTATTATTACTCTAATGAACCAAATTGCGTCACATGGCTTCTACATTCAAATTAACCTTCCAACCCGTGTAACCAACTCATCCCTTTCTATTATTGATAACATATTAACAAATGACAATGATATTACTCCAGGTATTTTTTATTCCTCAATTACTGATCACATGCCAATTTTCTGCTATAAGAGAGGTGTTTATAAAAATGTTTCAGAACAGTCCTATACTTACAGGAAAATCAATGATTTAACGATTAATAGTTTTTTTTGTTGAATTAAGTAATATTGATTGGGGTGACGTACTAAGGTGTATGGATGCTGATAAAGCTTATACTTTATTTATGAATATATTCCTTAAATTGTATGATAAACATTTTCCTCCTACATCAACAAAAAAGAGAAGAAAAAATAGGAAACCGTGGGTTACCAATAAAATATTGAAATTGATTAAGAAAAAAAATAAATGTTTTAAAATATTTTGTCAAACAAGACGTACAAGTGATGAGAGAAAATTTAAAAAAATTAGAAATAAAGTTATTAATGCCCTTCGTAGAGCTCGTCAAGAATATTATAAGAACTTGTTACAATTGAATCGAAATAGTATTAAAAAGACCTGGAAAACAATTAATGAATTATTGGGTAAAAAGAAAAGTCAAATTCCAAAAACATTTCAATGTAACGGAAAATTATTTACTGAGCCTATTGAAATAACAAATCAGTTCAATAATTATTTTATTAACATTGGAAAAACTGTTAGTGACGCGGTACCACAATCTATTCATTCTTCTCATTTTTATTGTCGAACAAGTGTTGTTGATTCCATCTTTTTATCACCTGTACATACGAGTAAATTAATTAATGTCAGTAAATACCTAAGAAGTAATGCAAGTTGTGGAATCGATAATGTAAGCTGTAAAGTTGTTAAGCGGGTTATCCATGCCATTGTATTGCCGTTAGTTCATGTATTTAATCTTTCCATTGTATCTGGTAAAGTACCCTTAAAACTCAAAGAATCTAAAGTAATCCCTGTTTTTAAGAAAGACGACCCCGGCAAATTTGTAAACTATAGACCCATATCCCTCTTACCATGTTTTTCTAAATTAATTGAACGACTGATCTATAATCGGTTATATAAATTTTTAAATATCAACGATATTTTAAGTGACACTGAATATGGATTTAGACCCAGCTATTCCTGTGAACATGTTCTTTTAAAAGTCCAACAAAAAATATTAGATTCATTTCAAGCTAACGAACATATAATAGGGATTTTCTTAGACTTATCTAAAGCATTTGATTCTATGGATCACTCGATACTTTTATTTAAACTACAACAATGTGGAATACGAGGGATTGCATTAGACTGGTTTAGGGACTATCTTTCAAACAGAGTTCAACATACTTTTGTCCTCGGTGTTTTGTCTTCTTCGTTAAATGTCTTTATTGGGGTACCTCAGGGATCAATACTGGGCCCCCTGCTATTTCTTTTATACATAAATGATCTTTGTAAATCTTCTAACTTATTAACCTTCTATCAATTTGCTGATGACACTAGTATATTTTTTTCATCTAAAGATTTGAATTATACTGTGCGCTTTCTAAATAATGAGCTTAAGAATATATCTGACTGGTTAAAAGCAAATAAATTGTCCCTGAATGTTGACAAAACTAAATGTGTTTATTTTCGAAAAACTAAATATAATATAGGATCTAAAATTTCCAAAATTTCCGATATAGCTAGCAATAACGGTCCTTTAATTAATAACAATAATATTCCCATTTATATTAATAATAAACTTATTCAATTAAGTAATTCTGTTAACTTCTTGGGTGTCGTATTAGATAATTGCTTGGGATTTAAGGACCATATCACAAATGTTTTACATAAGATCAGCAGAAATGCTGGCTTGATAAATAAGCTAAAATATAGTTACCCGAAAATTTGATAACTTTATATCATTCCATTATTTTCCCTTATTTGAAATATTGTAATATTGTATGGGCCACTAATGCAACACAAACTGAATTAGACTCACTATTTAAAGTTCAAAAGAAATGTTTAAGAATAGCTACCAATTCTCATTATCTAGCACCTTCCGCACCTTTGTTTAAGAAGCTATCATTATTAAATATATATGATATAAATAAGCAAGAAATCGCAACGTTCATGTACAAATATAAAAACAAGTTGTTACCTGCCCCCTTTTCAGACCTCTTTCAATATAATAGTCAAATTCATAATTATAATACACGGCTTTCCAACAAATTTCATTTATGGTCTGTTAACTCTAGTTATGAAGCTAAATCAATGAGTTATCTAGGTCCTAAACAGTGGAATATGATTCCCCAAGTAATAACGAAATCACAATTCATATCTTCCTTTAGAAAACAATATAAAATCTTACTACTAAATAATTATTGATCAGCACAGTTGTTGATTTTTTTCCCTTTTTTCTAATTTTATATCTGAACCCTCTTTCATTGTTATCTTGTTTTCCTTTCCTTTCTTTTCCCCCTTTATATATTGTTTTTCTTCTCCCTATTTTACTTTCTCTTGTCTTATAGGTAGTTGAAGTGTTTGTACTTTGCTTATTTTAATTAATTTATTGTTGTGTGCTTATAATATGTTATATTTCTTTTTGTATTGTTTTTCATTCTTTAATGGGCGATCCAACTTCACAGGTTTTCACAACCTTCATGGAAAGCCCCGCATATAACCTTTGTAAACATAGTTAAAATTTACTGTTACCTGGTATATTTTGATTTTTATATTGCGAAATAAATTGAATTGAATTATTCACCCTTTATTTTGCCTACTTCTAACTGTTCTTGGTGGTTCCAAGAGATATTTCTTAGCTAAATTAGTTTTTTTGTTCAAAATTAAATGCTGTTGTTAATTGGATATCCCAAGTCATATTACAATGCCAAAAAATACAAATCACACTTAGAGAAATATAAATAAGAAACATCTGTCCTGTCATTCCCTCTTTACGCTTTGGATAAACCTTCCACAACCCTTCTCTTCCTCTATCCCAGGTTATTATGCATACGTTAGCGCATCCGATGCTTCTGCTGGGTCCAAGGCGCTTCTCTATAGTCCCATCTACTCAGATACAGATATGGAATGTCTAAGATTCTGGTACCATATGTATGGTAGTACCTTGAGCACACTGACCATTTACACAGAGGACCAAGTAACAATGAGTAATAGTGACCCCTTGTTCACTAGGACTGGTAAGTTAATCTTACTTAATTGACCATTGGATCCGCCCATAGCGTTTAAAACATGCTTGCATACAATATATTTTATCACCTGACGAAGTGTTGCAGCGAGCACGAAACATCGTGATCTTTTAGATCCCTTGTTGATCATAGATTGCAAGACAAACAAATATCACTAGCGATATTATTTTCAATAAGTTAATCTTATTGGTAAGTTGATATCAATCATGCTCGGTGTTTATAAAGTGTAACTATCCTGATGATTATCATGTTATGCCTTTTGCCTTTTAGAACTGGGTAGACCAAGGGGGTGTTTTACAAAGATCTTAAGTCGAACTTATCTTTCAGTTGGACTTAAAAATTATGGAAAGCCGTTAGCATCTTAGAAAAATATATTTTGTGAAAGTTTATTTAAATGGCATAAAATGTTGATTCCAATCATTCATGATTTCTATTATCAAGGAGATTTCATATTCTTGTTGTGAAATTTATGATAAGTCTAAAGTACTTGAATTTTTGCTTTTGAATACATTTTATTTTAGGGCTACAACTGGCTCTTCATAAAGTTTAAGTCCAACTTAGAGTTAAGTTCGACTAGGATCTTTGTGAAATACCCCCAGTTGATCCAAACTACTATCTAAGAACAATCTTTATCCTTGTAAGGGGCCTTCAAAATATGATTGAAGAGTCAAATAATATAGCAGAATGATTAGTTCCTTCATAATGCTATTTATTATTCCATTACATGAGTCCACTCTTTGGTTATCCTCTCTTCTTTATTTTGAAGTCCTTTTCTTTTGGGATAACACTCTCAAAATTTTGGTGGTTAAATAACTCTTCATTCATCAATCGTCACTTCAGACGAAGGGATCCCTGTTATGACTACTCAATAAATTTGAGAGCAGGTCAATTGATTGAATGGACATTTTAATTTTTCCTTCTTCATCTGGTATTTTGAATTTTTGTACCGTTGGAATCTAACGTTTGTCAATTGATTCCTGGGGGGTTGGTCAGGTTTGCAAATCATTTAAGTTATGTTGTCCTTCATTGTGTGAGGCCATCCTTCGTTCGTTCGTGTCTCCTTAGATCAAGATTACTGTAATCTTGATCTTCGGAGTAGTTGCTACAACCGGCCGTGTCAGACACGTTGCCCCGGGGTGCGAGATAGGACTCTTGTAGCGTGCCCCCATTTAAAACAATTATACAGTTACAGTAATTAACAATACATTTAATTAATAGTATGAAACTATTAAAATTACTCTCATGTTACGGGAATTATGAATCAATTCATTTGGTTGATCCAGTTTGAAGGCACAAACACGGCACTACTGGACAGAGATCCTAAGGGGTCAATTATAATACCCCAATCTATATGCTACGGAAATCATGTTCGGATAACTTAATACCTAAATGTCATGTTTGCATATATTTAAAAAAGGTGTCGAACAGGGCGATCAAAATTGATTTCCGGTGATTTCTTAATTCTATACCATCTTGTTAGTTTTATAGTGGTGAAATGGAACTGCTTCAAATTAAATATTTTTAAGTTACTGAGAATAAGTAAAATGAAAATCAAAGTCAACTTTACAAATGTCATTATAGGCAATCGCAAAGAGCTTTTAAGATTCGTCACCCTTGATCTTACTTGATCTTACTTTGCAACATGTATTTTAATCTTAGGTCCGTCCAGTGATTCTTGGAGGTTTGGTCAAGTGAGTATCTCATCTTCTCATCGCTATAAGGCCGTTATCGAAGCTAAGAGAGGAGACGGCGTCCAGGGAGACATTGCCATTGATGACCTTGAGGTCATCAGGGGGTCATGCCCTCCTCCAGGTGAGGTCATGACCTTTGACCCCTTTGAAATCTCCTTCTAAAGCTTGTGTAATGCTAGTAAAGTATAAATATGCACATTAACTTAATACCTGCTGTGCCACTTTATATTTTTCAGGCCTGATAAAAACCCGATTTAAATCGGTTTCCCGATTTTTTTGATTTTTCCCGATTTTTTCCCGATTTTTTTTTTCTTCCCGATTTAAAAAAAAAAAAAAAAAAAAAAAAAATTTTTTTTTTTTTTTCTACCAGATTTTTTTTTTCTTCCCTTTTTTATCCTGATTTTCCTGATTCCCCCCTTATTTTCTCTATTCTTCCCTATTTTGCCCTATTTTTTTCTCCCAATTTTCTTACTCGAAAGGGGGGAATGTTGTTAGATGCCGTTTTTTCCCCGCGAATCGCCTTTTTTTTTTTTACTCAAGGGGGGCGTGGTTGAGGGGAAAATAAAAAACCTATTTTTTTTTAGTGCTCACTATCACCCCTGATTTTTATCCCCTCGCCGACAAAGTAGGAGGGGATATAGAAACGCTGCCGTGCGTGCGTGCGTGCATCCTTCCGTCCGTCCGTGCGTCCGTAACAAATTTGGTTTCCGATCGATAACTTCAGTAATGATTGGCGGATTTTTATGAAATTTGATATGAAGGTACATGATATCAAAATACAGGCTAAGGTCGATTGTGGAGTACGTAGGTCAAAGGTCATAGCTCATTAAATATGCGAAAAAATACACATCTGGTTTCCGATCGATGTGTGACAGATTTTCATAAAATTCGATATGAAGGTATATGCTTTCAAAATACAGGCTAAGTTCAATTGTGGAGTACGTAGGTCAAAGGTCATAGCTCATTAAATATGCGAAAAATCTGGTTTTTGTTTGATAACTGTAGTAATGGTTGACAGATTTTCATTTAACAGTATATTCTAATAGAGCTAACTTGTTCTGACATATATAAGCCATTTGTACCCAGCGAGGGGATGCTACGCTTTGCGTTGACTTGTCTATATTTGAAAAGCAGCATAGGAGAAATGGTGACAGTTTTACCTACACAAGTATGAATCATTATTATAAGTTTGAACTGGTAGATCTTTGTTTACATTAAAAAAAATTGATCTACAATGTGCACATGAAACTTACTTCCTCATGTGCCATTTGATATTTCTTTAATTTAGAGTTGAATAGATAGAATGGTTCCATAAAATATGTATATACATCTTATAAGGTTATGAAAAGATTACTATGTCCTGTTGCTTCTGAAGCCTTTTTCTTCTCACGTTACTTTGTCATCAGGTTTCTGTGATTTCCAAAACGATCTTTGCGGCTGGTCCCAAGAAGTAGTCGAGGACGAATGGGATTGGCTAAGAACATCTGGAGGAACAGACAGCTCTAATACTGGACCGCAGGTGGATCATACCTATGGAACAGGGGAAGGTGTGTTGATCGATGGGGGCATGTGGGTGGGTGGGTTGATGGGGGCATGTGGGTGGGTGGGTAGGTGGGTGCGTGTGGGTGGGAGGGTAGATGCGTGCGTGTGTGCGTGTGTGTGTGATTTTCCATGGATGTACAGTCAAACCTGCTTTAGTGATCACCTGTCTACAAAGACCACTTTTTTTGTTGCTCTTGAAAATGTTTTTTTTTTAAACATGTACTAAAGGAACCTGTCTACAAAGACCACTTTTTGTTTTTTCCTTGAGCGGTTGCTATAGAGAGCAAGTTTTTATTATGGTACAGTTCAGTCAGAAACTTTAAGGTAGTAAAATTTAGTTGGAACAGCTCTGTACATGTATTATACTCTATACATGCATAAACTTTGTAATTTTGTTAAATTTGCAGTTCTGGTCCTAATATGATTCAGAAGTATGGACAGTGATGAGACTTGTAAATTATCTATGTACACTATTGACACAAGTTTTAGCTTACTTCCACAGGCATAGCAAACCAGATGATATGTGTGTGTGTGGGGGGGGGGGGTTCTTTTGTGGTGTAATATTGAATGTCTAATTATTCTCTTTTGTATTTTGCAATATGTTCAAATTCTTATAAGAATCATAGGTAGGCCTGTAATAGTTGATTCTGTAGTTCATGGTTACAATGTGTGGTGTAGCAACAGGAATATCAGCAAATCATTAAACAAAATGCCTAATTGTATCGCTAGATTATTTTTGTACTTTGAAGACGAGGCAATGAACGTAATGAATTACGAATGACATAGATTTTTAATGATCTTGCTATAACGTTGATAATAATGATAATTGTTATTTTAAACTACTTCATGTTAGTTCGCGAGGAGTTTTAACCCCACTTGAAATCTGTCCATTTTATCTAAATCTTATCAAGGCATTTTTTAATTAATCTGTCTTGCATTGTAGGCTATTACATCTATTTTGAGAATTCCTATGTGACATCATCGACGATTGGCCAATCAGCAATGTTAAACAGTGAACACTTTGATGCAGTCGGGTCCGCTTGTCTGAGCTTCTGGCATTATATGTATGGAGCTGGTAAGTACAACAGTTCTTTGTAAATTTCACTCAATCCAACATCACTTATGTATACTCATTCTGATCAATACATATGGAAACGTTTGCTTTGATTTGTCTCATAAAAGAAGTTAACAAAAAATTGACTCCCACACGGTGTTGAGTGCTTAGTGGTCACGGGCCACTGTTCATCGGGCAGGCAGTTCTATTATGTGAATGGGTAAATTAACTATTACGAAAGGAGGGTACACATTACACACATTGTACTATAGGGACACACATTGTTTTTATTGTGCAGAACATACTCTTTTATTGACTTATTGAATGAAACTAGAAAACCAAAATGCATTTTGTATTCTAACAATTGGAGTACAAAGAATAATAACAGGTGAATGAAATGCATAAACACCCCCAAACACCTGGGAAGGAAGCATTCGTACATTTGAATACATAATAGTTGATAAACAACTCCGCATAAAACTATAAAACCGAAATGTAATAAATTTGCGTTCTGGCAATTGGATTACAAAGAATGATATAGCAGGTGAATGAAATGCTTTAACAACACAAACACCTCGGAAAGAAGCATCCATACATTTGAATAATTTAGTTGATAAAAGACTCCGAATGTGGACGTTTGGTGGAGCAGAAAACAGTGGATTCTTAACAACACGAACCCATTTAACAGAATGTCGGAACGTAAATTAAATTTGGCGCGGTTGGAAAATGCATATTTCTACCCTGCGACTTTAATGGTACGATCCAGTATATTAAAACAGTAAAATGGCTCTTATTTTAAAATTAATCATTAAATAAAACCCTAAACTTCAGTGATCTCCGACAAAATATATTATTTCTTACTAATAATTAAAAAAAGATGTATAAACATTGTGAAAGTGTAGCATTTTACGATAAAAGACACCGATTTAGCGAAAATGACGTCATTAGAACCTGTTTATGTGCGCTTGCATCAGGGAATTCAAGGTCAAAAGGTCAATTCAGACGCTGATAAGTTATTGTTCAAGCCTTTTTGTTTCCTTTTTTCCGACAAAATTATACAATCAATCAAAACAAGTTTAATACCAAAAGAAAGCTTACGATTAGTATTTTCATTAACCGATTGCCCCAAAGTCGCTTGACCACGGTGAAACGAGTGAGAGCTTGCGAGAGCGGCCAAAGTGTGATTGAAACTCGCTATTTGCTCTTCTCCAACGCAAAAAAAGACGACATTGTGCTGGATAAATACATTTTTTCCGACAAAAGTACAGAAAATTTGCAAATGGTCTTTTTATATTATACTTTATGGAATGTTACCCGAGTGACTTCCGGGCGCCCCAATGCTGGAAAGAAACGCACATTTGATAAAAATTCACTTTTTCATGGAAAAATGCTTATTTGTTCTATGCACGCAAGTCAGATTGAGCGGATGATACAACGTTTCCATATGAATCTTACCTTGATGTTTTTTTCTAAGAGATGGAATTTAGTCAAATGCTGGCACAACGATTGTATAATCATTACAAAAAGCATACTGTAGTTTAAACAATAAAGATATCACATTCATATAACTTTGTTAACAAAATAATGTCAACGATTACCTTCCTGAATCTTTCAAAATGCTACAAAGTAAATAGAATATGAGTCCCTCATTCACCTCTGTCTTTCATTCTCTATCTCAAACCTTTTTTTCTTCTTTTACTCTCTTTCTTGCCATCACTCCCTTTTTTCTCTCTCTTTCTCTCTCATTGTCCCTTTCTCTCTTTCTCTCTCTCCCATTCTTTCTCTATTTATCTTTTTTACTCTCTCTCTCTTTCTATTCCATTCTGTCTCTCTTTATCTTCTCTCTTTATCTTTTCTCTCTCTCTCTCTCTCTATCTCTCTCTCTTTCTTTCTCTCCAGATGTTGGTGACCTTGATGTGTGGATGGACTTTACTTCGGGTCAACCCAGGATGCATCTCTGGTCGCAGAGTGGAGAACAAGGAAATAAATGGACAAATGTTAAAATAGATCTTAACAGCGACAGCGAATTTAGGGTACAAAACTAAAGATTTCTATTGGCAGCGTTTCCACCAGGCCTAGTTCTAGAAATATATATATACAGTCGGACATGCTTTAGCGACCACCTGTGTAGAAAGACCACCTTGTCTATAAAGACCACATTTTTTGTTTCCTTTGAGCGGAGTTTGTAATTGAAATTTGTATTAAAGGAACCTACACATAAAGGCCACCTGCTCAGAAGCATTGTGCATGAATAAATCCGATGACCAAGTTCATGTGTATAAAGCGCTTACAGACGGTATTTTGTTTTAAGTGCTATATATAGCCGGATTATTATTATTATTAATATGTATTTTAGTGAAAGGCATGAAAGAAATATTAACATGAATGAACTTGAACTTGAATCTGTAGATCAAGATTTCTGCCGTGGGTAAGATTGTAGGAGATGCTGGGGACATAGCAGTTGATGACTTGGATATCGAGATGAATGGATGCTCAGCTATAGGAACAGCACCCCCGGTCACTACCTCCAAACCCACAGCTGGTAATGACCCATTTCAATTCGATTCATTTATTTCCACAAAATTCACAAAAGCCGCAAAATGTATACAACAATGCAGGAAAAAATTGAAATGTTACAATAGAAACAAAAACATGCAATAAAGAACAATACATACTTGATTTGATAGTTTGAGTATTAGCGGGGGGACTAGTTCTAAGCTCTAAGCTCAGTTAGGATTACACCTTTAGCCTTGCGTTTAATATTTCTGTCACGTTCAGTCATGACTTTTATGCAAGAGGGCCATGAACTCTCTCTTTTTAAACCATAGACTACCAAATTCTGTCCATCCCCCTAGGCTTAATTAAGGTTTCTGTAGATAATGGGTTAATAATCTAGTGGATATGTCGCTGGACTGTGGATCACATAGTTTGTGGATCAAGTCATTGTCAATGTAGTTGGATTGGCACGTGTGCATTTGTAAAATCGCGCCTGGGCGAAATACTCCCCAGGGAGTGGAGTGTGTGCACTATTATGTGAGGGTTTAGCAATTTAATCTAATGACGGTGGTAATAATAATGTAAAGCGCTTAAAAACGTTAGCGCTATACAAATGTGATCATTATTATAAATAACGAGTGCTTTTGTTTTTTCTATCCTGTGAAGCTCCTGTGTTATCCATCTGTACCTTTGAGTCGGACTGGTGTGACTTCACAGCCCTCACGCCGTCGTTGTCACTATCATGGGCTCGAGGAAAGGACAGTCGATCCTCATATACAGGACCAACCGTAGACCACACCCTTGGTAGTACATCAGGTAAAGTATTGATGATTATGAGGATCCTTTATTTCCAACACTATTTTCTGAAAGTATGTTTCCAAGTTCAATCATTATTTTTTGAGAGTAAGATTTCAAGTTACAACAATTTTACTTTCCACAATTTTGTAAAAGATGTAGGGTGATGATAATACAGCATGTGATCTAAGAAGCTGTTTCAGATATGACCAACGCTGAAAAATCAATATGAGTTGCATTAATTTACAATTCACTGGTTCAATCTTATTTTGAATTGTCCCTATCCTTTGCACTGATTTGCAGGTTACGGAAATGAAGATTTGAAGCAAGAGTACAGTGAAACCTGTTTATTAAGGCTACAAAAGGGAAACAAAATGCACAGCCTCTGTAGTGACCTCTGAAGAGAGGAGCCTTTTTAGACAGGTTCTTCATCACACATTTTCTTTGAATGTGGGTGAACACTGTAGAGATTTGGCCACTAAGGCATATTTGACTGTAATTCATTTCCCGAAGACCAGATAAAGCCTGTCTGCACCAGCTCGGCCAGGAGGGATTAGACCTCCATACAAGGTCACTGACAGGTTGTTATCTCATCAAATCAGCTCTCAATTAACATAAGAAAAAGAGGATCATGGGGGACCAACAGGCACTGATTAGGCATTGTTTGCTATATAGAAGGCGCAAGTAGCTATAGGTAGTGCAGTGGGGCTTTAAGGCAATGAAAGGTATATGCATCATTACCCATAGGTTATTACATCTACTTGGACACCTCTGTGGGTAACAGTGGGGACTACGCCCGGCTCCTCTCCTCTACGATGACCTCTGGGTCACAGGGCATCTGCCTATCATGGTGGTACAACATGAATGGAGCTGATATTAACAAGCTAGAGGTCTGGAAGGACGTATCCTCGGACATCATAGAATGGGTCAGGCTTGGACATCAGGGATCAGACTGGAAGCAGGGCCAGGTGGACCTTACCGGTACCTTTACGGTGAGTTTTTACATGCACCACTTCCCCTAGCATTCCTAAAAGGAACAAGTGGATCTGTACTCTCAAAAATATGTAGAGACCCATTTTTTTTCTTTGGAATTGTTATTATAACACAAATATTATAAGGTATAAATATTTTACACAGATATTACACATATGTGTGAGAAAAGTTGACTGTAGCAGTTCACTGTTTGCTCTTTTAGTCAGCAAAAGCAGATGTAGAGTTAATTAAGAAAAAAGAATACAATAATGCAATCTCAAAATGATACGTGAGGCACTAAAAGCATACAAGGAATATATTGCTACCAGGTAGTATGTACTACGACACCTGGGTGAAGAGTGGCAAGTGTAGATTTAAGCATTGCCTAAGTACATTAGTGCCGCGGCAGGAGTCAAGCCGCGAAACATGTTATCTGTAGTCTAATGACGTGTCCACTGGACCACAACACCTCTACATGCACCATGTAGAGGTGTCATTTTGGAGTGGATGTGTCAACGGGCTGTTGATCACGAGATCCGCGGTTTGAGTCCCTCCAATGGAATTAATTTGTTTAAATGATAGAGCGCCACAATGGCCGCCTTGCTAAAGCCAGGGTAATAATCGGGGTAGCCCAGGAGGGTCATGACATGACGGACATGTGCGCTAGATAACAAGCCACCATTTCTATTATTATTGTAATCCAGTATGATAGGCCTAATTTCCCCTCATATTCCCTATTATTCATCATTATTTATATTGTCTAGGCTGATTTCCGTGGCTATAAAGGAAGTGGAAGCAGAGGAGAGATAGCTCTTGATGATATCTCCTTCAGTAGTGGGAAGTGTCCTTCACAAAGTAAGTTTGTATTCATTCATTCTATACAGCATATCCCACCACTGCCACCAGAATGGTTCATACCGATTCCTACTTGATTCTTTTCTGCCACAAGAATGTCGGACTTTGTCGTTATGGAGATTGATATATTCAGAATTTCAGTAAATGAGTTACGATCGTATCAACTATTAATTTGTCATTATGTCGATTAGGATGACTGGACATGTACATTACTGTAAATGAAATAAAGTTTCTTTTTTTCCTGGAATACTTTCTTTGTTCACAGTTCATTTTATTCTTCTCTTTTGTCGTTTCCATTCACCATGATATGATATTTTTTGTCTCAACATGTTTTGTTAATCATATGCAAATATATATTGTATTTTAATGCTCCTGTTTGGGAACCAACATTTAATTTGTATCACATTATTTATCAGGTTTTTAGGATATTTCTCTTATCCTAACTATATATTTCTTTCTCTCAATTCTCTCATATTTTTGAAATTACCCTATCTTTATTCCATGCATCTCTTACACTTGTTCTCTCACTCTTCTATTCTTTCTGTCTCTCTCTGTCTCAAATAATTATCTCTCTTACCAGCAATGTGTGATTTTGAGCATGGTGATTGGTGTGGGTTTGATCAGGATTACACAGACCAAGGCGACTGGAATGTTGAACCGAATGACTTCTCAGCTTTGGCCTTAACCTATGGACCTGAGGCTGATCACACTTATGGAACTGTTTTAGGCAAGTGCATCTGAAGTTATATATCATTCTTTTAATTACCATCTTCTGATTATTGTTAATTAGGTAATCTGTCGTCTTAAACAATCCATCGTTTCATAACGTGTATTTAGTTGAGTCTCCATAGACTGATGTAATATATCTCTCGAAGTAGAATCACTGCCATCTGCCAGGTGAAGTAAATGGGTACCTGGTTGGAATTTATTCCTTGAAATGCAGCGCGCGTAACAGCTGCACTGCTAAAGCCAGTTTAATTATGCTGCATTATTGTAGAGCGCTTAGAGACTTCTGACAAAGTAAGTGTTAGCCGCTATATAAGCACTGTAATTATTATTATTATTATCTGTTCCTTGTCGGGACATTCAAACTGCATTCGAGCCGCATTCGGGACATTCGAACTCTATTCCAGCCTCATTCGGCACATTCAAACTGGATTTGAGCCACATTCGAGCGGCATTCAAACTGCATTCGGGACATTTGAAATGCATTCGAGGTGTATTCGGGTCATTCTATTTTTCTTGTCGGGACGTTCCTGTATTTGAGCCACGTTTGAGCAGGAATCTAAAGTGCATTCCAGTTGAATTCTTTAAGTACAGAGAAGATCGAAATAGTTTCTGGCAGCATTCGAGATGCATTTTTGCATCCTTGTCAGGACATTCGAACTCCGACGGAATTCGAAGTGCATTCTTGCATCCTGGTCGGGACATTCGAAGTGCATTCTTGCATCATGATCAGGACATTCGAACTGCATTCGAGCCGCTTGAATTTCAAGCGGCAATCTAAAGATTCCAAAGGCATTCGAAGTGCATTCTTGTATCATAATCAGGACATTCGAACTGCATTTGTGCCGCATTTGAGCCGCATTCGAGCCGCATTCGAGTCGCATTCGAGCGGCAATCAAAAGACTCTGACGGCATTCGAAGTGCATTCTTGCATCCTGGTCGGGACATTCGAACTGCATTCAAGCCGCATTTGAGCGGCGATCTAAAGATTCTGACGGCATTCGAAGTGCATTCTTGCATTATGATCAGGACATTTGAACTGCATTCAAGCCTCTCTTGAGCGGCAATCTAAAGACTCTGACGGCATTCGAAGTGCATTCTTGCATCCTGGTCGGGACATTCGAACTGCATTCGAGCCGCATTTGAGCGGCAATCTAAAGATTCCGACAGCATTCAAAGTGCATTCTTGCATCATGATCAGGACATTCGAACTGCATTCGAGCCGCATTCGAACGGCAATCTAAAGATTCTGACGGCATTCGAAGTGCATTCTTGTTGAATTCTTCAAGTACCGAGCATATCGAAATAGATTCCGGCGGCATTCAAGATGCATTCGGGCTGCATTCAGGACAATCTTGCTCTGTTGTCTGGACTTTTCAACTGCATTCGAGCAGCATATGAGCGGCAGTCTAAAGATTCAGACAGCATTCGAAGTGCATGGCAGTTGGATTCGTTTAGTACTGAAAATATTGAAATAGATTCTGGGAGATATTCTGTGTGCTCTATAGGCCACATTTTACAAGGGATTTCTTTCATATTTTGAACGAAGGTGTATCTTAATTGGTACAATCTAGAAGCTGATGCTACCTCCAGTGTTCCGTCTTTTACAGGGTCAAAGTTCATATTCTGATAGATATCTGCTCTAGAGAGAATGAGGTCTAACTGCATCATTTCTTTACAGATTTCTTTCAAATTGATTATGGAAGTGTATGTTGGTAAAATCTATGCACCTATAGTTTTTGGTGATGCTGCCACCAGTGTCCTCTGTTTTATTTGGTCAAAAGGTCATATTTCATGACGGATTTCTTTCATATCTGTATACAGATATATCTTGGTTAAATCTACACATATCTCCTTTTTGGTGATGCTGCCCTCATTATTCCATTCTTTATAGGATCAAGGGTCATTTGTTCCTTTGGTGTGCTGTTATACTAGCTGCCTCATTTCTTGACAGATTTTTTTTTTAAATTTTGTACGGAAGTGTATCTGGATTAAAATTACACATCTTTAGTGTTTAGTGATGCTGCCACTAGTGTTAGTCTATTATTGGGTCAAAGGTCCTATTTTGGTGGGTGTCCCTTTCTCCCTCTTTCGAACATAAGAATGACACAAAATTGCTGCCGGGGCCGGGATACACTCCCATTGCGCGGCAATACAGATTGCGATATATGTAGTTAACTTTGTATTAAGGAGATGGCAGAGACTAATTATGTATATGTGCATGTACATCTAAACCTCCAAATATATAACAATTCCAATAGAGTGAAAATCTTCATGAAGACCAGCATTACAGATACTGCTACAAATGTTTCATTTACAATGCCTCAGCGACGATACCCACTATATTAATGCAAATGTTCTGGGCCCTGTTTCATAAAACTTGATTTCAAAAATAATTTACAAGCTACTGTTATAAGCTACTGAAATCAGGCATCTGATTGGCTGAAAACACATTTGTCATAGAAATTTAGCCATTGTTACAGATAACAAGTTAGATGAAACGGGCCCCTGCTCCCTGCCAACGTGCAGTATATGACGTGTCTTTCACATAGCATGTCAAAAGGGCTTGTTGGTCACTGCTAATGCAGTGCTTCTTCAGGGAAGCATGGTATTTTGAATGCAAAGGGCAAGAATCATAAACTACATGTTCTTTAGTTGACTTGCAGGATGTCCTAAAATTTAGCCATCATACAGTGCAATTAGGCCTAAAAAATTGTTGTATTGCCCTTTGCGACCGACTCAAAAATCTTGAAACCTACAGTCAGGTTTGTTTTTTTTTCCAGTTTTTTTTTATTAAAGAACAAAAATATTAAACCATTAAAAAATGAGAAATATCAGCCCAAAGAAGGAGAACATAAAAAAAGGTTTAAAAAAAAAATCTGACCAACAGACCCATGTTTTGGCACCTAAAGGGCCTAATTCAGTATAAAGCACATTTTACTGTATTTCAAAGGAATAACACTGTTCTCTTATTCACCTGACAGGTCATTTTATCTATGTCGACAGCATCGTCAATGACGCCTTGGACCAGGTTCGTCTGATTTCACCGGTCTACCCAGCCACCTTTCAGCGATGCTTGCGGCTCTGGGCCTTCCTCAATGGGGAAAGTCCGCCTGAGATGACAGCTACTGTGACCATCGGCAACACACCGGTCACCCAGATCCTGGTCCTGAGCCTCAATTCAGGTGCTATCAGCAATAAGTGGATGGTATATGAGGCATCGCTTTCAAGCAGTCTAGAGTATACGGTAAGAATAGTGTAGTCGCAAGTTTTGGTACATCTATAGCAGTCATGTGATATAGCAGAGACCACCGACTGAATGTTTCATGAAACGCCCCCCTTCCCTGATAGCAGAGACCACCGACTGAATGTTTGATGAAACGCCCCCCTTCCCTGGTAGCAGAGACCACCGACTGAATGTTTGATGAAACGCCCCCCTTCCCTGATAGCAGAGACCACCGACTGAATGTTTGATGAAATGCCCCCCTTAATTTAATTTATGTGTATCTTACTTTCTTTCTTGAGTCACTTGATGGTCGTATGCCCACAATTATACAATTTTCACCCAACTGCGCCAGGAGTGTCATTTTTGACAGACATGGTGCATTAATTATAAATGTTCACTTTTATTATTATTATTAATTGACTTCAAGTTGGAACATCAAATCCGTTTTCCCTTTACCAGATTGTTTTCGAAGCCACCATTTATTATGAGGGCATTCTTGCTCTCGATGACATCAACTTGAATAAAGACTACTGCACTCCAGCCGGGTCCTGTGACTTTGAGTATGACATGTGCACATTTTGGAACGACCCGTCTGCCGATGTCGATGATTTTGATTGGATAAGATGGAACGGACCAACCCCTTCACTGGAGTCTGGTCCTGCTACTGATCACTCTACAGGAACACCTGCAGGTACAACATCCACTTGTTTTCAGGAGCTTTTGAATAGTTTTTTCTTCAAATATTTGTTTCAAGTTTCAATCAAATCCACACAAAAAAACAGATACAGATTATATACAATTTAGAAAACAGAGAACACACACGAAATGGAAACATATCTACAAATTTACCAGAATTATACAAAGTTAATTAGCAATAGAAATGAACTGGAACTGCAAATAAAACCATAAGGTTCTGTCTGTATTGTGTGTTTGTAAAGAAACTCTATTAGGAGTTTTTTTTTCACACCGCAGTAGAGTACAGTTATATAATAGCTGCGCTATATAAATTGATCTAATTATTATAATGATTTACAACAGCTTTTGAAAAGATCTTCTTCTGTTCTCAAGGACTATCCTACACCACCAAAGGGATTTAACATGCAGGGTAGGGTGCAATACGGTACTTGCACAGAGAGAGAGAGAGATGATTAGAGTACATGTATTGTTTTTTTTTGCCCAGAAAGTTGGTTGTGGAGGATTGAGTGTACATGTAGGTAAATTACTCCAGTCTCTGGTCGTACTAGTTTTGAGGGGATGGATGAACTTTGATTTCAGTTAAGGATGAAATGTTTCCAGTTTAATTAGTCCTTGCAGGTACAACAGCTCCGTACTACCAACAGCTTTATAGATAGGTCTTGTACGTGACAGGCCTAAAAGTGTCACAAAATACCTGAAAATATTTTCACACCGCAGTAGAGTACAGTTATATAATAGCTGCGCTATATAAATTGATCTAATTATTATAATGATTTACAACAGCTTTTGAAAAGATCTTCTTCTGTTCTCAAGGACTATCCTACACCACCAAAGGGATTTAACATGCAGGGTAGGGTGCAATACGGTACTTGCACAGAGAGAGAGAGAGATGATTAGAGTACATGTATTGTTTTTTTTGCCCAGAAAGTTGGTTGTGGAGGATTGAGTGTACATGTAGGTAAATTACTCCAGTCTCTGGTCGTACTAGTTTTGAGGGGATGGATGAACTTTGATTTCAGTTAAGGATGAAATGTTTCCAGTTTAATTAGTCCTTGCAGGTACAACAGCTCCGTACTACCAACAGCTTTATAGATAGGTCTTGTACGTGACAGGCCTAAAAGTGTCACAAAATACCTGAAAATATTTTTTACCACGATAAGTTGAAAAGACTTGGAGCGATTTAAACTAAACTTGGATAAATTCATTAGATATTGGGAGTTTTAAGACAGTGGGCAAAGTTCAGGTGATTATAAAAGTTTTAAAAAGTCCCAGAAACTATCTTATTACTGTGATAATGTCTTAAACATAAGTTGAACTTAAGTGACCAAAGTGGGCACAATTATGAAAATTATGATCGTCTATGAGCAATTAAAGATTGAATAAAAGATTTTGGTTTTGTAAGGTCAGATTTCAAAGGTCACAGGATCACCAGTGATTGGACATACATAATGGTGGAGACATATTAGAGACACAGTTGCAGTCATCTTATTATTATTGTGTTATTTTCAGGTTTTTACATGTACATTGACTCTGCTGAACCTCGCACGATCGGCGATACGGCCATCCTCTTTTCCCCGAAGGTCGAGGGTTTGAAGTGCCTCTCTTTCTGGTATTACATGGATGGAGCTGATTTAGCCACCCTAGATGTGCTAACTGATACCTTGGTTTGGTCCCAGGCGGGTTCATCGTATGGCTCGTATTGGTTGCATGCAACAGCGACAACGGGTGCAGATTATTTGTCATATGTGGTATGTATAAGGCCTATGAAAAAAAGATGCGACTGACCCCAAAATCTTAAAATCTACAGTAGGCAAAAAAAAAAAAAAATTTACTGTTTTTTAGAGAAAAAAAAATATTAAAGCATTACAAACTGGAGTGGACTAAAACTGCAAGAGTGCACCAGAATGGCAGAAGATAGAGTGAAATGGAGAGATGTTGCAATAAACCTCCAAACCAGGAGAAGATACTTAGATAGATAGAAACTGAGAAATATCATCCAAAGAGGGAGAAAAAAAAGGTTTAAAAAAAAGTTTTCTGATGATAATAATGTGGGGATTTTATTCACTGTAGCTTCCTCAGCTTCTTACTGATGGTCCTGCAATCATGACCCAGCAATATTCAACCTCATGATTTTCAGCACACCTTTTCAATATTGAAAGAAATTGATCATTTTGCCTGGTCAAGCAATTCAACATTTGGAGAGTATCTTTATTAGGGAGCTTTTGTAATTGCCACAATACCACAAACTGACCCCACACCAATTTCAAACCAACATATACTTTCCTGTTCTTGGTAAAGTAATTTGATGTAAGGACTATTGTCGGTCAGATGTCAGCCTTGTCTGTGTAACTATTGTTGATAATTGATAATTTTGCCTGATCAAGCAAATAAAAAATATTGGAAATTATCTTTATTAGGATGCCTTTGTAGTTGCCACAAGAACACAAACTACAACACCAACACACCAATTTCAAACCGAAAGATTCTTTTCTATTCTGGGTATTAAAGTGATTGGTTGTTTTGACTGTTTTTAGTCTGATGCCAGCCTTGACTGCGTGACTAGTGTATTGTTTGGATTGTGACATCACTGATTGGCCATGATAATTTTTGATCACTTACAGGGTTCAGCGACACAATGACATAACTCCATATTTTGCCAAAATGAATATTTGAAATCAAAATGTTCAGGAAAATGTGGGCTTTCCAGGAAACACAAACATGTAACTCCACCCAACACCCCATTGAAGTCAATGGCTAGTGAAACATATAGACTTAACTCCTTAAGGCCCAAGTGCTCAGTCACACGTAAACCATTTTTTCTCAAAATGGAGTCACGTCTTTGTGTCACTGACCCCTCGACTTGACAGTGTGATTTCACTTAATTTCTTTTTTTAAAGATTCAATTCATAGGCAGTGTAGGAATACCTTCTCAAAGCGACTTTGCTATTGATGATATCAGCATCTACGATGGAGCATGTGCAGGTGTCACCAATCCGCCGGCATGTCAGTTTACCTGTGACAACGGCGCATGCTTGCAGGACGCTGCCATGGTGTGTAATTTCAAGGATGACTGCGAGGACAGCAGCGATGAACTCAACTGTGGTATGAGCTTCATTATTTCTCATCCATTAAAGGGATCCGGTAACTTTGTCTCTGATTCTGAAACAAAATTCTGGATTTAGCTCATGCTGCAATGATAATTAGAAACCTTTAGGTCAGTAGGAACCCCATGACTTGTACAAGCCGATCGCCTGTCTGATTATCAATATATTTATTATTGTAAATCAAGACCAATTTTTGTGTTTGCCCAACGGTTTTCATAACACTACAGTCTATTGGGGAAAATGAGTATGGTAAAAATCGGTCATTCAAAGATTGTTACTTTTTTGAGGAAAATCTTGATCATTTTGAAGCGCGATTTTTTAGGGCTTCAATATTATACCATATTACAGACACTGATGGCATGTAGGGCCGTGAAACTCAGATTTAACATTGTTAAACGATCCCTTTAAGTTTGATTGTTTCTCTCATTCAGAAATGTCTTAAGTTTACACAACCATGGAGAGATATTACTGTAGGGAAATCTGATGTTGCCAATTTGTAGTTCATAGTTTATTGTTCTTCAGCCTTTGTTGCATAATATTGAAATTCTTTGATAGTTGTTGTGTTCTTCTTTTTTCAAATATAGTATTACATAAATTTGTTAAAAAACTTGTGTAGAGAGTACCATATACAAGGGTTTTGCAACAGTCGTGCCTGGACAATATGGCTTGCTTGAAAGGGTTCACAGCATTAGTGACTTTGAGTATCGCGCAAATTAATAGCCAATATGAAATAAATAAAACAATATTAATAGTATATGCATTTCCTGCTCAAAAGTATAAATTAGTTTAACATGATAAAATACCAAGAACTGTATTTCAAATAGAAATCTTGACACTTGATTGCATGTACATGGATAAAGTATCTGCAAGAAAAACATAAGAGGAAATCAAGTCTTGTTTCACTAACTCTAGTTTGATTCTGTTGTTAACACAGGTCCTTGTGATTTTGAAACCGGCTGGTGTAATTACACCGACACCAGTATTGGGAGTATGGTTTGGCAACGAGGTAAAGGTGCTACATCCACTTCTAACACTGGACCGTCAATAGATCATACACTTGGAACCAGTGAAGGTGAGTGTTCTTCTTATAAAACACCTTATTGTCTGAAAAGTTCCTACACCTCATTCTAACGCCTTACCCTCCAAAGTTCATACCCTCTATACTTATTAAGGTGAGTGTACTTCTTAGTAAGCACTCAAAGGTTTTGAAAGGTACGACACCTAACTCTAACACCAAACCCTCCAAACACTTTAAACTCAGAAGCAGCAAAGATGAGTTTTATATATGAAAATAACCCTTGGTGTTTGTTAAAGGTGCTACACCTAATTCTGACTCTGATGACCGGGTTATTAATATGTGCTTTTCCTACAAGCAAAGTATTAGGCGCAATATAAATGTGAGCTATTATTATTAATATCATATGATATTACTTTCTTTGAATGATGATGATCAATATTTCTTTCAGGCTACTATCTATACATTGATGCGAGTCAGGGATCGAGCTACAGTGAGGCTAGTTTGATGTCTCCTGAGCTGAATGAAGCTAGTCCAAGCTGTCTCCTAGAAGTCTGGGTACACATGTATGGAACAGGTATTCAGCATCTATTTTATCTGTCTAATTGATAGCAGCTCAGAATTTTCAAAGCTGTAAAGGAAAAACTTTCCCTCCCTAAATTGAATTCAATGTTTGTTATCTTTTCAAGCCCAATCAATATGTATATTAAAGTTGGTTGGCTGTCAGTTTCCATGTGTGGAAGGTCATAGTTCGCTGACACCAGACTTGGTGGAAATACCATTAATGGGTGGCTATTGATCATTTTTGCAGACATTGGGTCTCTGGGTATATACATCGTGTCTGGTTTGGAGAGTGCACTCCTGGAATGGCATGAGGAGACGAGTCAAGACGCATGGTTCAGGTCTTCCACCGGTGTAGGTCGCATCAGAGGAACTTTCCAGGTTAGACATCTATCAGCTTTTAGATCTACTAGACCCTATTGCAAGTCAGTCTGTATGCTATGTGATAATAACTCTCACAATGCAGTGGTTACCTGTACAGTCAAACCTGTCTATATCGACCGCCCAAGGAAAACACAAAAAGTGGCCTTTGTAGATAGGTGGTCTTTGTTAGAAAGGTTCCTTAGTACATGATTCAATGAAGTGGAACCATTTTCAAGGGAAACAACAAATGTGGCCTTTGTAGACTGGTGGTCTTTGTAGACAGGTGGTCACTAAAGCAAGTTTGACTGTATATGTAGAGGTGTTGTGATCTAGTGGGTAAGTCTCTGGACTGTGAACCACAAGGTAGGACGTTTGAATCCCTGCAGCAGTACTAATGTCCTTTGGCAAGACATTAAGCTACATCTGCCACACTCCACCCAGGTGTAGTAAGTAGGTACCTGATAGAATTTATTCTTTGAATGCATGGAGTGCTACGGTTGCCTGATCAAAAGCCTGGGTAATAATATCCAAAGTCATTTGGAAGCACGTAGAGACAGACTCTATATCATAATGTGATATGAGCTCTACAAGAATGGCATATTATTATAATTACATGTATAGTTATAACTCCATGCCACTGTGCACATCATGTCTTTGTAGAATAAAGGATATAAAATTATGGGCAATCAGGACCGAGTCAAAGTATTGTTATTCTGCAGTCATTCTGCAGTGTATATGTAAGAGTTCAGTATTAAATTGGGAGTGTCTGAACAAATTTGGGGAAGGGGGAAGGGAGTACATAATATAAGCATTGGATGGGAAATATTCTGGCTCAATTTGCAAGGAAGAAATTAGTTGTATGCACCAAAATCAGTAGCCCAGCAGAGCTGGAGTATTATTGAGCACCTTGTGTCGTGGATACAGTGTATGTGGGCTATAGAAATTGCTAAAGAACTGTCTATGATAATTCAAATTTAATTGATAATTGAAAGGGTAATGATAATTGAAATGTATCCAATATTTAACATCTTGATACCATAGAACACACATATATGACAATTCTACTCGATCAGAGGAAACAACCATTGATAGTCATTGCCTTCTCCTTAAAATGAACGGAAGACCAAATGAAACTAGATGGAATTTTGACTGCGTGCAGTCGAAAATGATGCCTCCGCCATAGAGCAATTTAAACAAGTTTGGAGTTTAAATCTCCAGTGGTTCTTGAGATATCATGATAACAATCTCAATGTATGGAATTTCATAAGTTGACCTCTGTGACCCTTGACCTTTGACCTACGTGCTCCAAAATCTAATCAGATTGTCTTCCTATGGTGATACACACTATCATTAAGTTTGAAGTTTAAATCTCCAGTGGTTCTTGAGATATTATGATATGGTGATACATACTATCATTAAGTTTGAAGTGAAAATTCTCCAGTGGTTCTTGAGATATCATGATAACAATCTCAATGTATGGAATTTCATAAGTTGACCTCTATGACCCTTGACCTTTGACCTACGTGCTCCAAAATGTAATCAGATTGTTTTCCTATAGTGATACACACTATCACTAAGTTTGAAGTTTAAATCTCCAGTGGTTCTTGAGATATCATGATAACAATCTCAATGTATGGAATTTCATAAGTTGACCTCTGTGACCCTTGACCTTTGACCTACGTGCTCCAAAATCTAATCAGATCGTCTTCCTATGGTGATACACACTATCATTAAGTTTGAAGTTTAAATCTCCAGTGGTTCTTGAGATATCATGATAACAATCTCAATGTATGGAATTTCATAAGTTGACCTCTGTGACCCTTGACCTTTGACATACGTGCTCCAAAATCTAATCAGATCGTCTTCATATGGTGATACATACTATCCTTAAGTTTGAAGTTTAAATCTCAAATGGTTCTTGAGATATTGCGCTAACAAACTCAATACAAGGAATTTCATAAGTTGACCTCTGTGACCTGTGATCTTTGACCTACGTACTCCAAAATCTAGTCAGATCGTCTTCCTATGGTGATAAATACTATTCCCGAGTCTTAAGTTTAAATCTTAAATGGTTCTTGAGATATTGTGATAACGGTCAAACGGGACGGACGTACGGACGGACAACCCGAAAACATGATGCCTCCGGCACCACCTTCGGTGGCGGAGGCATAAAAATGTAATTTTATGTTTTTCTTTCCTCTCAAAGATTAAATTCCTTGCTCAAAGATCCTTCAATGTGATAGGAGATATTGCCATCGATGACATCATTTTCAGAGATTGTGGTTTTGCAGGTAAGTAAAACACTTTTGTTTGTTTGTTCGTTTATTCATTTCATTTTCATAAAAAACACAGCAAAAGTACACATACTAAGGCAGAGAATGTTTAGTTTATACGATAACTTCAAATGAAATAGGAGAACAAGAAAAAGGCCATGGTGGCATTGTTTAAAAATGTTCCCCTGCCACAATTGCTAAGACCCTCCGTCAAATATGAAGATAACATAAATTTAGTCCTGCACACCAAAAGTGGGGTTGAGACTAAAACATCCAAATAGCAGCTGTATGTCGTCCTTCTATTATGTTAAGAATTGCCTGTGAGACTCTCTCTTTGATGCTGTCCAGCAGGTTCTGGGTCCTGTTGCATAAAACTTATTATTGATGGTAACTTTGCCATCAATGGCAACTACCATGGTAACAGGGCTCTTCAGCCAATCAAAATCAATGTTTCCATGATAGCCACCATTGATGGCAAAGTTACAGTCAATGGTAAGTTTTGTGTAACAGGACCCAGATTTATGAAAACATGACCTTGATAAAGAAACCAAGTCGATTTGATCATGCCCTTTGGTAAGGCATTAAGCCAAGTCCCTCTGAGAGGACTTAAAGCCCTCTGTCCTATGGCTGCTTACCTACAAGAGTACACATGCTTTCGTAGTAGTCAGGTAAATTAAACAAAGAAACAAAGTATTTTGTGTGATTTCTTAGATCCTCCTGCCGATGGCTGTAGCTCTGAAGACTTCACCTGTACCAACATGCGCTGCATCATTACAGACCAAGTGTGTGACCTCACTGATAACTGTGGCGATATGTCAGATGAAATGGATTGTGGTAAGTGAATTTAATTTAATTTATTTCCACATGTCCAAGAAAAAAACAAAACAATATACACAATATAAATGGTTATTATTCAACACATTAATGACATAATTAACATTAGAAGAAAAAAAGAGAATAAAGGCAGAAATACAAAATAAAATTAGACTGCAAACATATTAATGTCAATGTAGGGGATTATAAAAAGTGATGAACTTATAACATAACCACATATTTGTATTAATAAACATATAATTCATATTGGAAAAGAAGACAAAACAAAATAAATCAATGAATGATAACAATTCAGATGGGGTAAATCTAGATCAATCATACTTTTCACGATAACAAAATAGCATTGTATTCATTGTCTTTGTATTGTATTTTAACTAGTATTATTTGAAACAATTGTGAACAAAATGTGATATGTTTTTAATTGTAAATTGTCATGCAATAGAGCCCAGGCTGCGAAATGATGATATTAATAAACTGAACTGGACGGAACTGATATGTGCGCTATATAAATATCCAATAGTTTCATTATTATTATATAAGTATGAGCGATGTAGCTTTGAGAAGGGAATCTGATATGAATCTAATATGAAACCATGGTCTTACTTTGCATACTGAATCACTAGATACCTATGAGCAATGCAGCTTTGAGAAGGGAATCTGTAGTTGGAACCAGATAACCACGGATGAGCTTGACTGGAGACACTACTCAGGCATCACAAGGACACCATGGACTGGACCAGCCCGGGATCACACCACCGGTCTTCCTGCAGGTAGAGATCAATGCTTTGATTTAGTACACAAATTATAACAAATACATTGACAAACCTGCTTCGGAATGCTAAAAAAGAGTATCATTGTAATCAGTTTATTTCCTGTAATAAAGACATTAACGGAACATGGATAACCATAAAGAATGTATTTAATAGTTCACCAAATTTACAACATATCTCTAAAATTAAGAATCATGGTACAGCAACTGACAACAAACTATTGCCAAAATATTTAATGATTTTTTTTTACCAATATTGGACCAGATTTTGGCTTGATCTATACCAAAGTAGAGATGCTTTGATAAGTACTGGTGTCTTGAAATTGCAGTAGATTGTATCTTTAACAGCACAGAACAACACCTGCACAACTTTAAATGTACAAATATAACTAAAACAATGGTAGCCTGTAAAAGAAGAAGAGGAAGGAGGAGAAGAAGTAGGGTATACCACACAAGCAAACAGAAATATATATATGCAGTAGGCTTACGGTTGCACCATGTGAGAGAGGGGGATGATTAATTGGGGAGTACTGAAAAAGGACTGTCGTTAATCTTTCTTTCTTGAAACATATATGTATCGTTTGTTTTGTAATTTGGTCTCTAAGACATCTTCATTGAACTGTTGATCTATTCAATCTAAAGGTTTCTACATCTATCTGGAGTCAAGTGATGGGCAACCGGGAGACAGGGCACGACTTGCATCAAGGTCAATCACTTCTGTGTCATCTTCGGGATGCTTCCTGCGGTTCTACTTCCATATGTTTGGTGAGGATATCAATGAACTGAACGTCTACACTAGAGACACCATCAACGGCCCGCTGACGAGGATCTGGAACAGACAAGGAGACCTGGGAGATTACTATATGAGAGCTGATATTGAGATAGACGTTCCTGAATACCCAATCCAGGTTTGTTATGCCTTAAAAACCTTTAACTGGCAAAATTAAGAATAATAAAAATCACCATTTTATGTACCATTTGTTGGAAGAGCTAATGATATGCATGGTTATTTTTTCTGAGTAAATATGTCAATAATAGATTAATATTGATGTTACCGTGTTAACTTACAGGTTTTTAGTTATTTTCTTTTTATATGTTATTAGGAGAAGGGAAAAAAAGAATGTTGTTGAGTTTTAAATGATTAGCTCTTCAGATATACAAAGTATGAATTTATTTTAAAAACTCCTGCAGAAGATGTTGATTTGTTAATGTTTTCTTTTCCCCCAAATATGCTTCAAGGTTGTCACTAGTTGTTGACACTTGGTGTGCCCCTAAGGCCATGAGCCTAATTTGTGAACATATTCCTGTAAAAATAGCTTTTCCACACACGCCATCTTAATCATTCGTACTTAGATCATCATCGAAGCTACTTGCGGAGATGGTATCTACGGCGACATCGCCATCGATGATACCAGCTTCACCCCTGGCTGTGTGTTTAGTGACACGCCCTTGCCCTCCATCGCCACCGTGGCCCCCACTCCACCCCCTACCCTACCAACCTGCCCTCAGGGTTCATTCCAATGTAACAACGGCACCTGCTTGGGTTTCGAACAGAGATGCGATCTTAATACCGACTGCAGTGATGGAGAAGATGAGACTAATTGTGGTGAGTTAATAATAATAATAATATTCCGCTTTTATATAGTGCTTATTGCAAATGTCTCTAAGAGCTTTACAGATATACTACCACCCCGGTCATTGGATTTAATATTTGCCTGCACACAGTTGGTAGCAAGGTCATTTATATGTGCACAGGTGCCAACCATTCCTATTTTGGAGGAATGAATCCGATTTTGTGGCCCTCAAACTACTATTGTGAACCCTAGGTAACTCTTTATTTTCTGAAAACTTCTGTGTAAAAAGTATACAAAAGAGGCTCTATTCCTAATTTTGACTCTGAATGGTTGGTAGGTGTGAATGTGGTATTCATGAGCAGTTTGAGAATACTAGTACTACTATTACTACTACTATTACTACCTCTACTACAACCTCTACTACTACTACTACTACTTCTACCTGTACCACTACTACTACTACTATCTCCATTACTACTACTACTACAATGGCTACTATTACTACTACTTATACTACTACTGCTACTAATGCAATTTTGATAACTCCTAGATGTTGTTTAGTAATCACTTCTTGCATAATTGATGTCTTGAGTTTGATATATATGATTCTGCACACTGCGATTGCATTCATCTAACAGGTGACTGCGACTTTGAGACTGACAGCTGTGGCTGGAACAGCATCCCCAACGGACTCTACCTCTGGACCAGGATCCAGGCGAGCAGCGCCCCCACTGGACGCGGTCCAGACGCTGACCATACCAAAAACCTCGGGTCTGGCTATTACATGTTTGTTGACAGCACGTATGGAACGTTTGGAATGACTGCTCTTCTGATCAGTCCTCTGGTCCTGGGAGAAGCAGGCTCAAGGTACATTAATGTAGGAGTTCACACTGAATGCAAGTTTTGCACTGAATGCAGGTTTGCTGTGAATGCAAGTTTGTTCTGAACGCAAGTTTGCACTGAACGCAAGTTTGCCCTGAACGCAAGTTTGCACTATGCGATTATGCCATAATTTTAGCATCATCCATAATTTGGGTGTAGTGAAGAGAAATATACATGTCGTTTATATAGCAAATGCCCAAAGTTTAATATCCTCAAGTATGTATACATGTACTTGATTGTTTATAGCTTACACTGACAGTTCAAATTCTACTATCATACCATGCTTTGTGGACAGGACAACGGTCAGTTTATAGCTCACACAATATTAAAAATTGTTCTCCATCTCTCCCCCTTTTACTTTCGAACACTCTAGTTGTGAGTTAGAATTCTATTACCATATGCTTGGCGGGCAGGTCGGGTCACTGAGTGCCATCGTCTATGACAACGACCTCCCTGATGCTTCCTGGATAGTGACCGGTAACCAAGGGTCAGCATGGCACCGTGGGTCTCTACTGGTCGGACCACGCTATGCTGGACAGTACTATGTGAGTTTAATGCCATCATGTTTGCCTCCTGAGGTGGCGAAAATGATGTAATGTTTATATGTAAGGAAAATTATGGTATTGTCATAACAAACTAAAGTCAGGACAGGTCACTTGTCAATGCCTGGCTGCGGTCGCGTCGTAAAAATAAAGTTCAAAGAGGTATCTGCGCAAGCACCACTAGCAAGGGTTATTTCCGCATAATTTTAGTTTGCAATGACAATTATCATTGTTTTTAACTAACATCTAGGATATAATCGTTTTCAGAAAATGACCCCAGCTTTTGATTTATAGTAAATTAAGTAGTATTACCATCATTGAATGAGATATTGAATCAGATATTGAGTATACTAAATGAGATATCAAATATCGTATTTAGATATGAAAGAGAAAATTAATTATCCTAGTGACTTGCATTAATAATAATAATAATAATAATAACAACATTTATAATGCGCACATATCCACCCCAAGAGATGCTCAAGGCGCCTAACAAGGTAAGTACATTGAACAAAAATAATATAACATAATTAAATATAATTCAACAACGTTAATTACATCAGATTGTGAAATACACTACGTCTTAAATAAGGATTTCAGACATTAGATAGGTTTTCAATTGTTTTTGGAACACATTTTGATTCGCTGACATTTTGATTGAATGGGGTAGGGAGTTCCATAACCGGGGTGCAGCAGCTGTAAAAGCTCTGTCTCCCCAACTCCTCTTTGTTCTTAATTGTGTTAAATTTGTTGAATTAGAGGAAGGAAGACCTGCACGAGAACTTAAAGAGATATTAAGAAGAGAGGAAATATATTCAGGGACTGATCCATTTAGTGAACGGTAGGTGAGTAGTAGAATTTTATATTTGATACGCTGTTCTATTGGAAGCCAGTGAAGGTTCTTGAGTATTTGAGTAGTATGGGTCGAACGTTTAGATTTAGTGACAAGGCGGGCAGCTGCGTTTTGAACATTTTGTAGTCTGTGAATTTGGTATTTAGGAAGTCCATAAAGGAGAGAGTTACAGTTATCGACATGAGATGTTACAAAAGCATGAATCAATTGTTGAGTGGTTTGGGGGGTTAAAAATTTCCTTATAGCGCGAAGATTACGAAGATGATAATTGGCAGCTTTCACACATTTTGAAATATGTGCATCAAGAGACATGCTTGTATCGAAAATGACACCAAGATTTCTTGCCTTATCTGAAGGAGCAATGTGCACAGAACCAACACATATATGAGTTATAACAATCTTGGAAAGTTGTTGTCTGGAGCCTAACAAGAGAAATTCTGTTTTATCGTCATTTAGTTTGAGATAGCAATCATTCATCCATTTTCGTACATCATGAATACAACTTTCAAGATCTTCAACACGTTTTTCTACCTGTTCCTGAATAGGAAGACACAAAAAATATAATTGTAGATCGTCTGCATACATATGATAGCTTATATTGTGTTTACTGATTATCTCATGAAGTGGTAAGGTATATACATTAAACAGATGGGGACCTAAAACAGATCCTTGGGGCACAGATAACAGAAGGTTAACAACCGATGAAGTTGTATCATGAAGGTTAACCGCTTGAGATCGATTTGAAAGGTAGGAACGAAACCAATGAAGACATGTTCCACCAATGCCAATCTTTTTTAGTCTGTCGATTAAGATATTGTGGTCAACAGTATCGAAGGCGCAGCTGAGATCTAACAGAACTAATGCAGTAACTTTCCCCTTATCCATATTTATTAAAATGTCATTTTGTACTTTCAATAGTGCCGTCTCCACACTGTGGTTTTCCTTGTAGGCCGATTGAAAGGGGTTTTGAAGGTTTTGGTCATTTATGCTGGACTGAAGACGCGTAGATACTATACGTTCAATTACCTTACCAAGATACTTTAAGTTTGCAACGGGACGATAATTTTTAAGCTCTTGTTTATCAAGGCTTGGTTTCTTTAGGTGAGGTTTAATGAGTGCATGTTGCAGACAATCAGGAAAGATGCCAGAACGTAGAGATGAATTTACAATCTCTGTGATGTATGGGGTGAATTCATTAGAAAAATCTTTGATCAAACAGGTTGGAATAGGATCTAGTTCACATGTAGATGGTGGAGAATTCATGATGACTTTCCGAACCTCACTAGTTGTGGCTGGTAAAAAGTCAGACAAATAGGGAATGGCACTTTCTGACACTGACTGATAACCTGTACTATCACGAGCGTCAAGAATTCGACGAATATTGCTAACTTTATTCATAAAGAAATCAGAAAAACGATTTGCTAAGTCTTGATCAGACACATTACTGGGAAGAATTTGATCTTTCTTTCTATTCAAGAGTTTGTTTATAATTTGAAACAACCGCTTCTGATCGCCACTGCAGTCTGCTACAGCAGATGTGTAGTGATGTTTTTGCGCCTGGTTAGCGAGATGAGATACTATTTGTCTCTGCTTAATAAATAGAGACCGATCGGATTCAGTTTTAGTGGTTCTCCAGCGACGCTCCAGTCTCCGTCTGAGGCACTTTGCCTCTCGGATATCATCAGTCATCCAAGGACACTTACGTTTGACAACTATAGTTCTTGTTTTTCTGGGAGCTAGTTGATCCAATAAGGCATTTAGAGAATAATCGTAATTAATACACATAGATGTAACATCATAATTTAAGTCAGGAACAGATAAAGCTACATGGAGACCTTTACAGAACCTTTGTCTATCCAAAGACTTTAAATTCCGGGTTGAGAAACTTTGTCGAATAGGTTTAGGTTTTTCCAATGTAATGTTACACATGATAGCAAAATGATCTGAGAGACCAGGTTGCACTACTACATTTGATATAACATTTTCATGTTCACGTGTGATCAATAAGTCAAGTGTATGTCCGTGGTCGTGGGTCGGTTCACGGACATGCTGTTTCATCCCATATGTCGATAGTAGGTTCAGAAACTGTCTGGCCTTTGAATCATCCTGGACGTCAACCCATATATTATAGTCACCCACGAGTAAGATCTCTGATGGGTGGAGAAGATAACTGTCCAACATTTCACCAAACTCCTCCATGAAGACACTGAAGGGTAGATGACGCCCATGATCATCAGATTCAGGTCGATATACTACGACTAAACTGATTGAGCGAGAGTTTCCTGAAATTGTAACATGAAGCGATTCAAATGATCTGAACGGAGTTACAAGACTAGTAGTAAGTGAGAGCGAAGATTTGTATAACAGTCCAACCCCTCCTCCGGCCTTCCCTTGACGGGGCCGGTGTTCAAAGTTATATCCGGCAGGAGTAATTTTTCCTATGACAACATCATCACCATCTTTAAGCCAGGTTTCAGTTACTGCTACAATATCTAAGTCATTTTCAGTGACAAAATCATAGAAATCAGTTGTCTTATTCCTTATTGATCGCATATTAAAAGTGCATACTTTGGTAAAACTTTCAATCGGAGGTATAGAGATTAAGTTTGCTCGTTGAATGCATATTGACCTATCAATACCTGAAAAGTATGAATGAATACCTGGTTGAATGCAGATCGGGATAGTAGATGATGATGATGATCTTGACACTTTTGATTGTCGGAGACAGTTTCTTCTGCGGTTGCCGCGCCTACCTCTCCTTGTCTTTCTTCGTTGAATTCCGAAAGAATGGATGACATCACGAACGTCGGACGACAGTCGAAGCTTTGCATATCTCCACTGTAACAGATCCTCTGGAGAGTAGTGAATTCTACGCTGAAGGGGAGGGTCACGATGAATGCAAAAAGATGGTACAGTGCCATCTTGATCCCGATCTGGTCCGGGGTTGGGATGTACATCACCCGCATGTAGTAGCTCTAGTTCAAAAGATGCTGTACTATTGGGGTTGTATGGAATCCTCCTTTTAAGATAGTGTTTTCTGGTGAAGTTTTCATTAATAGAGAGTTTAATGAAAGATTGCTCACTGCAGTACACATTCCTATCCAAAGTAGCATACAGGCAGAGTGTGAACAAAAGTCCAAGTTGAAACGGTCCCATTGTGCTTGCTAGTGAATCCAGTGATTCATGTTCGTCCAGGCATACAATACATAATAGAGTACCAGGGTACTTTTACTTACATAGAGATGTACAGTGAAAATGGCTTCTTAGGTACTACTACACATGAATCCAGAAAAAATGTTGTCATCAAAATATGGTGTGAAATCACCTAACTACCGAATGCAATTCGACTAGTGGTATCCAGAAGACATATATAAATGACTGGTAACAACACAAATTGATATAACAAAGTAAATACAGGCAAATAAGAGCTCTTTTGGAGAGCAAGCAAAAAGCATGTGCAACATGCTTATGCGCTCATCCAGATGTCCAAGTAAAATAGAGACATTTTTTTTGGAGGTACCCTCCATTGTGGCAATTGATATGCATTGCATTCAATCATGAGCAAAGAACAATGTACATTACCATATCACATAGGGGGATTATTCATTTTTATTTCCTATATGAGGTAATTTCACCATGCATATTCGCCCTGTCTGTAAATTTGCAGTTCCAAGCGAGCAATATTTCCTGAAATTTTCACTCTTCTGGGTTTTGCTATCATTGTGTACAAAAACTACAGTAAATATTGAGCCTGATAAGCATTGGCCCCATTTAACATCTGGAACTTTCAAGCAGCTGAATTACCAAAATGTTTGAGCAGGCTATCATGCAGTGTGGTAGCAGAGTATACCGTACATTGCTCTTTCCTGATTCACAAAGGGATAGGTAATAATTATAATATTGACTGGCTTCTCTTTTGGGAGATACAGAGGTATCTTGCCCTTAATGAAATCACATTGACCTCCTTTTCGAACCAATCCATATGATTTCATTTAGGGCAATATTTCCTGGTATTTTCCTCAAGGCCAGCCATTATTATATAAATATGTATATCCTTATTTCAACTTTTGATTCCAATTTTCTCTTTTTATTTTTAGGTAAGATTTGAAGCTTCACCTGGATTAGGCTTCGATGATACGACTGAGCCGACTGACATTGCGATCGATGATATTAGGTTTATCAACTGTGGATCATCAGCAGGTAGCAATTGGTTTGTTGAGCAAACCTTATTTGTATTTCTATTTAATTTGTTTTCTTTTTGGATAGAGGTCTATTTTAAGACACCATTTTGAAGTCAGAAGAAGTCAGTTTAAAAACACTGTGGTTTGGGTTTTAAAGATACCATATTACGCTACTTGACAGAACACAGAAAGAGAAGTCAGAGCAGTTTTCGTGAGACGAATTATTTACTTGTGGCGCCAAATTGTGTCCTAGGAAATTTGAATGATGGAACAATAAAGTTAAATTTATCTTGTTTAAAGTGGCAATTAATTGTCTGGCATGGTGTGAACTGAGTTCCCTTATTGATCCAGAAATGAAATGTCAATTCTTGTAAAGAAAATCTGTTGGCTTGCACCCAGTTAAATAAAGATTGCGTGCTCAGTAATTGAAAACAACTCCGAATAAATCTTGGAATCAGTGGGATTTGAGCCTGCAATCTGCTGCTTGCCGGGCAGCAAGTATGTCACAAAACCATCACCTGGTCCATGGCACAGTCCTGATGTACTGGAAACGAAAACCTCAGCTCTCTTGATTCATTCTGACTTATTTATATTCATTAGTCCGCTATTAGGACAATAGCTTTGAATGTTAGGCTACCTGGGAAAAGTTTTAATTGTTGTAAAGAAATTGTTGGCTTGCACCCAGTAAATAAAGATTGCATGCTCGATCTTGTAAATTGCTACCAATTCGATAAAATCATTATACCAGATGAAAATTGAGACAAGCACTTTGTCCATTGCATGGTAGAAACCAGACAAGTACCCCTTCAATCTGATAGTAAGCCTGTGAAATGCTTACTTACAAGAAAACACATGTCAGGTAAAACCAACGAACCGACCAACCAAATTTAAACTCGCCCTCATTCCGACTGAGTGACAAATAATTGAAGATGAAAGAAACTTTTGATGAAATTGCCCATCCAACATTGTTCTTCTTTCCATTTCTTTTTCTTTGCTTCACCAAGACTTAAACTGTAATTTTGGCGTTGCAACATCAGAAGGGACCTTCTGTGGCTGGACTCAGGCTAATGGCTCTGATACGTTTAATTGGTCCTTATTCAAAGGACGTACACCTTCAGGATACACTGGTCCACAGTATGACCACACAGATGGATTGAGTAAGTTATGACATGGTTCTTGAGTTGATACACTGGTCCACAGTATGATCACACAGATGGATTGAGTAAGTTATGACATGGTTCTTGAGTTGATACACTGGTCCACAGTATGATCACACAGATGGATTGAGTAAGTTATGACATGGTTCTTGAGTTGATACACTGGTCCACAGTATGATCACACAGATGGATTGAGTAAGTTATGACATGGTTCTTGAGTTGATACAATGTCATGTTTATGCCTAAGTATGTTTCTAGTGTATGTAACATCAATGGGAAAGCATTCCTGTATTATTATGGACAATAAAACTTGGACCTTGAACAAAGTATATGGATTTAGCTTCCTTTCCCTTGCATCCAGATTTTACAAGCCCACTTGCAGTTTGTTGTGATAAAACAAGATACCTATAAACTCTTGTATACCAACCTGCTACTGATTTTGTTATATGTTTCACGTGTATGTAACGGTATTATAAAATACATCGTAGCGATTCCATCTTAATTAAGATAAAAGGAAGCAACTCTCTTAAACAAAGCTATTAAGACCAATATTTGATTTTGAATATATAGTTAACAAAAAAATTATTCATAATAAATAATAATAGTGGGTTCTTGTATAGCGCTCATGTCAGTCAGATTTGACCCTCCTGGCGCTCCCGATTTTTACCCTGGCTTTAGCATGGCTGCCATACGGCGCTCTAGCATTTCAAGGAATAAATTCCTACCAGGTACCCACCTGGGTGGAGTGTGGCAAATGTAGATCAATGTCTTGCCAAAGGACATTAGTGCGGCGGCGGGACTCGAACCGCGGACCTTGTGATCGACAGTCCGGCGACGTATCCACTCAACCACAACAACACCCCCTTGTAAATTTCATGTTTTGTGTATTTTTCATTACTTAGTAATACAGCTGGACTGTATGAATAGGGCCTTCCTCTGGTGAATACTTTTAGATGTAAGCTTTGATATGTCACATTCTCAAGAAATATAAATCGGGACAAAATTTGTTGTTTCATGTACTTAAAAACTTGGTAAGGGTGTGAATAATTTAGTAGTTAATTCTACATGTACTTTGAGAATTTGTTTCTTTGTTTCTGTCTTTTTTGTCAGGTTACTATGCCTACATGGAAGCCTCATCTCCTGTAGTATCTGGAGATTTTGCCCGTTTGGAGTCTGGTGCCCTCAGGTCCACTCAGGGTCAGCCGTATTGCTTCTCTTTCTGGTATAGCATGTATGGTCCTAGCGTCGGAACATTCCGTGTGATCCAGAGGGATCCAGATGGTCAAAATGAAGTTATTGTAAGTAAAAAACAATTCAATTTTTTTGTTATGAGGTGCAATTTTTTTTCCAGTATTTAGAATGAACTTGCAATGAAGACACGCTCTAGCGATCATTGCTCCCTGTAAATTTTCGATACCAACATATTTCCAACCTTTGACCCTGCACCATTTTTCAATCATCGTCAGAGCATATTCAGAGCACTAGTGACAGATAGAGTGAGAGAGAGGGGGAGAGAGAGGGAGGGGAGAGAACAAAACACAGAGAAATGGGAAATGGTAGAGCAATATTGATAATAAAAGTAGAGATGAGGAATACAAATGGAGTAATATAAAAGTGATATAAAAGGAGCGAGGAAGACGAATAATAATGAATTATTCATCATTTATGAAGTGAAGTCATCATAGAATTTTACCCTAAACAAGAAAAGGTTCAGATTCACAAAGATTAAATTGAAGGAGATATCGGAGAAAAGGAAAATATAGTTCAAATGATTTTTAGTTTGTGTTTGTTCATATGTTATATTATGAATTTATAGATTGTACTTGAAATGTCTGTAACATTGTTCATATGTTATATTATGAATTTATAGATTGTACTTAAAATGTCTGTATATATCAATTGTGAGGATCCAAATTGTTATATTTTCCTGGTCGGTCTCTTTTTAGTGTTATATTAACCATCTGGTAAAATGAATATATTTATAATCAATGCATGTCGCCCTCTTGAGAACTGTATGTCCCCAATTGCACACATTACACCATTACCGACGGTCATTTTTTGTTGTTCCATTTTGTGTTTACATGAATTTTTTATCCCCTTGAAATGAGTTTTTCCACCATTTTTTTTCCCTTTGGGAAAATATAACCACTTTGGAAATATAAGTCCCTTTAGCAGTCCAAATAATGTTATATTGCACCCCCTGCCAGTCAATATCTGTATAATAATATATATTTGCTCCACATACATGTAGGTCTGGACTAAAAGGGGTAATCAAGCTAGCGTATGGCTGCCCGGTCAGAGAAACATCATCACCTCCTCTAACTATGAACTGGTTCTTGAAGCGACAAGGGCAGCTAACTATTACGGCGATATCGGTCTTGATGATACCGCCCTCACTGTTGGCGCCTGTCCAGGATCAAGTAAGCTTAGATGCATTCACCTTTAACCCATTAAGGGTCTAACAATATTAGCAAAGAATGTGCACATAGGCACAGTTAACCAGGGTCACATGGGCACGTCCCTATACCCCCCCCCCCCCCCAATCAAGTGGTGACAAAAAGGGAGAAAAATGGTTCCAGAGAGAAGTGAGGGCGAAAAGGACAAGTAAAGAAGATGCATGGATCACCCCCTCACCCTTTTCCCTAATCAGTAGCCTTGTAATTTCGCATTCCATTTTCCTATTAAATCCAGCTCTTCCCAAACGTTCCACTGCCCCCCTCAATAGATGTACTCATTCTGTGCCGCTGGACGCTATTGTTTCTGTCATTCAAAGTAAACATAAGAGGATCAACAGCAAGGATATTCCAGAATCTGGCCTTTTTATTTTGATCTCAAACACCAACGCAATGCAACCCCCCCTAATTACCCGCTGCCAGCGGAAGATGGCATGATTCCTAACCAGTTCTTAGGCTGCATCATAGGGCTGGTGAGCGTATCAGTTCGTTCGCCATCTTCGGCGGCTTGAATCAAGTGTAGGGAATATATAAAGAACCGGTCAGATCCTGGACTACAGTAAGGTTTAAAACCCATCTGCACTAGTTTGGCCAGGGGGATTAGACCTCCCTGCAAGGTCAGTGACAGGTTGTTATCTCAAATCAGCTTTCAATTAATGTAAGAAAAAAGGGATCATGGGGGACCAAAAGGCACTGATTAGGCATTGTTTGTTATATAGAGGGTGCAAGTAGCTACAAGTTGTGCAGTGGGGCTTTAAAGTCAGTTAATTAATGTTGAATTTGTTTGCAGTTGACTGTGACTTTGAGCTTGGATTCTGTGACTGGGAGAACCTAGACTCCAGTAACGATGACTTTGATTGGTTGTGGGGAACTCCCATTTCTGCCGCAGGGAAAGGACCCTCAGTAGATCACTCAACATTTACAAACTCAGGTAAAGTTTAATATTCTTCATGACTGTTAAAAATAATGCAGCAGTTGTAAAGTAGTTTTAACGGTAGAACTACTCAGTTCTCTTAGACAATGAATTAGGAGGCCTTACATTCCTGCGCCCATATTCAATAAACTTCTCAAGAATGAAATCTAAAAAAAAAATTAAATGCTAGGAGTAATGTCTTAGCAAAAATGTGTATTCTATCAAAGCATTGGGGCTAAGAATTTTATCTTTTCTGTCGTCTTGGCTAAAACGAAGTGCTTACCATGTTTAGAATATGGCTAAGGCAACCTTCTTAACATAGACAAATTCTAAAACATTTTTCTTAGACTTAAAAAAACACGTCTAAGAAGTTTACTGAATACAGGCCCTGCACCTGCTACTCTCCACCCGAATGGGTACCCGGTACGATGCGACCGTCTTTGTTGGTCAAACAGCTTTTAAGCGTCAAGTAACGCCTGGCTGGAATGCTCCCCAAGGGAATGGAGATTGTGCACACTGTGTGCGGGCAAGTATTGAATACAATCACCTGGTTAATAGAATAGCTGTAAAGCGCTCAGAGACATCGTAGATGTACTAAGCGCTATATAAAAGCCAATATTATTATTATTTATTATTATTCTGATCTCTAAAACAGGGCACTACGTGTATGTGGACACCAGTGCAAACACCCTAGGTGAGACGGCCATCTTACAGAGCCAGGACTACATCCACACCGGTCCTCGATGCGTGTCGTTCTACTATCACATGAGTGGATCCAGTCCTGGAACTCTTACAGTCTACAAGCAGGATGATGGGGACATGCTTGTTAGCCCCAGCTGGACCAAGGGCGGAGACCAAGGTGACAGGTGGATGATAGCACAGGTGGAAATCATACCGAACCCTGATAAGAGTTACAAAGTGAGTTTCTTGTCTCATATTCTCATGTAAGTCTATAGAGTACCAAAGCTGTGACGTCAGAAAAATCAATTTTTAGAATTTCTCAATTTTTTTCTTCATTTTCCGAAAGAGCATAAAAAATAATGTCCAAATGTCGAAAACCAATTGAATATGTTTAGTTTTGGCTGAGATATGACCATCTGAATAAATAGATTTCCTGTAGGAATTGTGTTCTATGCTCTGGCTCCTATACCATGAGGAGCCAGAGCATAGAACACCGAGTTCCCATATGACATATATTTTTTCAGATGGTCATATCTCAGCCAATACTTAACATATTCAATTGGTTTTTGACATTTGGACATTATTTGTTATGCTCTTTCGGAAAATGAAGAAAAAAAATGATAAATTCTAAAAATAGATTTTTGATGACGTCACACTTCACCACTCTATGAAGGTTATAATAATTAAAGTAACAAATGAGAGGTTTTACATTTTTGTAAGAACGTTTGACAATTGGTTAGTGAAGAACAATTATTTATTGATTAAGATTAGTTTTAAGATTATTTTCAAACTTTTCAACTGATCTGCTATTACAAATCTCTCGAGGGAAAGCGTTACAAGGCAAAGGCCCTGCATGAGCAAAGGTTCTTTCCCCCACTAGCATCTGTTGAGAAATCTCCAATATTTGCGATTATGTTTTCATTGCTTTTCCCCAGATATACATCGAGGCGACATCATCTACTCCTTCTTCTGATAGCGATCTGGCCATCGACGACATGAACATCGACGACCGCGTGTGCCTACCCGAGGGGACGTGTACCTTTGAGTACGACATGTGCGGCTACGTCAATGACTACGAGAACGATGACAATATGGACTGGATACGAGGGAGCATCACGTCGTCAGGATATACGGGTCCATCAATTGACCATACACTACAGACAGGATATGGTGAGGTCAAAATGATGTAGCAAATGTTGGTAGATATAATCAGATATTGACCATACACTACAGACAGGATATGGTGAGGTCATAATGATGTAGCAAGTATTGGTAGATATAATCAGATATTGACCATACACTACAGACCAGATATGGTGAGGTCATAAGGATGGTATATTAGGATGGTAGGATTGTGCTAGCCGTGAACTTTCATGAGCACGTATCTAGTATTTTGTCTCTGTGTATTTCACAATTTGGTCTGCAATAACCGTCATCTGCTCATGCTCAGACTGCAACTATGAACTATTGTCACCTTGCACGTCACTATGTTTTCATTGAAGCATCTAACCGTAAAGAAGCATGCAGGCCTGGCTACTTAGTGAAAACTGCTAGCTGGTTTGTTGCTGAGTGGTTGATTGAAATTCACTAACAAATTGATTTTACTGAACAAAGTTAGAGAAGCTATATTGAGAATGTACTTGTCACCTTGCAGGTCACTATGTCTTCATAGAAGCGTCTGGCCCTAAAGCAGGAAGCAGAGCCTGGCTACTTAGTGAGCACTTCTCACCAACTGCAGGTAGGTGCTGTCTTATCTTTTCTTTTTCTTTTTTTTGTCCAAAGAATTTTTGTTTATTAAAGACCGTCAATACTACTGGGCTAGAAGGGATTAAACCACACAGCGAGGTCACTAACAGGTGGCCTTCTCATTAACTCAGCTCTGATGATACTTAAAGTATAGGATATTCTGTCAAAAATCCAAGTGGTTTTCATTACAGGGTGGAGGTGTCATGATATAGTGGTTCATCCACTCAATCCAAAGGTTGAGGGTTCAAATCCCAGCCTGGCACTATAACTTCTTTAGGTAAGGAATTAATCCACATTTGCCACGCTCCACCCTAGTGTAAATGGGTACCTGGCAATTTATGGGCTAATAATTGTAGGACCCTCAGGAAGAAAAAACATTGCTGCTAATGAGGCTTCCCTGGGTAAACAAAATTATTATTATTATGTAGAGGTGTCGTGGCAGAGTGGATACGTCACCAGACTGTGGATCGGTCCCGCCGCAGCACTAATGTTCTCTGGCAAGATATTGCTTATTTACTTGCTTAAGTCGGGTCAACTGCCCGAGCTGTGATGGCCATCCACACATTCCTGTCCAGCATGGCTGCGTTTATCTCTGACAGTTCAAGTCCCGTATCCTTCTTGAGTAGGTCTGTATAAGTAAGATGAGGTCTTCCAGGTTTGTTCTTCCCGTGTTTAGGCTTCCAGAGTAAAAGCTGAGATATTGGTTCATTGATGTTCCTACAGCTGTGGCCTGCAAAACGTAGTCTTCTTTCCCTGATCTTTTCTGATACTTTTGGTAGATTCCCGTACAGCTCCTTATTGGTCATATGCTGGCTCCAGTGCACGTTGAATGCTGTCCTAAGAAGTCTGGTGTAGCAACCATCTAATTCTTTTGCCAGCTTTGTTGTAACTGCCCATGCTTCGCAGCCGTATAGAAGCACAGATTCAACTGTAGCAACAAACAAACGTTGTTTGAACTGTCTAGGAAGAGAAGATTTCCAGATTCTTCCAAGCTTGCTACACGCTCTCCATGCTGCTGACTTACGAGCTTTCACATCTTTTTCTGTGCCAGAAAAAGATGTGAAAGCTCGTAAGTCAGCAGCATGGAGAGCGTGCCACGGCAAGATATTCATCTACATTTGTCACACTCAACTTAGGTGATGTAAATGGGTACCTGGCAGGAATAAATTCCTTGAAATGCTAGAGCGCCGTATGATAAAGCTAGGGTAATAAAGGCCCCCCCCCCCCCCAAAAAAAAAAAAAAGTTGTATTGTCCTTTAGGTGCCAAAACATGGTTTGGTCGGTCAGAAATGTTTTCTTTTCTTTTTTTTTACTTCCTTTTTGGGCTGATATTTCTCATTTTCGATTGCTTTAATACTTTTTTTTTCCAAAGAATGGCAATACCACCAACGCTACCGCATCACCATCATCATCACCTCCACCACCACCACCACCACCACCTCTACTACTACTATTATTATTCCAGGTCGTTGCATAGAGTTTTGGTATCACATGTATGGAGGAGGGGTCAGTGATCTGAATGTCTATACCACCACCGCTACCACATCACCATCATCATCACCACCACCACCACCACCACTACTACTAGTATTATTGTTATTATTCGAGGTTGTTGCATGGAGTTTTGGTATCACATGTATGAAGGAGGGGTTGGTGATCTGAATGTCTATACTACCACCGCTACCACATCACCATCATCATCATCACCACCACCACCACCACCACTACTACTAGTATTATTGTTATTATTCGAGGTTGTTGCATGGAGTTTTGGTATCACATGTATGGAGGAGGGGTCAGTGATCTGAATGTCTATACTACCACCGCTACCCGTCATCATCATCACTTCCACCATCACCACCACCATTCCCACCTCCACCACCACCACCTCCACCACCACCACCACCACTACTGTAATTATTGTCATTATTATTATTCCAGGTCGGTGCATGGAGTTTTGGTATCACATGTATGGAGCAGGGGTTGGTGATCTGAATGTCTATACCACCACCGCTACCACATCACCCAAGCTACTATTCACCAAGAGTAGGAACCAGGGTGACGTCTGGCTGCAAGGGAAGATAGATGTGGATGCAACCACAACGTTCTGGGTAAAACCAATCTTTCTAGCCTTTCCCTGATGATTTGAAATGGACTACGTTTGCAGTATATTTCAGTGTATTACGCACTTTTGATGTGCCAATTACATTCAGTCTGTTTGGAGCCAAGAGGGTGTACACTCATCTACCTTTACACAGAGTTAAGTCCCTTCATGACCAGACAATTTGTAGATATTTGGGTCATACAAATTCTCAGACAATTTAGGAGTAATGAATTACAGCATTATTAGCTCCTAGTTACCTTCACACTTGTTAGTTAATATAATTACAAATATGGAAAGAAATTCAGTTCAACCTAAACAATGTTTTATCTTTCATGTACCTGTTGCAGGTTACCTTTGAAGCTGTGGTTGGGTATAACTACACCAGTGATATTGCTCTGGATGACATGTTCCTACATCCTGATATCTGCGCTATCCCCATCGTAATTCCTACCCAAGGGCCACCTCCGACGTTCCGTAAGTAATACCAGTTTATCATATCAGTTCCAGAAAATTGCCACTTATTTTTCTAAATGATATATATTGTATTTTTCTAAATGAATTATATTGCTTCAACTGCCCTTGTGAAGCACTGTATCATTAATGAAGTGTATGCGATGTTAGTTAAAGTGGAAGGAGATTACATGCTTCCATCTGCGCTATCACCATCGCACCTCCGACACAAAGACCGCCTCCCGCAATGTTCCGTAAGTTAGCAGTTTACCATATCAGTTCCAGAAACGACAATTTCTACTTCTAAATTTAGGACACTGCAATCCTACACAGAAGGTGACAAAATAATCTCAAATACAGGCAGAGTTACAACAATCTTATTCTTTATTGATATTTTGTTTCATGTATTGGTCGTGTATTGGTCGTTTATATACTATCAGCACCCGATTCTCACGATTGTGATTTTAAAGTTGATATCTACACCTTTGCCCTGTTGCACAAAACTTACCATTGATGGTAACTTTGCCATCAATGGTAAGTACCATGGAAACCTTGATTTTGATTGGCTGTTGAGCCTTGTTACCATCACACTGATGGTAGTTCCCATTGATGGCAAAGTTACCATCTCCACGATATTCTGTGTGGTGGTGGTGGTCATTTTACCTGATTACTAAGAAAGCATTAATGCTTGTAAGTAAGCAACCAGACGGCCGACAGCTAAATTAGTTTCTCTCTGATGGACCTGGTAATGAGGATTAATGCCTTACCAAAGGGCACTAGCGCATCGCCTTGGTTTCGAACCCGGGTCACCGGATTATGAGACCACTGCTCTACCGACTGAGCTATCGCGCCTCCTCATCAATGGTAATTTTATTGCAACGGGGCCCTTGAATTTGATATTCTTTATTAATATTGTTCCTTGTATTGGTCATGTATTGGTCGTTTCTATCCCCTCAGCGCCTGATTCTCACGACTGTGACTTTGAAGCTGGTCTCTGCACCTGGACTCAAGATAGCAGCAATGACTTTGACTGGATCTGGGCCTCAGGAGAGACCGATAGTGCAGGAACAGGACCCGCCTCAGACCATACCAAAGGAGACCAAACAGGTGTGTACGATAGAGACATGCAGATTAAAGCCACTCTAAAGTGTTGGGAGCACAACAAATTTGATGGCAAAATTTCACAATAGAGGATGTCATTTTAAGACACTTCTGCAAAGATTTTCCACCCAAAAAATGTTGTTGAAGCCAAATATTGATAGAAGGATACATTATTTGGGATTTTTGTTGTATGCAGATCGAAACCTAAATTTGTATCCTTTCATCAATATTCAACTTCAGACACATTTGTTTTGAAAATCCTTGCAGAAATGTGACTTAAATGACATCCTCTTTCACATTATGATGCAACTTATGTGAAATTTTGCCATTCAATTTTTTGGGCCCCAACACTTTAGGGGGGCTTTAAACATGGGAAAAACGGTTGCAATTTTGGTTGCAATAAAAAATAATAATAATAATGACAATAATGATAGTAATAATGATAATGATGATAATAATATTAATAATAATGATACTGCTACTACTACTACTGATAATGCTAATAATGAAACTGATGAAAATAATAATGATATTTATAAATCTTTTCAGGTTATTACATCTACATTGAAACTTCCAATGGAAGTCCTGATGATGTCGCCCGATTGAACTCTGAACTCTTGAAGAACGTGGATGACACCGGATACTGCATGGAATTCTGGTTCCAGATGTATGGACAGCACCTCGGCGCCCTCACAGTCTATGAGAAGATAGGGGAGGTAGAGGTGGCTGTGTGGACTGAGACAGAGCCCAGAGGACCTCAATGGAACCAGGTTCACCTTCACTTTACTGATACAGGGACTTACATGGTGAGATCATTGTTGTTAGGCTCATGGCTGACGAGATAGAGAGAGGGTTTGGGGTGTCATACATAGTGTAACATAACTAGCCCAGTAATTTAGTAAGACGTAGAGGGCGTTATAGATAATTGTGAGATATATACATGTACAGCGTGAGATGTCAGTCAGTCAGCGTTGAGCTGTTGTTGGGACAGGTTCTATATAGTTGTTATCTGTGAGTCAGCGTTGAGCTGTCGTTGCGACAGGTCCGTTACCAGGAATGAGTAAAGTTACTTGAACTGCAGATACAGTGCAAGTGTTGTTTCTTGAGTTCCTGTCAGACATTCAGTGATTGCGGGAGTGATGAAAATGAGAGCTAGTCCACGTTATTCTTACACGATATACTTTGTGAGAGCCCACTGAGAGATAGTTGATGAATGATTGTCGACAGCATGGACCGAGTTTTGAGAGACTGCAAGGCAGAACGCTACCCCGGCAGAGCCCGGTTACGCCACAATAGTATGGTTTTCCACCATGAAAGCCCTCTTGTGATCTGATTTACAGCAATCAATACAATTACATTTTCATGCCCCTCTCAGGTGTTGGAAGCCCCACAAATTTGATGGCAAATTTTCACTTAAACCGTATCATAATCTGAAAGAGGATGTCATTGAAGACACTTTACTGCAAGGATTTTTGAAAAATATGTTTTAAGTTGAATATTGATGAAAGAATACACAATTTAGGTTTTCTATATACAACAGAAAACCCAAATTGTGTACTTAAACACATTTTTAGGGGGGGAACTCTTTGCACAAGTGTGTCTAAGATGACATCCTCTTTCTTATTATGATACAATTAAAGTGAATTTTGCCATCAAATTTTTGGTGAATTTGGGGCTCCCATCACTTAAGAGGGGCTTTTAATTCATGCAGTTTTTAATACATTGCATGACTGATATCTCATTTTGTATTTATGTTTCAGGTAATCTTTGAAGGAGTCCATGGACCCAACACAATGGGTGATATTGCTTTAGATGATATCTCATTTCATCCTGGTACCTGCCCCACACCAAGTAAGTCTTAAATGAGAAATTACATATTTCATTTCCTGGGCCTCAAATTTACCAGTCTGGTTTTCTACAGAGCAATTATCTCAAGGCTGAGGAAGCCAGCGGTGCACAAATCATTTTGGCTATTAACTATTGACTGAACCAGAAAAATATCTATAAAATCAATGGTTGAAGAAAAAGTGTTGGTTGAATTTTATATTGGGGGTGGATTTTGTATTATGTATGTACATGTATGTGATCACATGGGCGATATATTGATATGGCCTGGGCTTAGATTCCTCTCCCTACCAATTCAACAGACAACCTCCCCAGTGTAAAAGAGAAGATACAGAAGATTGTAACAAAAGATGATGATTGGTATGATTTATTTTTAAATGACAGGTGCATACAAGTGTAAATTAACAACAATGTACTATACAGGAAAAAGTAATTTCTAATTTTGTCTGCATTCTTTCACATTATCAATATATTGATTATGCAAATGAACAGACATCATTTATTCTTAGAAGAAACGTGATTCTCAATATATTACAGTAGCATTGAATGTATATTCATTAAAATGTAATTCTGTGATGTAATGTGACATGTGCAAGCCATTTTTATGTGTGTCCCCTTGCAAATACAGTCAAACCTGCTTTAACAACCCCCTGTGTAGAAAGACCACCTGTGTACAAAGACCACATTTTTTGTTTCCCTTAAAAATGGTTTCTCATTGAAAATGTACTACAGGAATCTGTACATCAAGACCACCTGCCTACAAAGACCACTTTTCTTGTCTCCCTTGGATGGTCTTTATAGACAGGTTTGACTGTACACTTAAAGACCACCTGCCTATAAAGACCCCTTTTATTGTCTCCCTTGCGTGATCTTCATAGACAGGTTTGACTGTACATGTATTTGCCTGCCAGGCCAACACACTATCATGTCCCCTTCCGTTTCACTTTCTCTCCCTTAGGTATGTGTGATTTTGAGAATGGAGCATGCTACCTGAGTCAGACCCAACTGGATCAGTTTGATTGGGAGGTCATCCAGGCTAATTCAGAATCTGTTGCGCCTGCCATAGACAACACCTATCGTACTGAGTATGGTAAGCCAAAGAAACATCCTCTCGTACAAACTTGTCTTAAAACACATTTATTACAGTATTAAAAATTGCTTGTGATGATTAACTTTATCTGTTCACATTGATGTATATAGTTTTTGTATTGTAATATGTAGGTTTATTTGTATTTTTTTTTAGTGATAACTCATGTAATATTCATCACAGACTCAATCCATCACCAGCAATCATCCTTGGTCAAAATCAGCCTCTATTAAGTTCTAATTTGTTACTTTCTTGTTGGCTCTTGTTTTCATAGGGACGGGGGGTATATAAATAATGATAATAATAATAATAATATATTATATTTATAAAGCGCTTCGTACTAGTATTTCTAAGCACAAGAAATAGAAGGAAGGTAACGTAAGGAAAAGTGAGAGACACCAAAGAAACATGTGAAAAATATTGAATACAAGTGAATGGCTAAGGAATTTGTCATAGAGTCCTTTTTAATAGTCAGCTACATGAAGTGTTTAGAGCCTTCAGTAGATAGCGCTTAATAAGCAATGTTTTATCATCATTAATATTATTATTATTATTATTATTATTACATTTGATTCTCTTACCTCTTTCCGCACATAGGACATATCTTCTTTGCGGACATGACAGGACTGTCATCAAGCAAGGATCTTGCCATTGTGGAAACCGGTCCCCTACCACCAACATCACCATTAGGCAACTGTTTCCAATTCTGGTACTCAATGTTCAACTCTCAAATCTGCCAACTGCAGGTAATAATACAGTGAAACCTGTCTATAAAGACCACCCAGGGGAGACAAGAAAAGTGGGCTTCATAGACAGGTGGTCACTAAAGCAGGTTCGACTGTACAACGTTTTCACCACCCACTTTGCACATATTCAGTTTGAAAATATGGCCTTATCCCATTACATGTATATTTAATAAATTGAATAACAGAAAGTATTCAAAATTTCATTCATCTGTTTGGCTGATTTGATGAAATAAACAAACTACTTTTTTTCACCTGAAGTTTGTATAACTTGTAAAACAAAAATATACATATATTTTTTTTTTTTTTTATAGGTAAAATATCATTTTAGAAAAATATGGTCAGAAAGAACTAAATAAATAGTATGATTTTTGTTCAGATTGTTAATTAACACAAATTGAAAACAATCTTTACACTATGATCATTGTCTGAAACAACACAATTTTATTATCATTTTTCTCCATGCTTTTCTGATTCTTAACAGGTTTATATAGTTCATGTGATTAGTGGACAAACTACGTTGCTATGGGAGATGGATGGAATCGCTCATGAGGATGAATGGCATGTTATGGAGATGAACCTTAATAATACCGATGATCTTTTTAAGGTATGAACTCTTCTCCTCCTCTTGCTCGTCATCTCGTCCTCCTTCATCTTCTTTCTAGCTCTTCTTTTATTTACTGCTTCTTCTTCATCTTCCACTTTTTTCTTCATCTTCTTTTTTCTTCTTCTTTTTTTCTTCTTCTTTCTTTCTTCTTCTTCTTCTTCTCCTCTTCTTCTTCTCCTTCCACATCTTCTTTTTTTTCTTTTTCTTTTTCTTCTTCTTTTTCTTCTCCCCTTCTTCTTTTTCTTCTCCTTTTCTTCTTCTCCTTCCTCATCTTTTTTTTCTTTTTCTTCATACTCATCTTCTTCTTTTTTCTTCTTCTTTTTCTTCTTCTTCTTTTTCTTCTCCTCTTCTTCTTCTTCTCCTTCCTCATCATCTTCTTCTTCTTCTTTTCTTCTTCATTGCTATGGGAGATATATGGAATCGCTCATAAGAATGATTGGCATGTGATGAAGATGAAGAAATTTTCTTCTCCTCTTGCTCCTCCTTCTTCATCGTCCTCTTGAGGTTAAAAGATTCTAGAACGGTAGGAGGAAACAGACCAAAAGGTGTTCTTTTGTCTATTCTTCTCCACAGTCCCAGACAGTAGAAGTGTCGTAGTCGAGTGGTTTTAGCACTTGAATTGAAATTCAAAGGTCATGGCTCGATCTCCAACAGGGCAGTAATGTCCTTTGACAAGGCATTAATCTACATTTTCCACTCAATACCCAAGATAGAAATGGGGACCCGGTAGGATGACGAAAGCATTTGTGTTAGTAATTGCCTATGCCCTCACATGACCATATGGTAGGAAAACGAGTCGTTCATACAGAATACCATCTCTATGGCACATTGCTTCCCTATACAGATTCGATTCCAAGCCTCCACTATGGACTTCACCCAGAATGCTGCCATATCTCTGGACGATCTTTCTATCAGCACTTACCCATGCTCTCCGTTTGGCGACTGTAACTTTGAGACCGGTCTGTGCACGTGGAAGAACGAGGAGACGACTGATGATTTTGACTGGCAGCGCATCCAGGGAAGGACACCCTCTGATGGTACCGGACCAGGGGTCGATCACACTTTCGGGACAGCTTATGGTAACCCACCATTTTTTACTAAAATAAATTCTACTTCTAACTACTTATGTTATGCTACCGGTAATGTCATTCTTTATAGCCTTCTCTTTAATCACTCTACATGACTAGAATAATAGATTTTATGCAAAACCTAAGTAGATCCTTGTCATTTTGGGGGAGGATTGTTGGTCACATGATAATCAACTATTGCACGGGTGTGCAATTTTATGCCTCCGTTACGATGTAGCCAGAGGTATTATGTCTCGTGATCGCGTTATCACAAGAACCGATAGATGGATTCCTACCAAACTTAAACCTTGTATGTATCTTGCAGAGCCGATGAACTGATTAGATTTTAGGGTTCTGAGGTCAAAGATAAAAGGGTCATACATGTATATGAAAAATAGCTGGTACGATAATCACAATATTCTGAGAACCTGTAAATGGATTACAATTAAGCTTGAATTTGAAAATTTCTTTTGTTTTGGTTTGTGAAATCGCTCTACTGCGGAGGCATCATTTTTTACTGCGTGGAGGTTAGGCAAACCAGAGTCTTGAATTTAAAGAACCACGTAAATCTTAGTACATCTGTCACCCGTCGGACCAACACCAGACTGAAAAAAAATCATATTACCCCCAATGGCAACAATTATTCAGGCGGTGTGTGTGTGAGGTGCAAAGGTTTCAGGGCTACGCCTTGTAATTCTTTCAAAGGGCATAAGAGGCATATAAATGGTAGTGAACTTCGCTAAGAAATCTTTGGTACTTTACGTTTCGTACAGTATTCTATGATCATCTACAGGAGAATTTTATTTGTATTTATATTGACTTTCTATTATTTATTTGATTTAAATCATCCACAAATATCAAGAACATTGCTATGGTTATTTTTCTTGCACTGCCAAAATACCATACAGGTACGTACATCTATACAGAAGCATCGGACAGGACGCAGGGTCAGGTGGCCATCTTGAAGTCAGGTGACTTCACTGCAACCGAGAAGCGATGTGTGGAGTTTTACTACCATATGAATGGTGAAGGCGTAGGCAACCTGGACGTCCAGTCACAAGCTGATACATCCACTCTGGTCACAACGTTGAAGACGTTGGCCGGAAACAAAGGGGATGCTTGGCGGCAAGATATGGTGAGGTTTGGTATTTAGCACCGTAGACATTTGCAATAGTCTAGAGATATTCTTGTTGGAGCTTATTCCACAAGGTAAATCAATAATGGGAATCAAGTTGTAGTATTAATATTACCTTGAGGTACCACACAAAAACTGTGCACAAGACAACAGTGCACGAGCAAAAGTGAAATCGCCAAAATGATTACTTAAATTCTGCTGAGTACCAACTAGATAAGATTATAGCTATGTAGTATGCTAGGTATATTGTGCATCAAATGGGAGGGTAGTACATCACGCAAATTGCTGCGCAATACATTACAGGTCCTCCATTTATCATCCTATCCGAAGCTATCTGTTTCTTCCCCTTATTGAATCACAGGTTGCATTGGATGTCATCAGCAAGGCCTATTCGTATCAGGTGATGTTCCAGGCTACGGTAGGCTCATCGCACTTAAGTGATATCTCCCTGGATGATATCACTTTCTATGATGGTGACTGCCCAGGTATGTAGAATAATATGGTACTGGTATGTAGGCCAAGGGTGAAAGGTCATAGCTCATTAAATGTGCAAAAACACCTAATTATATATGTGAAAATGTGGTTAACTTCCTTGCCTAGTAATATATTATTCCAATGGAGGTAACTTGTTCTGATGTATATAGGCCATTTGTACCATGTGAGGGGATGCTACGCTTTGCGTTGACTTGTATTATATTATTAATACTATACTATTATTATTATCATATTAAATGTTATTATTAAAGGTAATACAAAGTTTTGGTATGGAGTCATACATTTGGTTCAAATGAACATATTAGAAGCATATGCGATCCTACAATAAGCAGTGATCGTTGTCGCGGTTAAAATCGAGTATAAAGTTTTGAAATTGTAAATAATAAACTGTTTATGTTGCATAGCTCCCTCTCAAGGTCAAGATATTAATTAAGCCATAAAACAATGTTTCTTGACTAAAATCGACCGATTGGCTATTCCCGTTTGGAAATTACATACCACAACTACACACTCTGAGATTTTCATGTTCGCAGCTAACATTGTATGGCGGTAAGCGCTATTTAAAATTTATCAACATTTACCCGGAGCACCGGTAAATTTTGATATTCAATTTTTCTGGAAAGCAGAAGTGTTTTAGGGGCTACATTTTCTAGTGCTTATAATACATCCACAGGGTCATCCAAATATATCAAAATTGTAAAGAATCACTATCCAGCCAATTTTCAAAATTTCCCGAAAACTTTGTATTACCTTTAATATTTGTATTATTATTATTAGTATAATAAAACCCATATTTTATATCCATTGACCTAGACCCTCCATCTGACTGTGATTTCTTGTGTGGAGACAGTGCAGAGACCTGTATACCTTACACACAGTTCTGTGACTTCACCCCACATTGTCCAAACCAGATGGATGAGCTTGACTGCGGTATGTACATTACAGTATATTTGTTAACCCATTGCCTATGTGAACCAGGTGATCCCTGTATTAAGCCTATGGGAACAAGACATTCAGTATTCAACATGTTAATACGTTGCCTACATGAACCATGTGATCCCTGTATTAAGCCTATGGGAACAAGACATTCGGTATTCAACATGTTAACACGTTGCCTACATGAACCAGGTGATCCCTGTATTAAGCCTATGGGAACAAGACATTCGGTATTCAACATGTTAATACGTTGCCTACATGAACCAGGTGATCCCTGTATTAAGCCTATGGGAACAAGACATTCGGTATTCAACATGTTAATACGTTGCCTACATGAACCAGGTGATCCCTGTATTAAGCCTATGGGAACAAGACATTCAGTATTCAACATGTTAACACGTTGCCTACTTGAACCAGGTGATCCCTGTATTAAGCCTATGGGAACAAGACATTCGGTATTCAACATGTTAATACGTTGCCTACATGAACCAGGTGATCCCTGTATTAAGCCTATGGGAACAAGACATTCGGTATTCAACATGTTAATACGTTGCCTACATGAACCAGGTGATCCCTGTATTAAGCCTATGGGAACAAGACATTCAGTATTCAACATGTTAACACGTTGCCTACATGAACCAGGTGATCCCTGTATTAAGCCTATGGGAACAAGACATTCGGTATTCAACATGTTAATACGTTGCCTACATGAACCAGGTGATCCCTGTATTAAGCCTATGGGAACAAGACATTCAGTATTCAACATGTTAACACGTTGCCTACATGAACCATGTGATCCCTGTATTAAGCCTATGGGAACAAGACATTCAGTATTCAACATGTTAACACGTTGCCTACATGAACCAGGTGATCCCTGTATTAAGCCTATGGGAACAAGACATTCAGTATTCAACATGTTAACACGTTGCCTACATGAACCAGGTGATCCCTGTATTAAGCCTATGGGAACAAGACATTCAGTATTCAACATGTTAATACGTTGCCTACATGAACCATGTGATCCTTGTATTAAGCCTATGGGAACAAGACAAGCGGTATTTAACATGTTAACACGTTGCCTACATGAACCAGGTGATCCTTGTATTAAGCCTATGGGAACAAGACATTTGGTATTCAACATGTGAACACGTTGCCTACATGAACCAGATGATCTCTGTATTAAGCCTATGAGGATTAGAGAAATCAGCATCAACCGAGGAACCAATTGCTTATGGGAACTGGATGTCTGTTTATTAAGCCTGTAAAAATAGGAGAATTCAACGGTTTAAGTTTGTTTCATTTCTTTTGTTTCAGTTCTCAGTGGGCTTGTATGTTCTGGTGATATAGTCGAACTTAACTCCAAGTTGGACTTAACAACTATGGAAAGCCGTTAGCATCTTTGAAAATATTTTGCAAAAGTTATTTTAAAAGGCATAAAATGATGATTCAAATCAATCATATTTTCTGTTATCAAGGAGATTTCATGTTCTTGATGTGGAGTTTATGAAAAGTCTAAAATACTTCAATTTTTGCTTTTGAAGATCTTTTATTTTTAGTCTACAAATAATGTTTAAATTCAACTTAGAGTTAAGTTCGACTTGAGATCTTTGTGAAACACCCCCTGGTATGACAATTTGTCAACAAGTATATCTTGAAACATGACATGGATATTTTTGTGATCGCACAATATAAACATGGAAATGGACCTCCACGAAAAGCAATAGTTTATGAGAATTTTCATATTTTAAACAGCGTCATATATGTATATAAAACAAATGTGATGTTCTTCTTTACTATATATTGCTACACAGGATCGGCATGCACATTTGAACAAGACACATGCCGATGGTGGAACGCTGGATCCAGTGCTTATAAATGGATTAGACACCAAGGGGCTACACCGGACTCTAACACCGGACCTGCTTATGACCACACTACCTTGAGCGCTGCAGGTAAATATGTTAACACTGTATTGTGTGTTACACCTAAGGTGTTAATTTGAATTACAATTGCAAATCAGATTCGAACACACAAAACTGCTTATGATTACATCACACTGAGTGTTACACCATTTGTGTTAATTTACACCAGACTTACTACACTTGACTTTAATTTGAATGAGAGGATTCAGTTGTCAGTAGGTTAAGGAACATGTACCCCTCCTATCATTCACTATGTCTTTTGTGTACATCCTGAGGTTGGTACAATCAGGCCCCCATCTTACAAAGAGTTGATATCAATCTGCACTTTGCAATTGGTATCAATCGCAAGTATGTACGTAAGAGATAGGAGATTGCATACTTGCGATTGATTGGAGGACTTACGATTGATTTGGATCAATCATAGCTCTTTGTAAGACGGGGCCCAGACCTGTCTATTTAGACCACCCAAGGGAAACACCAAACGTGGTCACTGTAGACAGGTGTCCTTTATAGACAGGTTCTTCAACACGTGTATATAGAGGTGTCCGCTAAGACAGGTTTGACAGTGAATAATAATAATAATAAAAGCTCACATTTATAATGCGCCTAATACTTTGTCTCTAGGCGCAGCACATATTATTACCCTGGTCATCTGATTCAGGCTTATCCGCAACACAATGTATGCACATTTTACGCTCCTTGGGGAGCATTCCATTTCTGAATGTACACTCTCTTATCGTTCCTCTACATCCTAGGTTGGTACATGTACGTAGGAACCACGCCCAGCTCAGGCACAGCCTATGCAGTGTTCTCATCCCGCATGCACAACAATGCCGCAGCAACCTGTGAGATCCGCTTCTGGTTTCACATGTATGGAGAGGACATAGGCTCACTACAGCTCTACATCCAGGAGGAAACCTTCCTGATGATACCATGGTTTAAGACTGGAGACCAGGGAGACTACTGGCATGAAGGAATCGCTGGGATTGGAAGAATCCCTGGTGGATTCAATGTAAGATCAGTAATACTTCCAAAGCTATGTAGTTAGATATGCATGTAAGAGACTGGGGGTGTTTCATAAAGTTGTGCGTAAAGTTATGCATGACTTTACGAATGACTTGAATATTAGCTCTTCATATTCAATTCATTCGTAAAGTCATGCGGATTCAATGTAAGATCAGTAATACTTCCAAAGCTATTATTAAGATATGAATGTAAGAGACTGGGTGTGTTTCATAAAGTTGTGCGTAAAGTTAGGCATGACTTTAGGAATGACTTGAATATGAAGAGCTAAATGGGATTCTCAAATCCTTTTAATTGCATGAGATAAAAATATAGTAAGTTAGATATTCTGAGAACCTGAATACAATCTAACTTGAATTAAGAAAAATTTGATTCTGTTTTGGTTTGTAAAATCGCTCTGAGGGCTGAGGCATCAGTTTCGACTACAAGCAGTCAAAGATCCATGATATATTTCCTTTTTCTCTGAACAGGTCAAGTTCCAGTCCGTCCGAACATTTGAAGTTCTTGGTGATATAGCCATTGATGACATCAGGATGGAATCATGCGCACTACCAGGTAAGGCATCTTGCTGGCATGCCTCCCCTTACCCAGGAGATGGAATACAAATAATGCATATAGGGTCAATACTGATAGCATTGAGCCTAGTATCTTCCTATTGTGATAACAAAACCTTGACATTAATTTTCTCTAAAATCTGTTGCCTTCGTGAGGCAGATGGAAGTAAATGGAAAGTATAATTTTTTTTCCAGGTTTTTAATGTTATATCATAACAAGCCAATATTAAAAAATGAAAGATGAGTTTGAATGTGGTGAGATGGTAAAAAAGTTTGGTACCACTTGTAGACATGATCTGACTAAAATGAAAAAAAATTAGTGCAGGGAATTTTTAATTTATAACCATATTCAAATTTGTCTTTATATCTAAGACATTTAGCAATAAATACTCTTTAAACTTAGGTTTTAAAGAGTTTAACAAATATTTAATGTTTTTATGTACTGTGGTATATTATTCCAAGTAGTATGTAATAGATAATCTTTTTTCATCTACATGATATTGATTGAAATTGATTTGATATCTCATGCAATGGAATCTGTGTACAGTTCCTCAAACTCAGGATTGTGAGAGTGATGAGTTCCGATGTGATAATGATGCCTGCATCACAACAAGACGACTCTGTGACTTCACTGATGACTGTGGTGACTCGTCTGATGAAGCTGTGAATATATGCCGTAAGTTATGTACTGCTGATATGAGTACACTGTGATTTAAATAATGCTTTAGTGTATTGTGTATGTGTGCGAACTGCGTATGTATTGTCTTCACAAAACTACTATGTACTCCGTTTTTGGCGGCCTGGGCAGCCGGGAGCTTAGGCGGATACTGCTGTAGATCTAGCTAGGTACAACCGCCGATCCGCTGCAATCACAAAACTTTTAAAATGTTGATGGAAGTTTCTAGTTTTCGAGTTGGTAGTTGGAACGGAGATTTCACTCAGACACATCAATAAATTGATTTATTAATTCCTAGGGAATATCAATTAATGGCGGGGGCAATTTTTCAATATATATTGATTTTTTTTCGCCCTCATCTTGATTTTTAGAGGTTTAGGGGGCGAATCACCCGTCGCCACCGTGTATTTTTGTCGTTGAAAACAAGTATGGTAAAACCGGTTACTCAAAGGTTTTTACTTTTCTGAGGCACTTCTTGATCATGTTGAAGCGCAATTTATTTAGGTCTTCAGTTTAACACTATATCATAGGACCGTGCATTTCAGATTTAATATTGTTAAACGATCCCTTTAACTCATATCCTGCCATGAGACTGCTAGCGCGCTATTGTTATAGTGCTTTGTGCACGCGAACGCGCTATCGATTGAATGCCACGTTCATGCTAGCGAGCCACCGATACTCTGCTTTGTGCACGCAAGGGCGCATATGTAAAAACAGTCATTGTTCATGCCCATTGCACCGTGCGGAGTACTTTTGCATCGCTATTGAAAGTACCATCTGTGCATCAGATTATCGGCTTTGGATTACGCGTTTTTGTATACAATAGTCAGATAGGATTTTCTCGAGTAATTTAGCGATTTGTTTTTTGTAAAGATTTAAATAACACGCGCTTGAATCAACCTTAAAATTAACTTGGCACACAGGAGATTTGTGGCTGGCACAATAGGGATTAGCACTGTGGCGCTGGGTGCATTGTATGGGTGGCAGGTTAAGAGTTAAGTATTACTCAGGTTATATAAATTTGCTATCTCATTGAAAATTTCTTGTTTATGGATTGGCCAATAACTATTCATGTGAACAATCATTGCCCTAAAAGAGCAACCCTATGTTATTTTTCAGCTGATAATCTCAGTACAGTTAGGTATCTTCTGCTGATATAAACACACTGTGATTGAAATATTGAAAAATGTGAGATAAAAACCTACAATGTGCCTCTGGAAATATTTCTTGTTCACGTAATAATCAAACATACTTCTACTAATATAGGAACCATTATACATTTTTAGGTGATAGTTACATTTACATGTCCACTGCTGCTATGAATGCATTGCGCTTTAAGTAATACCTGGGTTATATAAATTTGCTATATCACTCATTGAAATTTTTTGTTTATGGATTTTCCAAAGGCTGTTCATCTGATTAAACATGTGACAATTTTTATTATTTTCACTTGCAGTGAGTTATCTAATGCTGATATGAACATACTGTGGTTTAACAAATTACTTAAGTTAGTGAAGGGATAAAAACAAAAATATTCTTCATTACATTGGAGTCTGAAGCGAAATATTCTTTTAGGGAATAGTACTTTCTGCCTATCTTTCTTTTTCAGAAGATTATGATTAATTATTTTTGAGAATGATACAATAGCATCATTACCTCTGAAAATTATACATTGTCTATTCAACCCACGTATAGTAAGTAAGTACATGGTAGTATGCATTCCTTGAATGCACTGAATGGTACAGTTGCTGGAGCTAAAGCAGGGGTAATAATAGCCAAAGTGCTTTCAGAGCACATAGAGAAGTTATAATGGGATAGGTGTCATTCAAAATAGGCGTATTATTACCATTATTATTTGTATTCATCATTTTTCAGAGGATTATGATAATTGTGATTTTGAGGATGATACGTGTGACTGGAGTGAGGATAGCCTGGATGATATCGACTTTCAGAGGATGAACGGACCTTCAGATAAGAACTCCAGGACAGGGCCATACAGAGACCACACAACTCAGTATACTGGTAAGCCCACTTACTCATTGATCTCAATCAGAGTGAATATTTTCAAGATAGCAATGAAAAGGACGATACTGTGCAACATGTCCTGTTTCCACATATTTCATCCATTAACTCATCCATTTCTTGGTATGACCGTGGAATAATAGTGCCTTCTGGTATCACTACAGTTAAGAGATGTTTCATTCATATGGATAAAATGCGATACAGTAACAGGTGTGATGATTGTGTTTCTGTAGTAGGTTACTATATGGTAATGGGGACGATGATTGTATTTTTTAAGTAGTTTACTTTTTAATGGTATGATAATTGTGATTCTGTAGTAGGTTACTATATGGTAATGGCTTTGTGTTTCTGTTATAGGTTTCTATATGGTATTGATTGTGTTTCTGTAATAGCTACCGGTAACTAAATAGCAATGTGTATTGTAATTGTTTTTCTGTAATAGGTTACTATATAGAAAGGTTATGGTAATTGTGTTTCTGTAATAGGTTACTACATGTGTACATGGTAATGGGTATGGTGATTGTGTTTCTGTGATAGGTTACTATATGGTAATGGATGCAAGCACAGATGGTTACAATGAGGGCGATAGCGCTAGGTTGATCAGTCAGGTGTACAGCTCCAATGGTCCTGAGTGTAGGGTAAGTTTGAGCAGTTCACATTTTAACTTTACTCCATGCTCTCCTCTAATATTCTATTGTGTGATTTCTCCAACTGCGTTGTATTTAATATTCCTCTACTTTCTATGTTGATGAATGTGTATTTTTCTATTTATCATTAAGGGCACATTTTCTTTAGTAAATTGTTCATATACACGTTCTGTTGTAATGAAATAACCCACCTCGTTATTGGAAAGTGTGAGAGAGGTCTAAATGGAATTCTTAAAAAGGCATTAGCATGTATGCCCATGTCACCCGGGTTGGGGGATATCATAATTGAATTTAGAGGTTACTTTTGAAGAAAAATTATCAATGAAAATTGCAACTGTAAAGTAAGTAAATGAATTCCAGAGTCCAACAAAACGAAATGGGTCAAGTATAATTTGCAATCAATCATTTTTTGCAACCTTTTTATGAGATATAAATGTAAGAAGGGCATTTGGAACGTTGATAACGGTGAACTGGTCTATTCTCACCCTCATTTTCAGTTCCGTCTTTGGTATCACATGTTTGGTTCCAACATGGGCACTCTAAATGTCTTCATGAGGACATCGATCGGAGGCTACATGACCACCCTGTTCACCAAGACTGGCCATTCCAACGATTACTGGGAGCTTGCAGACGTCGACCTACCGGCTTCAGGGTCACCCAACTTCCAGGTTGTAATAGAGGCGATCCGAGGCGATGGTCCTTATGGAGATATAGGAATTGATGATACGTCCTTTACACCTGACTGTGTTACAACCACTGGTAGGCTCTACTGCTTCATCTCTAGAGAATTAACACATTTATTGCTGATGGGGACCTCCATCCAACAGTCAAACTGGTTTTGATAAAAGAAAATAAGGAAAGAGATCTTTGAAAACATGGGAAAATGCAATATGAAAGTTCTGATTTTGTTATTGTTTGGCTGATCATACTTATGTGTAAATTTGCTACTCTTCATGAAATACTTTTGTTACCAGCAGCTCTCCACTTGTTTTGTACTAAAATTTAAAAAATTTGAACCCCTCTTCTTTAACTTTTTTGAGGCACTACATGATAATTTTGAGGCACAACACTTTTAGGGCTTTAATATAACACCGTATCACAGACACTGATAACACGTAGGGCCGTGCATCTCAGATTAATCATTGTTAAACGATGCCTTTGACACAGAGCTGCAGCTAAAGACCATGCTCACAATAATATGTTTCTAATGAAAGATAAAAAAGCCCTGAAAGACTGTCCTTGTTCATCTCATTATCTGTCTAGGTGGGCTCCCAGCCGGTACCACTACCCCAGCAGCTACAACCATTGGTCCATGTGGGGCTGGTAAATGGCAGTGTGCTGATCAGACCTGTATCGACAGTGATCAGTACTGTGATTACCAACAAGACTGTCCGGATAATTCGGATGAGGCTTTATGTGGTAAGATATCGTTCTTGGCCCTGTCTCATGAAACTTGCTATCAACAACAGTTCTACAACAAGTTTGCCCACAGCCTTTCACGGTGTTTATTCTGAAATTATTTTTTCATATATTAGTTTATTATCTATACTGGCGTAATAATCGGTGTCGTCCTACAAGTCATGACTGACTATTTGTGACCCTATTGATGATGACGTTCCAACCTCTTCTGTCCTGGGCATAGCAATGAACTGTGCAGATGTTCATGCCAGTAATCTCTTTTATTCCGTCAGCCCCTCAAACTTTTGGCCTACCACGTTTTTGTTGACCCTCAACATGACCTTATGGTCTTCACCAGGTTGTCACCTCTCCTAGAAATGTGTCCAAAATCCAAAGTCCAAAATAGTATGACCTTCACTCCAATTTGGTTACTGACAACATTATTTGATTTATGCAGCTTCCAGGATACCCTCAGCATCCTCCTCCAACACCACATTTTGAAAGCATGGAGGGACTGAGGTAATGAAAAGAGTTGTTGATTAAATGTAAAGTGTTATGACTGAATGTCCATCTGGCTCTCCTCAAACCATTACTATTCTCATCATATGCAGGACCATGCCAGTTTGATACCAGCCTGTGCGGGTGGCGTGATGAGAGCTTTGGGCAGTATGCATGGGGGCAGGAGGCAGGGGATGTAGGAACCATACCAGGACTCAGTGTACAGGCAGATAGTGGTAGGTATACCAGTCAGATAGTGTAAAAGATACGGTGTATATACACGTATAACGTTTTGCAGTAGCCACATCAAAGACTTTGAACAGCATCCCTCTTTCCATAAGGGAAATTACCTGTCTTGCCACCTTCAAAAGATCCCTCAAAACTTACCTTTTCCCCAGTGATCTACTTCCTGTGAGACTGTACATTTGTTGTCCTCTTTTCATATATTTGTAAGCGCTATGGTACTTATTGTGTTTGTCGTTCTTAATCATTTGACAGTATTATAATTATTAGAACATGCAGGGAGATAATGGTAGGTAGAGATTCAAATATTGTGAATATATACATATATATATATATATATTTCATGTAATAGAACAAATAATTAGTACAAACATGTATCTCTTCTACTGATTTGTATATGTAGATAAACATCATGAATGGAGGCGAGAACTCAGGTCTTAATGTAGACTCGACAATTACATTGAAGCAATTGAAGATCAGTCCCCAAACACCATACAGGCATTATTTCCAAATTTGGTCTCTCAATCTATAGCATCTTAAATATCTTGTGTTTAAATCGGTGCCTCATTTCTAATAGTATTTGTTGTGATTATTTTTGTAGGATTCTACATGAGGGTTCTACCTGGTAATGGTCAGTTCAATGAGTTTGCAAGACTTACAAGCCCTATCCTCCCTGATACATCCGTTGACTGTCGCTTTGACTTCTGGTACTTCTATCAGGTAAGTTAAATTACATTAAATATTCATTGTTTGATTGTGAAGGTAGTTATTACAGCCTATAGAGCAATGGAGACAGGAAAAGTGGTCTTTATAGGCAGGTGATCTTCTATACAAGTTGTCAATAAAGTAGGTTTGACTGAACAACAAAAAATATCTTGTTTTCGTCTTTCACTGAAAAAAGGGTTGTTATTTTTATGTTGACTTGTCACTTTGAGCTCTTTATCAATCACACGTAAATGATTTTCACATTTTCAAGTGCCCTTTTTTTTTTGGGGGGGGGGGGAGCTAAGATTGATGCTGGAGTACTGGGGAGGGGTGGGCTATTCTTCTTTAGTAATTATTGTGAACTTTACAGTATTCAAGATTTTGTTCTCCCTAGCCCCTGCCCCTATGGGGTGACAGTTAAAGAATAAAGAAGACATCACAACACTGAATTAATAATGATAATAGACCTTTGAATTTTAAGTCATGTGCTTAAAGATAAAGACCAGTTATGGTCATGCGATTGCATTGTGAAAGAAACGTTGTGGAATCGATCAGAAAAGTTTGATCATCTAGCATATAAGTATTGGTGTGTACTGCAAGGTTCTGGAATCATCAAAATGATAAGAAATTTGGCCCAGTCTTGGTAAAGGTACCCGCACTGTACACAGAAAGATGTATATGGGACTACGCAACACGTACGCGGTATCTGTCAGGTCCAAATAGATATAATATTTTACAAAATATATCAATTAGTAGGCTGTTTCTCAGCAAAATTAGTTCATTATGCATTAGTCAAAACATATTCTTTCACATGGTTGGTAATAAGAGCTTCCATTTCATTTTTGAGAGGGGGGCGTTTCCAAAACTGGTCTTTACCTTTAAACCACTCCACTACGACACTTCTAACATTTCAAAGTGTGTATGAGACTGATAATGGTCAGTAACAAAGATGATCAAATGTTTCTTCTATCTCATGTAAGCTATATAGGAGTTGCGTATCATTATTGTTGTTTGTAATTAATTATTTTCATGTATCGTTCATTTCTATTCCGCTCTATCTCTATTTCCTTCTTTTCTAAGCGTATAGGGACTTTCTTTGTGTTAGTGATATGCGCTATACAAATAACGTTCATTATTATTATTATTATTATCTCTCTCCTTTCTCATTTCCCTGAACAGACATCCTCTTCTACGGTTGAGTTCAAACTGGAGGTGAAGATGACCGATCAGTCTGGCTACACTCTATGGACCCCATCCCAATCTCAGAGCACCTACTGGATGAGTGTAGATGTTGGTATGGGGAGGAGAGAAACTACCTATCAGGTATAGTGCGGTAATAGAAGTAGTAGTAATAGTAGTAGTAGTAATATTATTAATAGTAATATTATTAATAGTAATAGTAACAGTATTAGTAATAGAAGTAGTAGTAATAGTTATAATGGTAGTAGTAGTAGTAGTAGTAATATTATTAATAGTAATATAACAGTATTAGTAATAGAAGTAGTAGTAGTAGTAGTAGTAGTAGAGGTAGTAGTTGTAGTAGTAGTAATATTATTAATAGTAATAGTAACAGTATTAGTAATAGAAGTAGTAGTAATAGTTATAATCGTAGTAGTAGTAGTAGTAATATTATTAATAGTAATAGTAACAGTATTAGTAATAGAAGTAGTAGTAATAGTTATAATGGTAGTAGTAGTAGTAGTAGTAATATTATTAATAGTAATAGTAACAGTATTAGTAATAGAAGTAGTAGTAATAGTTATAATGGTAGTAGTAGTAGTAGTAGTAATATTATTAATAGTAATATAACAGTATTAGTAATAGAAGTAGTAGTAGTAGTTATAATGGTAGTAGTAGTAGTAGTAGTAGTAATATTATTAATAGTAATAGTAACAGTATTAGTAATAGAAGTAGTAGTAATAGTTATAATGGTAGTAGTAGTAGTAGTAGTAGTAATATTATTAATAGTAATAGTAACAGTATTAGTAATAGAAGTAGTAGTAATAGTTATAATGGTAGTAGTAGTAGTAGTAGTAGTAGTAATATTATTAATAGTAATAGTAACAGTATTAGTAATAGAAGTAGTAGTAATAGTTATAATGGTAGTAGTAGTAGTAGTAGTAATATTATTAATAGTAATAGTAACAGTATTAGTAATAGAAGTAGTAGTAATAGTTATAATGGTAGTAGTAGTAGTAGTAGTAGTAGTAATATTATTAATAGTAATAGTAACAGTATTAGTAATAGAAGTAGTAGTAATAGTTATAATGGTAGTAGTAGTAGTAGTAGTAATATTATTAATAGTAATAGTAACAGTATTAGTAATAGAAGTAGTAGTAATAGTTATAATGGTAGTAGTAGTAGTAGTAGTAGTAGTAATATTATTAATAGTAATAGTAACAGTATTAGTAATAGAAGTAGTAGTAGTAGTAGAGGTAGTAGTAGTAGTAGTAGTAGTAATATTATTAATAATAATAGTAACAGTATTAGTAATAGAAGTAGTAGTAGTAGTAGTAGAGGTAGTAGTACATGTAGTAGTAGTAGTAGTAGTAGTAGTACTAGTAGCAGCAAGGTGGTAGTAGTGGCTGTAGTAGTAGAAGTAGTAATATTAGTAGTAGTAGTAGTAGTAGCAGGGGTGGTAGTAGTGGCTGTAGTAGTAGTAGTAGTAGTAGTAGTAGTAGAAGTAGTAATATTAGTAGTAGAAGTAGTAGCTGGGTCATGGAGAAACGAGAGACAGACAGACAGAGAGGAAGAGGTAAGAAAATTGAGGGAGAGAAAGGCAAGATGAGAAATAAAATTAATACATAGAATGAAATTAGACCCAAGCAGCTATTGAGTATACATGCACATTTACATGTAGGTAATTATTAGTAATCGTTCTATTTAAGACAGTTATACCCTTTCTCTTTTATCCTATCATTCTCCAGCTCTTATTTGCTGGGTTTGTGGAATCAGACAGTGATATCATTGCCATTGACGCCATCTCATTCACCGGCTGTGCAGTGGAGTCCTATGTCCCATGTGAGATCCAGTGTGATAACCAGCTCTGTGTGCCATACACAGCTCAATGTGATTACGCTAACGACTGTGGAGATGGAACAGATGAAAATACATGCAGTAAGTCACTAAGTTTCAGTTTTAATTTGTCTCTGATTGTAATTCTTAATTCAATTCAAATGAGTTTTACTTCCAAACCATTATAAATTCACAAATGAATGTGATGATGATCCTAACTGATGAAGGATGAAGAAAAAACAAAGCTAATAAAAAGTAATTATTTTAGGAGGTGTGCCCTCCCCCCCCCCCCCCCTTTGCCAAAAGAGAGTGACCTATTTAGCTGAATTTCAGTATTTTGTTGTTGTTGAAATGACATAGATAAACAATAAGGTCTCTGGACTTTGAACTAATGCATTTTGAAAACAAATAGTTATGTCCATGAGTTTTAGTTTTGGTTTGTCTTTAAGCATTGTTCCTCATAATTCATGAAGTCTGTCCCGTCGTATAATGTCATCATCTCTTCTCTGTGTTCCTCAGGTGCATACAGAATGTGTAACTTTGAATCAGGCACAGTATGCGATTGGAGCCAGGATTCAGAAGATGACCTAGAGTGGGTGTGGTTTAATGGTTTCCAAGGTGAGGTAGATGGAGGGCCCTCTGATGACCACACCTATGGCAATCCAACCGGTAGGTGCTAGTGATAATGACCATGCATATATGACATGTGTCCATTAATTTTATGTTAATGTATAGTGTAGAGATGGCTTTGGCCCTTTATTTTATAAGGGTAACCACAGCGGGGGTTCCTCTGATGACCATTCCTACAAGTATGTTAATTCAACTGGTGAGTGGTAGTAATAATGACCACGCCTAAAATTATGGGTCCAAGAAGTGTTTTTTTGTTCAAGTGTTAAGATGGGTGTGGTTTAAGGGTTTTAATATGGAGGTCCTTGAAAGGAGTTACTGTAAATATTTGTTGAGAAAAGGAGAAAGGGTTTAAAGTATTGTAGTTGACGAAGCAAGAAAGAGTACCCCTACCCCCTGAGTTTGTTTATTTATCTATCCTCTCTACAACATAGCAGTCCTCATTAGGACTACATGTGTACACATGAAGTCGAGTTGGCTCAGTTGGTGAAGTGTCTGCCTGTTGAACCAAAGATTGTGAGTTCAAATGACTGAAGCTTGCCGTCCGTGTTAATACACCTCCCCTGTATCATAGGCGCAGGTTATGTTACAGTTAAAAACAACCCGTCCCCGGATAGGACGTTAAATGGAGGCACATTTTAGAGGAGAGTCACTACCTTTTAGAACCCACTGTAATAATAATAATATGTCTTGTTTACCCAGGGGAGCCTCATCAGTATTCATACTGTTAATAATAATAATGTTTATAATAATGATAGTATTAAAGGTAATACAAAGTTTTGGTATGGGGTCATGAATTTGGTTCAATTGAACATATTGGAAGCAAACGCGATCCAATATTAAGTGATCGTTGTCGCGGTTGAAAACGAGTCTAAAGTTTTGAAATTGTAAATAATAAACTCTTTATGTTGTATAGCTCCCTTTCAAGGTCAAGATCTTAATTAAGCTATGAAACAACAGTTTCTTGACTAAAGTCGACTGATTAGCTATTCCCGTTTGGAAATTATATATCACAACGACATATTCTGAGACTTTCATGGTCGCAGCTAACTTTGTACGGCCGTAGGCGCTATTTGAAATTTTTCAAAATTTACCAGGAGCACCGGTAAATTTTTATATTCAATTTTTCTTGAAAGCAGAAGTGTTTTAGGGGCTAATTCTTCTAGTGTATATAATACATCCACAGGGGCATCCAAATATATCAAAATGGTAAATAATCACTTATCCACCCAATTTTCAAAATTTTCCAAAACTTTGTGTTACCTTTAATAACACCTCTCTTTTAGGCCATTACTTCTATCTGGACTCAGCTGAAGGTGACGCAAACAAGAAGGCTTTGCTGGATGGGCTAATTTATTCTAGACCTCAAAACTCTGGAGACTGTGAGGTCAGTGTCTTTGCCTCTGTATTCACCTCCATTAATAGCCATAATGTACTACTTATAGCTACTTGCGCCCTCTATACAGCCAACAATGTCTAATAGGCGAGTTCGTAATAGCTCTGGACCGCATGACCCCAAAATATCCACAGATCTTAGACACGATGGATACTTCCCACCTGTGCATTTTAGAATAATCACTGCCAAAGTGATGGAGGTGCTTCATGAATACCTTTTGTTTGCCCTCTTGAGAAGAATACTTCCACCTGTGTATCAGAAAATGTACCGTTGGTGCATACATGAATACTGATTACATAACTTTCATGAGCACGATCCGAGTAATCGTCTCAATGGTTTTACAATTTGGGTACGAATGACCTTTATCTGCCCATGCGAAAATCCTAATTACGAACTCGCTTTACCTGTTAATCTCCCATTGTGCCCTATTTCTTATGTTAATTGAGAGCTGATTTGATGACAAAACCACCTGTCAGTGACCTTGCAGGGTGGTCTAATCCCTCCTGTACACTAGTATAGATGGGCTTTAAAGCCATACTGTACTAACAGCACTATCACAAAATCCCCTCTAGCGCCAACTCAGATCAGCTGTAGCAGTATGGTCCTGTATTTACCCACTGCTTCCATAGCTGCACTCTCGGTTCTCGCATCGAGTCCTCTGCAAAGTGGGAATTAGGCATTGGGTTATACACTATTGGCAAGTTGACCATGGGATGGCGCTATGCAATAAACATTACTTGAGGGCAGACAGTTTATCAGTTTAGTATCACTTTAATGCTGTTCATTGGTGTAAGGGTTCATTATTCCAACGACGTGTAAAGCTACTTCATTACTTCATTACATGTCATACATATCATATAAATTGTTATCTGCAGATGGGTTGATTACATTAAAGTATGAAAGTTAGCTTTACTCTATCTTTCTAATGGTTTTAAGCTATTTATTCTTTCCACTTATCTCTCTCTCTTTCTCCTCCTATACCTTACCTTCTTCCTCTCTTTCCCACTCTCTACCCTTCTTGCTTGCTTTCCCCCGTCTTTTTATGAAATCTAAAACATGGTTGCAATAAACAAATGAATAAAATTTCTCTCACATTCCCCCACTCTGTGTTTTTGTAAGGATGTCTAAATGTCGTCTATTTTTACATGACAGTTGTATATCTCCCTTCCCATTTTAGCTTCGTTTCTGGGCCTTCATGAACGGAGCTAATGTGAATCGCCTGAGTGTTCTGACCCAAGTATCGACCCATGATGATCCAGTAAGGACCTGGACACAGACTACATCAACAGGAGAGGCATGGATTAAGTACACTGTCCCAATGGACACCGGATATAAATTCAAGGTAAATAATTGTCATTTTTATTAATATTTACAGACATTTATCATTAAGTAAATAGAGGAATTCGAACCCAAGTAGATGCATGAGTACTCTTTGGTAAGGCACTACCAAGTCCCTTGGAGAGGTCTTAAAGCCGCTGGTCACCTGGTTGCTTTCAAGCATACACATGCTTTCTTAGCATTCAGGTAAAACAAACAAGCAAGCAAGTAATGTTATTTCTTCAGCCAACTTTCATTTTTTTTCCACCTAATTTCACATTTTAAGCTGCCATATTGCTTCATCTAGCTGAATGGCTGGCATTGCTGCAATCAGCGATTCAAGCTAGCTTAGAGACTATGATGCAACAGGAAAGAAAATAATTTTTACATAGTCAAAATAGCTCTTAATGCTTGGGCTAGGATATTTTAAAGATATTAATAATTAATGAAGAAGATTTAAAAAAAATACATTTCCCTCCGGCAATTGTACTTGTTTCCTTCCTGAAGGAAAATAAACACTATTTCTGTTTCCAACTGATGCTACCCCAGAAATGTACTATCGCTCTAGACGATACAAGTACTGCCTACCGGTAAACACCTTCCACACATTGTCCACATCTAAGCGTCTTCATCTCACGTACAACTGGCGTTGAGTCAACGTCTGGTCGTGTAATAATGCCGTTATTGTAGGGGTAAATACAATCATGGTACGCGTACATCACGTTTAGGATGTGTTGTCTAAACACTGACCAATCTCTTACCTATCATCATTCATTCATTTAGGCTGTACCTAATGATAATAATAATGGTAATCGTCATAATAATAATGGTACCGGTAATAATAATGATAATTATGATAATAATTTGTAAGACCATTTTCTCTTTCCTGTAGGTGTACTTTGAAGGTATCGCAGGAGGTCTGGATGACAGCATAGCGCTTGATGACATCACAATGACACCAGGATGCATCAAAGACCCTGATCAGACGTTACCTGAATCAGTCACACCTACAGGTCAAATTGCAAGAAGTTTTTGTTCTTTCAGTCAAGAATATGTTACCATATGTTTAGCGAATTTCAATTAATATCTTAATTCATTCTAACAATCCCTGAAGTTGCAGCCTCTGTATTAGTGTCCATTAGTCAGTGAGCCTGAAATATTTTATTTCTGTGATTCTTTAAAAGTTAGAGGTGTCGTAGTCGAGTGAATTTGTCACCGGAATGTGGATCACAAGGTCCGCGGTTCAAGTCCGGCCGCGGCACTAATGTCCTTTGGCAAGACATTGATCTACATTTGCCACACTCGATCCAGGTGATGTAAATGGGTACCTGACAGGAATTAATTCCTTGAAATGCTAGAGCACCGTAATGTCAGTCGTGCTAATGCCAGGGTAATAATCGGGAGCACCAGGAGTGTCTAGTCTGACAAATATGAGCGCTATACAAGAACCCGATATTATTAGTATTATCATATTCTTTGTAATGCCTACAAAGAATGTGTTAGGGATATCAATTATGCAGATACAACTGAGCAATTTGTGGTTTCTCTTCAACTTATTGGTACTTTCTCAGACAGACTATACTGTGTATCATTAAACTAATAAGTATAGAGTACCGAAGCTGTGACGTCATAAAAATCTATTTTTAGAATTTCTCAATTTTTTCTTCATATTCCGAAAGAACATCAAAAATAATGTCCAAATGTCGAAAACCAATTGAATATGTTAAGTATTGGCTGAGATATGACCATCTGAATAAATATACTCCCCATAGGAACTCAGTGTTATATGCTCTGGCTCCTAATGGTTAGGAGCCAGAGCGTATAACACTGAGTTCCCATAGGACATATATTCATTCAGATGGTTATATCTCAGCCAATACTTAACATATTCAATTGGTTTTCGACATTTGGACATTATTTTTGATGTTCTTTCCGAATATGAAGAAAAAATTGAGAAATTCTAAAAATAGATTTTTGATGACGTCACACTTCACCACTCTATAACATGATGGTAGCGGTGGGATAGGAAGCTTGAATTTGAGGACTGTGTTAAATATACAATCAGGTGAATCACAGAGAAAAGCTGGAGTTCTTAAATCTGTCTGCTGAGAGCTACATGTAGAAAGGCGTTAAATGCTATTCAGGCTTCCAGCAGAGAGATAACAGATCTTCACAACCAAAACATTTTTTCTCTAAGTCACACAATTCCTCTACACTATTACTGTTACTTTTCTGATGAAGTTAATACACACTTTACATCCCTAATAAGAGAAATTGTTTGTCTTCATTGACATTTGACCTTACAGATAGCCCACACTGTGACGTTGGTGAGAGAGCCTGCAAAGATGGTACATGCATCGCGTCAGAGAAGTTCTGTAACTTTATTTACGATTGTGATGATGTTTCCGATGAGATAGATTGCCGTAAGTATCTCTGATATTCATCAATATTCATTGTCACGCTAGCAGAGAGCATCTAAATCCATTTTAAAATAGAATGAGTAGTACGTAGTCTGACCTGACTTAATGCCCGTGTGTGCAATGTTAGTAATCTCCACTTCATAACCTTTGCTCAATGTAATGTATAGAAGTGGTAGTTTTGATGCAGTTTGGATGGAAATTCTTAAGATTTAGGGTTGATGAATGAAAATGTACATACAGGTACTCGTCTTTGGGTATCTGAGTAAAGTTTTTATTATCTTTCTGTAAATAAACTTTCTCATGATTAGCCTTTAAACATTTTGAAATGTATGTGTACCTTATTTCCCCCGTAAATAATCCTCTCAAATGAAGAACAATTTACATGGGTTGAATGTTGCTGTGACTTTTGCAATTTCAAGCCAACCATCCAACTTCATACATTTAACTTTGTACACTATATTAAATCATTTTGCCGCTATTCAATTCACTCTATTCAGATTGGCTACACTTTCTAATCAGTTAGGCCTAAAAAAAAATGTTGTATTGCCCTTTAGGTGCCAAAACATGGGTCGGTCGTTCTTCTTTTTTAAAGTTTTTTTAAACTCTCTCTTTGGGCTGATATCTCTTTGAATGCTTTAATACATTTTTTTTCTAAAAAACGGTAGATTTTTGATTTTTTTTTGATTTTTTTTAAGCTAACTGTAAATTTCAAGATTTTGGGGTCGGTCGCAAAGGGGGCAGTACAACATCTTCTTTTTTTTGTAGACCTTATTCCTAGACCTCATCAAATGCCTGTGAATGAAAAATGAACTTCTCTTTATTTTCTTTAGCATCTGTGTGTGACTTTGAGGATGATCTGTGTATGTGGACCCAGGGGGTTAATGATAATTTTGACTGGTCCAGGTACAATAATTCAGAGGATGCCACTTTCGCTGGACCCATCTTGGATCATTCACGGGGTAGTCCGATGGGTAAGTATGAAAACTCATTCCAAGTTATTGTATTACATTCTTGTGACTTTGATTTGTGTTTATAACAATGAAACATATCTGGGCGAAATCATTTTGTAGTGATGCAGCCCTCCTCCCCCCCCCCCCCCCCAAGAAAAAGAAAGAAAGAAAACATATATTTGTGATCGAAGGGTATTTGGGGCATCATTGGGCATACTTTCATGCTATTCACTTTGACATATACTTTTTGAGATCCCCTTTAATCTTAGGTCTTACAACATGTTCACCATTTAACATTTGTTTTTCCTACTCTGTTGGGTTAGATGTTTATTTCCTTTATGGCTTATCTCAAGCCATGGTGATTGGCTATTCCAGAGAAACTGGAAGCATGGGGCATCTCCTGTAGTATTTTCCAACAGGTTTGGAGTAAATTATATCAGATTGTACTCATACCTCTTTCTGATCTACTCATTATCATCATCATTTATTTTCCCTACGCTGTGGGTTTGATGTTTAATTTCCTTAACTGCCTATATCAAGTCAGCATGAGTGGCTATGCGAGACATCTCCGATAGTTTGTACATATTAGGATTGTCGTAGAATATATCTATATCCGTATCCGGATCGACACCTACCCCCTGGACATACACCCCCAGATAACCACCCCCAGTCAACTACCCCCTAGGACAACTACCCCCGAACAACTACCCCCCAGACAACTACCTCCTAGAGGATGGTTGCCCTAGGGGGGTAGGTGTCCTATAGCCATCTGTATCATATTTCATTCATTCTGTCTTTCTTATCTATTCAGGTATCTACTACTTTGTTGATGGATTGACCAGCACCAGAAACCACTATGCATCCTTGGTCAGCCCTAAGTTTGGCCAGGCAGGGACCAGCTGCATAGCTTCTGTGTGGTACTACATCTATGGCTCCACCTACGGTAACCTTGAGATGAAGCGCAGAGTAGGAGGCGTGGATAGAACCGTCATGATCATCAATGAGGACAATGCAATCTCGTCACAGTGGACACAGGCCAATATTGCCCTACCACCCTGCCTGTCTAATTTCAATGTGAGTTCATAGGGTCAAATTGAACATCGTAGTTGGGCCACATTACACGTAAAGAAGGCATAGAGAATCTTGCTTTGACTTGTGGTAAGGAGGAGTAGGAGAAGAAGAAGGATATTTTGGATGGACAGTCTAAAGAAGTTAAAGAGAGAGGAGTCAAAGAACTGGCAGTGGTGTTAACTCATATCCTGCCATGAGACTGCTAGCGCGCTATTGTTATAGTGCCGTGTGCACGCGAGCGCGCTATCGATTGATTGCTACGTTCATGCTAGCGAGCTACCGCTTGTCTGCTTTGTGCACGCTAGCACGCACATGTAATAACAGTTATTGTTCATGCCCATTGCACCGTGCTGAGTGCTTTTGCAGCACTATTGAAAGTACTATCGCGTGCATCAGATTATCGGCTTTCGATTACGCTTCTTCATATACAACAGTCAGATTGGATTTTCTCGAGGAATTTAGCGATTTGTTTTTTGTAAGAATTAAAAAACACGCACTTGAACTAACAGTAGAATTAACTTGGCACACAGGGGATTTGTGGCTGGCACAATAGGGATTAGCACTGTGGCACTGGGTGCATTGTATGGGTGGCAGCTTAAGAGTTAATAGAGAAAGCTAGGAGCTGAGGGTTGTGGAACAGCATGATTGCCAAAATCGATATGGCACTTAGAGAGAGAGAGTTGGGCCAAACCATTTTGCTCAGAAGCAATGATTCAAGTTCAATCATTCTAAATAAGTCAATCATCTCTGTATAAATTGACTGAATTGTTTAAAGGATATGTGAACATAGTGTCTTGAATGATGTAAGTTAAGATGTAAAAGCTTAGATGAATGAGGTAAAACAATTGTTGGTCCTAAAATATTATCTGCCTCTAAACAGTATCCTTGTTTCTTCCTACATTCCCCCACATTCCTGTGGTCATTTTCACCTCAATAACTGTCTTATTTTTTTATCTTTTTCTCTCTCCCTTCTGATTTCCCTTTACTTGTTTCTTTGTCCATCCCAAACTCCTGCATCTATCCATCCTCATGTACAGATCTTGATAGAGGCTGGTAACCAACAAACCACCCCTGCTTCAGGAGGCTACGCCATCGATGACATCCGCTTTGATAACTGTGCCTTTGACGTGTCCCCATCTTCCATCCCATGTGAATCTAATTACTACCAGTGTGCTGCGGAGCATTGCTATCCTAGAGATGACCAATGTGACTTCACAAAGGACTGCTGTACAGATAGCGACAATGGCAGCGATGAAGCAAGTTGTGGTAAGTACACTAAATGTTTATCCCATCCTGATACCACAATGACTATTTTGATGCAGGTGAGATAAGTTTATTCAGTGCTATCCGATCAGTAGTGTGACATTACTAAGAATTGCTGTATAGATGGCGACAACGGCAACACTGAAGTCAGTTGTAAGACTATCCTACTCATGACAGCAAATATGCATCTGTTTTAATTTTGATATGCACATTGTAAAACAGAAGCGATGATGAAGCAAGTTAGCATATTTTTGCCCCTCCTGAAACCAAATTCTAATAGTTGTAATCCTTTGCTATCCACAAAATAGATTATATGACTTAAAATAAGGATGTCACACAAATATAACTGACGGCAATGGTGAAGCAAGTTGTGGTGAGACTTTCCTACTCCTGGCACCGAATTCACATTTGCATTTATAGTTCTTATGTGGTATAAAAAGTAACAAGGGCGATGAAAAATGCCGTGGTCTGTACATGTTTATATTAGATAGCTTAGATACCGAGATGTGATTGGTTCAGAGCTTGTCACGTGATATCGATTGCTAGGATCGTAATTGTTATATTTTCCTAACTGGTCACTTTCAATGGTTATATCGACCAGCTGGTGAAATTAATATATATTTAATCAATGCATGTTGCCCTCGTGAGGACTGTATGTCACCAATTACACAAATTACACATGGTAATTTTTTTTATCAACATTTTTTTTTCTTCAATTTTCTTTTTTTCACATTTTCTTTTCTTCCCCAAAAACTCTTTTTCTTTATAAGAATTTTTCTTTTTTCAAAGATTAGTTTTTCACAAATGATATAGAAATGTTTGTTTTTTCTGCAATTTTATTTTCGTTCTTATATCCCCCTCATTTCATTTCAGCCTCGTACACGCAATGTGACTTTGAGAGCGGTCTCTGTGAGGTCTGGAGCCTGATGGCAGAGAATGATTTTGATTGGTCGAGAGTACAAGGCCAGGATATGAACCTGTTGACCTTTGACCACACCCTTGATTCAGGCGATGGTAAAGCAAAAACACAAACAAAGAACAATATATTCTTTTTTTCTAGATGAATGTCTTTCGTTTTCTAGCACCTTTTATCCCATAATGAAGCTGCATTTTCTTAGAGATTGTTAAACTGCTGTCAAATCTGGGCTGCACTTTTGATGTAAAAATTCATACATTTAAACATGTACATTCACAGAATAGTTCTATAGCTTTAAAATTATGCTACTTTTTAAAAGAATTATAATCTTTCAGACAATATGCATTAATCATCAATCCGGCTGTATGTCACATTCAAAACGCACCTGTTTTGGCGTTACAATATGCCCATATCTAAAGACGTTTGAAAAAGGCTTTGCGTTTATCACCTTAAAAATTTGCCTGAAAGGCATTTGAGAAACCTGATTCTAGGCAAAGAATTGGTCAATAAACGCACCCTTGATTCTGCAGTGCATTTCTATTGAATTTGCTCAAAAGAAACATTACTTTTTAATTTGGTGCTTCCAGCTGAGAGCCTTCAATTATTTTCTTTTTATTCCACAGGATCCTTTATGTACATGGACCCATCAAACCAAGCAAGTAATGGTGACATAACACAACTCGGGAGCTACATTATCCAGCCAACCAGTGCCAACTGCCAGGTTAGTTACTCCTGAGATGTTATACCAGTCTGTTAAAACATTGCCTCATTGATGCAATTGTAATACACTGTAATAAAATACAGTGTATTACAATTGCATCAAGGGATTTCTTCCCACCACGTTATTACTGGCAACGGGTCATGTTAAAGATGATAGTGAACACATGAAATATGTAATGCAATGAGATTATTTCAAGAACATAATGGATATTAGGAATGCAAAATTAGAATTAGTAGAATCGTTTAAATAATGGAGGCTAAAACTTGTACATGTACATCAAACTTGCTTTAGTGACCACCTATATAGAAAGACCACCTGTCTACAAAGACCTCCTTTTTCCCTTGAAAATGGTTTCTCACCAAAACATGTACTACAGAAACCTGTACATAAAGACCACCTGCCTATAAAGTCCACTGTTCTTGCCTCCCTTGAGTGGTATTTATAGACAGGTTTCAGCGTACTATACAAATTAATGTCTGGTATAGTGAGAAGATAATGCAATACTGAGATTTAAATCTTGTCTAAAGTAATTAAGACTCGTTCATGTGAAAAATATTTTACCTCTGATATACAGATGCGATTCTACTACTACATGAGTGGCATCACCGGCGGCACTCTGAATGTGTATACTCGCATGTTTGTAGGAGGCCCTCTATTGTCAAGATGGACAGACTCTGGTGATCGAGGGTTAATGTGGATGAAGCAGGTCCTTACTCTAGACAGCGATAATATATTTCAGGTAACTTTTAAGCGGGACTGCACTACTTGTAGCTACTTGCGCCCTCTATTTAACAAACAATGCCTAAGCGGTGCCAGTTGATCCCCCATGGTCCTCCTTTTCTTATGTTAATTGAGAGCTGATTTGATGAGATAACCACCTGTCAGTGACCATGCAGGGAGGTCTAATCCCTCCAGGCCTAACTAGTGCAGAGAGGCTTTAAAACTCTGAAACCGTTTACAGCTTGTAATGTTTGACCCTTTCTGCTGCCATAGGAAATTATAATAACATTTCTATTATGCTATTATGTTAAGAAAGCTAAGCTTTAATATTTTCTTCTAGAGAGTTTTGAAAGGGTTCAGGAATTTTTTCAAGTGAAGTGTCATGAAATACTGTGAGTATGAAGTTTAACACTGATTACAGATACTATGAATGAATTTATTCTCTTGAAATTATATAATGATTGGTGTTTTAACAAATAGAGTACCAAAGCTGTGACATCATAAAAATCAACTTTTAGAATTTCTCAATTTGAACTTCATTTTTCGAAAGAGCATAAAAGATAATGTCCACATATTGAAAACCAATTGAAAATGTGAAGTATTGGCTGAAATATGCATATGACTATCCGCATAAACAGATTTCAATGGAAAATCACTGTAATTTTGCTCTGGTTTTTAACATTACGTTGACGTCACACTTGACCACTCTATACACTGTTTATGAATTGTAGGTCATCATAGAGGGGGTTAAAGGTGAAGGGTCATCAAGTGTCTTAGCCGTCGATGATACGACCTTTACCCCTGACTGCAGAAAATCACCCAGCAGTCTCCCAATGATTACTACTCCAGTAGGCCGACCAGCTACTACCGGTAAAACAAAATGTTGTTATCTTCTTTGAAAATTGATAATTGATGTATTGATTGCTACTGTATATCATATTTTTGAATATACATTATGTACAATGTAGGCTATTTGCATAGCTGAGAAGGGGGAGGGGCACGTTCACCCCCAGGCCCCTAATAACTTTTCTTTTTTTTATCCCAAAGAGTACTACTCAACTAGCAACTACTTACGGTAACAAAATCCCCATACATGTATAATTGTTATCCTCTTTGATATTTGATTTATTGATTGCTATATTATCTTTTCAAATATAGATGTTCATGTTCATCAATATGATATTGTACATTTGATACATTTCTCAATACAGTACATAATATTGTATAGAAATCCGAAAAGGTATAAGAAACTAAGTTACAGACTCAATGAATATGTGCACTAGATATAACATGAGTTTGAAGGGCTATACAGCGTAAAGGGAGACAGCGTCTCCCTATGAAGTAAGAAAAGACAAATTTAAAGGGGGAAGATCGCTGCAACATATACTGGACATCATCTTTTTCTTATAGAGTATCGACGCCTTTCTGGATTTCAGCACACGACACCATGTTTTTGTCTTATGTTTTATGTATTACATGTTATACCAATGGAAAACAAATTTCTGTATTATATTATGGACAATAAAATCTTGAATCTTGAATCTTGTAGTTTGATATCATAAGACCGTTGGTAGTACATATTTGCTATTAATTTATGACTATCAATGGAAAGAATTTGCAACAATAAGAAAATTGATGATGATAGTCAGAGAAATCAGAATATTAGTATAAAACTATCATTTGTATATTTATATTTATATTTATATGTTATATGACATTGATTGTTGTCATGTACATTTTCTGCTATTTATTTAAGTTAGTATTGTCTTTTGGGAGCCAGGGGAGTACAAATAATCAAATAATTCCCCTGGCTCTCAACAGAGAGGTTAAATTTATTTATGTTATTTGTAGTTACTGTCTATGATATGTTAATGTATTGTTATATTTATACAAATGAGAGCCGTAAAACGATTTTTATGCCTTCATTTTATTTTGTGCATGACAATAAAGAAATTCAATTTATCAATTCAATTCAATTCAATTCAATTTGTATTTCAGTACTATCTACCAGAGCAAGGACTGAAGCACCTATCACTACAGCACAGGCAGAGGAAACAACGACAGTAAAGAGACAAACACCTAAAGCTACTGAGGAATCTCCTGAATCTAACAGTAAGCACAAAGTCATTACCAGCTTACTGAGCTTCTTCCAATGAAAAATAAAAGAATTAAATAAAAGAGGATGGTGGAATACTGCTCAGGTTTGTTGCCACTACAATGTCTTATTCAAAATTGTTATTAAAACAAGGGAGGGCAAATGAAGTACGGAATGATTTTATTTTATTTTTTTTTTTTTTTTTTTTTTTTACAAACCAACTTGTAAATGAACTATAGGTACTAATATGGAAATAACAGTATAAGGAATGGACATTCCTGCATTGGAAGTGTTTCGTTTCAAAGAATTCATTTTTGTTTGCTTGAAATTCTTTTTTTTTTTTTGCCATCATGGTTTGTTTTTTGGTTGCACAAGGTTAGCAGCTCTGCCTGTGTTAATAAGCTGCTAGATACACAATACTGCCAGTTCTGGTTAATCCCGATCTTACATTAAAGGTACTATGTCCCATTTGCAGGCCTAAAAAATGAAAAGGTTAAATTTCAATGGCATTTGAAAGATAATACTAATTTAGAACTCCTCTTAAAAAAATGGGTCTTTAAAATGTCTTTACGTGGGAAAATAACGACTATTAGTTGTCAAATTGACTTAGGAGCTATAGAGCCAATAAGTAATAGTCTTGATTTGCAGACCATTGTACCGCATGGTCGTACGTTTTATGCTGCGCAAAGATTCAATCAGTTTAATTTTGGCCATTACAAGAAGTGGGTTATTGATGTATGCAGATCCTTTACAGCTTATTTTATGTATGTTATTACCAAAGAAGAAGAAAAAGCCAGTCATTCACTCAATACTGACAATAGTGTCAGACAGTGAAGTCTAGCAAGTAAACGGGTTTCCTTGCATAGTTTGAATATTAGGACATTGCTAACGTTTAAACTTCACAGATAGGACATATATGACATATTCATAATTCTTCTTCTTCTTCCTTTTGAGTACAGACCTCTTTACAGAGTATTATCATACTATACTGGGGGTGTGTGCAGGTGGACCACTACACCGGGGTTTCCCCCTACTCTTATACGAATAGTGCAGTGGGTTCTTAACGTGCAAAGGTAGTGACTCTTCTCTACACGGGGCCTCCATTTAACGTCCTATCCGAGGGACGGAGTGTTTTCCACTTGACATTACCTGCGTCTATGAACAAGGGAAGGGGCACGTTAACACAACGCAGGTTTCAGTCATCCGCTGGGGTGGGAGTCGAACCCGGGATCTTTGGTTCGACAGACGGACGCTTTACCGACTGAGCCAACTCGCCTCCTGCAAAGTTCTACAGAATTTGAGGTTGGCGCTGCAAAAGGGACATAGTGTCTTTAACATAACATTCTGGTAACATCCATCATCTCTCTCCCTCTCTCTCTCTCTCTCTCCCTCTCCCTCTCTCTCTCTCTCCCTCTCTCTCCCTCTCTCCCTCTCTCTCTCTCTCTTTCCCTCTTAGTCTCTCTTTTGAATGTTTGAAAACTCACCTTTATTCTATTTTTATTTCTCTTTATAAAGCTGCCTTGATCGTGGGTCTGTCTGTGAGCTTGGGAATCCTGTTCATCATCATACTAGCGGTATCTACCCTATACTGGTGCAAAGGAAGAAGGTTTGTAGTACTTTTCACATTTAGTAGGCTAATTTTCTACATTGGAGGTGTCGTGGTCCAGTGGATATGTCACCGGACGGTGGATCACAAGGTCTGCGGTTCAAGTCCTGCAGCGGCACTTATGTCCTTTGGCAAGACATTGATGTGTATTGCCCCACTCAACCGAGGTGATGTAAATGGGTATACCTAGCAGGAATTAAGTCCTTGAAATGCTACACTGCTGTAATGGCAGCCGTGCTAAGGCCAGGGTAATAATCGGGATCCCCAGGAGTGTCAAGTTCGACAGACATGAGCGCTTTACAAGAACCCAATATTATTGTTATTATTATTTATCAATTTCTATTTATTTATTTAACCATTCATAGTATATTACAATTTTAAAATGGGAGCTGATAGCTGAATTTCTCACTACTGACTAACTACCATGCATTTGAAAACAGGATGATATATGACTATCTACATGTACTTTAACAGATACTATGGTTTGTTTATTTACATGTGTATTATCTGTGCAATGTTGTCCTCATATTTTCTGTAATCTGGCCTTATAATACCAAGCATGACTTCCTGCATCATTGTGTTTACTTGGTTTCAAGTTATGCTTCATGGGGGAAAGTCGGATATAAGCTATGGCATTGTTATGTACCCTAGGAGATCAGGGGATTCAATCAGAAGTTTTGATGGGCAAGACTTGAATAGCTTATCTGAGGTAAAATTCTACACTGATTCCAAAAATATCAGTCTAATTGACCTTATACTTATGACATTTTGGTCATTTTGGTCACTATTTAGTCAAAAAGTGACCAATTGTGTTGATTTTTGTCCAAAACCAAGCCAAAGTCCAGTCACAATCAATTGATGGGTGGGTTATGACATTCAAATTAAATATCAGAATAATCAATCCCATTGGTTATTTAGATCGTTAGCTAGTGTTTTTCTGAGCTGCGTTTTGGCAAAAGACAATGTGCTAGACAGTATATTTATGATTATGTCATTATTCTTCTGCCTGTTCTAGATCTAAAGAAGACTTAGCAAGTCTACGGAATGGCATGGAAACAACAGGATATGATAAAGATTTTGGTAACACGAATGTAAGTATGTCTACAAGAAAAATCCATTTAGTAATTTATATGTATAGTTCCTTCACCTTGGGTCGCTAAAGCTTAGCAGTGATGTTAACATTTATTATAGCCCTTTATATTTACATTTCAAACAAGGAAATAGTTTTACAGAAATACCAGTAGAGATTAAGAACAGTCCGACACTTTCTAATTTTAAACGTAAATTTAAACTGTATATTTTACATAAAAACAATTCACAAACTTATAGTGGTACAATATAATTTTTTTGTTTGCCTGTTTAATTTGCCAACTTAATTTTGTTTTATCATGTACTGTATGTCGCTATTGTTTGTGGGTTTTTTTTTTTTTTTTTTTTTTTTACTTGTTTTTATGTATAAAATATTCAAAATATCTAATATTGTTCTGGGGATTAGCCTCGATAGGCCCCTGGCCTTTGTTGGTCCCCCCCACATGTTTTTTATATCTACATGTATTTAGTTGTTCTTAGATTTTGTTCGCTATTTGTTTCTCTTAATATTATTGTTTGTTAATTGTGTATTTTTTATACGTCTGAACATGTATGTATACTTGTTGTTTTTTATGAACCACTTGTGGAAATAAAACTTGAACTTGAACTTGAACTTGAAAGACAAAAGGAAAGATGAGTGGGTGAAGGAAAGACTTTACGTGTAACAGATGCAACAGAGTCGTCTCTTCTCAAAGAAGTCGCATGTACCTGTACAACATATTCAACTAAAAAAGGAAATTGAAGAGTGCATGCTTATACATTGAAAAGGCAGAATGGATTCCCTTGTTAGGTCTGGCTGTATATTTGATTGATACTAGTGTATTTTAAACTATGTTTTGTTATATTCCAAACAGTTTGCATTACAAGAGGTGGATACAAGCATGTTTGGAGAGTACCCATCAGACTCAATGGTAAGCACAAACAGGGGGCTGTTTTACAAAGATCCTAAGTGGAACTTAACTCTAAATTAGACTTAAACATTATGGAGAGCCGTTTGTAGCCTCAACATAAAATATATTCAAAAGCAAAAAATCAAGTATTTTAGACTTTTTATAAATTCCACATCAAGAACATGAAATCTCCTTGATAATAGAATATTTGAAAGATTTGATCAACATTTTATGCCTTTTGAAATAATTGTTACCAAATATTTTCAAAGATGCTAACGGCTTTCCATAATTGTAAAGTCCGACTTAGAGTTAGGTTCGATTTAGGATCTTTATAAAATACCCCCAAGAAGAGATTTTAGTTTCACAATATCAAAGTAGATTGAATTGATGGATTGCCAACTGGAACAAGTTGATTACTGCAGAAAGGCTATGGGAGCTAGATGATTCATTATTCATTTAATGTTTTAGTCATTTCTTCTTTAAAAAGCAGCGTAGGTCATTCAGTTAAAAAAACTGCTTTACAATGATGTCCTGCTCTAACATACAAAATACATGAACAACAACAATATCGATCTCAGAATATACAAGGCATGAAGAAAGGAAGCGTATATTGAGAGTGCTGTAACTAATTTACATAAATGATATTTAAGGATTCTATGATAAATTTGTCCTACATCTGTACGTTTATTTCTGCCAATTTTGAAATTAGTGACTGGAAGGTTACAACTCATCCAATAGATTTGCACGACGGGAACGTGGACTGCCTTTAAAGGATGCCACACCTAGCAGTCCACATTCTTGTCGTGTAAATCTAAAAGTCCCTATTAAATATCAATCCAAAACAGGATTTCATGTCGCCTGTTCAGAGCCAAAAGGTCATTAACCCTGTCTAAAAAGTACAAGAGTTAACATCCTTCTGGCTCCAAACCGACAATAGTTTTCAAAATGCCAGAATTGAATCATAACGACTGAAACCATTCCCATTTGATCATTGTCACTATCTACTTTGTATGTGTACATTATGCTTACTAGTTTGTTACATCATTCACGTTTGTACTTTCATACACCATAAACCTATTATCGTTCATATCTTTGTGTCGTTATCTATGTATAATGTATAAGAATTGTATTCACAAGTCATGCATTGCTATTTATACTTTTTATGTTTGTTTGTACTCTCATATCCCGAGGGGGGGCCAAAGAGTCAATACAATTCTTAAAATTCTAAAAATTCTAAATTTCAAATTCTGTTTTCATCATTCCTCTACTCTAGCCTTCTGATGCTGGCATGGACAATCCTATGTATTCCTCGCCTGCCAGCTTACCCATAGATGCCCAAACAGAGGCCTGATAGGATCTTGCACCCTCCAGTGTCAGGATATAGCCATTATTTGGTCATGACTACATTTTTCATATGTGTATTAAAGGTAAAGACCAGTATTGGAAACGCCCCAATTTCAAAAAATGAAATGGAAGCTCTCATTACCAATCATGTGAAAGAATATGTTTTGACTAATACATGATGATAAAAAATTTGCCGGGAAACCGCCTACTAATTCATATATTTGGTAAATTTGTATCTCTCATGGTCTGTGAGAGATATAGGGTAGTCCCATATACATCTTTCTGTGTATAGTGCTTGTAACTTTACGAAGAATGGGCCAAATTTCTTATCATTTTGATGATTCCAGAACCTTGCAGATGCTAGATGCTAGATGATCAACCTTTTCTGATCGATTCCACAACGTTTCTTTCACAATGCAATTGTATGACCATAACTGGTCTTTACCTTTAATTGTGTTAAGTTTATCTTCTCCATAATGTGACTTTTTCTTTTCTTTCAAATCAGTTTGTTATAAAAGACTCACCAAAAGAGAATAAAACGTTTAATATGAATTATGAATACCCGGTATAGCACGCATTATGCGTACAACATGTATTTAGAATCTGTTTCTTCATTCGTTTTATGTATACTCAAAGAAGGTTATTTTCACAACAAAATCATTCCATTTATAAAGTAGCAATAATGTTACAGATATTTGTAATGTTGTTCATCAAAGTATCATTCTTTTATCATTGCTAGTTTGAAGAGTATTTTATATTCCATATACATGTATATGATCACTATACTTTGAGTACCTAGTTATAATTAATTAATTAGTTTAGCTACTGTCGTTAGTAAATAGTAGCAATATTTAGTATGTTTGTTTTTGTATCACTTGAGGAATATATTATGTTAAATTGGACAGTATGGGTGTGGCAAAGTTTCAAGCCTTAGGCTTACCGTATATTGCCAAACCTGTATGTGTTACTCCATGCAGTATTACTGTAAATGTATAATGATTGTAACTGCCTTGTTAAAGTCTACTGCTATTGTTTGTTTAATCTCATGTTGATCATGCTATGTAATGTGATGAACCATGCAGAAATGAATAAATAAACTAAAGCTAAAGTTTCTGGTCATGGAGTTGTACTCTAAGAGAATCTATCATGAATGCATATTTGGAATGAATGAGAGTTATCCAATATTATTGTCCATATTTGGGCTTAAAAAAGAAAGATATTTGAAATGTAAGATAAATACCAATATGAGTTAGTCGATTTAGTTTGATGATTGTTTTACCTGACTGCTAAGAAAGAATATGTATGCTTATATAAGAAGTGACCAGGGGACCGACAGCTTTAAATCCTCTCTCCAAAAGACTTGGTAATGAGGATTAATACCTTTAATACCAAAGGGCACAATTGGATCCACTTAGTTTCTAACCTGGGTTCTCCCAGTCTAAGGGCCACTGCCCCTCACAATGCCGGAATGTATCATTCTTTGCATGCTTCTATTAAGCTAAGGATGTGTAATGATTTTATCATTTTAAATGTAGTTATCAACATGCATTATAACCTGCGTTTGATTCTCTAATATTGTACTTTTCGTCACTACCAAAATCTGTCTGTATGTATCCAAGATATTGTCTTTTAGAGGCATTATGCAATTTGCAGTATAGAAATATCTTTTATTATTATTATTTCTTTAATGTAGTATACAAATAATTCATGTTTGCAAGTGTATTAGTGAATATGCACTGCACGCAGGTGAAGTCACGATGGGATAATGAATGACACTGGTCTTGTTCATTGTTCGTTCAATTGTGGCTTAATGAAGTGTGCAGGTGGACCACTACGTCTAGGTTTCCCCCTATTATACAAATAGTGCAGTGGGTTCTTTAACATGCAAAGGCAATAAATCTCTTCCACTCAGGGCCTCTATGTTACGTCCTTTCCGAGAGACAGAATGTTTTCCTCTGTAACATAGCCTGTGTCTATGAAACGGGGGAGGAGGCACTTTAACACACAACCCATCCTTCAGTCATCTACCTGGGTTGGATTCGAACCCACGATCTTTTTATCGACAGGCAGAGACTTTACCAACTATCTATAGCTTCGATCTTTATACACATGTATATAGATCTGACCTTAGGCACACATGTATATACACCCTAATAAACGAGATCAGGTTTATGAAAAGTCAGCTGATCTCGTTTATTAGGGAGATATATATGCTTAAGGTCATATGCTATATTCCATATCTATACTTTTTACAACTCTGTGCTAAAGATTGAAGCTAAAGTGCATACTCTCTGTTGACGATGGCTGTACCTGCAGCAATTTCTGTTACGCCCCCTTTGGGTTTGATAGTCTAATCATTTAACCCTATAAGGACAGCCATTCCATGTGCCGTGCTTTGCCTCCTTTACTTTTGAATAGAGCTCTAAAAATATATCAAATGCCTGTAAGGAAAGAGGACCAAAAATGTATGCTCTTACTGTGTCCGTTATTGTTAAATGACCACATTTTGTTTAAAAACGGGATTTTAAAAGAGGAAAATGGTCATTTAAATCCTTCCTATTTGTCAACACGTTTAGAGGTTCAAATGAATTGTTTTTTAACAGAATTGCCAATTTTTCAACTTTTCAACAAAGTTTCTAGCCTTGTATATTCTTTTCAGATACTTGCATTTGATAAGAACGATGAAGCATTAAAAGAAAACTACTGTTGTTGCCAATTTGAAGGTCAATATATGATCAATTTAGTCCTTTAAAAATCCCTGTCTTGAAAGGAGTAAAGAGAAAGAGGATGCAAAATACTCCGCGGCGATAACTATAAATTTATCTGACTGTCTGCAAGTTTTGATAAATGAAAAATGGGTGTATAACACTGATCAACTTGTTCAAATTATACATGTATAGATTGTTAGTTCTTCTGCTGTAGAAATGTTGTTGAATCATTATAACATAAGCAAAACTCTGCAATGTTTTCTTTTTTCTTATTATATCACCGTTTAGTTTGTGTTTGATTCTTTCAACTATGTGTATGTAGTCTATTCAATACCTTTAGACACATGTTTTCTTTCAACTCTCAAAAACATTCCATTACACTTGAATATTCATGTAAAGGTGCAAGTTATTCTTCTTTTGAAATGATTTTATTCACCACTTTCATCGGAGTAATTGTATTGTATTGCAACTTTGCCAAATATTGTTATAAGTCTCCATGTTTCCCTCAATTGTACCATCATAATTTTATTGTGTATTCAGTACATAGTTAACCGTATATAAAAACATTATTGGTATTGTCATGTTGCTCCGCTCGTGCAAGTTTTTGAAGAGTTAATGTGATATTAAAAAATCTTTGCAATTTTAACTATTGTCAATAAAACCTAAATTGATGTAATGTAAACAAATACTTTGTATTCTTGATAATATGTATTGTGTGCTATCTTGATGCTTCAATGATATGACGTCTTGTGAAGGAGGGGATGAAAGTGATGCTGGTGATAATAGTGTAACCCTCCCCCTCCCCCTGAAATCGCGAATACGAGGCCATTGCCCTAGCCAACAATACTCTGATATGTACTACATTTACCTCCCCCATCCATAGTCAAAGCCCCCCCCCCCCCTCCCGAACGAACGAAAACACATGCACAAACACTCAAACACATCTATTTAATATAAGATGTTTAATATAAGATGATTACATGTATACTTCATTTCCTCCATTTAGTAAATTATATAGAGCTATCACGCTACTGTTACGAGTGAACTTTACAAGATTGTAAACTGTAATAAGTTTGCACAAACGATTTTATCACATCGTAAAAGCCGATTAATGTACATTGTATATCCATTGTCTGTATTAGTCTGTAGACCAAGACTCCGATTTGAATCTTGAGCACGATGGACCTTCGTAGTATTAAATATAACTAAATATAATGCATACGTCTTCGTGAAGTACCGCGATATTAATCATTTCATTTCTCTGTTACGAATAATTGTATTTAATAGTCAAAATGCAAACTGGACGTATTAATTGTTGGCAGGTAGGAGACCAGGGCCCCGTCTTACAAAGAGTTACGATCGATCCAAATCAATCGTAAGTCCTCCAATCAATCGCAAGTTTGCAGTCTCCTATCTCTTATGTACATAGTTACGATTGATATCAATCGCAAATAAGTTACGATTGATATCAACTCTTTGTAAGACGGGGCCCAGATAACATAACAACATGTTACGAGAACTGAGGTGTAGGACACAACGTTACAAAAATAAAATTATCACACTGTTGAACTTTAATGCTGAAAATCTGAACCTAGAGTTTTAGAATAAACAAAATATTGGATAGAAGATGAATATTGCCTATGAATGTGGAAATGTATTTCTTTTCTCATAACTACTTGTTTATAATTCGATTCCTCATTTCCACTAACTTCGATGAAATAACTTTTCCATGACATTTTTAATTTGTATTCAATTCCTATTATGGATGTAGAATGATGAAGAAGAAGGCGAAGAAAGAGGAGGAGATGGTGAAGATAATGATGATGGTGGTGATGATGATGATGGTGGTGGTGATGATGATGATGATAGTGAGGATGATGATGACAATGATGATAATGATGAAAATGATGGTGATGATGATTATGATAATGATGAAGATGATGATGATGATGATAATGGTGGTGGTGGTGATGATGATGAATGATGGTGGTGATGACGATGGTGGTGATGATGGTGATGATGATGGTGGTGATGATGATGATGATGGTGATGGTGATGATGATGGTGATGGTGATGATGATGATGATGGTGGTGGTGATGGTGATGATGGTGGTGGTGATGATGATGATGATGATGGTGATGGTGATGATGATGATGATGGTGATGGTGATGATGATGATGATAATGGTGGTGGTGGTGATGATGATGAATGATGGTGGTGATGACGATGGTGGTGATGATGGTGATGATGATGGTGATGATGATGATAATGGTGATGGTGATGATGATGATGATGGTGATGGTGATGATGATGATGATGGTGGTGATGACGATGGTGGTGATGATGGTGATGATGGTGGTGGTGATGATGATGATGGTGATGGTGATGATGATGATGACGATGGTGGTGATGGTGATGATGGTGGTGGTGATGATGATGAATGATGGTGGT